AGCTAGATTGAAAGAATCAGACCTTCATCATTCGATATTCCTAAGTGTACATTACTAGCAATTACGCCTAGAGAGACAGCCCACATTCTTATACTCTTAGGATACCGTTATAATGTCACAATGGGAGCGAGGTTTAGGCAAAAGTAAAAAACATACCTCGCCATCATGCTCTTGGTGGCTACTATACTTGATTGGTGCGGTCCCACACACCGGTTATAGTCGTTCAAAGTAGCGGAGAAAGAGGAGCTAGAGTCTAGGTTCCAGAAAAAGCGCGAAGACACATCCATCGGGACTTACGGCGAATTGTCTGACAGTCGGTCCATCAATGCACAACAATTTCGTTCTTCAGGGTGAACGCTTCAGTGTTTACATAATAATAAAAAAAAAACGTAATGATTTCGAGTCGCGGGTAGGAGATAGGTTTACCGACTTGGGTCCACAGGGTCTCTGATTCGATCTCTATTTTCCACAGCCAGCCATATTTCTTATTGAAGTGATCTGATACTTTATCTCGAAGGTATCGTATGCGTCCTCAATACAAAAATGGTGGTCTGTCTGTTAAGGATCTAAATATTCAGTCTTTCTCCGATTGGGCCTGCTATTCTTAGAGAGTAGTACTTTCAGGAATTTAGCGAATAACTAGTCCGATTTCGTAAGTATTCTCTAACCTTCTCAGGGCTTCAAGTTCAAATACGGAAGACAGAGTATGTGTTACTTTTGTTTTACTCTTTTTTCAAGGGCGACATCAGTAGCTGAAATGATATATGTACATATACACCTGAAGAATGAGGGATTGAATACATCTAGTAGCAGAGAGCCATGGGGTCACAATGAAGACTGTAGTACTGGGAAGCAAAGGGCCGTAGATTGGTTTTCGCCCAAGCGCCGATCAGGATAGAAGACTTCCATGATTAAAACTATCGCGCGCCGTCGTTGTCGATGGCCTCATCCAGGAGCGGGTGGGTGCTATTCCAAGTAATTGAGACGTTGGCGGCCTCGAGATTTCTCCGGTAGGTCCCTTATTCTCCCGAGCCTGTTTTTTCCCTGAAAGGAAAAGATATTCAGCAGCGCAGATAAGAAGTCCCAGATGCATGGGATTCGACCTATGAAGGTAGGATTTTCAATGACCTCGTCCCACTGGATTGGAACTAGACCTCACCAGGACCCGCAGGTGACCCAGTCATTGCAAAAGCCTGTTCTTGGCGGGTATTCAGGTCCACTACCCGAGGTCGTCTTTAGGGCTTACGTATAATGGAATTGAACTCACGTATGCTTTTTTATATATGTATTTGTATGTATATACATGTATGCTGAAGGTAAAATAATTTGAGGTATTGGTCTTTTTTTTTTTTTTTTTTTTTTTGGCTCTGAGTCAGCTATTATCATGATTTAGCTAATATAGTAGTCCAGATATTAGAGCTTTCAGGGTGACAAGTTGGTATGGGACCCGGAGATGGCCGCTACAGATATTGCCCCGAAAGGCTTTGGTTCCAAGGACTCCACATCCCGCATTCCGGAGCGAAACTCCCAACTTGCCGGCGTTAGTCACAGCCACTTGTACGCTAAAACCAGAACCCATGCCGAGACCTTGCAGTCCGCGTATCAATGCTCCATATGATAATGCCTTTGACTGTACATGTCTGGATTATGGTCTTCGCCAAGGCGATCTCAACGTCGCCGGATTTGTGTTAACATTCGAACATTTCCGACTCTGAAATTGTGAACTGATCACATTCGCAATCATTGGGCGCGTGAAGAAGACCGTATTAAACCCTATGGCCGAAAACACATGTCGCGGTGATAAAGCCTGGACGGACCTGGCTTGCGTAATATGCTGGCAAGGGAGAACATATAAATAAGTTGGAATGATCTGGATATGTCATGGAGGCTCATTATTATCAATCCATTTTTCTTCAGCACATCTCCTCTCGAGTGACTTGTGTCACAAATTAATATTCATCTTGGTCCGAATTACACCTATCGTACTTTCCGGTTTGGCTATCTTCGGCTCAGCTTTTGCCCACCCTGGACCTGGGCACGACGTGAAGGCCGAAGCTGCTGAGCGAGCCGCATTTATGAAGCGCACCCCAGTCGAAAAGCGAAGTCTCGGACACTGCGCCGACACTCTCAAAACCCGTGGCCATGTCACTCGCAGTGTTGAACGTCGTAACAAGACTGTCCAACACCTTCGCCGCAGCCTCGGACTTTCTACGGCTATGTTGTTGTACATTAAGATGCATTACTCGCTAACATTAATTACTCTCGTTAGCCACATCGCCTAAAGGGCGCTCGTTCGTGTCTGCGCTGAATGAGTCCCATTACTCTGATTTTGAGGGAATAACGCAATACTACAACCCTGATTACTTTTTCAAAACCGAGCCCACCTGTGTCTTAGCTGAAGACACAACGGAGGGTCCTTACTGTAGGTTTGATGCATATTTTCCTTCTTAAAAATAGCGTGTGCTTACGAAAAGAAGATGTCTCTGGCGAATACGTGCGTCAAAATATCGCCGAGGACCAACAAGGTGTTCCCTTGTGGTTAGATATCCAGATCATCGAATCCAATACGTGCGAGCCTGAACCTCAAGTCTTTATGGATATCTGGCATTGCAACGCCACGGTGAGTGGTTTACAGCCCTTGAAACCCCAAGGAGAGTGAAGATTCTAAATCAATAGGGTGTTTACTCTGGCGTTGAAGCCAGCACCAATGGTAATGGTGGTGACGAGAATCTGGACACCACATTCCTGCGAGGAATCCAGAAGTCGGATGAGAATGGGGTTGTGACATTCCAATCTATCTTCTCTGGACACTACACCGGCCGCGCAACCCATATCCACGGTACCTGCGGCCCTTAGCGTTTTTGTATTTCCAACGGCCAGTAATCGTGTTGTATTATAAGCATCCCGTTCACTCAAAGAACGGGGACCACTCCGATATCTAAACAGAATCTAGATAGAAAAAAGAGCCTTTCCCATATCCCCAGAAGACTGTAATCTGTAAATAACAATAACTAAAGAATCTCAGAAAGGTTGAAGAACTACGTTTAATTGAATTCATTGGTATAGGTCATTGTCTACGAACTGGATAAAGACGACTACCCTGTTTCATTGAGTTTGCGTACAAGCTCGATATTTTGTTTGGGGTGTTCAGGGGTTATGACATTTGCTCCTGTATTTCCGTGCAACAGATTTGCTGTTGCATCAATCGAAAGAGATTGTGTGATATATATCATCCTTTCCGAGTTGCAAAGAAGTCTCACACCCGCATTTGTCAAATAGGGCTCCGCAAGAAGTAGGCTAGCTCCCATACTTGGTAGACGCTCAGCAGTAGAGAATCGTAGATGAGAATCTGTAGGGTAGGATATGAGGCGGGAGTGAAGGGAAACAATGGAGCTGTGGTTCGGCTTTCCTGAGACCCAATGACAGATCGGCATCAACAGTGTACCTTCTTTCTCTGGACTCTGGCTACAAACTAACTGAGTTTATGCCATAATCCTGACTAATATGTTGTAAATGGAGACTGGGCTTATACGATCAACGTTCTACTAAAATCTGTAAATCGCGATCAGTAGATTGCCAACAACAATCTGGATTGGAATTTCATACTATATCCATGCGAGAGGAAGGAAGATGAAACTAGGAATTATAGAACGCCTTAGCATTGCCCCAAGTGTTGAGGCTCGTTGTCCAGACATTGAAAGAATACGGGTCATTTCGAGAAGCTCTTATGCCGAATGGCATGCTTATACTCTACCATTTATACCTCAGGCGGGCGCATTTCACAATTCTACCGTGAACGCCATTCCAGAAGACGCACAACGCAAGCAAAATTTAAAATATATTTAAAGGGTCGTGTTAGACCGACACCCCCACGTGAATTTCCTTTTTTGGCTGTATTATAGGGCTCTTATCATAGGGTAAGCTGTATATTCGCCACTAAGTGCGTATGCTGAATATTGTATGTTGCTATCGCCGTCACCGTCATTATTACTGCAGCACATTGCTGTATACAGTAATAATAGCTTCATGAAATGGCTATCTTCAAGGCTATGGGAGCGACGATCCTTCCAACGAGCAGTGGAATGAACAATTCGAAAAAGAGAAATTGAATGAGCAACTTCATGATCGTATCCCTCTTTCCTCCTGACTACAAATTCAACAATTCGATTCATATGATGAAGTCATTGAAATCCTCAACGCTCATGGACGTAATTCTAGCTATGCAGTCAATAAAAAGCGTGTTAAAAAGGTCAAATCTGGCTCCCATATAAAGAATGTATGGATTAAATGTGACTGAGGAAATCGATATGATGTCGTCTTGAAGAAGGCCAGCGAAAACGCAACTAACTGACCATTTAAGATCATTACAAGGCTTCATGATAATGATCTTTGACGTGTTAAATTAAAGAATATGTCAACCGTATGTGACCGCTAGTCATATAGGAGACCTTCCTATTCCGGACATCGGTATTGGTAACTACCGATCCCCAAGGATTATGCAGATTTTTCTGTTATTTCCATAATTCAAAAGTTATGTCTCTTCTAGCTGCCTTTTTAGGCTAGATTGCATATTATTCTTTATGTATTTAAACTACCATTTTGCAGCTAGATTGAAAGAATCAGACCTTCATCATTCGATATTCCCACGGGTACATTACTAGCAATTACGCCTAGAGAGACGGTCAACAGAATACCGTTATAATCATAATCTATCCCCTGCTACGATTCATGTCACTATTCGCCGCCAGGAAGTAGCTGAGAATTCTGTACAGATTAAAGCTTAACTTTAAATTAGTCTTCCAACACGTCATATTATTGCTTCTCTGCAGCAAATTGGTACTACTAGCATTATCGACAGAGATATCCATAATCTCTACCACCGGGTACGACAGGAATTTTTAGAAAGTAAGACGCCAATTCAGTGCTTACTACTTGCTCTTCCAGCAAGCAGGGATTGAATTTTCAACTACCAGAAAGATAAAGATGATATTGTTGAAATTGTATTTATTATTCATAAAAGCTGCATTGAACTGCTACGTATGAATTATAGAGTCCTTTTTATGAATTCAAACTACAAAACGAATCGATACTAGATGCCTTTGCTGGATATAGTTGGGATGACAGCAACAAGGGATACTTTCTACGCAGCATTTGGCTTTATGCATAACAAGACTGAGGATACGTATCTGATACGCTATTGCATTATGACTGTAACTATTCTCTAGTAATCGTTACTGACATAAAAAAAGGCCTATAAAACGCGATTGAGAAGGAATTCAACTTCACAGGTCATAATCTCTGTATTTAGCATATCCAGAAAGTCTTCATGACTAAATGTCACCCAATTCTTCGAAAGGGAGTTATCCAGATTGAATATAAAGGTGTAAGTTGCCGTGCCCTAAATAATAAAGAGTTCGGCAACAAGGTAGAGAACAAATAGAAGTCTTTTTTTTTTGGCTTTTTTATGCAGATTGTTAACTCCATTTCAGAGGAAGAGATCATTGTCACAACTGCTAATCTCAAAGCAGAGTATAGTGGCGATATTTGGCAGCTAATTTATACTTATTTAGATGAGAACTAGCTTGAAGAGAATACGACAAACGATTCATTAAATTTTACACAAATGAATTCTGTCATTTTGGACAGGAAGTAACTTCACGGAATGAAAACGCTCACTGGGTACTAAAGAAGGACATTTTAGGCACTGCACAATCTATCGCTCTTACTATTACTGATCGCTATCGCAAGGTGTAGAGTTCTATTCAAGATGGTTATCAGAAACGCCCCTATTATCTACGGATACCTATCTTCTTGCAGATGTTGAATAAGGTCTCTTCAAAAGCACTGAATAGAGTATACACGATAATGATTCGCTATCTTCCAGTAGGGGGCCGGGTAAGCAACCAATTGAGGAATGCACAGGTGTGACGTTGAAGACTATGGGTCTACCGTGTATCCATATCATCAAGCGTTACTACGATAGGAAAAAGCCTATAAGGATTGCTGAGTTTGACTGCCAGTGGCGTCTTTATACGGATGAGCATCTCCCACCTATTGACCTAAGATCGCTAGTTCTTGAGCCGCGAGTTGTAGAGCGTCGTCGTGGGCGTTCGGCCAGATTAGGAAACCGAGCAACAGAAACAGAGGCAGAGATAAAAATAATACAGAATACAGCTACTTAGGATTTATCTATACTGCGAGAACTATTTGCGTTTGAATACGAATTATCTCAAGAACAACCAGTCAGACGCCGAAAACGGAATAATCAGGGAAGACAAGGACGTAGAAGACGCGGAAGATAGGGCCTTAGAGGTAGAGGAAACTCTACTGAAACGATTAAAGTTAGTAAAGACGATAGAAACAGCGATAACGAGAATGAGGTACCAACCAGTGAAGAGAACGGGGAAACCAGCGAGGAAGAAGAAGTTAAGCTACCACGATACAGTCAGCGAGCTGGCCGTAGCAAGATAGCGCAGTGGTTAGAGGACAAGAACTGACAGAATTTGAATTCTGAATAGAGGCCTGTGATTGGTTAATAAATGCAGCGTTTTTTGTACGATTAAAAGAATGATAAATGTCCTGTTCAAACAATTATACTAATTGTGATGAGATATAATTAGCTCGGAGGTCGGGAACAACGTTACCGGTAATCCGTCCGAGGCTCATATTTTGCAGAGGCCACGATCCTCTTCAACACTTAAGCACTCAAGTATCTCTGTACTCTAGGCTACGTTTTAGATAGAGTATTACTCCATTCATTTGCATTTTCCTTATGGCTTAGGCCTCGTACAGCTCGGACCGATCGAACTCCTCCATCCCCCTGAGTTTTCCCACTTCAAAGTGCCAAATTTCCATATCACATGGCCACGCTAAACCGAATAGGAAATGGGGGTGTCGGTCTAACACGACCCTATAGATACTTCCCTACTATAACATCTCACATCGGCATGTCCAACACCTCATCCCTCGACCAATACTTCTGTATCTTCTCAGCACCAAGTTCCCGTACCTCGGCATCCAGATGCACCCACAAGATTGAATGGAATTTAACTAAAATACTCTTCATCTCATTCCACTGGAAGCCCCTACTTCCCTGCAAGATTGCGTCACAGTAAGCTGATAGACTCTCAAGACCATTATGAATGGCCTCATGTTGGGCTACCAGATGGGAAGCGCTAGAACGAATAAATCGAACTTCTTCAATTGTATGGTGTATTGTGAGTCGCTCACAGAATCCAAGGCAGAGCTGTAAATACGATCGAAGAGACATGTTTGTCGGCCGGGAGAAGTTGATGGCAGCCATTTGCATCAAGCCCCTTTGCATTCGAAAGTTCTCGTGCTTTTTTCACCAAGGTATTAGCGGGGTGGTGACGTGTAGAGAAAACCCTCTGTGTTGTTCTTACCAAACCATCCATCCTGTCTGCCATGCGATTATATATACGGAATTCTGCCGGATTCATTGGTGATACGATGGGCGCCATGTCGATTCTGCGCAATGATGACGAAGCTGCTAATGATAGAGAAATATATTTCATGGGAACGTGATAGCTGATCTCCTACCGCCACGGACCGTATTTCAAATCATCGAAAATCCCCGGCTCGTGTATGTTGTATTCAGTAAGCTGGACAGGAGCTCGGCTTTCCGATAAGCCGAGATTATGCAATGCGAGTACCGGATATTAGGTTCCTTTAACGATTTAACACCGGAGTAAAGTCACTACAGTGTCTATATAACCCAATACCAATCGTGAGACAACTGATATATAAAATTATTTTTTGATATCGGTGGTCTATCTATTAGTATCAATTCAATCACTTGGTAGGCGCTCTATGGCAAAGTCAGGGGGCGTCATGAAGTTAGAAAGCAAAAGCCCCAGTCGAACATACACACCATCCACACTAAAAATCATTCGGCGACAGCAAAAGGAGCCTACGTGGCGAGTATCTAGTCACAAAGGATCTGACCCCGACGTGCTCGAGGATTTAAGTCGAAGAGAAGCTGAAATGTCGAGCAAGATACGCTGGTTACAAAGGCAAGTGATTGCTCGTCGCTCAGAGTAAGCTTTCCCGCTAGTTTATCTTAGGACTTGTTAATTAACTTCTGTTTCTTCAGGCACTCAAAGTACATGGAAATTCTGAATATGTTCCCACCCGTTGGGTTTTCTTCAGATGTATGTTGGACAATAATGGGAGAAATGTTCGGGAGAATATGTCGTTGGCTTGATGAAATGCCCCCCTGATTGACATAGGCCCCAAAAATAACATCTAGTATGTGGTGAATCTATCTGTGCGCTTAGAGGTGGCGCTACGAACTAGAATCTGGGGATGCAAGACGTATGCCCTTTTAGGATTTGTGTTTTCTAGAGATACTGTTATGGAAGCAATTTGAGTACACAGGCCAATGTCACGCAACAAAAAGCGTCGACGGATACGCAGAGTGGAATAGGATTTATTGTTTGGCTCGTAGTGATGGAGATTTTGAGTTGCCCCCAGGGCTCGGTGTGCTGAAAGGGCGAGATAGAGTAATAGAGTAACTCCAGAATGGCGTGAACCCAGCTTTTGTCACTACAATGCTCATTCCCATCGATTCTCCTGATAGAGCCCCAATTTTGAACACTGAATCACTTAGCTGGCCTTGGGGGAGCAGTTAACGGTTATGTATGTGGTTCTACAAAATGTAGTCTAATTATGAAGGTGGGCGTCGTACAGCGTTCTATATAACAATGAAAACAAACTTCTATAGCATTGAATGTGATTAAAGTTTGATATTGGTATCAAATTAGCTATGTCATTTGACTGATGTAACATAATTACTCAGAGCCAGAGGTGCTTCACAGCCAGTATATACATCTGGGAAGTCGCCAGCTACTTCGATAATCTCCGCATTCTGTCTTCCCGGAGATAATCAGCAACCCTTGTCCACTGGAGACCTGGGTATCTATCGTTATCCAGCGGCTCTAGTTTGGCCACCCCCGAAAACATGTTCGCCATGTATTGCATCCTCTGCCAGGACGGAAAGATGTCGTTTTCGCCGCCAAACGCCCGGAGAACTCGGATCATGACCTCCAAGAACCCCACGGACCCCATCCACGACGGCTGATACTGCTTTCCCTCCAATGCCTCCAGGGCGGCGGCAATGTCCTGAACACTGACGACATCACCCGCGATGCGGAGGAAACGTGGAGTGGGATTGGGATCCGCTGCCACGGCAGCCGTGTAGGCCGCGGTATCTTGGATAGTGGTTAGATCTAGCGACTGCGTCGCCTTGCCGACGTAGACGACCTTCCCCTTCTTGTGATTGATCATCGGCGAGTCACCGCCCAGCAGATCCATGAATCCGCCATTTAGGATGCTGGTCCAGACAATGCCCGAGCGCTCGAGTTGGGCATGGAACTCCCGTCGCAGATCCAGATTGCGGTTTGAACCCGGAGTTGTTTTAGTGAAGTCGAGAGAGAAGTCTGATGGGATGAACCGAGGGACTTTGGCGGCGACGGCGGCGTCAAGCAGATTGGTCTGCACATTGTAGATTACATCACGTAGGCCTTGGAGTGTGGAAACAACGCAGGTTGCCCCGTTAAGCTCGCGAGTGAGAGCAGCGACGTCGGAGAAATTGACAGGCACGATGGATACTTTTCGATCATGAAGCGACTGGGTGCGTGCGTGGTCTGTCCGCGGACGGACAAGGGCTTTCACTGGGACCCCTCGGCGTGTCAAATTCTTTGCAACCTGCTGACCAAGAATACCTGTGGCGCCTGCAATGGCGACGAAGGATGACGCCATTAACTGCTGTTGTGTTGATACTAGCTTCAGCAATGATGGTTATTGTTTTTGGAGTCGAGGTGCTGCATGAGAGAATCCAGACCGCATAGATAACAGACAATGTTTCCAGAGAGCCATGACTTAAATACCGTTGCATTATGGCATTACTATTGTAGCGACTAATAAGTGAAAAGACAGTTTCTCTAAAGTAGATTACTAATTGTTCGGCCTATCGGGGTTGAAGTAAGCCCGAATGGCTAATCAATCCTGTACACAAACCAAGAATTTAGAATGATCAGCATTCATAATTTACTATTCATCTTGCTTTGCAGGATGAATACTTTGATTATTGTTAATGCACGAAACGCAATGAACCATTCACGAAGCTGCTCGTCCCGACCACTCCGGACTACCCCACTCCGTATTCCGACCATTCTTAATTCCTGACATCAGATCTCATTACCCCTTCTTCACACACCCTTCGCAATTTCCCATAAATACCCACTTATAGTTAGCCTATATCAATCTGTCCGTCAAAATTTTTTCGTGGCCTCTTTTCGGCCGCTGCGGCTGTCAAACCCACTTTACCCATCGTAGTGTGCGGCAAGAGCCCCGAAGTAAGCTCGGCCGTCGCTACGGCATTGCAGCCAGACTATAAGGGTAAGTTCTGAGCGTGGCTAACTCATATTATTATTGCACTCTATTCAGCCTGTTAAAAACCAATTATTGCTACAGTGGCCCACTCCATCTAATCTCCAGCAGCCGGGGTTTGCGACCTTCCCCGCCTCCTCCAGCGTGGCACCGGTCCGACAGAGCAAGAAAACCCCCCGGTAGCTGTTCTAATTGGCGGTGGATATACCGATGAGGATATGAAAGCATTGCAGACTGCCTGTCACGATACGCCACCTGTCGTTTGGCTCAAGGTACGACCAGCGGATATGTCGGGTCCACTACCTCCATTTGCGGAATACGGAGCGAAGGTTGGGCAAAAAGCTAAGAATTTTCTGAATCAGTTGCGGTCAACGGGGGAACTGGGGAAGGGGCAGACGTGTTATTTGTAGTTAATTGATTAATAAATTCATTGAAATCCTTTACATCTATTGGAATGACTAGCTATGTAGGCAGGCCCTTTGACTTTGGTGTCGAATGCTCAAATTCGGGATCTAAATGCGTAGTTTGCAGCTGATCACGGTGTTATTGCAAAAGACATATGCATCAATTAAAGTCATCCCGATTGGTAGGATATTATCAGACAAGTAGCATGTAAAATCGCAATAGTTAACTATAATCACGTAGTTCCCTCGATGTGTCTACGGTTTTAAATGGGGTCTGGACGCCCATGCGACGCGTGTGTTACTGACTGTCTACATGATTCAACATATTAAAGTCCGTTTTTCAATTTATGCTGATATCATATTTCATCAGATGTGCCTGTTTAGAACTTCTCCTTGTTCTGTATCACAAACTCCTCCCATAGCGTGGGTTTTTGGTCCAGCAATTTTAGTGACGGTTCCAAAGGCTCGCCCGCAAAGTATTCCGGGTCTTCCAGCAACTGGATATTTTCCAGCATGTCCTGCGCCACGGGTTCAGGAAGGAAAGACTTGAATGTCTCCGGCGGGATCTGCACCGCCTGCGCCTTGTAGCCGGTGACCTTTTGGAACTCGTCCACGATTCTCTTCGGCGTGTAATAGTCGGTGGCGGCGAGGATACGTTGTCCGGCGGTCGACGGCCAATTAGCTAAAGCAGCTTTCACGAACTTGCCTATATTGTTTAAATGATTAGTATAGTTTTAAAGCCGATGACACAGAAAAGAAGGACATACCAGTATCCTGTGCCGCATCAAAGAGCGGAGCGCGGGCTTTCTCCAAGTTGACCGGCCACGCAAGCGTATAAGTGTCACCCTGCTTGTTGAAAAAATCAAAGAAGTTGGACATGAACAGCCCGGGCAGGACAAAGGTGGACGAGATGCCACTGGCGCGGATATAATCCTCAATCTCGGCCTTGCCATCGAAGTGCGTCACGTTCGGCAGACGGCCGTTGCTGATCTCGGTCACATTCCGCAACGAGGAAAAGATGAGGTGCTTCACCCCTGCTTGCTTATATGCCTCCGTTACTGCCTTGCCCTGAGATAGCTCTACCTCCTTCTTCATGGATTCCCAGAAGTTTGTCACCAGGAAGACAGTGTGGGCGCCAGACACAGCGGGGAGAGCTCCCTCGACAGTTGATATATCGGCCTAAAATGACTATGTGTTAGTTCTCCTTCGGTTAATGGTTGGTGCTGGATTTGTTACCGAAAAACATCGACTCCAGCGGCCGCCAGCTTCTGCGAGGACGACTTGCTGGGATCGTGGGTAATACCTCGGATTTTGAACTCTTTGGAGAGAACCGAATCGGCCAGGATGGCCTTGATGACCGAGTCACCCTGATTTCCGGTGGCTCCGAAGACGGTAAGAATTTTAGACATGTTTCAAATGTTTGTGAAGACACTGTTGCACGAGGATTGCGAGTGTAGAAGTGACGAGTTCAATGGTAGTCGAGTGCAGTCCCCTGAAACTTCTTATATCTTGATGCGACCGGCGCCGTTTGCAAACAATCTCAGTAGTGGTTGATTCTAATCGAGATGACAAACTCGGTCTTAATATGCGCAAGCGCGAGCGCGAGTTAGTGATCTCATGACGTGTATTCTGGGGGTGGGTCAGTCGCGTTGTCATCGAGGATCCCCGCGAAGGTTTCCGATGGAAGATGGCTGTTCAGGGATGTTGCTGATTAGTTAACTAGATCTCGGGAGATTTACTCAGAAGTTTACCTAGTATTTCAAAGCCTCGGAGTTTCGTTGCGCGAATGAGCGACAGGGAATAACTTAATCTGATTGCACAATTGATGCATCAATGGCGGCTCCACAGCGGTATGTGCCTATCACCACCGAGGAATGTGGCTCAAGCCCCACAGCTGGTTGCAGTACCTAGGACTAGAGTGTACAGTTCATCCTTCTGGATCGCCACACGAGTGTCTGGGACATCTCACGCGCGTCGGTGAAAGCTTTCTAAAACCCCGAGTTCTGACAAAGCCGCTCGACGCTCTACTCCTCTACCCGCTCTCTCGGCCCTAATCTCAAACCCGAGGCATAAAATATTCATCATCATCACCTACAAGCTTTCTCCTTAATTATAGCCCTTCATTCCTCGAAAATGAGACCATCCAGCACCTTGTCTTTGTCGGATTTATCGATAACAAACCATCAGAATCTCCTGCATCATGAAGCCAATCAAAGTATACGGAGGCTCATTTGGCCCCAACCCATTCAAAGTCTGTGTCGTCCTCGGAGAACTCAACATTCCATATGATCCGGAGCGCATCGACTTCAGCAAGCTCAAAACCCCCCAATACGAAGCCATCAACCCTAACGGCCGGCTTCCCGCCATCTTCGACCCAAACACCGGTATCACACTTTGGGAGTCTGGCGCCATAATCGAATACCTGATCGAGAACTATGATCAGGACCACCGACTCGGCTTCCGTGTAGACTCCGAAGAAGCGCATCACGCTCGTCAATGGCTGTACTTTCAGACAACTGGCCAGGGGCCATACTACGGCCAGGCGGCCTAGTTCACGTGATACCACCCGGAGAAGGTTGACTCCGCGGTGCAGCGCTATGTCGAAGAGATGCGTCGCGTATCCGGGGTGCTCAACAAGTGGTTGGAGCACCGGGAGTGGCTTGTGGGTGAGAAAATTTCCTACGCGGACCTAGCGTTTATACCGTGGCAGAATGCCGTGAAGAATATGTTGGGCGATTATGGGTTCGACGAGATGGAGTTTCCGAACGTAAGTGCGTGGCTTGCTCGAATGAATGAAAGACCTGTCGTGAAGGAGCTCGTCGATATTCAGGAGCGCATGATTCGGGAGAGGCAGATGAAGTAAAGACCGCATTGTATACAAGCACCTTCAGCTGGGAGTCGGGTTCTTTGGGAAGGTTATAATTTTATATTATTGTTCTGTTCGAAATATGTTAGAAGAAACAGTTACAAGCTAATGAGCACCACCTCTCTTATTTGTTGTTGAGGTATGCAAGCATCTTACCTTCTCAATCCCCCTCAGAATAACAAACTCCGGACACTGTCAAGCCCGAAAGCTTTGAATAGTTATCCAATATCATAAAATTGTATAACAATACAACGAGAAATGTTCAGTAGAACAGCTATGAAATTTGATTTTATCTCCGCCCTGAGACCCCTTTTTCTTTGCTTATACTATATGGAACGCCTCATATAAAACCACATAAGGGAATATGTGTACTATAAGGTACTGTAATAATAAACAGTGAATTCATGCCGGAAACTTTGTTAATACTCTCAGTCTCTATCCTAAAGCCACCCCAAGTCGGCAGGTTCCATGTTCAGGTCTCATGTTCAGCGAATTAGAAAGAGATTTCGTTTTGGGGAGGGGTCTTAAATTCTTTTGTTGAAAGGTTGCTCAAGCACCTCCACGGGACTTCCCATTATCTTAGCGGAGGCCTCCGGTAGATAGGACCTACAGGGGTCAGACGTACAAGGATCCTCCTCTAGATGAATACCACCCATGTTGCATTTCATCAACATCTTTAGTCAAAATTATCTGCTACCTAGCTTTATTGTGGATAACTTGTCTACGAGATATCCAATGATACCAAAATTAAATACCCAAAAATAAAGCCCAGAATATAGCTTTGTCGCCGAAGAGTCAAAACAAATCCGGTCATTGGCTCAAATTCTCGAAACGCTAACCGCCAAATATCCATGACCATGGGCCCACGCTTTCCCTCGGTATGTAGACACTAGGAGATCTCCGAGAAAAGCCTTCCCAACTAGCACTAGAAATGGCAAGTAACCTGCAGCTCGATATATCTATCACACCGATAAGTCAAACCTACCCTGCCATCACGGAAATCCAGAACCCGATCCTACCTACCCTTCCACAAATAGCCATACCCCGGGGAATGGATCATCCAATAACCAAACCGTTTTTCATAGACGTCAGCACTAAAAGCGGATACGCTAGCAATGCAGGTCAACTCAGATGCTATTGGTGACCGACATTGCGTTACGGAATAGTTACTAGGTTCTCCAAGATCCCGAGAGAAAGTGCGAGTGGGTCAATCTCGGACAGAGTTGGAACCCTGCACAGTACATGCGCTCCGTACTGCAATGGGGTTAGAAGAGAGGGGTATGCTGCACATTAACTGTTGAATTTAGATGTAGATATTGCGCAAGAACGCCATTCTATGGAGGCGGCTGCTATTACTGGTCAAGGAGGAATCCACTTTCACCCGAGCTATCACCGAAATCAATGGCGTATCTCCGTAGCATCAGTCGATAGGTTCGGGGGTTGGTTGTGAATGATGGCATGAAAGAAGAGAGCCATGGGTAAAGTGGGAACAAAAAAATATTTAGGGCAGTTGACGGAGCGGAAACGTTTCATTTCATTGCTTTAACTGAATATCATTTTATACTAATTCGGCTGTCGCTCTGAGCGATCATGTAATCCCTACGCTAACATTATAAAGCAACCAACAGTATTACGAATCACCAATAGAAAACGAGATCGCAGGGGAAGAAAGGGGATTTTTCAAAGAATATATATTGCAGTTTAATCTTGATCCTGTCATATAAGTATGCCATTATGGCCGTGTCATACCTTGTCATAATTTATCCTTGTGCCCGAGCCCCAATTCACCTCAGCTTCAGTAAAATTTTGTGATATTGCACCCCAACAGTAGGACGATCGTTCCCCCAAAATCAAATCAACTTTACACCCACCCAGCTCCTTCAAAATGTCACCTCGAACTCGCACCGCCATGCAAATTGTCGGTCCCGGTGACGCCGAACTTCGCTCCGAGGTCACCTACCCCCGACTCCGCGATGAATACATCATCGCCAAGACGAGGGCCTTTGCTCTGAATGCCACTGATAACAACCATATAGATGGCGTCGGAGGCCCCGGGACGATCGTCGGCTGTGACTGGTCCGGGGTCGTCTTGGAGGTCGGAAAGTCCGTCACGCGGTTCAAACCCGGGGATGAGGTGTACGGCGTTTGTCATGGAGGTAGGGCCAATTGACCCTTTCAGGAGTCTCACTGCAGGGATATCTACCTACCCCGAATACGGTTGATTGATGAACAATGTAGGTAATAGAGTCGAGCCCGAAGACGGCGCCTTCTCCGACATAGTCACCTGCAAGGAACACACTACCTTCCACAAGCCAACCCATCTAAGCTTCGAGGAGGCGGCATCCTTGGCTGTTGGGCTCGTGACTGTTGGCCAGGCTCTCTATAAGAACATGGACTTGACCTGGCCGTCGATCAGCTCGACTGCAAACCCGAGCTCAGATCCTACTGAGGCGCCTAGCCCGGGCCCTTCGATATTGATCTACGGCGCTAGTTCGGCGACAGGGACGATTGCGATCCAGATAGCCAAGTTGTACGTTCTACGAGGACATAGCACCTTCTTTCCCCATTTCCCTTTCCATCCCCACTTATGTTTCCCCTCAATCTACAAACATATTGAGTTAGCCCCATCATTAGGTCTGGCTACACTGTGCACGCCACCTGCTCACCCGCCAACAACGCCGTCGTCGCCTCCCGCGGAGCAGACTACATCTACGACTACAACAACCCGGAAATTCTATCGAGCATTATCGCCAAATCCGCCACCACTCCCATTCGTTACATCCTCGATTGCATAGGCGACGACTTCACCGGCACGTACTGCAGCAAGGTTCTCCGTGCGACCGGCGGCCACTACCATTCCGTCAGATGGCCCCTATCGGCCCCCTTCAAGGAGCTGCGGCCCGAGGAAAGCGCAAAAGCCACCTCTGCGTTGGGGTATGCGATGCTGGGTGAGCGGTTCGAGTTCCCCGAGGGACTGGTTTTCGAGGCAGATGCGGAGGAAGAGGCGTTTGGGAAGCGGTGGGGGAAGGTTGCTGAGGAGTTGGTGAGTAGGGGTCTTGTGAGACCGCATGAGGTGGATGTTAGGGGTGGTGGGCTACGGGGTGCTTTGGAGGGGTTGCAGGAGTTGAGAAGGGGATGTGTAAGAGGGAAGAAGCTTATTTATTCTATCTGAAGGGCTGTCGAGAGGTTGTGGGGATTTTTAGGATGGGGAATTTGGGATAGGTAGGACTTTTGGAGAGTGCCTGACAGTCTGAGGGCATTCGGGTGGAGTATATACTGTCACCGCGGGAATATGCACTAGAATAGCTCTTCGCTAAAGGGGGTTAATCCTTTTTAGTGCAGTGGTAAAATGCAACAAGAACTCAGGGCACACATATCCTTCTTTTTTGTGAAGGAATGGAATGAGGATATCACCAAAATAGCCTATGAATCTAAATCAAAAGAGACTAAGTAGCTGCAATTAGAGTATCGACAAATATGCTAGAAATGGTAACTAGTTACATAACGGCATGAGAAACCACGATAAGATGGCAAAATAAACTGCAACCATCAAAATCTGCATCCGTACAACCAATCAACACCCCCAAAGTCCCCGTGCCAGCAGTAGAAACGGGGGAGAAAGCGGCGATCCGGCCAATATGCCGCCACCTCCAGCCCTTATCACGACATCCCCAGCAAATGAACGCGGGCCGAGCGTGCTAATCTGGAGAATCTCATCCCACCCGTTCTTGCGCCATCGTGAACGATGCGTGAAAACTAGAATGCCCTGCAACCGGGTATCCCAAAATTCTGTTCCTGTTCATTTCCTCTTTTTGGTCGCTCTTCCATTTTATACTTCCCCATGCAATGTCGACCCGACTCAAAAATGGACTCACATTCCAAAGTCGCTTCACGGCGGACGAGGAGAATACGACCCGGGGATCGGGGGTTTCGAATGATGGTTCGGAGGAGCCGCTGAAGAGGAAACTGCAGTCGCGACACCTGCAAATGATCGCAATTGGGGGTGAGCCACCTGAAAAAAAAATATCCCTTCCGATCGGTCGCTAACCGACGCAGGGATTATCGGACCGGGATTGCTGGTCGGTTCCGGAAATGCGCTCAACAAAGGTGGCCCGGCAGGATGCTTGATCAGCTTTGCCTTGGTCGGCATCATTGTGTTTTTTGTCATGTAAGCGGCCCGACCTGGGCGATGATACTCTCGGCTGACCGAACAGGCAATCGTTGGGAGAAATGGCCACCGCCATTCCCGTGTCGGGTTCCTTCACCGAATATGCGCAACGCTTTGTAGATGACTCGCTTGCTTTCGCCTTGGGATGGGCGTATTGGTATTTATGGGTGACGGTATGTTAGGGATACGACGCCCATTCTCGAGCTATACTGACTTTGCAGATCCTTGCAAATGAGTATAATGCCATCTCTCTGGTAATCGGGTTTTGGACCGATGCAGTTCCGCAATGGGGCTGGATTCTCATCTTCTGGTTCTTGTTTCTCGGTCTGTCAAACCTGGGTGTTCTGGCATACGGCGAAATGGAATTTTGGTTGTCACTGTGAGTGCCACTTTATCCGCCGTCATCATCAATACTGACCCCGACAGAATCAAAGTTTTGGCGCTTATTGCTTTCTTCATCCTTGCCATTTGCATCAGCACGGGAGGTGTGGGCCCTGGACCTATTGGATTCAAATACTGGCGTGATCCTGGGGCATTCGCAGATTCCATCAACGGCGTTGCGAAGACCTTTGTCGTTGCAGGAACACTGTATGCGGGGACGGAAATGTGAGCTTTTGTCCCACAATCGATTGGATTTTTCTGACCAGAACAGGGTCGGAGTCACTGCCGGAGAGTCGTCAAACCCACAGAAGGCTGTTCCCACCGCTATTAAACAGGTCTTTTGGCGGATTCTGATTTTCTATATCGGTGCGTAGCCAAGATACCACCAGGCGACCAGATACTGAAACGATATAGGCACTATGTTCTTTATCGGAATCCTCCTCCCATACAGCGACGAGCGATTGTTAGGCTCGAGCTCAGACGCAGCCAGCTCACCCTTAACCATTGCGCTCAAAGATGCCGGCATTCTCCCCGCGGCTCACCTGATCAATGCCCTGATCGTTGTCAGTGTCATTTCTGCCGGAATCGGCTCCTTATATGCCGCGTCGCGAACTATGGTCTTCATGGCGCGCAATGGCAAAGCTCCGCGATTCATCGGTCGCACTAATGCTGCTGGTGTACCCTGGGTAGCATTAATCTTCACCAACATCTTCACCTGCATCGTGTTTCTCACTCTATCGTCGGGCGCCAGCAAGGTCTTCACGGCCTTGATTACCCTATCGGGTGGTAAGTTCTTCTTTTGGGTCTATATTTCTCGCATGACTAATCGCATCAAGTATCAACCTTCATCGTCTGGTCTGTCATATGCCTGGCGCATATCCGATTCCGCAAGGCGATGGCGGTGCAAGGAGATGATCCCGCTCGGCTGCCCTTCCGCGCGGCGTTCTATCCTTATGGCACGTACCTTGCGCTGGCGGGCAACATCTTTTTGGTTTTCTTTCAGGGATATACGGCATTTTTGAACCCTTTCAGCGCGGATGATTTTGTCGTCAATTATATCTTGCTTCCCGTATTCGTTCTATTCGCCGTGGTCTACAAGTTCTGGAACAAGACAAAGATAGTCAAGTTGGAGGAGATGGACATTTGGACTGGAAGAAGGGAGCTGGTGGACGAAGGAGAGTTTGGAAAGGCCAGAACGTGGAGGTCAAGGTTCAAGGATGTCGTTGTGGGATAAGCTGTTGATAGATTGATAGATATAGAATCTCGCTGCGATGAATTTGATGAAGAGCCGTCTGATGGATACATAGGACGATAGGGAAGATGCTACAGACATAAACAAACTAAGCCTATGGAGTCAAGTGCTGTAGATTGTGGCCTTAAAGGCATTAAGGCTCGACCATTGATTAAGGCAGAAAAAGCCAGAAGCACCTGACCCGTCAAGCCCTGAAGAGGACTCGATGCCTATAACATAGTTCAAAGAAATGCACTACTATCTTACGCCATCCATAACCTCTACTATCATTACGACTACTTCTACAATCTCTATCGTTTATATAGCGTCATGCAGAGGTCCTCACCTTGTATAAAGGGTTTGTCTTCCAGGTGCGTTGTTCGGGTCAAGCGTTTGGGTATACTTCCATGATGACATTTTCGCTGCAGTTCTTGTCCTAAACTTTCTCGGAGGAATTCTCGTTTCTATGCGATCGCGATCGACAAAACGATCGTCGATCTCAACGGTACCTACAGCGATCTGTCCTTTCCCTCGAAAACATTCCTCAATGCAAAAGAATATCGTCAGCCAGGGAGAGTAACGACTTCACTTGCGTTATTGATCCTCCATCACGTAGAAAGAATTTTGCCTCTTTCATATTCCCTTTGCGGCTTCGAACTCGAGAAGATTCTTGACAACGACAAGCGGAAATACACACCACCCTTCCATGTGCATCATGTCTTTCCTAGGCAATGCGACTAACAAACCCATCCAGTAACGTCGCCTTCAGAATTTTAAACACCATTCAAACCAATATCATATATTAACTTGACATACCGCGCGTTCCCGAGTGGAGGGAAAGCGCGAGAAAGACGGCAGAGACGGTATCATAGCAGTGCGATGGCGTTCTCACGAGGCATTCAGGCTGTCTGGCTGGCTAAATATATGCACAGGAGGCCTTCGATGCATTATCACCTCGAGAAATAAATGAAAGAGGCGGAGCAGATGGCGACAATCCGACAGTTTTCATTGACTACGGAGCAATGTATGAGCTGTACGGTGGAGGGTGAGGACCGGGCCGCGTGCGGATTCCGACGGGGGAGAGGCCGAGGGTGGGGTGGATTCAGATAATCAGATTGCGCATATCATTGGCGGTCGGAGAACACCTACGGGATGCCCTGAATGCCAGTTGAAAAAGCGACTGCGAAAACATGTTCAATTACACTCACTCGGTTGGTTCTGCGTCTCGGATGGATTTCGAATCTATCCACTTTCTCTATGTCCTCGCCTCCTTACTTATTCTACTAAACATGTAAGGCAGGTCGGCAAAGACAGACAATAAAGTAGCGCTATGTCTGTCTCCCCGCAATTCCAAACCATCGAGATGCATCCGACAAGCACCGTGCCTGGCAGCCCGGTCGCTGATTGGAGGAGGTTGTTCCTGGCGGCCTGATAATCCGTCAACCCGCCGCCGCCGTTATCGAATAAGGGGCCCGTTGCGTCCAACGCGATCTGCATTCATTCTGCATCTGCCATCTTGGTCGCCCCCTCTCCACCAGCGATCGGCATTTCTGCTGGGACCTGCATGTCTTCTGATGGTTGACTCTGTCCAATCTGCTTATCGCTGGTCTTCACGGGGAGTTCCGATGTAACCTCAGCTATGGTAATCTTGCATGCTGTGTGACCCGGCCGGGTTGGAAATAGAGCGATGCTGTGTGAGACGTGGGCTGAGGCTGAGATGGCTATATAAAGGCCGGGTTGATGCCAGCTTCTAGATGCTTTTTCATCAGCAATTCAAGGAAAACAACCGTTAGAGTCTACGATAGCACAGCCCAGGAAGTCGTCTAAATTAGCCAAGATGATGTTCACTAAGGTATGCACCTCCCTCCCTTCCCTTCTTCCTATCTGAATCTTCAACACATAATTCAAGCCAACAATTCACCACCAAAATCCTTTAAATCCATACTAAGAGACCCATTTAGGTCCTCACCCTCACCACCCTCCTCCTCACCGGCGCCCTCGCTGCCCCTCACCCCGTGCCTGAGGTTGAGGCCCGCGCCAGCTACACCTGCGGTAGCAACTCGTACTCCTCCAGCGCCGTCAACGCCGCCAAGAACGCCGGCTACGAGCTGTACTCTGACGGCGAGACCGTCGGCAGCAACAGCTACCCCCACAAGTACAACAACTACGAGGGCTTCGACTTCCCTGTCTCTGGCACGTACCAGGAATGGCCGATCCTGAGCTCCGGTAGCATCTACAGTGGTGGCTCGCCCGGTGCTGACCGTGTCGTGTTCAACACCCAGAACCAGCTGGCTGGTGTCATCACGCATACTGGTGCTAGCGGAAACAACTTTGTTGAGTGTACTTAAGTGGGTGAATGAATATATTGGTGATTGGGATGATAAGGGAATTAGGAATAGAGATCGAAAATTCAATGATGAAAATTCTCGTTTCTTGACTTCTAGATTGTGTCATTCGGGTTTCTTCAGAGTTTTATCGACTTGTAGAACTCCGGGGACACTGTCGTAGGAGATACTCATGCGTAGGGCGATCAATACAAGGTCGTGAGCATAGCAGAGATGCCGATCTAGCAGCGACCTGCTCATCGTCGAACTTATTTATATTATGAACCGAGAAGACCAAAACAAAACACATTTCTGGTCAATGAAACATCTCTCGGCCGAGTAAGCTAAACCAGATATCCCAGGTGCTTCCATAACTCTTAAAGAAACGATTTGTATTTCTACTTCGTGCTCCATTACACAAATTTTCTAAGCATCTCAATCCAATACCCAACAAATATAAATTAAAGGAGCAATATCGTTTTCGTTAGAGAAGCTACAAGGCCTATCGTTCAACGCTACTTTAGCCTGAAAGCTTAAGATACTCACTCTATATATATCCAGAATCAGCTAGAGTCAGGTTAGCCCAGCAAGCCCAACAACCTCAGGATAATCAGATTTATGTCTCTTACTTTTATAACCTGACATTAAACATATATAATACCCAGAAGTCAATATTTCTGAGATATTCGGTCCCCATACAGCTGCGTGACGTGTCGCAAATCAGCATCCTACTCCGTACAGCTTACCCAGTACGTGTCCCCAATAAATCAAAATACTAAACCCAGCGACAGCGTTCGTAAATCTGACATATTCCAGCTCATATTCCTAATCGAAATGATTGCTCAGCCAAATAAGATGTCACGATTCCACAAAAAAGTGAACTTTGTTATCTCCGAGCGGACGGAGTCCGTTAAATCCATGTCAGCATCATCCGCCCGCCCCGGAATTACACTTATATCCGACACATAGTATTCGACATCAGAATAAAAGCTCTACGATGGTCACTTCATTCTCGATTCCATATCCAAGTTCAATCTCACTTGCTTACCGTTCATTGTTAGCTACTTGAACACCTACGCCCTCACTAAACACTACACCCCCGAAAACCAAAGAACCAAACATGCGGCTTATCCTAACAGGCGCCACCGGGCTCGTCGGGTCCGCGACTCTCAACCACATTCTGTCTCTTCCCCCAGGACAAATATCTCGATTATATATCCTCAGTCGGAGTCCCGTGCCAATGGCCGAAGGCAAGCCCAACGTGACCGTGATCGAGCACAAGGACTTCAACGAATATGGCCCCGAATTATTAGAGAAGCTGAAGGGCGCGGATGGATGTATCTGGGCACAGGGCATTTCGCAAACGCAGGTGTCGAAAGAGTAAGCTATTCATTTTGTGTCATTGTCTTCGATAAATAGTTTGGGTGAGTGGACAGGGATGCTAACGAGCCGATGCAAAAAGGGAATACGTGAAAATCACCCACGACTATCCCCTTGCGGCTGCGAAGGCCTTTTCGGGATTATCAGAGAAGTTCAACTTCGTTTATGTTTCCGGGGAAGGGGTATGTTTTCCTACCCTCGAATGGGATTGTTTAGCTTGTACGTTTGTCACCATCAGCTGATCTGACTTAACCAGGCCACCCAAACCCCAGGCTTCCTGACGCCTTTTTTCGGCGTCATCAAGGGAAAATGTGAATCGGAGCTCATAGAGCTCTCGAAAAGCTACCGCAGTTTAAAGCCCTATAGCGTGCGACCGGCATTCGTGGACCCTACCTATGACCCGCAAGTCCTGAAGCATGTATTGCAACGACCGGACCAGCAGACGCTAGCGAAGACACTGCTGCGGAATGTCGGTGGGCCACCGTTTCGGGCTTTCTTGTCCAATAGTGTCTCTCCGACGAAGGAGCTTGGGGGATATCTGACGAGGTTGGCGAGCGGGGATGGGAAGCCGTTGTCTGGAGAGGGGATTAGTGGCGGTGGGTGGATTATTTCAAATGTTGCTTTTCGGAAGGTGATGGGACTTTGAGATGTGTAAGAGGGAAGGGATCAGGAGGTATTGTTTCTTGTGTAGGTAGAGCGAAAGGCGTTGGGGTGAATTGGCTTGGATATTGCGGGAGAGTGGGTTTAGGGATCTCATATAGAGGTTGAAGACGGTAATCAATAATAATCTCAAGTATCACGTCCTTTGTGCAGAAATATAGAACCAGCAAAGAAGATGAGGTCGGTGATATGTTCACGCTAATCAAAGAATGACAAAGCTAGATACCTAGACTGAGATAAATTTCCTGGTGGATTTCTGTGGACCATTTCGATTTGCAGTGAATGGGAGGACTTCAGGTATCTTGGGGGATAAAAGAAATTAGTGAATCTTATCAGAACCTTTCAGTCATCATGAAACACACTCCCAGCAGGATTGCTCACCTTTGCATCATGGGGTATGTGTTCCTCATACCACATAAAAGAGCGAGAAGTGAAGCGTGAAAGGCGGATAAAGGCTGTGTGAGCTATTAATCTCAGCGCTCAATTAGTAGGCATAGCAATGTGGATTTGAGATGGTTGTTGGTTCATCATAGTAGGTATCAAGTGCTAGTTTACTAGATGACAAGCAGCTTGCTCCTGCCTCTGTTGTTATGCCTTCCCTGAACAAGACGTTGCCACCTGTAATGTATACTGAGAACGGAATAGATGCTTATAGGCTACACAGTGCACAGTATGAACAATCAAAAGTGCAACCCTTGAAAGCAGAGCTATTAAAAAGTTGTGAAAATGTGGCTATTGCCGCTCCCGGAGAAATAAACGAGGTTGCACAGGGTCTTGGTCTGCGACAATAGGAAACCGGGGATTATTTTCGAGCCGCCCAGGGAAGTAACCGACAAAAAGATTCTTCGAGGGCAAGTGGTCACTGAAGGTCTAATTGAAACAAAGTGTATGTTAGCAAAAAGAGCTATTCGGGTGGCCACCCGAGCATTCGATCGAAGCGACATCTCTAGACCGGAGACTTTCTTTTTCACTGCAGTCGTCAAGGCATAAGCTCGTTCGATAAGCCATATATTCGGCTCTATAATTAGAAAAGAAGAAGACAAAATTAAAGGAAATGAGTTATTGTTTGACGACTGAAGTCTGTAGGCCTCAAAAACGAGCGATTTAATTCGAACAGTCCAGCCTCATATTGACAGTTTCACTATTTGGTTTGCATTGGCGATCTTTCAGAAAGTGATACTCTTTTCTATCGCCAAGACCATGATCGAAATCGTTCCCTGAAGCGAGGAGAAATAATTCAAGGGAAAAAAGAATGTGGTCGAAGCAGTACTGTGCTGGGATTGGTGAAACAACCTGGAAAGTTTGTTGCCATAACCCAAAATTGCGACCAGCATCGAAACCACACCAAAGCAAAACACCGACCTTGGCGATAAAATATCACACCTGGTAGTGAAGAACGCACGTGAAAGCGAATATACTCTGAACACCGGAGAAAGGAACAAGGGAGGCGGGATGGCGACGTATTCAAGTCGGATGAGGACTCAATCGTCAAAGCGCTCAGCTGCATGTGTTCATTTCCCTTTCGGAGCACCTCATGCAAGTCTTACATACAGTCCGGGGCCAAGGCCGACTAGCGGAAGGTAGCCTATGCGACCATATGCATTTGAGCTAATGATTGTGTAACTGTAACCGTGGCCATGCTGATGGCCAGGGAAGCGACGCCCGTGGCGCCGAGTGCGCACGAACTAAGAGGCAGGAAAGCATAATTGCTTATTACGGACGTTGATAGCGTCCATTGACCGAATAGAGAAAGGATATGGCTGGTTGCCACCCGGTCCAGACTGATTAATCTTGCGAGAGACTGGACACAGATCATAGCTGCGCGAAATGACGAGAGCTATTCTTTAGCCTGGATAGCTGTGCTCCGTACGGCGTACACACCGGGAAGCTAGTCCGGGATGCAGGTGCATCTAGTCGCCCGGTCAGGGGTATTATCGCCACTCTTTTGCCAGGAAGATTCGGGGCACTTCTACTGGATATTGTTGAATTGCAATGGGAGGTGTTGGAGACTTAGAGAACAAAGGGCGGGCTGCCTTGCAGACTACCCACCCGGGCTCTTCCGTGGGTCCATCTGCCCTAAAACCTAAGGACAGGCACCCCACATACTTCCTTCGATGTGCTTCCTACCAGCACTCCGGAATACAATGCCTCCGGGAAAACAATGCACAGGCTTGAAAGAGTAAACAGCGGAAATTTGCTCCCGCGAGAAAAGTAGCAAAGATCACCTCACCGCGCTAACCTGTCAGGTACAGATCGGCCCACGTCACCTTCTAACCTCATTCAGCAAGACGGCCACGCCACTGAGCTCGAGCCCTCGAGTTTGCGGAAATTACTCGTGCAGGATGCGCGGAGAATAGACGGCGTCTTTTGCCACGAGCGAGGGTGGTATGTGCCAGTAGGGTGCCAGCCGAGGCAGGAAGCACCAAGGGTGTTGGAACTTGAAAGGGATGTGGCCAACAGTAAACTACGGGCCAGGAGTAACTGCTGTACTGGTAGGATTCTCGGGACCATCCTTAGTGGGGATCGAGCAAGCAAATCCAAGAAAGAACCCCGGTCAATCCGGGGAATCTTGTGAGTAAAAGCTGGTAGTCATAGAACGCATCCTGTCGTAATCCATTGGCGTGAGTGAAATGCCAAGCTAAGCGACCCTTCGGAACCATTACCGGATCGGGCTATCATCCCTTCTTCCCGGAGAGTCGCGATCGCCTCTACTCTGACCAGTGCTGAGTTCATAAAAGGGTCCCAGCTGCGCAGGCCGGATGCGCGGGATCCATGATTGGTGTCCCGTAAAATGAGCCCAGACGCAGCTACTGCGGGGTACTCGGCGTAATTTCTGGTTTTTCCTCTTTTCTCTCTCGTGTCTCAGCCGGACCCTGGGCCGGACGCTAAACTAAGAGCCTTTTGGACCAGCGTCGCTTAGGGCCTCAGCAACTCCCCCAGAGAAGGGACAAATGAGGATCCGGGGGCGGGCCGGGGTAGGGCGACAATGTTGCAGCGCTAAAATGTTGGCTCGTTGACCATCGAATTCAATTTGATTGACCCAAACAGCGATCGTTTGATTGATGGAGGGTGTTTTTCTTACTTGATCGGTTTTTTTGGGTGATGAGGGTTTTTGGGGCTTCCTCTGGTCAGGTGCCTCCCCTCGCGCATTCCAGTCAGAGACATCCCACCCTCACCGGGCCTGATGGGCCCTGGGGGATTCGCCATTACTGCGACAAATTACCGCAAAAGTCTGGGTTACTACCCAATTGTCAGACAGGATGAGTCCAGATCAAGCATCACAGCGACGATCTTGCCCCCTCAACTCCGACGTAAATTAATTCCATCCCAGTCAACGCCAATGTTACCCCCCGGTCCAATCTAGTGGTCAGAATAGCTCATCCCATCCTTTCCCTTCCTTCCTACCAAAATTCCGCTAGTTAATCCCTTTCATGCTAATTATAGTCCCAGTATTAGATTCTCCTGATGGTGGAAAACAGAAAAGAAAAAAAAAAAGGCCTGGCCTCGGTCCTACGAAGCCGCGGACATGTGAGCTTTCATCTTCTCCAGACGTGTATATAAAGGAGCTTTTGCCCATCCCAACAACTCTTTTTCTTTTAGTCGTTGAGAAGAGCAGAACCGATCCATTCTTTTGATTGTTTTCTCGTCGGATCTACCGGGCACTCGTTTTACCCTCCATCCTCCTCCCTTTGTGTATACATACTTAATTTTATAATCATTTCCTTTTGACACCATCGTTTGTCATCATGAAGTTCTCTGCCTTGTTCACTCTGGGTCTGGCCACCACCGCCCTGGCCACTCCCACCATCGTCCAGCGTGATGCCACCGCCGTCAAGGGCGTCATCTCCGACATCAGCGACAAGGTCGACTCGCTGTCCTCCGCCATCGACGGCTACAGCGGTGGTGACCCCTCCAAGGTCGAGTCCGCCTCCGCGGACCTGATCTCCACCATCAAGAAGGGTGTCTCGACCGTCGAGGGCGGTGACAAGCTCACCTCCACTGATGCCCTGGCCCTGACCTCCCCCGTTCAGGACCTGACCGACAAGGTCGACTCCACCGTCGACAAGATCATCGACAAGAAGTCCAAGTTCGAGTCCGCTGGCGCCGCCACCAAGGTCAAGGAGTCGCTCAACGCCCAGTATGACGCCGCCGACGGCCTGGCCAAGGCCATCTCCGACAAGGTCCCCGAGGCCCTGTCCGACGTTGCCAAGGAGCTCTCCGCTGGCATCACCAAGGCCATCCAGAAGGGTGTTGACGCCTACAAGGACGCCAAGGACTCCTCGTCCACCAAGAGCGCCTCTGCCACTGAAACTGCCACTGCCACCAAGACCGGCCAGGACACTGCCACCCAGTCTGGCACCGAGCCTGCCACCAACTCTGGGGCTTCCACCTCCGCCCCCGTCATCCCTCACCCCACCGACTCCGGCGCTGCCAGCTCCTCTGCCACCCCTACTCCTAGCGGTGGCTCTGGCTCCGGCGGCTCCGGCTCTACCGGATCCCAGTCCGGTCAGCCCCCTCTGGCTACCGGTGCTGCCAGCAACAACCGCTTCAGCTACACCCTCGGTGGCGCTATTGCTGCTGCTGCCATTGCTGTTGCCGTCTAAGCGGATTGGTAACCCGGGGGTCAGGGAGGATTGAATGAAACGCTAGCCACGTCGTGGCTACGGATGACGATGAGCGCCATGAACCGAACAACTACGCTTGAAACGAATCAGGGAGGATCTTGAACTCTCATTGTAGGCTTGCTCTCGCTGTATATTCTATTCTACTTCCGACTCTTCCTTTTGAAGTTGTATCAGACTGTGGTCTGTATATACTATGCTTGTTTGTTTATATATTCTTAGTATTAATAAAGTGATGCAATGCCTTGATCTTTGATTTGACACGGAGTCTCTACTTCCAATTTGAATTTCTTCTTGTTGATACCAGTATCCTTAATCATTACTTTGCAGAAACTTTACATCTGTCTAAAATGCCAAGCGAATCTTCATTTGTCCGGTTCCAAGATGTCCAGAGGATTCCTTAAACCTCCGTCCAGTCAATCGAATCGAACAACATTACACCTAGGGCGGTATTTAAGCTAGTTACTACGCATCAGTAAAGCTATTGTTCGTACGGTAAATCCTCCCCACCCCCCTTTCCCTTTTGCTCGACATGTAATAGCCACAAAAAAAGTACCGTGACTGGTTTTCAAGAACTATGACACGTCCAGAATCGATTTATCCTAGAGAAACTGTTTAACCAAGTCAATATCTACACAAGAACCCCGCTTATGTACGCGCCTACTCTGAAAATAGATACCTTAATAGGTAAGACACATCGTTCAAAACCCGGGAGTGCTCGCCTAATGTTAAGGTGGAGGACTGCAAGATGTCCTTTTCACATGGAGCCATTGTCATATTCTGGTGACCATCGGTAGGGCTTGTTCCATATCCTAAACAACGAGGTACTTGTGTTATTGGCCATTAAATGAGCATTTTCAAAATAGATTAGTATCGCCATCTTGGACAAGTCTCGAGTCGTATGTACATTATGATCGGGATATCGGATATTGATCTATTTATTTCGCATCTCGTCTTGAAGAACAGCTGGTCACAAATCTCACGTTGCAATGTTTGGCCTTTCGAAATATATTGTTACAAACAAAAGAGCAGAATAAAAGCGAGACAAGAAGGGAATTATATCGTTTAGATTAGAGTTACGGAGGATTTGAGACTGTCTATTTCCTCAAGTTGATTCTGATTCCACATATTACCTATGACTTCGTACATTGGTGTTCTCATAGCTCCCAATCAGACATATTAAAAAGATTGTGCGACGGTCCTTCTTGAGCAAGATGCCAGGAAATATAGTTACGATCCTCCCAAACTGTTCTCTCGTCCGGGAAGCACCAGTCCTCCCAATCAACTAGGTAACTAGGCACACAGAGTCATAACTTGGTGTAAACAATAAAGAGAGAAATCTCACCATTTATCACCTTCTTTGTCCCAGATAAGGTTATTTATTGCCGCATCTAAATGAATTACCCCACACCGAAGTGTCTCTCTAGAATGACATGTCAACTTAATTTCCCTAAATTGGTCGTTGGGCACGTTGAGGGGAAGCAAGAACTTACAGCCACGCGGCTTTGAAGGCTTTCCTTAGAGAATCTCGGTCATGACGGGGTATGTAATCATACAAATCCGACGGATCACAGCCTAGTACTTTCTCCATTGATATACTCAATTTGTAGCCGCCTAGAACCCATTCATCAAAGGTCTGCTCGTCTTGCTTCCATGAAAGCAAAGCAGGGGTACTCGAGCATTGGGCCTTCGTCAAATGGGACAGGGCTTCAAGAACGTCGGTCATGTCATGAGTTCGGTTTTTCATATTTTGAAAATTCCTGCCTGGTTTGGGGATTTCAGAACTTGTACGAAATACCTTGAGAAGGTACCTGATATTGCGCTGATAAATGAACAAGGCGAGTTACGGGCAGTAGGGGAAGTGAAGACCCCATGGAGACACAATCTCAGGAATTTTATGACGGGAAATCAGAAAGTGTTCAGACGTGCTTTAGGTATGACATCTCCGTTTTATATTGATACTATTGTTTTCATATTACTGCTTCAACTGGTAGTGCTTCAGGATTGTCTTTACTACTGCTAACAGACTTTGGCGGTGGTGATTATAGGACAGATATCACAATACATGTATATCTGTAAGATGTATGCGAGACATGCCTGGCATACCCCAATCGGAGGAAGACACAAGATAACACCCCCTCTCCGCCTGGCCCGGAAGGCCCAGGCCAGATGCCTACGAAGGATCACAGGGGCGTTTAGAGCTATACCGACGTCTACCCTAGAGATAATCACCTATACTCCCCCGATCGAACACTATCTTACAGGAAAAATGGCCGGGTACCATGCGAGAGCCGCAAGATGGGAAACCAGCGAGCTCACAAAACAGATATGCAAGAGGGTAGGAGATAGTGCCTTCCGGCCGACAGTCTATAGACAGGAAGTTGTAGGATACAATAGGCCTATGCCACAGGGCTGGGATCGAGCGTTGGACAAGAGGGCAATGCCACCGGCAGCGAAGAAATGGACTGAGAAACGCAAGATATGGGAGGCAGTCCTAGAGAGATGGAAAGAAGGAAGGGAGGGACTCCGCAGGAGCCCGTCCGAGACAGTCCGAGACAGACCAACCAAGGACCTGCTCAAGCTTCAGGTCGGTCTGCACAAGGCCAAGAGCTCTGTACTAATACAGCCCCGGACAGGAAAGAAAGGACTAGCAGCCTTCTTATATTACGCAAAGGTGCCAGGACGTGCCCTAAGTGCAACAAGGGGAAAGAAGACCCCAGGCGCGTTATTGCATTCTGTATGGCGTACCACGAGGCCAGACACGACCTGGAGATACAAGGACGGATAGACGTTGAGCAGCTGTTCACTACCCCTAAGGGGGTACAACGGGTAACAAGGTGGTGGATACGGAAAGGAGCGGTTGACTAATTCCGGCTGGCGAATAGGTTGATCGAGGGTTAATGAGGCTGGTGCTAGCAAAAAGGTTATAGGGACATCTACGAAGAGCGAGAGAGGCATCATCGAGGCGGAGTGGGTTTTACCCAGTAGGGCAGGAGGTCCTACATGGTTTTCCCCCCTAGATAGCGAGAATAGACCGGATGGCCACTGGCCCAACGGAGTAACAATATTATTATTAGTATTATTATCTGTAAGATGAAATATACATTTCTTACCACATATTCTTGAAACAAGCCCCGAAACCTGGAAAGCCCAAAGAACTAGCCCTGTAGCACTCCAACATCGTCGAATTTCATCAAGCCAATAAAGCGGTATCCCTGCGCGAGTGCTTCCTTTTTATCGGCTTACGTATCCAGTCTGGAGATTACAAGTGTGAGAATAAAACATGTCCTACGAAAGCTAGCCAGGTAAACCAAGGGGTCCATATACTGATGATAACTACATCTCTCCCGATGACTCGTCGAGCTCACCTGAAAGACACCTATAACCTGAGCCTTCGACTCGTGCAAGCGACAGGTTGCGTGAAAACAAGACATCCAGACAAGTGACGACGCGGTCTCAATCACGTGCCAGGCATATTCAGGAACTGCAAGATCCGCGTATGCAAGAACAGCTACGACAGGCTCGTGACAGAGACCGTCCCAGGCAAGAAGCAGTGGGAATGCGGGAAATCACTGAGAGAACACAAAATCTCGGCCTGGGACGCGAGAGTGGCCGCGGTAAATCTCCTATCCGCGCCTATCTGGATGCTTCAGGTCACCCTTTTGTGAGTATAGGGGGTCTATCAACTCATGTGACTCTCTTGCAAGACCAGGGGGGTCAATACTATTAAAAGACTAGCTCTGGGAAGCGTCAGTATGTTGTGATGAAGTAACGTCTGGAAAAGAAGGGTGTGTCTTGTCTTTCTTTCTTATTGTTTCAATTTTGTCATTTGTTTTGCCTTGTTGTTTTGAACTTGATTATTGTATCCGAATTCCTTTCATGCTAGTTGCTGTGTGTGCTTTGAGTTTGTAATGAAAACGATGTAAATATCAAACGCGCCATATCAAGGCAATTCCTTCTAAGTTCCATTCAGAGAATATATTTACGACATGATCGACGAGTCAGATGTGCAGGCAAAGGACATGAAGACATATTCTACATGTTACAATATCCAGTTATACTTAGTAAGATAGAGCTTTCAAGGTTTGTTGAGGTGACAGACAAGAATATAGATAAAATTGACACAGCGAAACGGGAGTGAAGAGCGGCGCGGGATAAACATGCTTCGGATGCTATTCCCAACAAAATCCCTTACTTATACCGGTCCTCATTATTCCAATACTCTGTATCATGCTGAACCTCCGGCCCCTTGGCGCCCAATTCCCAACCAAGCATGATCTTCGTCCACCGCATCAGGTGGCTTGAGATCTTGAGATGTCCCACGTCGGTCGGATGGTCCGGAGGCGCGAGATCATTATGTTGCAAGATCCCTGTCGTGTCGAAGTAATGAACATAATCGTCACCTTTTCCATGGAAGTGTTCATATACGGCTTTAATTTCCGAGACGTAGGTCGGGTGTTGGATGTAGGTGTATGCATAGTCGTATTCGGACTGGAGGTCGGATTTGTATTCATTTTCTCCGGGGGTAGTGGGTGTCGTGGTAGTGAAGTTTCCCCATAGAGACTTTGATCATTTGAGATTGTGTTATTAGCACGAAATGATCCGCTGGATTAATCGACCAGGGTGATATATCGTGATGGGGATTAAAGTAAAACAAGAGACAACATACCATCAACACGACCTGCGCCTTCGGCCACGTCTTATGCACCGCCTCGATCAGATCGATATAACTTGTCGCGAAAGTCTCGCCGGGCAGATTATTCGGGTCTCGGTGGTCGTTCGTGCCTAGGTTGATGACCACTAGATCGGCAGGTCTGTGCGCGTTGAAATTCCATTTCTCCGGGTGTGTACCATAGCTGGCGGTTGCGCGGTCGCCAACGTCTGAGGCGTATATCCATTGATGGGTCTGAATATTGTGTTATTTTTAAAGCTGGATTGAGATTGTAAGGGATAAGATGGAAACCGTATACCATTCCACGAGCAGATCCACCATAGCATCGTTGGTCGACGAGACAAATCCCCGGGTATGCCTGAATTTGGATGTCTTTAGTGATGCAATTGTGCAAGTGGATATTTACAGTCATGGAGGGAGAAGTACGGTGATGGTGTATTCAACATCCCCTAAGCCAGCAGCAAAGTTATATCCCCAAGATGAAAGACCCTCGTAGGTGGCGTATTGACCTGATGCAAGTCTTATTCATTTTACCATGTTAGATTTGGTCCGTAGGAAGTCAACAAAAAGGAAGACAGACGAGAAGAACTCACGAGTCACCAATAATCTCTACCTTCTTAGAAAACTCCTTCATCTTCCTAATTCTTGCGCCAGAAGACACGGACACATTTTCTATCTGGACCGTAAAAAGAATGAGTCCAAGTTGTGGTGGATGGAGAAGGGGTAACTTATCCATAGCCCCAGTTTGTCACTGCCGATAACATTGTCAGTTCTCTAGCTGAAGGTGAGTATATTGCAAATGGATTGGAATCAAATACCTCGCAACTCAAACGCCTTGGTACTGTTCGCATGAATGTGATTGAACTTCGTACCTGGGCCGACAAACTGGTACGTTGCGTTGGCAGTGACGTTGGAGAAAGACCAGTCGAGGCCACCAATGCTAGACAGATTCGATAGACAAGTTAGACCCAACATTAGTTTGCTGGCCAAACTATCAGGAAAGGGGGTAGCAAGAAGCAAGCATACCGATAAGCAACCAGAACTCCCGGGGACGTCTGAGCTCCGAAGCTCAAGGCCAACTATTCCTGACCTCAGCATATGATTCCGTTTCCCTAACTTTGAGGAATACATTAGAGGATAGCATACCTTGTCGCCTGTGAACCCAAACTTCAGGCCAGGTATACTAGATGCTCATCCAATTAGATTGATCGAACGATTAATCCGGAAAGTTAGAGAGAAACCATACGACCACCCTATAAGCCAGCGATCAGCAACACATTGATTGATATCCAGTTCATATCATCGGAAATGCACATACAGGAAACATATTTGCTATCCCACCGTCCCTTATATGCGATCTCCGACGCCTCGGGACCATAGCTTTTCCAGCTCTCGTCCAGAGAAATGTTTAGTGCTTGGCCAGGATAGGGATCTAGTCTGGGCTGACCATTCTCGAGAATGATAGATGAAACTTGAAAGGCATGGATAAGGAGGAATAGTAGCGTCGAGAAAAGATGCATTGAGCCTGTACTGCTCATTGCATGCGAGAATAGTATTGTGATGTGAAGTGATGGAAGATGAAGAAGTGGGGTTGGACGGAGATCAGGAAACAAAGAAAGATTAAGAAGATGATCTCTCTGCCACAGAAGATTCAACGAACGATCAGCGGTGGGGGTCGAATTGGATCGAAAATGTACGTGTATAGAAGGGATCCTCGCACTATTGGCTATTAAAAGCAATAATGTTTGCTCGGGCGGGAGCTATCGTATCGGTTGGAATAGATGGCTAAGATCCGAAATGGGGTCACCCATCCAGTAGGTATTTAATTCCAGCCGAGGAATAAAACTCATGCAGGGGGATGATCGGCGATCGGCGAGGCATCACAATTCACAACGCAGGTAGGAGTACCTGCCGTGAAGGGGTTGGTCTGTGATGACGTCAGAACGTGAAATCAGATGAAGTTCCCATCTACGGAGTACTAGAACCATTAAACCCCCTGATATTCTATTTAAATGTACGGAATAGATATCGGTGATTTATTCACGATGACTGAAATAAGAATATTCCATCAGGGGATATATTAAAGAAATGTGGAATATATTTAATATTAATGAATCTGCAAGATGTGCGGAATATGTTTATCTTTCTTCACAGGACCTACAATGCCTCCTGTGCCTCATTCATAGCAATCGCCATGGGTGTGGCAGGTGAATAGCGAAGAAGTAATCCTTAAAGCCTCGCTGCTGTATATGCACACTGCCCAAGCCTCACATAATAACCGGCAGGTTCCGAACCAAATATCCCCGCCACTCAGGCAATGAACGCTGCCACTTAGTCCCCGAACTCTTCTGCAAGTCCTCAATCGCACTAGCATACCGCACCAAGGTCGATTCAGAGAACGCGGTGTTCAAGATCGCCAAGCCGTACGGCATACCCGACTCCTTACCCACGCCCGCCGGGACTGTGATGGCCGGATACCCAGCCTGGGCCGCAATCTGGATACTCTGCGCCACATCGGGCGGAACGAGCAGCCCGTCAAGGGTCTGGTTCTTGTACTTCAGGGCCGTATCGATACCTTCCTCGCGGGTCGTGCGTTGGCAGAATTCCAGAGCCTGGAAGTACGTCTCGTTCATGATCCCCTTGCTCTCGAGCGACGCGATCAGGCCATCTTGTCCGGATCCAAACGCAGGGTGGATGTTAGGGTAGCCGCCCTCGGAGCCGTAGTTGTCGAGGTTGTACTGCACCAGGTCCTCGACGGTCTTGATGTTGGTGTTGTTGACTTCGGCCAGGTAGTCGCGGAGGTTGTTGTAGAAGTCCGCCTTGATGTAGGTGTACTCGGACTCGTTAGCGAAACCGCGCGTGCCGCCGTAATCCCAGTTCCAGCCGTCAGGGGACACGATAGTCTTGTAGTGAGGGAGCTCGGTGCCGTTAATCACGGTCGCGCCGGCCTCCTTGATCAATTCGACCAGTTCCAGGAGCTGGCTGATCTGGTCCGCATCGCCGAGGCTCCAGAACGATTCCCATGGAAGACCGAAAACGGCACCCTTGAGCGCAGTCTTGTTGGTCAGGAATTGTGCGTACCCGCCGTTCGGGGTCTTGCCCTTCTGCGCGAGAGTGTAGTTATCGCGGTGATCGATGCCGTAAATCGCGTCTAAAGCGTAGACCGCATCGCGGACGGTCTTTCCGAATGTGCCTACCGTGTCTTGGTGTAGGGACTCGGGAATGACACCCGCACGCGACGTCAACCCGACGGTGGGCTTGATGCCGACAATGGAGTTTCTCTGCGCAGGGTTGATAACTACACTCGTTAGCCGCCACGTCGTAACCAATTTTTTTCAATCAAAACATACCACTGCCATCCGTCTCCGTGCCCAAAGCGAAGGGGATCAGGTTAGCGCCGACGGCAACTCCGGGCCCGGAGCTACTTCCACCGGGGTTGACGGTCAAATTGTAAGCGCTGCGACACTGGCCTCCACGGCCCGTAAAGCCCTCGGAGTAGTTGTTCGAGCGCATGTCGGCCCACTCGCTCAGAGCTCCCTTGCCTAGAAGGAGAGCACCGGCGGAGCGCAAATTGTGAACAACATAGGAGTCACGGGGAACGACGGAGCCCAGAAGCGCCCAGCTACCGGCCGTGGTCTCCAGACGGTCCTTGCTGGCGATGTTGTCCTTCACGATGAAGGGGATTCCATGAAGGGGTCCCCGAACTTTCCCGTTGGCGCGCTCGGCGTCGAGGGCTCTGGCGATCTGGAAAGCATCCGGATTGATTTGCAAGATGGCCCTATGTGCAACATGTTAACTCAACGGATTCAACCAACCGAGGGTTCCACTAGACATACCTCAGATACGAGTCTGTTTGATAGATACGCTCCAGATAGCATTGCAGAAGCTCCACACTGGTCAGGTTGCCACCTTCCAGCTGCGCTTGGATATCATCGATGCTGGCCTCTTCAAGCTTGAACCCGTTGCACCGACGCATCGGGAACAGGGAGGCCCCGTCGGCACCCAGACGAGGAAAGTCATAGGCATAGGGGTCACTCAAAATCTGACCAGCCACCAAAGAATCCGTCTGATTCTGCTGGGCAGGGGTGGCCAGAGCCAAACCACTCGCCACAGCTAGGAACAATAGCTTGGATGCCATCATGCCCGGGAATGAGGTTAAAAAGGGTGGGGTGTAAGACCTATCCCTTGAAACAGAAACGATCGACCGACCACAATCAGGGGACGGGATTGGAAGAAAGACAGCAGTGGAAAAGCTGCGAGATTCATATATTTACCCTCGTGTTTTCTGCATCGAGTCTTCGTTCAGAGGATCCACTCTGCAATAAGGAGCTAATAAATTAAGGTGCGACCATGTGGAACGGTCATACCATGTCGACGTTCGCTTCGCTTAACGTGATCTCCACGTGATACGTATGCAGCCGTCCGCCTTGAGGGAGTACAGAAGACATCATCCTCTGTCATCCTGCCTTGTTGTTCATGCAAGGACAACGAGTTAAGGCTACGGTAAAGCCCGCCATGTCATGATCTGGGTGGAGGGATCTCTTCCAGCGGACGACAGTTGGGCGAGACCCGAAATTCTCCGACTCTGAGATTGCACCTCATATATTATGGGGCCTAAGCTTTGTCTGGAGCCCTGGACCATGGTTGTCGACTTGTCTGTTTCCCATTTCCGGATACCCCGGCTCTCGCACGGGACAGCAGCAATCACCCCGTCCATTTGTCCACTATATGACAAGCCCATTGTGGGCAATTTCACGACTGTATCAGAACTCGAGGCCTGAATCTGATATTCCTTCGAAGGAATAATATGCCCACAGGGGCTAAACTTTGGATTCAGACGATGGATGTCTAGTGCCATTCTCTGTAAAAAGCCATTGTGCGTTTCTAGTCCAGGGATTGTAACATCGGCAGAGCCTCCTTGAACTCTGATAGGCTGGCATCGCTGTTTAACTTTGCCTACTTACTCCACAAGGGCGTCGATGCAAACGCCGACGGAAAGCCGATGGCATCTGGAAAATGTCTCCTGAAGCTTATTAGATATGGAAATGCCCCCTATGCCCATCCAGCCCACGCCAAGGCTCGTACAGCTTTCGAGAAAAGTTCGGTTCCTAGGGGATTTACGGAGTGGATTTTATCGGCTTCCTAGGGTTCACGGGTCTGGACTCAATTCACGAGGGTGGTTTATTTATTAACACATCAAACAGAACCCTTGTTCTGTTCTTTTTTTTTTTGGGTAGCGACATTTCCCCTGTCGTTCATGTCGGACAGATGACTAGTGCATATCGTTGAATCCTCCTCCCAATGCGCTTGATCACTGTCCATGGCAATCCCTAAGGACATCCTGCTCGCCGATGCCGCGGGCACAATCCCTGAGGATGTATCGCTCGAGCATCTGGCAGAGTCGCGCGATCGCCCGGCCAAGGTAGCCATCATCTTCATGGTCTGCCTGGCTGGGGTACTGATGCTCGTCCGTCTGTATGCACGGACATGGCTGGTGAAAAAGATCGGGATGGACGATATCTTGGCCGTGCTGACGATGGTATGGACCCTGCGATCAAATCAGATCAGATCATCCACACTCCCAGACACCCCTGTAAAACAATACTAACTATCCTTTCATAGATCATCTACATCGCCTTCGTCATCCTCTCCATCATCCTCATCGACCTCGGCAGCGGCCGCCATATGGACTACATCCAATACGTGCTGTCGATATCCACCGTCCGACAGACCGAAGTACTCGACTTTGTCGCCCACGTTCTCTACACCACGGCGCTATTCTTCTGCCGTCTCTCCGGTCTAGCATTCTATCATCGACTAGCAGGCCGCTCGGGCAAACTACATGTCGCCATTCAGATCGCCGTCGTGTTTCTCTTCGCCGCCTATCTACCCCAGCTCTTCCTGCTGATCTTCCACTGTCGTCCGGTCACCGGCTTATGGCCGTACCCTTGGCAACAGGAACCTGTTCAATATACATGTCTGTCCTGGGGTCTTGTGTATTCCGTTAACTCGGGCTTATCGTTGACCTGCGACGTCCTGATGTTTATCATTCCGGCCATCCTGATCAAGAATCTGCACGTATCGATGAAACGCAAAGCTCAACTCTCGCTGGTTATGTTTCCCGGTGTGCTGTAAGCAACCCCAACCCTAGCCAACCAACCCCTGCCTCCTAATGGGAAAACCAACCCTCCCTGGCTCTAACGTCCTCCAGCGTAATCGTCATCTCCACCATCCGAGTCTACCTCGTCGCGCGCGGCCAATGGGCCGAAGACGGCAGCTGGGCATACAACCCCATGATGGGGATCGAGAACGCCGAGATCGCAGGCACATTGATCGCGCTGTCCGTGCCGGCTCTGAAACCGGTATTCGGGAACCTGTTCAGCCATCTAACCGAGTATACGACGTCGAGTCGCAACAACCGCTCCGGGTCGGCGCATTTGAGAACGCAGTCGACGCGCATGCGGTCTACCGCTGTGAGGGATAGTAAGCGGTTCATGGGGTGGTCGAAGCATGGGAATGACGAGTATGAGATGATGGCGTCAGATAATGCGTCGAGGGGGAGTCAGGGCTTGGTCGGTGGTGCGGATCAGGGTGTGGGTGGCAGGACAAGGGAGAAGAGGATAAAGGTGACGGAGGAAGTGTCGATTATGAGGGGGGTGGAGGATGTATAAAATATACTCCAAAGGGAGCCTAGAGAGGGCAGCATGACCGCGCATCGTGCGTCGGAACTCTCCGAGGGAAAAAAGCCTTTTCAAAAGTTTTCTAGACAGACAAAAGAGTGATAAAAATTTAATCAGATATAGTAATAATCGATAGCATTTACAATTCTATATAGTATATCAAGAATGTAGGACATCGTTTATCACATTAACACAGGCAACAAAGCCGGTAGGAAAAAGTGTCAACATGTGGTTGATGCCCGCTTCGATTTGGGTATTTAGAGGCAAACAGCAATCGACACTCGCTCGCGCTTGCGAGGGACTTGTCGTGACTGGGGTTAAATACCCTGATGAACGAATCATCAAGAGAAAGAGAATCGCGAAAGCAAAAACGCTATCTACGTCCATTCCATCATCCTGTAATCATTGTCGTCGAAATGTAGCTATTATCACGACTGAAAAGACTCTGCCTGCATAAAAGCAGATCTAGTCAGATCGGATGGTGCTGGAAAGCGCTCGTGGATGAGAAGATGAAGAAGAGGAAAAGAGAAGTCAGGAGTCGAGCAGGTTTTTAAAGGCCGGAGGCGGGGACTAACCGCTTCTGGCTAACGCTTGTCAACCGGGAGAGGCTAAAGCCTTGGCGTTTTTATTGAGGAGGCTGGGAGACGACACCTAAGGCAGCCAGAGTCAAGGCTAGCCAAATTGGGCTCTGGCTGCTGTTGCCTTATGGATCAGGCTGCAGGAACTTTTGCTGAAGACTCCGAATTCTTTATTCCCTTCAGGTAACAAACCCACATTTCCAAGCTGTATTCAACGTTTACTCAAACACAGACCTAAGGCTATGAAAATATAAGTTCTTCCACTATTCTGTATGCAGACCAAGAGTTACATCCTGTAGACTGCTACCGTACGATCCCTGCGATTTTCCGTACAAAGGTCCAGGAGACGCGAACCACCCAGCAGAGACGGCACATCACAAGGTAGCAGCAATCCGCAAATAATGTAGGATAACCATTCTTGCATATTGTGCACTGTCCAATGCCAATTGGTGTTAGAGCTTAAACTTCTGGGTGTGGAGATTGATCTCATAGTGGAGTACCGTGATGTTCGGAGTTCCGAATATCTCTCTCAACTCCGTCTTCTCAACTCCGGCATTCAATAAAAGCGACGCCAACGAGGAACCTGCCTCATCTCTATACAACATACGCCCGAGAACTTCCAAGAATAACATTGAATTTCAAGTAAATACCCATTGATCAAAACCACCTCAAACAAAATGACAACCTACACAACCAACCACGCCACCTCAGTCCTCCAAACCCACGGCTGGCGCACCGCCTCCAACTCCGCCGCCTACCTTCTTCCCTACATTCACCCGGGCATGAAAGTGCTCGACATCGGCTGCGGCCCGGGCAGCATCACCATCGATTTCGCGCGCCTCGTCACCGACGAAGGTCACGTCACGGGGATCGAATACGTCGAGGACCCGCTCCCGACGGCCCGAGCCCTCGCGACATCCCAAGGCGTCAACAACATCACCTTCCAAACAGGCGACATCCACAACCTCTCCGACTTCCCCGATGACACCTTCGACGTGGTCCACGTGCACCAGGTCCTACAGCACGTCGCGGACCCGGTCCGCGCTCTGCGCGAGATGCGCCGCGTCGCGAAATCAAACACAGGCGTCGTCGCGGCCCGCGAGTCGGCTGCTTTCTCGTGGTATCCGGACAATGAGGCCATTGCCGCCTGGGACGCCCTGACGCGCCGGGTTGCGAAGGCGAAAGGCGGGAATCCGCATCCGGGCCGCTATATCCATGTGTGGGCGGAGGAGGCCGGGTTTGAGACAGCGCGGATCAAAAAGAGCGCGGGGGCATGGTGCTTCAGTAGTCCCGAGGAGAGGGCGTATTGGGGGGGCTCGATGGCGGAGAGGGTGCGGGATTCCGGGTTCGCGGAGATGGTGGTTACGGAGGGGTATGCGGATAGAGAGGAACTGGGGGCGGTGGAGAGAGGGTGGAGGAGGTTTGTGGATTGCGAGGAGGCCTGGTTTGGCTTACTCCATGGGGAGATATTGTGTTTTCAATAAAATCATAACCATAATTTTGACTTCATCAAGACGGCATATGCTAAACTAGACTAACTAAGATAAAGGTATATGTAAAATAGATACATATGAATCATTGGAGTGTTCGGCGTTTGTTGTGGTTTCACCTAGGCTCCAGATACATGTAAACGACAACTCCCTCTGGAAATGGTACCTCCTTGAGATCCTGCTCTGTCACGTTATCAGGTACCATTAATCTTATGGTTGAGAATGTCAATATTAGTAATCCGCGTTAAAATCTTACAACCAGCCTTGTGCACCAAGAAAAGCTGAAAGGAGGGGAGGGGTAGACTGACGAAGTCGTGTGAACTGGCGGGTAACTCCTCGTCGAGAGGAACAATGTCTGATTGATGGCCCCTTTTGCTGCAAATCCCTCTGTCGTCCTGAGCACGGAGAGAGAGGTCTCGTTAGCATAGGCTCGGGTCTGAATTTCCCCAGGAAACTGTGGTACCGAGAGTGGAGGCCTGTGTAAAGATGGAGGGGACTAATGACTATAGACAATGGGACCTACATCTTCTCAATCTGCGGACCGTATAACTTGAAGGCTTCGAGAGTGTCATATCGAATGATGACTGACTAGGTAGGGAAGAATGTATCGTTAGCGGCGGAAGAGGGATTGATTGATTGCCATGAATGATCCTCCAAAGTTCCAAACAATCCTTAGCGTTTTGGGAGATCAGGAGGATCCAGCCAAACTCACATATTTGGGCATTGTGGGTGGCGACGGTCAGACAAGATGATGAGACTTCTCGTTCTAAGGTCGGTGTGTGTCGAGTGCCAAACGACGATCACAACGATAGAGGGGGTGGGGACAGGATATGAAACGGCAGTGCTTCTACGAAGCAAAAGTGTCTAAATAGCCCCGAGATATCTCAAATCTCCCAAGAAAACGAAGAAACAAAACTTCGAAGTGGGGGTTCAACAGTTCAACGAAGGGACACAATTTTCGGAAATTACATCATAGAGCTAACCCAATCAGATTGTTTTAATCCATGATTTGCCGCCCTGGTTCTGTTTGCACTTTACCCAAAGGACCTCGCCCGGAGTGGGTTGGATTCCGTGTCCGTGTCCGTCCGGAGTGCTTACGGCAGCATGGCAACGAACTGGCACAAAGTACGATGTGATGTACAGGGGAATATAAATAGAGATAGGATGCAAGTTACATATGCTATGTGGCTGTGTTGTATGTAGTGTATGAAAAAGTATGTCTCCCGAAAAAAAAAATTAACAAAACATGCTAAAATGATTCAATCCCAAGCCGGTGTCGGTGCCTGTAACTCTTCCCCTGAAGTTCTAACCACGTCAATAGGCAGCTGAACAAATGTCGACCTCTACCAGTCATCCGCGGGAGGCGAGTGAGCATCCTCATAGGCGTCCTGATATCCTTCACGGTAGGCGTCGCGCTCAGCTTCCTCCTCTCTCTCCTTCTCCTCCTCCTCGTCGGAACTCGAGTCTTTCGCTGTGGACAGTTAGCACCAGACCATAAACCATACGGAATCGTTTGAAAGCCACGAAAATAAAAAGAACAATAGCAGGGAAAACCGGGAAACGTACTCAGTTCATGACCCAACAGCGCACCAGCACCCAGACCGAGAGCCGCGCCCGCCAATCCACCCATCATCATCTTCTTCTTCTCGGCCTTCTTGCGCTCAGCCTCGGCCGCAGCAGGGTCCATGCCGCCGTAGTAGCCCTGGTCCTGAGGCGGGGGGCTACCGTAGTACCCCTCCTGCGGAGGCGGGCTGCCGTAGTATCCAGCGGGAGGGCCAGGAGGGGGAAGGTCACGCGAGCCACCGGCGGAGTCCTCAAGCGGCACTTCCCACTGCGAGCGACCGGTGGCAGTCTCGACGAAGAAGCCGCGGCGGACGTTGGGCTCCCACTCCTGGACCCAGCCGTAGGGGAGAGGGGGAGGAGCCACGGGGGGAGGGCGGGCGGATGGCGGGGCGGGGCTGTAGGGAGGGCGGGAGTCGAAGGAGCGCTGCCCTTCGTAGGGGGGACGGTCACCGCCCTCGTACGGGGGTCGGTCGTAAGGAGGACGCTCGGAGGGGGGACGATCGTACGGGGGACGCTCGTAGGAAGGACGGTCACCCTCGTAGGGAGGGCGCTCGTACGGAGGTCGCTCGTAAGGCGGGCGCTCACCGTATTGAGGCTGGCCGTAGGGGGCGGGAGGCGGCTGTCCGTAGCCACCACCGCCGTAGGGGGGTTGTTGTCCGCCGTAGTAGGCCATGGTTGTGGAAGGGTAAAGAGGATAGATGGAGTCGGTAGAGTAGAATAGAGATGGGGAAGGAGGAGAGAGAAAGAGGATAACTGAAGGGAAGAGAGAGAACGATCAAGGGGAATGGACCCTTAAATATTATTGATCTATCATCAAACGGAGGGGGGGCAGCAGAAGAGAGGGGAAGGGGAAGGGGAGAGAAAAGAGGGTCGTCAGGTAGATGGGAAACTTGAAAACTTCCACTAGAAATGTTTACTTCGTACGGAGTAGGTACACAGGCAGATACAATCATAATACATACGCACCCAAAACAAATGAAAATAATCAATTTCCTACAGCAGAAAGAGAGAAGAAAAGAAAAGACCCCGCCAAACGAACCCCGTTGCGCCTAGAAAACGATTCGTCGGCCCTAGAAGGCCAGGCGCTACGGGCCTGTTCCCCACCGCGTTATTAGTTGGGATGGAGAACTGTCAATAGTCTGGTTGTTTGGCGGACACTGCAGATCCAGCATCTCCAGATGCAAGAAATTAGGCAGATACATTATATATTAACCCACGCCCCCTCCCTGAACGATCATTTGCCGCTCAAGCCAGTGGGAGAGACAAAACAGGGGTAAGGTTAGTAGCCAGCGCTTAGTTGAACCCGATAGCAGTCAGTTTGAAACCCAGGGAAATCCTCGACCGGCCAGCATACGCCCTGTCAATTCACCTGACGTTGGTCATACCCAACAGAAGACGCGCTCCCTGGCAGGCATAACTGTCAATATGACTTGTCTGGTCCCAAATGCACCCCACCTCGTTAGGGATACTACGGAGAGTCCAGTCATAATTCATCAGACTTATAGGGATTAGGGGCAAGATGAGTCGTTCACCCCCCATTCTAGACCGAGTCCAGTAAGAGCTGCTGCTATAATAAGGCAGCATGTTCCGTAAGGTATCCATTTGTCTGCTTGGCGCCACAGAGCGGCAGCGGCCGGAGACTGTCGGGCCAATCGGAACGCCGCGAGGGAGCCACCCGCACCGGGCTGCGCCACACCGGTGCTCAACGATCCGGTTTGATTGGTGGTCGATGATCCATCAAGCCTCGCCTTGCTGCCTACCAGCCACAGCCAAGCGATGATTCTCCCTACGGCGTCTCCGGACACCGCAACAGGGGCGCTGCCAGTGAATCTGAACTGTCTCCTGTGCTACATACTTATAATTCTAAATTCAACGAAGGCAGGAATAAAATTGCGCCAAAGTTGCTAGTTTGGTCGCTGTATGTATCAGTACGTGAATAGAATTCATTTCAATACCACTATGCATCACACGATGTCCGGGTTATTCCAGGACATCCCGTAGCCGGACTAGCCACGTGTGTCGCGGCGAGTGGCTGTGGCGGTGGCCGCGGAGCCCATCCCTTTCGAACCTCCGGGGCGAGCCACACCTCGATGATTCCGGAAGCTTCCTGAGTACCTGACGGTAAGGAAATGGTATCATAATAATTAATAGTATCTACGGGGGGTAATCGCGGGTGTGGATCCTGGCCACACCAGGACAGTGGGAGAAAATGACCTCCGCTATTCCAGAACTGGTCCCCGCATGAGGAAATTGAGGAAGACGATGGGGGATAAACATGCCTCGATCAGGCAGGGTGATGTGAGACTATCTAAATCTGTAACGTAGCGTCTAGGCAACACCGTAAAGAAAAAAAATACATTCATCAATCTCAAATATATGCTCGATTTCAATCGCAACTAGGACCCATTCGCAAGTGACTTGGCCGAGCGACAAGAAAACAACTCCCCATCTCATCGCCCCACATGGTTCCGTCATGTCTTGACTGTACGGAGTACATCAAAGAGCAATATTACAAGACAAATGAAACGAAAAAAAAAGGGGGTAGATGAAGATCAGGACACTTGGCCTTCAACCGAAATCAGTAATTATTTCCAGCCCGGCCAATGTCACTGGACTGGTCATTGCCAGGGTAGAAGAAGGCGCCCACTCTGTTGGGAAAAAAGATATTAATGAATTGACTGCGCCAGGGGAACCAATGGAGATGTAATCAGACTTACGCGATAATCACATAGGCGGCAATTAGCAAGGATCCCTCGAGATAATTGCTGCGACCGTCCAGGACCAGGAAATTGACGACAAAGGCCGTGACGAAAAGACAGATGGTCTCGAAGAGCGTGAAGTATAAGGACATCTCCTTGCCCATGCACCAGCCCAGAATGACGACGAGAGGCGTGACAAAGATGGCTATCAGTCGTTAGTTATGCATCCACAGAGGTTAGAGGTCCAATTGAAGTCTCACCAATTTGAATACTACTACCCACGGACACACCTATGGACAAATCCATTTTGTTCTTCGTGGCCACACTCACGGCAGTCACGTGTTCTGCCGCATTGCCGACGATGGGCAGGATGATCAGACCGATGAAGGCTTCGCTGACGCTGGAGCTTTTAACCATCATCGGGATGGCGTCGACTAGAAATTCGGCACACACCGCCACAAGGCCCGTGGATACCAGCAGCATGACGACAGCTGACGTGCGTGACATATCCGGCTGATGTTGGGGAGGCGTCGTTTCGGTGGTCACCGGATTGACGGCCGTGGGCATGCGTGCCGCACCTCGAGCAAACTGGACCGCATTGCCGACGGGAGGCTGACGGTTCATGCAGCTGGGGAGAGAGTTGGTGCGGCGCAGACCAGTCACAGGACCGGAAGGACCTGCCTGCGGGACACCGCTAGGGCCTGTCGAGCTCGAAAAGACCGTGTTTGAAAGCAACGAAGGGAAGGGTGGACGGAACGGAGATCGTCTTTTCGGAAGCTCGTTCGAATCCTCCACAGTGGCATTGACAGGGTTAGATTCAAAGCGGGCGACGGGCGATGACATGTACGACTTCAGCTGCGGCCGCTTAAGGACAGGGTTGCTGTCAACGACGACCTCTTGCTTTTCTGGTCCCTGGAGTAGTTTCTTCTTCTTTTCCTTGCCGTGACGCTTCTTGCTTTTTGGTTGTCGTTTAGAAGACTTGCAACCGACGTCTTGACCGAAATCTCTCGATTGTGGTGCATTAAATCGGTGGCCATAATTGTCTGCTTCATAGCGGTCGGGTGCGTTGTTCGATGGCTGGGATGTTTTCTCATCCGTATGGCTAGACGTCGAGCCGACAATTGAGCCGTTGCGGTCGCTTGTTCCGGTGCTTGGCATTTCAACCAGCGAGTTGTTGCGCAAGGATTGGGGCAGATTGGTGTCCTTGGAGCTGGTACTCGACTTACGACGTCGTCGATATTTCATGGCCCTCTTGATCCGTTTGGCAGTCGACCATGATGTAGTCGTGTCGACAGATTCGTCAGACGAGCTGCTCGAGGAGTCGGATGAGTTCATGAACTCGGCCAACACGCCCGGATGGGACTCCTCATCGATGATCTGCTGTGGGATGCTAGCATAGAGATAGGCATGGGACTTGAGCTGGAAAATAATGTACAGAATGTACACGAGGAGCAAGACCTAAGGGGGTGAGAGCATATTCGAAATTAGATATCAGATGCACTTACAACACTTGTTCCACGGCTGACTTTAAGAGTGTATTTATCGGCATTAATATTGTCAGACCAAGAAGCGTGGAACGCGGTCTGTAGATCGTTAGGAAGAGCGGGGAAGGTGGGGTGTTGAGACTGACTGGTAGGAGCAAACTCATGACACTCAAACTTAGAAGACAGGCACTCATTTGAGTGACGGTACTGTTGTAAATCTGAGAAATGTTAGCGCGAGGCAGTCACATTTATTGGTTTATCTTACCTGTTCCTGGAAGCGTAGGCCTCCCAGGAGGAACGCCATGCCCAGAATGAGCAGTAGGTTTGCCAGGATGGAGCCCAGCAGGGACGCCTGAACGATTCGGATCTCATTCTTAACAAGAGCGATGCTAAGTTGGACCAGATCTATTAGCCTAGTAGTTGAATGCCGTCTAAGGTAACTCACATGCTACAAAAGAGGTTAGCTCACGATCTCCACATCTTCACCCCCAGGGCAGAACTTACAAGATAATCAACTCTACCGCATTTCCGAACGTCACGTTGATCAGTGCACCCACGGTATCTCCCAAGCGACTAGCCACGCACTCGGTAGCGTGACTCAACAACCCAGCCAAAGGGATGATAGCAACCGCATTCATGGCAAAGATAACGGCAGGGTTCAAACCCGCGGCTTCGACCGCAATACCGACCGGCACAAACACCAGGAGGACATTGACCCAGCTGTGACACAAAGCCGTCTTGGTATGTTTGCAGAACCGGACGCTGCCATTCTTCATCCGGACCCAAAGTCCTGGTTTGGAGATTTCTCCATCGTGTTCACTATTCGACTCCGGACTTGCCGGGCCCTGAGCACCCGAGTTCACTTGTCCATCTTGCTGCGAGGCCGGACTAGCTTCTTCGTCGGGGGGTTTGGCGTCGGGTTCGCCAGTAGGGGTGGGAGTTGTTGTACTGCCATTAGACGCGTGAGCTTTCGCCCACGAACGAATCCGGTCTAAAGAGGAGAGAAAACGGAGAAATTCCGAGTTAGCCAAAGAAGAACCATCTTCAATGCAGCAGCCACATAGGTTTCATGTTTCACCTGGTTGGGAGAGTGGGTAGGAGACAGGCATGGGGGGAGGATAGACGTGGCGTGGGGGATGGATACACGCAATCCAAGATAGGAAAGGAGTCGGAAGACAACCCAAAAGGAAAACTTACGCATGTATTTCAGAACAAACGTCTGAGGATATTTATTGGGAGCGCAGAGGTAACGAAACTCTGAATGGTTTCTGAACAACGAGGAAAAGGGGTAGGTTGTACTCCGTAGTCTGTAAGGAACGCGAGATAGATAGGAAGATAAATAGCTTGGACAGGTCACAGGAGAATAGTAAATATAAAAAGAAACAAGTTCAAGCTTCGGAGATAGACGCTGGGCGCGGAGATGGGGGGCAAGAGCGAGCTGGCCGATTTATAAAGGCGCTTGGCAGGAAGGATCCTTGGTTGAGGATGATGTTTGCCAAGAATCCGGTCGATCATTGCGCATCTCCAAACGGAGGGATCCATGGTCGATTCTGGACCCTCTTGCGACGGGCCAGTTACGACTCGCTCAGTCTGCGCCACGTCTAGCGTTATCAATCGCCTTGCCCGTTTTCTAGACGTCTTCTGAGGTCATCTTTGTTCGTCGATTTCTACGGAGTATTTCTATTTCTGTGCCTTTTCCAACTGATTATTCCCTATCAGTCTACTGAATAAATCCGCTTCTCAACACATCCCTTTCTCCCGTACTAAACAGTGATCACCACAATCCCCTCTATGAAATGTACATTGTAGATCCTGATCAAACTTTCGGGGAACCATGCATACCCAATCGCCCCAGAGCACGCAAAACCGACGCTCTCATCGTCACTAATGTAAGGAGGCGTCCATTATTATGGCCGACCAGACAGCCACCCATTCGCCCAATATTTTCGCCTTTGACCTTTAAAAATAAGGCCCCAGGGTGGGCCAATGACGCCTCACTGCGGTGTCTCCATCTCGGAGCGGACATTCTCATTTCCCGAGTCCCCGTGCACAGCCATCCGCTTCGGCCCTACCAGCAGGCCTGCTAGGCTGTCCTTACACTCTTACACCGTACGATAGTCGCTAGGCACCAGTGGATGGCGGGTTACACCGGTGCATGCAGTCAGCCAGGTCCTTTGTGTCTGTCCGCCAGTGCCCCATCACCGAATTTTCCAGTCGGTCGACGGCAGGGATGGATCGTAATGCCTGTGTCTCCATTGCGCTAGTGCCTAATTCAGTGTCAGATAAAATTAGTGAGCCAGCTAAAATGACCTTAGTCAGACTATCGACTGGCTCTAACCTGGTTAGGAGGGGCTTTCCCGATTTGTGAACAGGCCTCTTTCCCTTACTCAATAATGAGGTCATTTACCTTCGGCGCCCTGCTTGTCCCGTGATCCCTTTCCTAGACTGGATCCGGCTAACTGTCTAGACCGTGCCTCGATGCTTAGTCGGATGACTGCGTTGTCAATTGGAAAATGATTGACATGATTAATTCATCGTGCAGGCCGAATGCCGTTAACCGAAGAGGGCCGGGTACAAGTAATTGAACTAGAGTATGACGAGAGTATCCTTTACTTGGGTTGGGGCCTTGTATGAGTTGTCATTCTCGCACTTTCTAGAGATAACTCCAGAGTAAAATCAAACATATTGCATTGACATTCACTGTGGCTTCCTTGTAAACAATCATGTGACGAAAAGCGGGAAAGACATCATCCGGTTGATCCTGAAGAAAACAAGCAGAACGCCTGTCCTCCGCACACCGAGTGATTAAGTTAGAAATGGACAAGGCTAGGCAGATGCTGAGGATAAATGATTTTTAATAATTATTCTGCACCATGAGAGATTTGGACTTGCCCCTTGCATGAACTAGCCTTACCGCTTCTCGGATCGCAGCCTAAGGAACCATACGGAGGATTTGCTCTGGGTGTATAAAAGTTGAATTTATCCATGTGATTACAAAACTGCTGGTAATTCTAGCGATTTTTCCTGGGAAGGAGATCGGTATGTCTAGACGATAGGAGTCGCTCTAATTATTGAATTATGATATCTGCTCACCGTACGCGCCTAAATATATTTTGAGCTGAGCGTGCAAATCCAGCGGCTCTCAACCGCCGACACGTCAAACCATACTGCCAATGTCAGTTCTGCTCATCATCGTTTGATCTGCCCGTAGTAGCCGATGCCACGCTTATCGAATAATGGCTGCTAGCCAATGCAGGCTGTAGGCAACATTTGTCAAGTGCGTCGATTGATCGCCTAGATCCGTATTACATGTCTGATTTTATGTGGTCTCAACGTCGTCTTTAACCTCCTCCCTATAATCTCCTATATACGCATAAAGGAGAAAAACAGAGTATTTGTCAAAGATACCGCAATAAGCGGGTTATTTTTGGTCGTGAACTCATCATTTGCGTAGTCGTCGGGATGAAGGAGAGTGGGCCGGAACACGTCGTAGCGACAAGAGTAAGGGTAGATTCCAAGGCATTTAATAGGTCATTCTGCCCCATTATGGACGGAGATCAATTCAGGTCGTTTATAGATCTCGCAGATGCTTCTTGAGGTGCATGAATCGACACAGGCGGAATGCAGAATGACAAAACCATAACTGAGAATCGGCTACCTGGATCTTGATTGCTGTCAGATCTGGGGGGTTGCATGGAACCAGTTAGTAGGAGGACTTTGAGAGTTTTCGGTTGATATAAGTTAGACTTTGGAACTGAGTTGACTCGCTCTCCACTGGCAGGTGCCGTGATTCACGGGAGTCTGGTATGCTGTCATTGGTGAATACTGGATAAACAGCACGTCCAGGCCTTGGCTTTGATAGTCACTGATGAGGGCCTTCCATAATCGCTCTGGATTTTATGATGTTCGGTTATAGGATTTAAAGGTTGTCTTCTAACATTGTGAGATATTTGCGCTGGCTGGCATGAGACAAACAGTCCAGCCGGTGCGCTTTGATGCTTGACGCGCACCGTGCTTGTTCATGCTGGCCGCCACAGTGGACACCCGGGGGCGTCTCTTTGCACGACCACGCTAGGTGGCCAAACTGTTTTCCGTGGATGCACTGCTTTTCTTTGGTTTCGCATTTCTCCATCCCCAATACATCGTCGGTCAATCAGAAGGACGTTTTCAAGCACCCATTCCGCCACTTCTGGTGAATTGAAACATATCCCTATCGAGGCGAGCCTCCCCAGTGCTTTGTGCTTCTTTTTCGGGTTGTCTTCTGCGCTGGCAGTATCGATGAAAGACTACTGGGTACTGACTGTGACACAGTCCTTTTGTTTCTCAATTTATCAAAAGTTCTCTCGGGGTTCGGATTCGTTTGCGTCGCTTGCCACAGCGGCGCAGGACCGCGTTGGTGGTACCTTCGATAAGTCGATCTGCTTTTGCAGTGCTTGGATTTACTCCAAAGTTCTATTCTGGATCGGAAGCTTATTTTGATTAGCTTTCATTTCTTTCCTTCAATTTGGAGCTGGGGGATGATATGTGAGAGGTTGGAAAATATTGAATAGTTCCCACCTGACGAATAAGAAATCATTGATACCCAAGTGAGGCTTTTTGGTGGCCCGGTAGGGGTTCGTAACTGAGCCAATTTGACTCTGTTGTAGAAAATCTTCGTTCGGTTTGTGACCTGTTAATAGGCAGTAAAAGAGCCATTAAAAGGAGTAAATGATGGACCGACTCAACCTGGCCAGTATCAATTGGAGAGTTCGACAAAATAGACTGTTGGTGGCAAGTAGTGTTGAGGTTAATAGAAAGTGATGAGAGTATCTCAATATTCTTTATGGATTTTTCAACTTTGGAGGCTTTGCTTAGCCATCGAATTTGCTCGGGTTTTCTTTTTACGGAGATAAACTGCGCCTAAATAACCGTTTAATGTATTTTCCTACGGAAGCATCGGTTGTATACATCGACGGGGTTTGGAACTCATGTAAATATTCAGTTTGCTGTCTCATTCGGGCAGCCGTCTTAACAGCCCTGATTCTATTCTATAGTTATTGTATTCTATTAGCTAAATATTTGTAGAACTTGCATTATGATAGCATGATCCCTCCCATAAGCCTTTCTTGACTCACTAGTACCGATGCTAATAGCTATCAGCAACAGCGAGCTTCGACTTCTGTCGAAGAGCTGGGGCATATTTCATGAACAAGATTGGAACTGGGAGTACTAGGCAGGAAATTCCCCCAAGAAGACTTATCGCTGGACCAATGCCCATCGTATGGGCCATCGGTGCTGCCGCAGCAGGTAGAGCGCAAGCCAGCACAGACCGAAGGATAGTGTTTGCAGAGACAGCGCTTGCTGCGTAGGGACCGTATGTGTCGACGAGAAAGTTCAAGCATTGTTGGAATACCAGAGTAAAGCCAGCACCGATGAAGCCTAGTAATGGTATTTCATTATCAGAGGCTATTCAAATCCGAGATGAAAAACTTAGAGGAAGGTGATTTAGGGAAGGAGGAGACAAGCCTTACCTGCTGCAACCACTGGCAACGGCTATGAATACTTCGGCGCTGCCGTCCAGGCAAACCAAAATAAGCCAGTTGTGAGAAGGGCACCACCAAAGAGAAGCGGCGGTAAACGAGCTTCTGCGACAGCCTTCCCGTGATTTGATTTGACGGCCCTTTTATAATAAGGCTGAAAAAGTAGATTTAAAGGAGCGGCAATAATAACACCTATTAAAATTCCTAGGAACGTCAAGGAAGACGACATTAGAGACCATTGTCGTTGCTCCCGGAAAACTATCGGGAATATCTCAAGAGTTACATAGATCAGGCTATAAGTGAAAGAGGCATAGAATGTCATACATGTCACTAGAGGCTCCGTCACAAGCATTCTGTTATTGTTGGTGAAAGTTTAGCAGCGATAGGCAAAGGGATAGAGAATAGGTAAATATTAGACTTACCTCAACGGGCGGCCAAAATATTTGGTTATCACATTCCTTGCATTGATCTCCTCCTTTTCATGCGGATGCCAATATCGCTGATCCCCAGTGCTCTTGCGCAGCTCCTCAGCCTTGTGCTTTAAAATAATCGGTGCGAAGGTCTCGGGGAGGCAGAAGAAAGATAAGAGGTAAAGAAAAAACATAATGATGGCCTCGATGTATGCCGTCCCTATGACCGTTAGATTAAGCTGACACTATAGCCTCTGGGAAGGAAAGCAGAACGTGTCGTGGGGAACATACAGCGCCAGCCCATACCTGGGCGAATGACTACTGCCGCCCCAATGATGGGGCCTAGGGTTGGACCCCCTGAAATGCAAATGGAGACGAATGCCATTGCGATTCCTCGGGCTTCTGGCGACCACATGTCGCCCAATGCAGCGGGAACATTGCTTATCGGTGCCGATGCGAATATTCCCCCCAGAAATCGAGTTAATAGAATACTAGCAGCGTTCTTACTAACCGCAGTACCAATGCTGAAGCAGCCCATCAGCACAAATGGAGGAAGCATTCCTAATCGGCAACCGTAAACCTCACTGATTGGTGCCCAAAGCAAGGGGCCGAATGCCCAGCCTAGTTATTCGATCAGTGACGGATTTCATTGCGCCGGATCTTGAGAATCTGAAATAGGGAGATGCTCGCAATTTGGTGGTGAGGAACAAGGCGCAGGAACTGTTAGTGGAAGCATACCTAGGACAAATAGGGCAACAGTGAGCGAGGTGGCCTCTGAACTTACCCCTACATATTCAGCAATTTCCGTATTGGCTGAGGATATAATTGACGAGCCTAAGGCACCGGCCAAAGCTAAGAGGCTCATCTGGGTGGTGAGCCATATTTTGTATGCAGGGTGGAAGTTCTGCGGGTTTGATTTTTCCCCTGACTCAAAAGCCACAAGTATTTTCGTTTCTTCACGTATTGAGGCGGCATGAAACGCAGAAGGAGTGTTTGGAGGTAGAGATTGAGGCAAACTGTGAATAGGTGGCGGTCGGTCCATCATGGAATTCAATTATCCCTAGATTCAAGTTCAGGTCGCGGGCTGAACAATATTTGGAGTAGAATCCGCGCAAAGGATGCGCACGCGAGACTTGTGTTAATTGAGGGGTTCCACCTAGCTTGTTAAGCTTCTGCCTAGACCGCTTATGACAGGGTTCTTAAAGGATCAGGAGGTTGCAGAGTGCACTTTCAAGGCCCCCATACGTAGAAATTTCGGTTCCGGAGAATATGTCTCTCCAGTTTTCCCGTCAAAATCGAGTACAGTGGGATACACCTAAATCAGTGCATGGCTATTCAGTCCGAATTAAAGTGGCTAAATACTATCTGGGGACCGATGTAGACAAAAGTTCGTTGAAGTGCTCGAAAGAGCGCAGTGATCCCTTGACTCACAGTTACATCGTTCCATTTACCAGGCAGGGATCCGTAGCAGGATATTAGATTACCACCCCTGAATCAACCGCAACATTGGCTAGTATCACAGCACAAACCCACGTCTTCTTCCTAGACCACGGCTCAGTGGCTGCCATACATATCAAGGGTTTTCCGGCTAGCTGGGGTGGACGAGGGTAGGGCTTTTCGAGTTACACACAAGAAACCCTTTTTTCAACCCAAGCTTCTCACGTTGAAATTTTATTAGATCCAAGTGCGTAGGGTTCACGAGAGGAAGCACCAAAGGTACCAAAGGATTCATTAGGTGACTCTTTGCGTTCGAAAACACCGGTATTTCAGCTTTGACGAACTCCATCTCTAACTATAGTCAGCATAGGAACAGCCAGAATTAGTGAGGATGATTACACTCACCAAGTTCGTCCGCAATCTCGCTATTCAGCCCGGAAAAGACGAGGTCACAATCTTTAATCTCCGCTGGTCTGCATACCCGGAGAACAAGGTCTTCATAGTCACCCGGTATAGGTGAGCTTTGTTTCCATTGTACGCAGTCCTTGTATTTATTTCCTGCAGAGCGTTCAGATGCACCTATTGCAAAGGAGAAATGAAAACTGCGAACATGACAAGGGGAAAAGCAGAGATATAACACAATAACCTGACGGTTGCAGCAGTATAAGAATTTATTGTAATCTCTGAACCTTAATCAAGATTAGCTATTGCAAGTACAATCATCTAATTTATCCCAGCTTATCATAGGTTATATAATAATGCTAGATCGCTCGAGAGATAATGATTACAAAGAGACACTTTTATATACTCTTCCAGCAAGACTGAAATTTTTAATAAAAATTGAAATATCCAAATCCATACTTAACATGATAAGGCTTTTATTTTCTCTTACAACCTGGCAGTTTCTGAAAGTAGTTTGGGATATATATTGACTTGATTGACGTTGTTCTTTGTAAACATACGGTACAGAAAAATTTGAGAAAGAGATAAGAAACATTACGGCTTATCAGAAAGCAATAAAAAGCGGAAAGCCGACAAATTGAAAGCAAGAAAGACAATATCGTCGCAGAGAATCTAATACTCTCCATTTGTCGAGGAACATGTAGGCTTTGGGTGCCTGAGGCAAGATGCCAAGCATTTCACCGTCTTGGTCCATAGGTACCCCTTGGAGAACCTCGATTCGTTTTACATCAATTTATCAATCCAGTATTGATCAGGGCATCTATTAATTTATTCCGTCGTGTTTGACCCCTGCGGCGCACCGGTCCCTGCAAAACGCCTACAGAACAGCCTTAGATGAGCTGAAAGCGAAGTCTATTCTGGAGATCAGTGCCGCGAAAAGTCTCAGCCGGCAGTTGGCTCGGCACGCGTCATGATCGCAGGTACGGGAACCCGATCCGGATGCAGCCGTCGTCGATGCCGAACCCTTCGATCGACGAGCCTGCATGAACTAACCTGCACGGTTTTCGTCCTGGCGATTAATTTTTACTTTGAATTCAATGCAATTCATTATCATCTTTATTTGCGACGCAGTATTCTCTGTCGCTTCCTCTTTCCATCCGTGTGATAGATAATGGCTCCCCCGGGGAGCTCGGGGCAATCAAAGCTATCGAAACTACGGAGGTAGGGAGGACTCACCATTGGCTATGTCCAAGCTACATGAAAATGACTAACAAGAGCAGCATTCTCAATCCACTAGCATGGAGAGCGCGACTGGAGTTAGACTCATGGTCTTTTCTCCTTATGCTGAAAGGCGCATTACCGCCAACGATAGTCATCGCCATGTGAGTTTCCTTGCTTGCTCTACAGACCCAACCTTCAAACTAGAATCCAAATCTTACGTGAACCATGTAGCCACCAGAGTGATGCCATCGCCGACATCACACTCACAATCGGCTACCTATCCGCCCTGATCTCCGTGCTCTCTCAGGCATTAATGCCGCGCGCAAAGTTCATGAAGATCATGTTCTTCGACCTCCTATCGACCTGCGTTTCAGCCTCGCTATGCTGTCTAGCAGTCTACTGCGCCGTCGAGGCAAGGAAGCACAACACGCCCGCCGACGCCAGCGAGAGCGTCCGGAACGGCTTCAGTAGCGACGCTTGCGCTGTATCCGCCATCTGGTTGATTTTTATGATCTGGTATGTACCAGCCCATCGTCCTTGTGTCTAGAAAGGAAATCCAAGTACCAAAGTTAACAGAGACTGTCCAGGGCCGCGAATACTCTCCGCGCCCTCCGCCCAATGGAACTCCAGGACCCGATGGTTGCGTTCTCCATCTTCTGCTCTGTCACCATCACCCGCGCCGGAACCTTCGTGACTCTATCCGAAGGTCTAACTTTCATCGCGCGCCTGCTGAAAGGCTTCATGATTGGATTCGCCATCGCCACCGGGGTGTCGCTGTTCATCGTGCCAATCACCAGTCGCGGTGACGTTTTTCATGACGTTAGGGGATACGCGTCGCAGATTGATGCGCTGTTGAAAGCCCAGATTGACTTTGTGGTTGGGAGTGAGGATGTATGGATTGGTGGGAGGGGGTTGTTGGGTCGCACACGCACGGCGCGGAGTATGCGGGAGGCGGAGGTGCCGGTGGAGTCGGGGTTGGAGGGGAAGCGGAATCGGCTGGCAGCGGGGATGGGGAGGTTGAATGCGCTGCATGGGAAGTTGCAGTCGGACCTGTTCTATTCGACGAATGAGTTTGCGTGGGGGAAGCTCTCGGCGGAGGATTTGAAGCAGGTGGGTGCGTTGATCCGGAGTCTGTTGCTGCCTCTGTCGGGAATGGCCATGTTGCCAGAGATCTTGGAGATGGTCATCAATGATGAAGGGACGAGGGATAGTTCAGGGGATATCCCTGATGAGGAGGAGGATGCTGAGAAGCAGGCGTTGCAACGTTCGGAGATACAGAGAGTTGTGCAGACGTTGCATGACAGGCTCGTGGAGGCGTCGAATCTAACGACAACAGGCTTGCAGTATGTTCTTCTCGCGTTTGAGTTGATCAAGCCAAAACATCTGGAAGGGCATCTCAACGCTCGACCAGATGAGGAGTCTCGAGCAGGCGTGTTGAGTCCGCTCCAGCCAGATTTTACCGGGCGATTTGAAAATCAGCTCCAGAAATACTATGCCTCGCGCAAACACCTGCCGCGCGCTCTCGCTTCGCTAGAGGCCTTTTCAGTCCCCGAAAAAGTGTCAGATTATACCTCCGATGACCCGCGCACACTCGCTGCAGACTCCGACGTGCGACAGGAGTTCTTCCTCATCCTCTACATGGGTCATTTACAAGAGACCCTGCTCCAAGCCACGCTCGACCTGGTCAAGTTCGCGGACAGCAAAATCGCCGACGGGACCATGAAGCGCAACCGGGTCATCTTCCCCAAACAGAACTCGATTCTAGCATGGATCTCGCTCAACCCCGAGAAAAAAGAATCCGACAGCACGCCGGGTAGACAGTCCTCACAAGCTGATCAGTCGACGGTACACGATCTCCCGTCTGGCCACTTACCCGACCCCGAGCATCTGCCTCCGGCCAACCTGTTCGAAAAAGGCAGCACCATCCTCCGCGTGATCTCCCGTGTCATTCGCTCGGAGCAGAGTCTGTTCGGGTTCCGAGTCGCAGCGGCTTCCTTCAGCGTGGGCATCCTGGCCTTTCTGCACCAGACTCAGGACTTCTTTATCCATCAGCGGTGTATCTGGGCGATGATTGTCATCGTGATCGGGATGAACCCGACGAGCGGACAGACCATGTTCGGTTTCATGGCTCGGATCGCAGCGACTGCCATCTCGTTAGTTCTGAGCTTGGTTATCTGGTACATCGTGGATCAAAAGACTGCAGGAGTCATCGTATTCCTGTACCTCGCCAATGTCTTCGAGGTATGACCCCCAGTACCTTTCCTTTCTCGGATCCCTGTCCCCATCCTTACTATCCTACCCTGACCACCACCCACCACCCATTACTAAGAAAGCAAAAACAGTACTACTTCTACATCAAAACCCCCCAATACTTCGGCGCGGCCGTCATCTCCATCGTAACCCTAAACGTGATCATTGGGTACGAGCTGCAAGTCCGAAAGCTCGGGCTCGAAGCAGCCACCTCCAACGGCCAACCCTACTACCCGATCTACCTCTTCGGTCCATACAAACTGGCCGCCGTGGCCGCTGGCTGCGCGATCTCTTTCTTCTGGGTGATTTTCCCGTACCCGATCACGGCTAAATCGACGCTTCGGAAAGCGCTGGGAAGGGGGCTTTTCGTCCTCGCGAGGTTTTATAGTTGTATGCATACTACTGTTGAGATGTGGTTGGTTAGTGGGGAGGTGGTTCACCATAACTATGAGCAAAGCCATAGCAGGGACAACAGCGATGCCAACACTGCCACCCCCCAGGTTGATAATACCATGGACTCAACACGCTCCGCCCTCGAAACCGCCCTCCACAACATCTTCAAAGAAGAAATGATCCTGCTGAACCAACTCCGCATGCACAGTCACTTTAGTACCTTTGAGCCTGCCATTGGCGGAAAATTCCCGAAACCGGTCTACGACAACATCATTGGCGAGATTCAACGCATGTTGACTAGTATGGCCTTGATGGCGCAGACGACGCGGACGTTGGATGCATTGGCTCCAAGGAGTACTACCACCATCCACCCAGAGAGTAACGATAATGAGATCAGCAACGACAACGACAATGATAACGAAAATAAAAATCAAAATTCATGGATATCCCGCCTCGCTACCATCGCCCTGCACTCCCCCGATTTCACCTCCCACGCCACCACATCCCTGCTCTGCCATCTCTCCGCATCTTTAACAAACGCACAACCCCTACCACCATATCTCTCAACAGGCGACTCGTTTCCGCTAGCGCGCGAGCTGCAGAAAATCGACGGCGAGATGTTGAGTATTCGACATGTTGAGGATCCGGCGTTCTCGGCATTTGTGACCCTTGAGGTCCTCCGATCTGTGGTAGGGTTTGGGTTGAGGGGGTTGGTTAAGGATGTGAAAGGGTTAGTCGGTGAGCTAAGTTTCAATTTCCATGGTCGACGGGACTCTTTGGAATGGGCTGAGTCGAGACGGTTGATATCGGATCGTGATTAGGGAGCTGGTTTGCTTATATATACTTAATGGCTGTATTGCTGAAGGGATTGGGTTAGACAGTGTAAGATAATAATTAGACATCTGCATATATTTACAAGAAATTTCTATAGGAACTCAGTGGGATACAATATGAATATATGCCTTGCTGTGAAACTCATTGCAATACCGGTTTTGACAATGGGGATATCCATCGCATCTCCTCTGGACAACTTAGATCCATGGAGATGATGCTGTTGGCATTATTGTTAAGGCACCGAGAAGCATTGGGTAGTTGGTGCTTCGAATGAATGCGATAGGTAAGAATCAAATTATCTGAACATTGATAAAGTGTGATCATTAGACGGAGCATCTACTAGATCGAATGGTACTAAAGAACGTGTACATCATTTCAATGTTGGTGCCTTACTGCCTTGTCACCTTTCGGCCTTGGTGCCTCGGTGGCTCTATGCCTGGGTGCCTGGGTGCCCGGTTTCTTTGTTGCATTGCTGCCTTGTTGCCCTACTGCCTGAACATCTGGTATCTAGTAGATCGTAAACGACCGTTATCTCTACTTCAGATTACAAGTGAGAACCATATCGTGTCCATAAATCAGTCAATTTGACTATCTGCCATGAATGCATTATTCACATTAACATTAATTTAATCTGTCGTTCTAGATAGGTCTGTGCCAGCACAGTCAGTCCTGCTGCACGTATTTTCTTTTCTGTTTTACAACGGTTTCGGCGGTGGGGACGAGGCAGAAGAAACAACTCCTTCCGCATCTCTCAAGGTCGTGTATCCCACCATCTCGAGAAGATAGCGCTCTCGCGACAGCAGAACCTTCCGCCCCGCGCCTTCCAGGAACACGCGACAAAGATCCCGCAGAGTTGACTGCTCGGCAGTCGACACGAGCAGCAGATGACACGGCGCCAGGGAGATCTCGTTATGTTCGGGCGACGAGCGGAAGATGTTCTCGTGCAGAGAGGCCGGGACGCATTTATCGTGCGCAAGCCAGGCACACAGAGAGTCAAAGAGGTCGTTGTTGACGATGAATTGGATGAGGGTGTCGAGGGAGGTGCAGTCTAGTTCGGGCGACGGGAGGGGTTCCAGGGCGTTGTAGAGCGCGATGGTACTAGCCAGGCTCTCGAAGAGGAGGGTGTGTTCCTCGTCGTCGCCCGTGTCACTACTCTCCTTGCTGGACGCGGGCTGCAGCAGAGTGTGATTCGCCGGCGAGGCCAACGGTCGGTCGTAGCCTAGCTGGACTCGCCAAAACCGATTGCACCCCACTTGGAGCACCATGCAGGGGATCAACACCACGTATCCCCACCACATGCGAGCCGTGACCATGGACGCGGCGCCGGCAATGAGACCCGTCGTGCCGGAGATGACAGCGTGCCACTGGAACCGGCGGAAGCGGAGTTTTAACCGATCGCGAAACGTCGCCACGGCAGGGGAGCTCGTCACGGCGTCGACGTGACGTTGGAATCGCCAGACTAGATACGCGGACCAGATGGCGTTGATGAGGCCAAAGGCCGCGGCGAATGCGTTTCCTACAAACCCGGACAATAGATTACTGGCATGGAAGACGCGTGGGTTAGCGCCCCAAATGGCCATGAGGGCGCCCGTCCCAACCAGCAGGGCCCCGATGCCGAGAAAGATATCCATGGCGATCCGGTCGATGAATTCGGTGCCGAGCTCGCGGAACCCGACGCCAAGGCGGATATCAATGAGATTAACAAGATCGGTGTCGGCCGTCGAGGCCGACGACGCGGTGAGGCAGTGATGGCGTAGGGATTTCAGGTACTGGCGCTCGGAACGTAGGACCCGCACGTTCTGCCAGCTGAGAAAGCCGTCACGGACGGCTACTGCGGCCATCATCAGGGCCAGGGGGCCTCCGATAGCCATCAAGATCATCGCATGTCGGGGCACCGGGATCTGGTTCCAGACGTTGGCGGCGAAGTCTCCCGCATTGGCAAACTCTAAGTAACCGGTGCTGGCCAGCAGGCTGTTGCGGTACCATGGGGGGTGGACCAGGTGCAATCCTTTTCGCCGGGAGCGTTTGTGGCGGACAAAACTGACGATGGGGAAGTGGTCGGTCTCTTCAGTCTCCTCATGATGGGCGGCTTTAGAGGCGGTAGAGGAAGGAGGAAGCTGCGAGGGGGACATGAGGGAGTGGGGGAGAGACGCGGCTCATCCCGAGGAAGGTGAAGCCCGGGGGGGGGAGGGAGGAGAAGAAGAAAGAAAAGGAAGAAGGGTAGGAGGAAGATAAGAAAAGAAGAAGAAAAAATGAGGATGACGACGATGGTGAAGAAGGGAGAAAGAAAGTCAAAGCGGCATCTACCGGTGGGGTGGGCTAAACGGGAGAGAGGTGAAAGGAAGGGAGGAAGAAAGAGGGCGAGCGAGAGAAATTTATGCGAGGACGAAGAATGTCGGTCTGCCTCGGGGTGGGAGAGACTATCTTGAGTGGCCCCGGGGAGAGAAGCTTAGTCTTGCCCTGTAGGGCTGAAGTGGATTCGCTGCAGGCAATCGTGATTTTTTCTGATGTATAGCGGTTTTCCTTTATGGTATGCCTCCGGGGGATATTTCGGATTTAATAGAAATAGTAGGAAAAATCATTGACCGGCAAGCTGTACTTCTGCCTAACCCTTCCAAACCAAGCATCGGTGGGCCCCTCCTGAGAACGGGGATGCCCTTGGTTTCTCCAATCGAGGATCGTGAAGGCTCGCCGTGAATCAGGATTCTGGTGGATCACGGAGTCTCGGAATTTCTTGCTTCAACGAGGGCTCGAATTGTGATCGGTCGCTTCCCTCCTTCATTTGCTGATGTGTCCCTTGGTTGACGAATGCCACTAGTCTCGTTTACTCGCGTCACCCAATTTCCCATCATCCATTCATAGACTCTTTTCATTGTCCACTTAGCATACACATGTTTTCAAAAATAAACTAGAGAAAAAAACAACAACAATTGTCTACGCTCCCTTCGCATCTTTCACGGGCTTACTCTCCGAGCTCAATGCCTTGATCAGCCGAACGCCTGCGTCCGCTGTCTCCTGCTGAGGCCACGACCAGAATTTCTCTGATTTTCCGTTGCCATTTTGTTCTCCGTGCAGGGCTTCCTCGGAGCCCGTCTTCACGTCGGTAGAGGTGGTGTAGACGCTGACCCGGTCCTGGAAGCGCACCTTGGTCTTGCTGCGCGGAGACGCGCATTCCGAGAAGGTATCCAGGTACGCCTTGCGGACTGCATACCGTTTGGCCGATTCTCGTCGTTTGACCCCCTCCGTCAATTTCTGCAAGCCCGTGTGCACTGCGTACCGCACCATCAGGTAGGCCCATTCTGCCACAAGAATAGACAGGAGTAGCGAAGTAGTATTCACCTCTTGCATTCCGTCGCGGTACAAGTATACAATGGCGGCCGTGGACAAACATCCGAGCCAGGTGAGAAGTTCTAACCCTTGCAGTGACGGTCCTATCGAGTCGGCACGGATAGGCGGCGGTCGCTGACACTCCAGACTCAGTTTGAAGAAGTCGCCGCGCAACTCCAGCCAGTTATTGGCTAAGAATCCTAGAGGCACCAAAGGCCACGATATGCCGAAGAGAGCTAGATACCCGTATTGAACGGCCATCTCCAAGATATCTTCATGCACGTCGTACTCGTCTGCTTCGGTCTCGTTCCGAACGCGCGTGAGAAAGCCGGCCTCGTCGGGCAAATCGGCCAACAATCGATCGGTCTGTTTCGAAAGGTTCCTGGCGTGGCCTGCCGTTCCTCGCTTTTCGCGCCAATCACGCCATTTCTGCAATAGCACGCGTTTCGCGTAGGGAAACACCACCTCCTCGCCAAAGTTGAGAGCCTGTGCGGTGATAGACAGCGAGATAACCTCCTGCTGCAATCGAGAGGTGTCAATGTGCACTTGCGACGGGTTCAGGGTGTTGGACACCCCTCGCACGCTGAACACGTCGAGATACGGCAGGATGCGCTCGCCAAACGGGACGTACACAAAAGCGGTCAGAATGGTGGGCAGGAACGCCGTGATGAAGTGCATGACAAAAGTCTTTGACGTCTGAGCTAGGTCGTACTGGTCCTGGGTGCGGTAGTTCTCGTACTTGGTCAACCGGAGGGCGACCCGGGTGAGCACGTTGGTGATTGAAGGCAGCGAAAGGGAGAAAAGCACGGTCGGCAGGAACTCCAGGTAGCTCTTGAAGGGGCCGTTGTACACCTCAGAAATGAAAACCTCCAAAGCAAACGAGGCCACGATCAGCGTTCCGAGTGCCAAGCTTGCGACCGTAGCAAAAGGAATCAACAGGAGCTGGCGAAGAAGCTGCTTGTGGGCCGAGAAAACACGCACTGTCTCTCCGCTGATGGGATTCTTGATCTCTTTGTCCCAAACGTATTGCACACGATTCACCTTCAGGGCACCCACACCTTTCACGTTCCATCGCAAGCTAAGCTCGGTCTCGCGAATCTTCCAATATTCAACAAAAACGATGCACCACAGACAGTTGACCACGGCGCCGGCGACGGAATAAGGACCCAGATAAAGCCATGAAAAGACGCCCCATGCGGCGGGGAAGAACAGGAAAGTCGAATAGCAATGGATGAAGGCGTAGTAAAAAGCAACCTAAAATCACAATTACCATTAGCCCTCCAGACAAGACGTAAAGAAAAATGCAAAAAGAATCCAGGAAGATAATACCCACCTTCTCGCCATACAAAGCTCTAATAGCGTCCAGGTCATCCGGTGTCAAAAGTATCGACCGGCTCCATTTCCGCAACAGCTCAGCGTTTGCGGCCGGGTCGTGGAGCGGGATAGCCGCGGTGACATGCTTCCAGGGACCATGCTGCGCCGTGATGCCAGCACCTCCCAGCGACTTCTGCCACGTCACTGCGTGGTATACCGACCGGAGTTCTTCGGCAGGGCTTTCGGATTCGGCGATCGTTTGGTCGTCGCCAACGGGCAGCTCGTGAGCAATTCCATATAGCCAGTCTTTCACACTATGCGAATTTGTCAGCAAGATGAAGGTGTGGTGTTAATTGCAAAGGAATCGTGGATGGCGGACCGAGATTGATGGACCATTTTTCCTAGGTGATCGCGGGGTACCCGAATGAACACCAGCAGCGAGGAGCCATGACCATGGCGGACCTGGGTCTGTAGATGGGCTTCTTCGAGATCATGGATGAGGGTACGGAATTCTTCGACGGCCTGGGTAAATTCTACCGACGTCAGTACGGATTAAACATGAACGGGGTACGAATGGTTCACGCGGGGCGGCAACCTACCGAGATTCTCAAAATCATAGCGAACCACCCAGTCCACCCCCAGATTATCGGACTCCGAGTGATCGGGAGGGCCGTAGGCGGAAAAGAACGCCATGCCAAAGGTGTATACGATTGAGGAGAGTTGAAATGGGTCAGAAAGGAGGAAGGAGAGAGAGAACGGGCATCATCTCAGCGGATGATTTTTTTTAAAGTGGTACAAGAAAGTGATGCTGAGGTGGAGAGAGGAAGAGAGCCAGGAAGAGAAGATTGGCGAGCAAGGGATGGGATTCCCCCACAAATGAGCGTCTGACAAAGCGCTGGCGATCGATTGCCCAGGGTTATTTTTATTTTAGTTTGGAACTGGAAGGAAACCAACAGCAGCGATGATGAAATAGGGATATTTTTTACCTTCTTTTTCTTTTTTTTTTACGGGGGGAGTAAGGTACAGTAAACACTAAACAGTCTACCGTGGAAAGCGCCGAGGATCCGTGCCAAGCTTCAGCCCTACAAGGCATGGCGGTAATACCATATCTCCTTCACTGTACGGAGTACTTGAGGTTGTTCTTACGGATCTGAATGCCTAGGTAGGAAGTCAATTGATTAACAGTAGAACGCTGATGCTGTCACTCCCAATCTCCCGCTGGTTCATCTTAAAATAACTGATCCCTCAAATCTATTCCACCCAAACCCCATAGTTTGGCCACACTATCTCTACTAACCCCGTACCCTCTTTCCAGCATCGGTAAGCGCCAGCTCCTGGTAAATGGCTGCCTAGAGCCACCGTCGAATATTCCAGGACCACCGTTCCAAGCGAAGCCAATTCCTTTCTACGCCAGAAATGAGTCCTCATATCCCCCGCATCGTGTGGCCTCACCGGGCTGTTGAAAGTAAGGGGGATGTCTGCGATGCAATGCACCTCCCTGTCGTGCATCTGTCTATTCTGATTTCCACTCCAGAGGCAAACGATGAACTGGCAGTACCTACAGAGTAGATGCTCTGTAATCCTGTTTAAATACCTGAGTAAAAATACCTAACCAGCCGTGCGGTGTATTTGCAAAGCAGAATGTTGCTGCCTGCGCGGCCGTCCTTGCTTTCGGCCACAAATCCGGGATAGTGTCGGTGGGGCAGCGGGTCCAGGGCCCCCTTCCTCCACTCCCGGTCCAATAACGGGCACATCCTTGCGGCTTTCCTTTCAATCGTTACCTGCTAAGGCTACAGGGCTGCTCCACCCGTAGGGATGGGAAATGGGATTGCATAATTTCGATGCCTGCTGCTTCCTCTTCAGTCCGAGGATTCCGTTAAATTTCTATCCCACACAGGATTTCGTGATCGAGATAACTCATATCCGAGGCTGTTCTCGGCTTCCTCGGAATTGGGCGTCTGCATCCATGTTTATTATTAACTCAATCCCACCCCTTCGATCGATCCAGTTGTAAACCGAGTAAGGCACTCCGTAGACCTCGCGGATACCAGTTAATTGATCATAACTACAGTACTTAATGTCGGACCGACGGTCTGCTTCTCGAAGTTCATGAGACGCCTCTAATCAAACTGCTCGTACTCCGTACAGATCTGGTCTATCTATCTACATTCTCGACATTTCCCTTCTATTCTGAAACGGCTCCGTATTCGGGGTGATATATAAACACCCGTCACTTGACCTCTATCTACGTCATAAGTGGCTATCCTACTCAGTACAGGTGGCAATCAACGACTACTAGTTTCGACGCACCTCCCTGTCCATCCCGCCAATCCTCCTATTCTTGTTACCTTTGACTTAAATGGAGAGGAAATCAATGCTGTCATCTACCCTTGAAACAATGGCCCGTCGATTCTTTCCCGGACAGAACGCCGCCTTCGGGCTGAGCTTGTTTCTATTTACGTTCATGTTTCTGCCTACCCTGGTCATGCTATTGGCTGTCGTCGTCGTTGTCATCATGTATTACCCGCGCCTGAGGAAGACGAACCATGCAGAGTAGAAAATCGACGATCCAATTTCGGTGGGTTTGATCCGTGGCGAGTGTGGTGCTCTCAACAACACTAATAAACAGGCGCTTACGGATAGTTTGTTCCTTGTACACTACCTACGCGACGCATTCTACGAGTGACACGATCGGGTCGAATTAGGGGGATACATTTGTTGACCAGGGAAGAATATTCGTTTTTCTTTTTGTCTCTCTCTCATATATCTTGTATTATATGTTTCTCCTTTTTTTGTTTTGCTGTTTGTCTTGGTCGATTTGATATCTGTCCGTCCAACCACCAACCCCTTTTCCAGTATCCCCTAACTATTCCGTGCTCACTTCTTCTCCTTTTATTTTTAAACAACCCGGTCCTCACGAACGCTCCTTAATGATCAATAGAAATTCAAATACAAGCCTCTCCCAAACCGCGAATAAAACGCCAAATACCACTTTGTACTCCCTGGATGATACAGTGTAACCCACTATATCCCTGTCACTTAGTTTCTACCCGAAGACTCAAGACCTAGGCCGCGTTTCTTTTGGATTTCCTAGTCGGTTCTCTCCCATGAACCCACTGGACGGACAAGCCCGGCCAAGACAGTCGGGACTCGGTCGCCCAAGAGCCGAGATCGAGGCTTGGTGTAACGGCGATCGACATACCCAAGGGCCAAGACTGATGATCGGACCAAGTATCTAAGAAGCTATTGGATGTGTCTTGGCCAGTGACATAGACGGTTACGCCGGTAGTAGGAACCTGGCCATAGTAGTAGAGGTAGTTACTGATTTAGACAGCTGCAGTGTGTTCTCTGTATCGATGCCTTATCGCCTTAGCGGGTAGCTATAGGTCAGTAACTGAGTGATCGTTCGGGTGCCCGTGTCCAGTGAAATCTTTTCGCCGTTGTCGCGCCTCACTTCCGGGCGTGGGCGTTGCTATTGACGGGCTGACAGCCGAGGAATGCGGAGTTGGTGAGTCGTGCAGGTGCATGTGCCGATGGTTTGAGGTGGTGCTTGGCTTTGTTTTATGGTTGGTAGTTGAGATATCCATGGTTACTAGATAGGGGATTTTGCCGATCGCTTTTCCCTTCGTTTTCCCGGGGGCTTTTGGGTTGCTTTCTGGTACCTAGGTGAGGCTTGCCTATCTAGCTAGACTTGGAAGCGTAGGTATACCTTCTTGGACAGAAACAGGTAGCCTCTGCGGGTCATTTTTATGGTCTGGTTCCGCGCGGGATATAGTAGAACGAAATTCATATATCGAGAAAATATTCCAGCAAGAGCAGATCTTACCGCTTCCCCAACTTGGATACTGCATCCAATGTCGAAAGCGCTTTGAATCAGTCGTTTTCCAATATAAATTGCCAGGTGCATATATAGACACCAGACCCGATAATGCTTGCCGCAAAGTGATCAAGTAGATAGTGAACACTATCATCTTCTAAATCCACATATTAGATAAATAGATAAAATCAAATCCCAACTCCAACCCATCCTCCCACACAAAAGAAACCAAACATACGCACATAAAAATATCATGACCTACTCCCCTCCGTCAAGGGAATCTCATCAGCCACAACAGTCACCTCCACCTTCTTCACAATCCCCCCAGAAGTATGCCGATCCAAGAACTCGCGATCCCCCGCAAAGATATGCGTCATATTCGTCAAGACATGCCGTTCCACACCTTCCTCGCCCACCACATCCCGCTGCTGCATGTAGGGCGTAATCCATTTCGATTTCCAATCTTGCGTGAATCGACTAGCGCTGGCGCTGAATAATGTGTTGTTAAGTGTGTTAGAGCCGTTCGCGATTCGGGTATGTCGTTTATATAGGTTGAGGACACGCGAGGTGAATTTTCGGACGAACCAGACGACGAGAGGGCGGAGGCAGGGTATCGAGGCGGTGATTAGCACCGCGCCGGCTTCGATGAACATCCATCGGAGGAGAGTGACGCGGTTGGTGCGTGGGTTTCGTGAGAGCATGATGGTTGGGTATTCGATTGTTTTGACGAGGGAGGCGGCCATTGCGCTGTGGGGATCGCTTAGGGGTGGTGGGTTCGAATTTGAGGAGAGGAATGGGAATGAGGATGAGGGTGCAAATGGGGATGGGAAAGAGGAGAAGAGCGTACACGATTCCTAAGCTGAGGAGGGAGATCAAGACGAGTTTCACGCGGACGGTCCAGTTGAAGCGCCAGAATGTGTATACGGGGAAGACGGCGAGGAGGAGATCGCAGGCGGAGTTGAATGCTGTTCTCTCGTCTGTGAGCTGGGTATGTCAAGAGGGCGAGGGAGGGAAAAGACCAGCCTTATCTCCTTGGAAATAACCACATTTGATTTGAATATCCAACGACTGACAATAGGACTGCTTTCCTGGACTGAATAGCTCTCCCAGGTGGATTGAACACTGGAAGAACAGTAGGAACACGCTTACGGCGCTGATGACGATTTGGAAAGGGATAAGAAGCCATAGCAATATCCTGTGCAACGCGCGAGCGGCGAGCAACTCAATCAAGTAGAGAATGAAGTCAATGCGCCCGGCTGTCGCAGCCAGTACGACGATGGCCTGGCGGATGGCGGAGTATTTGAGTGCTTTGGCTTCATGATCATGCCCTTGAGAGCCGATAGCCAGCCCGTACCCGAAGTCAACAGCTACATTGGATATCGCAGCGGCGATAATTAGCAATACCTAGGGATATTAGTCCGAGTAAACGAAGGGCCGGACAGCGACAGAAAAACAGAGGGACTAACCAAGCCAAATAACGTCACCAAATCGCTGAGCTGGAAATTGCCGAATTTATAATTGTTCACAGACCGAAGAACGACAGCCACGATCGATAGCCCAGTCAGAGCTGATCGACGGTTAGTGAATCTGGAGTAATAGAGGAAGCGATGGATTTCATTTTCCGAGGAAAGAATATCCACTGCCAAGACATAAAATGCGAGTGCCAAATTTTGTAGTCATTTCCTGTGAAGAAGTGGTCGCCAATATTATGAACTGTCTCATTAGCTCCTCGTCAGTGGCAAGGCTGAACAGGCGGCATTGTTCAAACTAGACGAAGATTTCGAAGCGCCCTGGTTACCTGTTGGTTAGCAGCTTGATGAGGATAAAGAAAAGGATGTCTTGGGTTGATATGTGGTAACTTTGATTCCAACCTGAGAGTGGGCTATTATAAAACTCTTGAAGCAAAGCCTGTAATAGGCAACGGCGGAGATATCCGGTTGCTTACAACCAGCATACATATTCTGACCGCAGATCTGCAAGAAATAACTCCAGTTAAAAGTTCGTTTCGTTTGTAGATCGAATTGCATATTTTATTTCTTTCCCACAACAGGCATAAGTCACGTTAACGAATTCAGCCATCATATAGACGGCCTTCAACGGTTCAGAATCGCTCAATTCGAGTGATACAGTGAGGAGACTCGAGAGCCAGATAGCTTTCTTGCAGGTCTTGAGCTAGACAAAGAAGAAGATAGTTGGAATTCTCCAAACAGGGAACAACTATCAGGGTCGGTTTTAAGCAATGATAGGCACAAGTGTTAAATCGAGAGATAGAACGGGGCGGACGGAGGGTAAAGCGCTGGTGGGGGTGGAGTAAACACGCAGAATGTGTGTAGCAGCTACTCGTTACTTCATTGGATATTGATGTTTTTTGATGCGTCTGTTGCTTTGAAAGTGATTTGGGCGTTCGACACGAGAATCTTTTTCGTTCGGCGACGCTTGCGTAGTAGCCCAGTGTGCCAATGAGAAGGTTTCATCAGGCCAATAGATTTTGATCTAATCATTGAAGGTTGAATTAACAATTTCAGGTATTTCATCACGGCCATAGTTAATCTCAAGAACAAGTGCCAGTGACTACCTTGACAGGGAATTACAAGTAGAAGAGTGGCCGTTCATGCGATGATCAGCAAGTAAATGTATCCACCGAGAGGCCAGAAAAAAACCCTCGACCCACCTGTCATACACAGTGTATTCAGCCCTATCACTTTCTCGCCAAATCCTATTCACCTGTAAGTGATGCAATGTAGAGTCTAGGCCTTACCGGGAAGTCTAGAATCGAGATAAATCTCTCATTCCTGAGTTACTCGGGTCGGACTGGTCCGTCGCGCTCACGAATCGTTGGCTAGATGTCACTCGGGAATCATCATAATCGTTCTTGTGCAACATCAAAGATTCAATTGAGAGACACAATGAGATAATCAAAGTAATAGATCCGGCCGAAACGCGGACTGGGACACGCACTCACTGTTTACTAAGGGATTGTAGCGAGGAATGCAACGTCCGAAGGCAGCCAAATCATACATTCCAGATCCCCACACCACGACGTCATAGACTTTCTTCCGGGCTCTAGACAGTCACTCAGGCGGATTTAATTGGGATATAATCATGGCATTGAATTGTATTGTTTAAATTGTGGAAGACATTGCGAGCTTATGACGTTGATTGAAAATTATCGGTATTCCTTTTCCCACAGACAATGATGGGTGAATGAATGTGCCTAAAGTCATGACCTATTTATATCTCTCAAACTTTTTCAGATGAACTGACTTTTCTTGCATCAAATCTCTTCAAAACGAACCCCCTCCCGGAGGAATATCAAGTATCTACCATTCTTTTCCATACCATCTCTCAAAGAATCCAACCATACATGCCTAATCCCCCCCTTCTTTTCCGGACTCATCCATGTCCGAACTTCGTCGCGCCAGCCAAATCAGCCAAAACTCCCTCATCAGCTACCGCAGCGTAGCATCCAGCCCCAGTCCAGAAAATGTCGGGTCACCAGCAAGACAAAACTCACCTCAGACACCGCCGCAGGACCCATCGCATCCGCGATCGTCGCCCGTTCATCGCGTGCGTTTCGGCTCTGATATGAGGTTCGAGTATGGTGATACAGAGGACACAGAAAGTACAGAGTATACAGAGGAGGGGGAACAAGAAGAAGATGAGGATGAAGGAGAGCCTGGCCCGGCGGTGGAAGAGGATGTTGAAACCAGTCCTGGACCCCGGCTGGAGGGCCTCGGTCATGGTCATATTCGCGCCCGTCATAGATCATCGTCTACCCAAGGCTCTGGGTCGGTGGATATTACAGAAGCGGGTGGACAGCCAGGGATTACAAACCAGCGCTCACTGAGCTGGCATACGGAATTGCCTCGACGTGAGGGGTCTGGAGAGACGGGGAATGGGCGGAGAGCGTCGCTCCTGGCAAGAGTTAATGGTATCAGACACGCGGTGGTGGATCGCACGAGACAGATCGCGGCGAAATTGGGTCGACCACCGGGGGATGATGAGGATGGGAGGGTGAAGTCGACGACGGCGTTGGTCGGGTCTGAGACACCGCGATCGGAGACGACTTCCCACGATCTGATGAATGGCAGGCAGGAAGATGAGAAAAATGAAGGCTATGGGCCGGATGATAGAAATGGAGGTGAAACAAACGATCGCAATAATGGCAATGGGCGTTCTCGAGGCCATCGTCGAAACCAGAGCTCAACCAGCTCCGAGGCACACAGGCTGGTGCGCGAGATGACGAACGAACAGGCCAATCGACATAGTGCACATAATCGTGGTCACCCTCAAATTCAACCTGAGAGCCATGATCTGTTGGCAGTTACCGGTGGAGGGGGCATTCTATCTCATCTACTGCGGCTGAATGCAGCTGCGAATGTCCCAGACAATGGTCACAATCTTTCCTCGACCGAACCAAATACCCCTGGATTGTTACCGAGTAGCAATCTTGGAACAGGGGCGATGACTCCACGGAAAGAAAAGCGGAAGTGGTATCACAAGCAGCACCAAAACGTGTCCACTCCGACTCTCATAGCCATGGGCAGCACTATCCCGTCCATGAATGTCAGCGGCGCCAGCACACCTGTATCCAGTGAGGTCTTGACGGCCGCATCCAAACGGCGCAGTAAGCACTCCAGCGGTGCAATGCGTCTGGAAGATGAGATCCAGGTGACTTTGCAGATTGCGCAGATCATCGCGCGCCAGCGATACATCATGCAGCTTTGCAAGGCCTTGATGCGGTTCGGGGCGCCCACCCACCGACTTGAAGAGTACATGCATATGACGGCGAAGGCACTTGACGTTGAGAGTCAGTATCTTTATGTCCCTGGATGCATGATTATGTCGTTCGACGACGCAGCAACTAGGACCGCCGAAGTGAAACTTGTCCGGGTCGTGCAAGGGGTCGACCTCGGACGACTGGCCGACACGCACAACGTGTATAAGAACGTGGTGCATGATGTGTATGGCATCGAGGAGGCCATCCACGAGCTGGAGGAGATTATGAACAAGAGCCCTCGGTTCAATAAATGGGTCATCGTCTTGGTATATGGACTCGCAACCGCCATGGTCGGTCCATTCGCATTCAACGCCCGCCCTATCGACATGCCCGTCATCTTCTTCAACGGCTGCCTGTTAGGAGTCATGCAGCACGTTATCGCCCCGCGCTCCGCCCTATACTCCAACGTCTTCGAAGTCTCAGCCTCTGTCCTGACCTCGTTCATCGCCCGTGCCTTCGGCAGCATTGTCACTTCATGGCCTAAAGGCACGCCCGACCGACTGTTCTGCTTCTCCGCCATCGCCCAGTCCTCCATCGCCCTGATTCTCCCTGGGTACACCGTTCTCTGCAGCAGTCTGGAACTGCAAAGCCATCAAATTGTGGCCGGATCTATCCGCATGGTCTACGCCATCATCTACTCCCTCTTCCTCGGTTTCGGCATCACCGTTGGCACAACCATATATGGACTCATCGACCCCTCCGCAACGTCAAACACGACCTGCCCAAGCGCTGGTGCCTTCCCAGACCCCTACCTCCAACGCTTTCCCTTCGTCGCCGCCTTTGCCCTCTGTCTGATGATCGTGAATCAGGGCAAATGGAAGCAATCCCCGGTCATGGTCGTTATCGCTCTAGCGGGTTACATCACCAATTACTTCGTCACGAGGCGTCTGGGCACGACCTCCCAAGTCGCCAATACCGTCGGCGCATTCACCATCGGCGTCATTGGTAACTTGTACAGTAGACTCTGGCATGGCCATGCGGCGGCAGCCATCCTACCGGGGATCTTCGTCCTCGTGCCGAGTGGACTGGCGGCGACGGGGTCGCTGGTCACGGGCGTCGAGACGGCGGATGAAACAAGATCGAATGCCACGTCGCATGGCAGTGCGAATCAACAGGGTCAAGGTACTGGCCCGACTCATGATATTTCGGTGCAAATATTGGGATATGGCATGGTACAGGTGGCCATTGGGATTACGGTGGGACTGTTTGTGGCAGCATTGGTGGTTTATCCGCTGGGAAAGAGGAGGTCAGGATTATTTAGTTTTTAGTTATGCATTAGATGCTGATATCATAGAGATTGTGATAGAAAAAATAGTGCTTAGTTTCATAGCGTTGATTCAGATACAACACAGCTGTTGCATTTTACTCCATAGGAGAGGTTTCGATCCTCCACAAGGATTCTCTCATAATTAGAGCCACTGACAAACTCAACAGAATATAAATGTTCAACTACCTACAAAACCGCAAGAAACAAGCACCCGTAGAACGGTAGTGTACACCTGGCCGAGGGAGGCCGCAACAGCACCACATTTCGACGAAAACGGATGCGGGCGTTGAGTTTAGACTTTCATTACAAGAGGAATGACAGCTTCTGCACTGTCGGACTTTCCCCCTATCCACTTTAATAAACGGTTCATGAGAAACCCTAATCGCATTATCTCATCTTGACCTCAACGGCGTGAGTTCGAGGTGCTGCCACATTATCATCACCAAACACGGAACCCGAGGTCCGGCCTATCACCATGGATCTTGGCTTCATTGTCCGTTCTGGTCTCACCAATTTCAAAATGGTCTGGGGTCTAGACAGTCGTGACGTCAAGAGGCCCTCACAAGGCGGGCTTATATAGTCAATCGGTGGGTGAATGCTGAGCTATCTATCTACTCAGCTAAACTGAGCCCCCCTCGCTGTGCTAAACTCCCTGCCTAGTAACACCTACCCGTCTCTTTCTCTAGCTATCGACAATGGTCTCCTTTCCGCGACGATTCCTCCGCCGTCAGCGGCACGAGGATCGCCAGACCACTCCGCTGGTGGTTTTAAACCGCCAGCTTCCCATGCTGCATCTGCAGGACACGGCGCGGAACAATTGCATCGCCACGCTGGGCGAGTTCGTTGGCACGTTCCTCTTCCTGTTCTTTGCGTTTGCGGGCACCCAGGTCGCCAATACGCCGAAGCCCGTGGAAGGCGCATACCCGAATACCTCGAATCTGCTGTATTCGTCGTTGTCGTTTGGGTTTTCGTTGATGGTGAACGTGTGGGCTTTCTATCGCGTCACGGGGGGATTGTTTAACCCAGCTGTATGCATTTGAGCCTCCTTCCCTGTCTGCTTGCCTGTCTGTTCAGTTGGTGAGACTGGCGGATGGATGAAGAATCCTGACGAGCATACAGGTCACTCTCGCGCTGTGCCTGGTCGGAGGCATGTCGCCTCTCCGAGGCGGACTGGTCTTCGTAGCGCAGCTCGTGGCCGGGATCGCGTCTGCGGGCGTTGTCAGCGCCCTATTTCCGGGCGATTTGAACGTCGGGACGCGGTTAGGCGGCGGGGCTTCGATCTCGCAGGGCCTGTTCATCGAGATGTTTCTGACCGCGCAGCTAGTGCTGGTCGTGATCATGCTGGCCGTGGTGAAGCACAAAGCGACCTTCTTGGCGCCCGTGTGTATTGGGCTGGTCTTCTTCGTGACGGAGATGATTGGTAGGTTTCTCCCGGCTGAAGAACCTACACCATACATAAATACTAACCCCATCTTCTCCATCCAGGCGACTACTACACCGGCGGCTCCCTGAACCCTGCCCGCTCGCTCGGCCCGGACGTCATCAACCGCAGCTTCCCAGGCTATCACTGGATCTATTGGATCGGGCCGCTGCTGGGCTCGCTACTGGCCTGTGGGTTCTATACCATGATCTCGAAGTTCTCATATCATACCGTCAACCCGGGTCAGGATTTCAACGAGTGGGAGGCAAAGCTGGGTCCTGGGTCGTGGGACAACGCTATCCACCGTTTGTCATTGTCGGATACTACCACGCTAGACCATCCGCAGTCGCCGCGTGCTGGAGGCCATCGAGCCAGTCATCTCAGTCACGCGGATAATGTGAGTCCGGATGGGGAACAGAGAGTACCTGCCATGCCGGGGTCGGAGGAGGTGTAATCAGTCTACTGTCGTGGTGATGGTTGGTACGGGGAAACTGGGTATAGCTGTGGAAGGATTGTTTCGTTGTATTTAATTATGTGTCTCTTTGTTTTCCTCGCAAGCGAGGACGAGAGAAAGGCGCTGCTTGTGTGCATGTACACAGTACGGAGTCTCAAGTACGGATATTGAAGACTCCGTGCTGGGACGTGTGGAGGACCTGAAATTTGCGAAGACGGCCAAGTGGAGGGATCGGCGTGGTGGTGGAGATGAGCTGGACCAATCAGTGAATCTGGATAGCTGGATTGGGATCGAAATCTGGCCATTTTCCCAGGGAATTGGATCGAAGTCTGGATCGTGTGGAGGAGAGGAGTCCGGAGGGATCGTTCGGAGTGGTTTGTGTCGGGATCGAACGACTGGTGGGATAGCCAGATGCTGATTCGGGTGGGTTGCATAGGCCAAGTTGTCTCATTGCCAATTGCTGTTACTCCTAGTGACGGGTAGAATAAATTCAATCAATCCCACTAGTTCTGCTGCATGTGCTGCATACTGCAGGCTAAGTCGAGGTCTGAACACCCCCGCCTGGATCCACCTATCTGCGGTGGGCATGACGGGAGTCCAGATTAATAGGTTAATATCGGGTGAGCAGATTATGTAGAAGGGAATGTTAGGCGACGCGCCACCGGAAGAGTGGAGATAACCTCTGCCACGGAAGTATATTTCCAGTGCCTGTTTTCCAGACTGACACTGACAGTGTCGGTGACAGATAGATGAAAGCCCAAAAGAAGGACTGATAGACAGGGGGACAGCGACAGGGAAGACGGGAAGAAGGTGTCTGGAATGCGCGGATGACCAGCAAAGAAGTGTTCAGGTGGATAACATCATCGACAGGGGCTCGAGCATTCCTCCGTTAAACTTTGCGCCGGCGAGGATCCACATCGTTAGACTCCCCCTTGGCGTTTCTCTTAAGAGGCGAACCCCACGCGTCTCTCCTGCTCTCCGTCACTGTCCATTGCTGGCTTGCTGGCTGGCTTGCGCTGTTTCTCTCGTTCTTCCTTTCCTGTCTCTCGCTCTCTCTCTGTGTCTCCCACCGTCGTTGTTACGGCTTTCTTCACCGTCTTTCTTTCAATTCCCCCTTTTCAGCAGCCAAAAAATGACAAAATCGAGAGAACCGGTCGCGGAGGAATCCGGGCTGGCCGATGCGGGCGATTCCCACCTTCTAGGTGAGTCTGGCATAACATACCAGAGATATGTCGAGCGTCGAGATTGACCCCCTCAGCCAAACTCGGCTACAAGCAGGAACTCCGCCGCCAGTATTCCACCGTGCAGATATTTGCCGTCGCCTTTAGTATTATGGGACTGGTTCCTTCGATCGCATCGACTATTGCTTTCTCATTACCTGCTGGTCCGGCCGGGATGGTCTGGGTATGTTGACCCTCATCTGGTTTCAGGTCATCGCTAACTGTACCGCGCTAGGGTTGGTTCACTGCGAGTATTCTTATCTTCTTCGTAGGATTGGCATTGGTATCTTCCTATCTACCTGGAATTGGCGATCGCGGACTAATGATGTCAGGCCGATATGGCTTCTGCTATGCCCACGGCCGGCGGTCTCTACTGGTGGACGCACTATTTCGCCGGCGCCAAGTACAAGAATGCGCTCAGCTTTCTGGTCGGGTATAGCAATACCCTGGGTTTGATTGGGGGAATGTGCTCGGTAGACTGTATGTTCTCTCATTTCGCCACCTGCTTGCCTGTCTACTCCATACCGGGAATGCCTCATCATCGTATATACTAATAAGCTACCACCATCCAGACACCCTCGCGCTCATGCTCCTCGCCTGCATCTCCATCGCGCGCGACGGCACCTGGTCCGCCTCCAACGGCACCGTCTACGGCGTCTACGTCGGCTTCATCCTCATCCACGCGCTCTGCGCCATCTTCACGGGCCCCATCATGCCGCGCATTCAGACCTTCTGCATCTACGTGAACATCGGCCTGATCATCGCCACCGTGATCGCCCTGCCCGTCGGCAAGGTCACGCGCGGCGAGGCCCTGAACCCGGGCACCTACGTCTACGGCCACGTGGATAACATGACGACGTGGCCGACGGGGTGGAGCTTCGTGCTGGCGTTCCTGGCGCCGATCTGGTCGATCGGGTTCTTTGACTCGTGCGTCCATATGAGCGAGGAGGCCCTGCATGCTGCCAAGGCCGTGCCGTTGGGGATTATCTGGTCCGCAGGCTGTGCGTGCGTGCTGGGGTTCTTGGTGTTGTCGATTATCGCGGCGGTTATGAATCAGGATGTGAATGCGACGATTAACTCGGTGTATGGGCAGCCTATGGCTCAGGTATGTACTTCCGGGCGGTTTTATATCGTATAACGTTTAGCAGGGAAAGGCTAATCGGGTAAATTGGAATCATAGATCTACTACGACGCGCTCGGCAAGAAAGGTGCCCTCGGCTTCATGGGCGTTCTCATCGTCATTCAATTCCTCATTGGTCTCAGCCTGGTACATTTCCCCATTTCCATCTTTCGATGCCTCGCAAGCCTTCTTCGCCCTTTAGGTCCAGGACCATACCTAAATGATTACCTCTAATAAAAAAAAATTAGATCGTCGCCGCCTCCCGCCAAGCCTGGGCATTCTCGCGAGACGGCGCGCTCCCCTTCTCGCAATACTTCCGGCACGTCAGCAAACGCGTCCGCTACCAACCCGTGCGCGCCATCTGCGGCCTCGTCTTCGTCAGTATCATCTTCGGCCTGCTATGTCTGATTAACTCGGTCGCCGCCAACGCACTGTTCTCGCTCTTCGTCGCCAGCAACTACGTCGCCTGGGGCACGCCCATCCTATGTCGTCTCATCTGGAGGGAACGTTTCGTGCCGGGCGAGTTCTATACCGGGTGGGCGAGTCGGGGTATTGCGGTTATCGCGGTCGTCTGGTTGATGTTTGGTCTCGTGTTGTCGATGTTTCCGAGTACGGGGCCGAATCCGAGCGGTATGTGTCCCTTTTCCCTTTCTTCCTATGTTCTTGGTTTTGTGTCTGGGTTGGGCGGAAAACGAATGAATGAACGAATGATTTGCTAATGAATGACTGGGTTTAGCATCGGATATGAACTACACGATCGTGATCAACGGATTTGTTTGGATCGCGTGCATGTCGTATTACTTCCTCTTTGCGAGGAAATGGTATACCGGGCCGAAGATGACGGTTGATGAGTCTTCATCGTCGACGTATTCGGAACATTCGGGGCCAGAGAAAGAGAGAGATTAATTAATATTGTCGCTGGGCTACTATTATTATATTACGGTATGTAGATTTATAGATATGCTATAATCATATGTTCTGCTGTCTTCAATGATGGCATGGTTATGACCTACGTGGAATAGTATAGATAATTATGGAATAGGAGTGTTGAAGACAAATATACAAATATAAATGAAGGAAGGTAATGATTGAAATAAACATAGCAAAGGTATAGGTATCAGGTATCGATATGCATACATACAAAAGGAAATTGATAAGAAAACAACCCAACTCCGGTAATAGGGCCGGAGGTCTGAGACGTGAGTCTGAAACATAATAAGATGATGGTCCTTTTATTGTTGAAATTATTCACTTAATCAACCGAACACCCAGGCTCCCGATCTCGAACCGAAACGATCCGGTCCAGAGATTACCACGAATGACTGGCTTAGAGAGCAGCCATCACACCGAGCACACCGGCCATACCGGCGATACCGACGCCCAAACCGACAGGCGTGGCCTGAGCAGCAGCGCCCTCGCTGTTCGTCGAGGTAGCGGAAGCCGAGGAGTCCGAGCTGCTGGCCGACGGGGAAGAGCTGCTGCTCTCGGTAGTGGAGGCCGTAGCTGACGCACCCGAGGAGGTAGCGGAGGAGCCGGTCTCAGCGGCGGTGCCCGTGTTGCTGGATTCCGAGCCGGACGCGGTGGCTGTGGCGTCGCTGTTGGTGTGCGTGCCGTGCAGGGTGCGCAGCTCGTCGAGGTCCGAGGAGGCGCGGTCGCGTGCCTCAGAGGCCCGGCTGCGGGCGTCCGAGGCGTGGTCCGTGGCCCAAGTGCGGGCGTCCGAGGCGATGTCGCCCGCCTCGGAGGTGATGCGCGACGCGGCGGCGCCGCCGGCAGTCGAGGCCGCGTTGTAGAGAGAGGTGGCTTCCTCGACGACGTCGGAGGCGATGCTCTCGCCGCCGTTCACGGCCGTCGTGGCGATGCCCTCGGCGGCGGAGACGATGTTGTCGATGCCGTCCGGGTTGGGGTTAGGAGCGGCGAGGATGGAGGTGGAGAGGAGAGCAGTGAGGACGAGAGAGTACTTCATTTTGATGGTGTTGGATGAAGATGTGGTGGGTATGATAGGTAGTACAGTATGGATTAGATAGAGGATGTGATGTGATGTATGTACCCCGGAGTCAGGATCGATAGATGAATAGATGAATATAAATGAATAGCTAGACCCAACATAAGGAGGACCCCTGACCCCTTTTATATTTCCCTGCCCATCACCTCCATCTGATTCTCCATCGATCGGCAAAGCAATTACTCCATCGCAGGGGCGTTTCACAGTCCCACGATTGGAGTTTCCACCGGGGGGGAGGACAAGGCTACTGTGGCAATGCCGACAAACCATGGGACGATCGCAGCACGAATCCACCATGTGCAGCGGATTTGCCCATTACTTTCCCCGACAGGCTAAAGCCCATCCACCTTTTTTTTGCCCTTCTCGGTTTCCATCCAGCCTGCGTCGAGATTTGTGGCTTTGTGCATAAAATGTTTCCACTGTACCACAGGAACCGCGAACACCCGAACTCTGATGTGAAGATTTCTTCCACCCCGAATCCCATAAGGTTGTGTGGGTTTCTATGTATAGAATTGACACCTTACTCATGTCCAGGCTACAGAATTGGTTTTGAAGATCCTACGGGCCTCCGCCACGGCACTTCAATTAATATTATCATGGAGGATTATTCCTGTGCAGGGAATCTGACCGCCCCTAGTCAACGCCACATACGCACACAGGTACCACGTAGACCCTGACAGCAAACGTCACCCCAATCCCGCCTTAAAACCCTGGTTGATCCCTGTTTCGTCGAAGCCTTTTGTAGCACCATGAATCTCACCGCGACTGAATAACATCATCAGTGCTGCAGGATCCGAGAAGCAGCAGAAACCGCAATAATCGGAAGACGGCACAAAGACCCACCACGTCGCGGCAGCCGAAATTACTGCCGTCGAAGGAGTCGGTGATTTTGTTGATCGAGTGATGACGTTGGTCGGGTCTTGGCTGTGGCGATGTCCCTTTTTTTCTTTTTTTATGCTTGGTTGTGTTCGGTTTTCTTTCGGATTTGGCTGTGTTTGCCTTTCCGTATGGCTGTGCACAGGTTTGTGCATACCTCCGTGGGTATTCTTAGGTATTAAAGATGGCGATGCATGAATCTAAGCTGTTAGCTAATAGCTAGTCATGTAGGGTTGCTGCCTGTTGGGGTAAATCTTGTTCATTCTGTTGAATCGGATCGAGTTAAATTAATTTATATGGATCAGATCTGGGATCCGGCCTGTTGCCTAGACACTACTGCGTAGATGCAGTGTCTCGTGTGATGCTAATCCTGTCCACGTCCACTGTCCGCTGTCCACGGCATACATCGAAAAATCACGAATACATACGGAGTAGAGTACATTTCAATCCCTCTGCAGGGATATAAAAATAACCACCAACCAATCCCTTGGCTACTGCAGATCAATACATGACAGCAATCGTAGTCCTCTTTCCCTGGGTTTGCTGATTACTGCTTTTTCTCAAATTGCCGGTACGCCTGGATGATCGCCTCCCATCCGCCCGGATGATTCTCTTCCTTGGGATCATCCTGTCCGTCCAGTACCATCACGTCGGTCTTGCGCGTGTTGATCGAATACCAGACCAGGTTCTCCGGATCCCCGGTCACCCGCATCATATTGGTCTGGCACGCGCCGTCGCACTGCTCGCCGTAGCTGCCGTCCCACTCGCCGTTAAAGAACGCCCACGCCGCCGAGTTGTAGAGCAGGATGTCGGATCCGCCGTCGACGTTCGTGGCCAGCGCGCTGCGGCACGCGCCGTCCCCTTCGTCGCACCAGGAGAAATCCGGGTCGCCGAATGCGGCGTCTGCGGTCCACGGCGCCGGTGCGAGCTTGACGGCCCCGTTGCCTTGCATGTAGGGACTCTCGGTCTGCAGCAACCCTGCGTAGACGTTCTGCGCCTGGTGGAAGTTGTAGTTATAGAGCCAGTGGTGCTCCGATCCGGTGCCCGTCAACCAGGTACCTTTAGTCGCTTCGACCAGGATGCCACGTCCCGTAGAGATGATGGTCGTGGGTCCCCCGTCGAGGTTATGGTCTGCGGTCCAGCCCCAGAAGTTCTCGATGTAGGCGGACGAGCTGTTGGTCAGGTGCAGGACCATGAACGCGGCCATGCAGTTCGAGGTGTCTTGGTCGGTGCAGTCGTTCGAGACAGAGCTCTCGGCCGTGCCGCCGACGGTGACGATCGTGTTCCAGAGCCCGACGTCCCCGGGCTGGCTACCGGCGGCGTTGATCTCGAGGATCTTGGCTCCGGGGAGAATCTCGGCGACCGAGAATCGCATGTGTTGGATCTCAATGACGCCCACGTCGTCGGGTTGGCCGAGCTGCACGACAGTCTTCGGGTTCTGGGCGTCTTGGAAGGCCTTGCCGGCACCGGCAATCACCGCCCACGCTTCGCCCATGATGCGCGATCCCGTGGGGATGACGAGCGTATCCTTGACGATGTACACTCCGTACGGGAAGTACGTGATCTTGCAGTTGGCGGCGTTGTCGGCCAGGATGGCGTTCAGAGACTCGGTATCATCCGTGGACCCGTCGCCCTTGACGGTGTGCCCGTCGACGGACTTGACGTTGACGATCTGGTCGGCTGCGTACTCCGCGTAGGTGGGCTGCTTCTTGGTGAAGAACTTGCCGTTGTCCAACAACACATCAGGGCGGGAGGTGCCGAAGCTGGTGCCAGTTTCGTACTGGCCGGGGGTGACGTTGCCCCAGACCCAGGTGTCGACTTGCTTGGTGGCCTTAAGCTGGACTTTACCGTTGCTGTCGACGGCAATGTCGTTGTCGTTATCGTGCGAGAGGTTCTGAATCAGAAGCTGGCTGTTGCGCTTCCCGCCGTCGTTGGACGAGTCGTAGAACTTCACCACCGTGCCCGAGTTGATCGATTCCGAGTCCAGCAACACCAGACTGCCCAGTCCGTTGCCCGTCATGTCGACGCCTGTGCCGCAAGTGTCGAAGGTCACGCCCTGTAACAACGCCGTATGGCCGCCCGCCGCCTCGAACGCAGTCGTGCACCCCTTGAACGAGATATTCTTGAAGTTGACCTGCTGGTTGGAGTTTTTGATGCCGGTAGCGCCACCGGTGATTTCCTATTCGATTTCCCTCCATTAGCACACTTTATCTCTTCAACGAGGTGAGAGCACATACCACATCCGTCACCGCAATCGTCGACCCAGCTTTAATATCAATACCCTTATGTCCGCTCGAACTCTCCGGCATCTCAATCTTGACATTCGTCAACCCAGCACCCTGCGCAACACCCCACTGCAGCGCCGTGATATCAACATCCCCATCCAGCGCTGTCAAATCCAACTTGACATTGCGCATGAGCGTCATGAAACTCGTCTCCGGGTTGCCATTCCCCTCATCATACCCCTTCACCAGGACATCCCCACTAAATCCCTCCGCGGCCTTCAAGACCGGCAAATCCAGCGGATCACCAGTAATCACGGTCCCGACGCGCAGCTCCAACGTACTCCCGAGCCGGTACGTACCCCCGGGGAGATACACTTCTGCCGGGTAGCGCGTGACGCCGTTACTTTTCCGGCTGCCATCGCTGCCGTCATCGTTGATCGCTTTCTGAAGACTGGCTGTTTGATCGCCGGATCCGTCGCTTTTGGCGTTATAGTCTGTCTGTACGTTGCGCCAGACGGGGTAGTTCGCGTTGTCGACGTTAGGAGCAGAGCCGCTGGCTTCGCCTTTGTGGTCTTGCAATGCGAGCCAGTAGGTCGAGGGGCTGCTTTTGGTGGGGCCGGAGCAAGTGCCGCTCGCTGCGTTTGAGGGTCTTTGGATGGTTAGCGATTGCCAGTGTTTATATTGCCTATGGATGGAGTTAGACGTACGAGGTCTTCGATGCCCCTGCCGCGGAAGATGAAGGAATGGCAGCAGCAGAGGCCGTGGCCAGAACGGCGGCTAGGACCGTTAAGGAGAGAAAGTCACGCATCCTCTGCGTATAAATTTAGTGAAAGAGCGACTAGTTGCAATATCTTAAAAGAGTGAATGAATTAAAGAAGTGACTGAATCAAAAAGTTCGCATGGCTGCAAACTAAATCTTCGCAAAGGCCTACCGGCGCTTATGTAGGACCGCACTTCCCAGCCCTATTAGCTATTCCAGCGAGTACTAATTAATTAAGACTTAGATCTTGCCTCGAGATACGAACAAAAACCAAGCGATGTGGGCCGCAGCCTCCGGGGCGAACAATGAGATTCGACAGGTACACATGGTGAAGAAGTGAAGAACCCCAGAGCGTGGGACAGGAGTTACCCATTGCGGTAAGACGATTTCCCGATTGGGGAAGTGGTGATAGAGAAAGTCGGACAGACAGAAAGACAGGCTGGAAGGATCGTCTTGCAGCAGTTTGATTGCGATGATCACAGGGCGTTTTGGGGGCGATGATCCCAGTGTCTTGGGGTATATGTAATACAGAGTTACACACATCTCGGCAGGCAGCCCTTCTGTAAACAGATAATACACATACCCGGTCCTTAGAATTGAATGTTCGTCTCTGCCTCAGGCACTAAGGCCGCATTACCCCTGAGTCGTGCCGGTCGATCCCCTCGGAATCTCTCCAAACTTCTTTCAGTAGTCTGGCTCAATCGCACTCCTTTGCCGGTTTAGGGAATATGTCAATTTCGGGAACTATCTTGATATATGGGATTGGTTCTAATTTATACCGTTTGCACGAGAGTTCATAACTCCATAACTTCATCGCGGTTCGATCTTGGTACTACTGACTTCATCCGCTTGCCATTTTTATTAGTGGGTGACGTGAGAGATATGGTGGTTTCACATCCCTACTAGAATGAAACCGGACTGTCAGGCCCTATTCCAAGCTTGAAGCATGTGCCGTTTCAAATGTTGAATTATTGCTGTCAACGTGTTTCTGTCCTCGTGGTACATCAGTCTACGCGATATATTCTCCACATGGAAGCTAGATAAGCGACATCCTGACTCCAGTTCTATGTCAAATGGCAACAATGTAGGAGAGGCAGGTCTTTTGGATTGGCTCTATCATCCCGCCACCATGGATTCTAACCACTGGTTGAACCTGATGCCTGTTGTCACTGTGTGTATTGTCTATAGCAATCAAGTTACGTGTGCAGTATAGGTGACCTATACGTGAGAAGCTGAGCATAGAGCTCGTCCTTTGGGTGAATGATATGCCTTCATTATCCAAGTACCCCATTCTTATCGCCCTCCTTGATTGAAACGTTCTATCCAATCTCATCCAGCAACATTCGCCTCCACGTACGCCGTTACCAAGAGACTACTCAACTTAGATGAGCGATGGTGTCCGTCCACCCAAGATTTTATAGATACACTCAACATACTCCCCAGCCGGTCCCAGTGCCTGCATCTTATTCGGCGTATACGCGATAGTCATCCGCCGGTCCAAATCCATCACGCCAATCGATCCGCCTGCCCCAGCCCACCAACACACTCGACCGTTCGACGGCAGGTACGGGGGCCATATATCGGGTGCCGTCAGTGCGAAACCCATGCCAAAGCGGAATGGAAATGCAAGGACTAGGTCGGTGCCCATCGCCTGCTCTTGAAAGATCAAATCGATCGTTTCGGGCTTCAACAGACGTATGCCATCTACTTCGCCGCCTGTTGATATCGCAGAGAGAATGCGCGCAACAGATCGAGCGTTGCCGTGTCCATTACAGGAACCTAACTCGGCGTTCCGCCATTCGGGAGTGTTTGCCATCTCGAATGGGAACATGGGGTTGTTGAGGCATTTGTAGGCGACCGACTTGGTGTCTAGATCGGAGGGCGTTGTGAGGGTGTATCCGATCATGTTTGCGATGCGCGGCCAGTCGGAGGGTTTTGCTCCAATTTGAAAGTCGGCTTCTAATGGCGCTGCGATGTCTTTGTCGACGAACTCTGTCAGCGTCAGTGACGTTACCTGACGGACGAGCTTGCCCAGCAGGAACCCCTGAGTCAGGGATTGATAACCCGACGCTGTGCCGGGCGTCCATGCCGGAGGCTGAGCCGCCAGTTTAGCCGCAGCACTCTCAAAATCATACAAGTCCGATAACTCCATATGCTCGTCCCACGCTGCTAGCCCTGACGTATGAGACATGAGATGGCGCACTTTGACATCTTGTTTGCCGTTCTGAGCGAACTCGGGCCAGTATTTCGAAACTTTCGCATGCGGTTCAAGCAGGCCTCGATCGATCAATATTAACATAGCGAGATTGACTATGTTTTTGGTGGTCGAGAAGACGTTGACGATTGTGTTTTCTTCCCATGCCTCCGATCGCGCTTCGTCGCGATATCCGCCCCAGATGTCGACCACGTTTTTGCCGTCAACGTTAACTGTGATTGAGGCTCCGACTTCGGTTTCGTTGGCGATTTTTTTCTCTAGGATATCACACAGACCTTTGAACTCCGGCTCCCAAGTTCCTTTCACCTGGTCGGGATGATTGTTGCTGTGGCTCATGATTGCAGATAGAGGCTCGGGAAGAATGACGTCAGAGTGTACAATGTATGTATGTCGATGGAAACCCTCCAATTCGAGATAGAAAGCTCTTGTAGTACAGTACTTCTTCGAATATTCTGACTGCTTTTGTATCCTACAACGCCTCCCATGCCCCGCGCGCCGAGACTTCTCGGCTCCAGCATGAGTCGACAAACTTTGGAGATCCCCGGACGGGCTTGACTCAATGGGCCAAAATACGAGGTACCCGAGCCGCAGACGCACGTTTTAGCTCATCGCACTCGTTTCTCTTCATTTCTCACCCAAAGAAATGTGGCTGGAACAGGTAAGCCCTAACGTCTTCGCTGACGCCGATGTGTCACCCATGCCCAGCCATCCAACCCGGAACTCCGGCATATGAGTGCAGGGCCAGAGGCCTGATAGCCACAATTATCCTTAGACATACACTAAGCCAGGACAAGCTCATTGGCATGGTCTCGGATGATTAGTCTTCGGGCGGGCCATATGGGATGGCCTGAGCTTATATCCGGCTGGTGGTTGACCGGCTCGTCGTGTATAAAAGGGTGGGTTTGACTGTGTTTCTGCTCTCATTTCTTTCTCCCAGAATAGTGCCGAAAACAATTCAAACTCGGTCAGCAAATAAAGGTCCAATTACACAATGGCACTCTCATCGTGCAACGTGCTGGCCAACCCATCTTTCGAATCCGGTGTCCTCTCACCCTGGGTGCCAAGTGCAGTCGATGTAGCGCAAATCAGCACCGGCACTCCCGTCTTCGACGGCGAGTATTATCTGTACGTCTTCCACCCTCTCTGTCCCTCTCCGTCTTGTTGAAAACATACAAAATGCTAACCTGTTCGGTGAAAAAAAGAAACCTCGAAACCGCCGTCGGAAACCGCGGCAACGAGATCTCCCAATGCATCAACGGCCTCACCATTGGCGCCAACTACACCTTCAGCATGCAAGTCAGATCCCCCAACTATGCCGCCAACTACTGCAGCGTCCTCGCCTACCGAGGCTCGAACTCCACGTCTGGATTGCTTGCTTCCGAGTTGTTGTTCACCCAAGACGAATGGGTTGAAGTGAAGGGAAGCTATCGGCCGAGGCACTCGAGAGACACGCTTCACGTTGGGGCGAGCTGTACTTTCTCGGGCTCGTCGTATACCGGAAATGTTCTTTTTGATGATATCTTCTTGGGAAGGGAGGAGGAGTGTCAGGTTGTACTGGATTAGTTGGGGGTAGACTAACTGGTTTGGTTTTCTTGTTGGTGTGCTTGCCGAGTCTGGATGTGTGTCAGTCGTGTTAATCATAGATACTTGCTCATGAACACTTTTTCTATCCGTATCGCCGCTGTATGCCGCTATCAGTAGTCAATTACCCGTCTTGACACCTGAGGCCTGCGGGATGGGAAAGTTGGTATCAGCTGACAGCATCATGTGCCGCCGGCCGAGTATGAACCCCCTCTTTTCCCGATCTTCCTCACCTTCCATTGCTGGCCCCTCTCTTTCATCCCCTCTTCGCCCGCCCCCCGTCTCGTCATCATTATCAATCAATCAATCATTGCATCAACTTTGGAGGCACGATACCGCGATGCATTGCGCAGGCGGGGCCCAATTTCATCGGCACTTTTGATGTTGGTCTTTTCCTCCATCCATCAACGACCGCATCAGCAGTCGTTGATGCACGTCATTTCGCAGGGCACTGGAGCCGAACAGTCTCCGACTGCTAGATGCACATTCCTTGTAGGCATAATTCCACCCGTAGGTCAGCTTCGTGCTTCAGATCACTGACTCTGTCGCTTCCCGTGTGAAATAGCAGCATACACGTCCGGAAGACCATGATACCATCGTTGATGGTTGTTGATAGCAAGCTGCAATAATGGTTCAACAATTGGTCTCCTGTTATTCAACTAGTGGCCAATTTTCTTTTTATCATTCACATCTTTGCTTTCGTTTCTTCGGTTTCATCGTAAAGATGAAGGACCTGTTGGGATGGTACTGCGCTTGCGTGGCTTAGTGATGGCGATAGCATTTTGCCTGAGCGAAACGAGCTTCGGTTTTGAGTAAAGTATATCATTGCGATGACCTGTGGTTTTTGTAGCTGAGAACAATTTTCGGCTCTCCCACGGAAAAACTATAGGACGATTTGAATAGCACATAGCTATGCGCGTACTATGCGACCGGCTACACACGGATCGGGAGTGGTGACCGTCGCAATCGGACCAGGATGACGCCAGACAGAAATTCAGCAGGGATGACCTGCACACGTCACCAAAGTAACTGCGTCTGCGCCGAGAGTCGACGTCAACGTTGCAGGCTTTCTTGCATTGCGGCACACCCCCGGTATGATATAACCATGCCTGTAGCTTATGCCGGTAGGATCGTGGTTGCATTTCCGAGTCGAGACTCTCCCAAAAGCCATCAATGATCAGGTTACCCTTCCCAGGGTGGTTAACCGGGAAGGCTGCGCGACGCCCCGGAAATGTTAAAATTAAGTTGAGCGTTGTCATGGTCTGGCGGCATCGTGGCCTTCAATTTCATGGTACCCCGGACAAAGAAACCCAATGAGCTGGGAAATTCATCTATCAGATCGAGAGGGGCGAACCAATCAGAGGCAACCAGCATATCAAAGACGTGGCAGTCCAACATAGCATGGGAGGTTGTTGATCCCTCATTCCTGGTGAACTGTTCATGCTGGCCATGCAGATGTGCATGCAGCTTACTCAGTCTATGCTGGGACTTATGCAGGGATGAGGTCATCGTCCCGGTCGGTGTCGGTCGGGCCGTGGCCACCAGGGAAGATTTTGCATTCCGGCCGTCCAATGTCCGCCAGCGCAATATAATTAGAATCAGCGTTCGTAACAACGACCATTCTCACCCAGACAAGGCTTCTGACTCACTCTCCGAATGGTAAGCGGTGATTGATAATCTTCCCCCCTGATTGGACGCACAGGATGGGTCGTCTTCTGACTTTTCCCTTTTCTTCGTAAAGAACGCCTGCTGCGGCTTTATTTCGGAGCACGGAGTAGTCTCCTCTCCTATTCCTTCCGAGCGGCGTTTGGTGTGGGCTGATCTTTTGGCTTCCATGGCCTGCCTTCTCCACGGAAGTCATCAACTGTCTATCTGTAGTCTGTGTGTGTGGTTGTACATACATACCTCTGCATCTGCATAGTGACCTGTTCATTTTTGGTGTCAACACCACCCTACCAACTGCGTATTCGAATTCGATTTGGTCCTTGATTTTGTAACCCGGCTCTGACTGGTCTTTATATCTCCCCAGCTGTAGGACAGAGTTTGGTGTGTAACTCCGTAATGGCCAGGTGAAGCCATCCCGCAATACCCGCTCATCGTGGCGGCGTCTGCTCCCAGGAAAACAAAAATCAGCTCCGCGGAGATGAAGCCACATCCGCATTCCCGTCCTGTTTGGGGCACAATATAAATACACGCGCCGTTTCTCGTCTTCTGTAGTTTTCTGTTTCTTGTTCAGACTGTAATATTCTCCACGCATTAATCTCACTCAAGAAATCAACTCCACCTGTCGCCATGCCTTTGACACCCGAACAGGTCCAGACCATCAAGGCCACTGTGCCGGTCCTCCAGGTCCACGGCAAGGCCATCACCACTATTTTCTACAAGAACATGCTCGACGCACATCCCGAGCTGAACTCCGTCTTCAACACCCCCAACCAAGTCAATGGCCACCAGCCGCGAGCCCTCGCCGGCGCGCTGTTCGCCTACGCCTCCTACATCGACGACCTGGGCGTGCTCTCGCCCGCCGTGGAACTGATCTGCCACAAGCACGCCTCCCTCTACATCAAGCCCGAGCAGTACGAGATCGTCGGCAAGTACCTCCTCGAGGCCATGGGCGAGGTGCTCGGCGACGCCCTCACGCCCGCCATCCACGAAGCCTGGGCCGCCGCCTACTGGCAACTCGCCAACCTCATGATCGGCCGCGAGGCCCAACTCTACCAGGAAGCCAACGGCTGGACCGACTTCCGCGAATTCCGCATCGCCAAGAAGATCCCCGAGTCCTCGGAGATCACCTCCTTCCACCTCGCCCCCGTCGACGGCAAGCCCCTCCCCTCCTTCCGCCCCGGCCAGTACATCTCCATCCAGGTGTTCGTGCCCGAGCTCAAGTACCCACAAGCGCGCCAGTACTCGCTCTCCGATAAGCCGGAGCCCGACCACTACCGCATCAGCGTGAAGCGGGAATCCGGGCTCAATCCCGCGCAGCCCGGCGCCGCCAAGCACCCGGGGTACGTGTCCAACATCCTGCACGACCAGATCAAGGAGGGCGACATCGTCAAGCTGTCCCACCCCTTCGGCGACTTCTACCTGCAAGATGCCGAGGCCACCAACCCGATCGTTCTCCTCGCCGCCGGTGTCGGCCTCACCCCTCTCACCTCCATCCTGAACACCCTGACCGCCACGTCCTCGCAGCGGAAGATCCACTTCGTGCACGGCGCGCGCACCTCCGCCGCCCGACCCTTCCGTCCACACATCCAGTCGCTGGCCGAGAAGTTCCCCAACTTCCACGCTACGTTCTTCACGAGCCATCCCTCCGCCGAGGAGACGCAGGGCACGGACTTCGACCACGCCGGGCGGATCGATCTGACCACGCTAGACGCAGAGAAGGATCTGTTCCTGGACGACCAGAAGACCGAGTACTATATCTGCGGCCCGGAGGGTTTCATGGGCGCCATGAAGGCCGGGTTGGTCGCGAAGGGCGTCAGCGATGATCGCATCAAGATGGAGTTGTTTGGTACGGGCGGCGTTCCTTCTGCATAGATGTCATTCCTATGAGTATCGCGTTGTATTGCATTGGCTTCGATTGTGCGATAGGGTGGTTGGGGTAATTGTTGTGGCATAGATCTCTGCTCTTATATATTACGAATTATGATTCCATTTGCCGTTCATTGTTTTTATGTGCTATTAATCTGCTAGGAACATAGTGTGATGACGTAGGTGGGAAGCTTCTGGTTGGAAGTGCCTGAATGAGTGAATATAGCCTAAATGCATCCCGCGCTGAAGAATCGATCCCGAATTAGTCTAGTCAGGCACATCTATTTTTGCGTGGAAGAGGAGACGGATTTAGGCGATAAAGCCATCCCTTCTATATTCCAAACTGTTTGACTTCATGTCGACATACCCTGTTGGTGGAGCTATTGAAGGATGAACGTTGTCTGTCTGTGGGGAATGGGGATCAATCCCGGGGAAGGGGGAGGTCGTGTGGGTTGGGGATCGCATTTTCCAGTTACGTGAGTCTGGTTGGTCGCGATTGTAATACGTGGGGTGGTGCTTGTGTGTTAAGTTTGATCTAACGAGGATATGTCTGGGAACTGGGGTAGAGGGTTCTGTTGAAGTGGATGACCGTGAAAGCGGAGATCGAGATGTGCTTATGAGTGGCTGGGGATGACGATTCAGTTTTAATCCCAGAGGTAAAATTGTCTCTTGGGTCTGAATATAGGGAGGTAAGATCTAAATTTCGGTCCAAGATTCACGATAGGGGTGAAATACTGTTTTCGCTACTGGGTTGTGGATCACTGAGGATAGGTAGAATCTGAAATGATATCTTGACTCTGTACAGCCGATGTTTATTATTCAATAGTTCTTGTCTACCCTAGCGGCGTATGTATATATCTTTTAAAATGTACACATCGAAGGAAATCATGAGTATGTACACACATGTGATTCCAAAAAAAAAAAAAACCCCCTCTACTTAATCCCGTAGGTAAATTTAAGCAGAGCAGCCGGAGCCAGCACCGTCCTCGTTGAAGGAGGTGTCCTTGTTGATCTTGAGGGCCTTGGCGGTCCAGGTCTTGCCGCCATCGGAGGTGGTCAGACCGTCCGAGCTGCCATCAACGAAGGACAGGGTCTCGCCGAAGTTGGGGTCCTTGCCGTCAAGTTCGATGGTAACGTCGCTCCAGGTGTAGGCGTCCATGAGACCGCAGGTGTTCAGATAGCACTCGTTGCTGGAGTAGATGTACTTGGGGGTGACGGACTTGTCATCGGACTGCTTCGAGACGGTCTTGCCGTCGATGACAACTTCCTGGTTGATCTTGTCGCCCTCGACGGAGACTGCGGGAGTGATTTCATTAGTTTGGGCCGAGATAAGATGGAGGGGAACAAAAACGGTGTGTACGTACTAGTGAAGTCGATCTTCGAGCCGTTGGGAACGGTGACATAGGGTTGCTGGACCTGGCCGGCTGTTTTTGTATGTTAGTTAATTTACCCTGCTGTAATATTTCTTTCCCAGGTCTAGAGATGCTCACACAAGTGGTAGGTGCTAGTAGCAACACACCACTCCTTATCGGTGGCAGGGCAGCCCCTATAAAGTATTAGCATGCGCCCACAAAGTTAAATGGAAAGATTTCAAACATACTGGGCCTCCTGGTCGGGCGACCAGTTCAGCAAAGGCTGGAACAGATCCGCGGACTGATCCGACATGCTGGCGGAGACACCGACCCAGATGGACAACCAAGGGGCCTCGTCCTTGGTCTGCTTGACGCCGCAGGGCACAGACGGGGTCTCAAGGGAGTAGGTGGCCTTGGTGATGGAGACATCGTCGCTGGTAGGGCCCAGGACGAACATGTTTCCGAAGTGCCAGTCGTCGTACATGCCGGCGGCGGCGGGGGCGGCCAGAGCCAAAGCCGTGGGGATGAGGTCGAAGGAACGCATATTGGCTGGAATGTGGTGATTATGCAGGCCGGCTGCGAGAGAAAGTAAATCGAAAGAATGGAACTTTAGTTGAAGGAAAAGAGTGACAGATCCGTGGTTCTTCTCTCAACCTTCTCGAGGTGAAGAGTCGGAGTATTTAAGTCTGGCAATTCTCCGGGTGGGTCAGCCCTAACCAGGAGGTTAAAACGAAAGTGGAACACTGGGAAGGGTTTCCCTAGTGGAGCATGCGAGACAAGCTCTGATATTCGGGATTTAGTCCGGGTACTGATTGAGCGGATTGGTCCGTTGGTGAGACGCTGGGGACAGGGCCCAGCGGTTCTATTAAGATTAATGTGCCGATGTTGAGTTAGGGGTGCTGATCCGTTTGAGCTTGATGGGGACGGGTATTTTCCTGGTTTAGTGTGGGTGCTGGTCCAGAGCATCCTACGGCTTTATACCGCATTAGTTAAAAATTACGAGCAGTGTCCGACATTGGCGTGGGCGATTGGGTGATAGAATTAGCATTAAGCATGGCATCTCCTCCGTATATGTCTGTCCGAAATTGACACGGAGTATAATCGATCGATTATGCTGTTCTTGACCGTTGACGGAAGGTGGGTAGCTACCAGAAGTGGGGAGTATTCGGGTCTTTCGAGTCTCGTGGATGAAAAGGGGTTGATTCAACATAACTTCTGATTTCTCAAATCCCCATATGGGATTTCGGAGCTCGCTCCTTTAACCCGGAAAAGAATGAATCGTCTCCAGTCCCATTCCTTCACTTGCTGATTGGTGGACAAAGTAAACAAGTCCCGTGACGGGTTTTATCGGGCCCCCAATTGACCATTTCGAAAATCCCCTCTAGACAAAGTTGTCGACCCAGGTGTAGTATGACATCGCCAGCCTCATGGTGGAAAATTTCGCCAACGACGATGTTCTCGAAATGAATCATGGACATTTCCCCGGTATATTTGGAAGAGGCAGCATCAGCTTGATTAAGGGGAGTCACTTTCTCGGAGTACACCCTTTTTCGCTCATAGAGGGAATTCTTTTGGCCTGTCGACGTTGGTTTGGGCTACTCGTGCTATCGGCTTCATCGCCCATGGTAATCACTGCGTCCAGTTCCGGTACAGCCTCATATCGAGGTGAAATTGAGTCGAGATGTTTCTTATTCGCCGTCCAGAATGCCATCCAATTAGATTGAATGGTTTCCTGCTCTGTCCGTCTTAAGATAAACTCCCAAGGCGCGGAGAACTTCATGCAGATATCCGGAAATCATTGAAAAATTCGGGTAACCATGCCAGTAATAGTGTTCTTGAATCCGGTCTTATGGTTTACGCCGGCGGCATTAGAGGTGATTCTTTCTTGACCAGCAGCGCTGTTCAGATTCTCTACTGCGGATGTAATCCAATCGTTGTTGGCTTCGATGAACTTGAACCAACGGTCGATATTTACGTAGTTCTTGCGAAGATCGTACATCACTTGGTTTCCACGCAGGACACCCCACATCGCAATGTCGGCTAACGTTACAGAGTATCCGACAATGTATGAACGGAGCGTGAGATGCGATTCAAGTTCATTGATGGGCTGCTCCAGACATTTGAAATCCGATACAGACAGGTGCTTAGATCGGTGGAGCCATTCATTGATCTGCACTCATGAGCAGGATATCTGAGTAAGGATGGGGAGTCACCTACATGTAGCTCATCTGATGGTGATAAATCCAGAATGTTTAACAAATAATACATGATTGCTCCGTTGACTATTAGCTTCCCTTTGCAGGTCGTTAGATGTACACTCTCGCCATCGCTTAGTGATTCAACGTCCTCATATTCAATACGAAGAGTCGGAATGTGACACCTGTGTGAGACATATATTGAACCGAGAACAACTGGGAGAATAGAAGCTAGATTTGCCCTTGAAGCGACGGTAAGGGTCGCCATATCTGACGAGACACTGTCAAAGTTGAAGTTTGAACTTGCGCAGGGTCAGCCGTCAGATATCCGTTGGAGCGGGGAAGACGTGGAATCCTCTGGTAAACTCCACGCTAACCTTAATTGAGAACCACTCTCATTGTTTGTCCAGCATAGCCTCCGCCCATGCGTCAGCAGTCTCTGGGCATGTTTTAACAAGGAGAGTGCTATTACACATCACTTTCCTTGCACTCAGTGCGGACGCAATTCCTCACAGATGATCAAATTAATGGAGAGAACGATAGCATTGGACACTAGTGTTCCGAGATCGTTCGAAACGGTCCTAATTCTCGAAAATCGACGACCACTATGGAGGAGTATACCAACATTTTCAGCAGAATTCTTGCACGGAAGGTCATTCCCGCAAGCTCTGACTCCGCTGACAGGGAACATATGCTCAGAAATGCAGCCGTCTTAATTCTCAAACTGACCAACAGTCCCTTAATCAATACACAACACACGGTAGGGGGATGGGGCTGTGTGCTGGTGCCAAGGAATCCTATCCATTCGCGTTCACGGAGTAGGCTCGATCAGACTTGCTTCCCGCCTAGTCTCCACTTGAAGTTGCCAACTAATTCAGAAAGGCTCTGAGTGGGAAGCGACCAGGAAGGAAAGAAGCAAAACTGCCTAGGTTCGTATCCCGGCTGGTGTGGCTTGCAAGTCTGTTGAACCTACTTAGACCGTTATCGAGACAATCGAAGGCATCATTTCCATACATTCTCCGGCCTACGGAGTACAATCTCAAATATCCGCTGGGATAACTAATGATCGACTCCGAATTCAGATCGTCATAGGAGAACATATGGTGCCCTGATAGACCGACTGGCGCCTCAGCGAGGCACAAGTTTTTGCCACCCGGTGCAATCTAAGTAGCTCGCCTACTTTGTAAATTGATCCCACAAGTTCTTTGTCCCTTGTGTGAATTGCGATGAGATATCGTAGCTCGTCCCAGATTCCCGTGAAAGAGAGAAAATGTTCGGCCCACTCAGTACCTGCGTGTGGATACCTGCTCTTTCAAGCTCACGTCCTAGAGGTTGAGATGGATTGGTGTTTTTTTCAGCAAATGCAACTTTAGACCCACCTTTCTGGCAGCGAAGAACCCTGTGATAACCTTTCGATTTACCACATAATGTACCTAGATACCAGCACGTTCTTTGATACTTGCAGCAGCTCTTGAGAATAACCCACAGTCGTACTCGCGGGTATACTTCAGCTGGGCTTGCTTCTTCTGCCAAGGGACAATTTTGCCTTGCTGCCTACGACAGTATGAAGCCACTTGGGTCCTTTATCATGTCCTGTGTATTGGGCCGTAGGCGACGATAAAATGGATAGAGCCTTACCAGTGGCTGGGTGTGAATCTAACAGTATCAGACCACTCACATTTTCGCGGGGTGGCTGGGCTTCTACGGCAAGACTCGGCTCAGCCTCGAAGCATAGTGAAGCGCGTAAAATACGATCTCTCCAATTATCTTCGACATTCAGTATTTTCTGTGGCGTAGCAGTCTTCTATATCTTTCCAGATGAGCCAGGTACTAAACTCGCCGCAGAAAAAGCAATTGTGTCGCATCTAATAAAAGGATGCGGAATCACAAAGCTCAGTATGCGTAACTTCCCGAGGAGCTTCATTGGTTTTACCACTCCATCACAATTTCTGTAATTGAAGGTTACTATTATGTCCCATCATTCTTTCTCAGAATGTTTTGTTCCCACTTATTTTGCCGGTCCATGTAACCAGAGTGTGATTCGAAACACGGATGGCAGTGTGTTGTATAATGCTACTACACCCTACATTGGACCTCCTGCCGCTAGTTTTTATAGTATTCAAAATGCAAATGGGACAGTTTATATAATGCTACCAAGTTGTGCATGTGGGTGGTTCCTTTTGACGCGGACCCTGATATCGTGAGTATACCGACATATCTACATGTGGCAATAGTCTAATTCATTGAGACAGGCTGATTTGGGAGTAAGTGGTTTAATCTTGTTTCTCTTCCAGTCAATAGGCCATTGCTACAAGCTACATAAGTATACTATGGAAGACAGACGGATAGAGATAGAGCCAGCGTCATTGGAATAGCATCACTGATGATGGACTAGGTTATTTTAGCCTTTTTAATATTCTCCTGGTTCAGCTTCGTCACCACCATATTCACGATCTTCTTCGTGCAGAGAAGCGCAGTGGAGGACCTTTTAAATGAATTCGACCATATTCTCATCAAATATGCTTCTATCCTCCGAAGGTTACTTCTTCGCTGGAAAAATAGCCAATATCCAAGCCCCGGTATCTCGAAAGAAGCATGCTGCCGGGGACTCATGCTGAGCACCAAGTCATGTCATAATATCACTTTGAAATAACATGTACATTGGCCTGGTTGGCCTACGCCGCTCATGACACCATTATTGTCGCCGCCCTCAACTACATCCGCGCCTATCCCGAGATGAGATGGTGGCGATCCCTCTGGATATCTGCTCTTTTTCCTATGCTTTTCGTATCACAACTGGTGACCTTTCATGACAAGTTTCTTCTCATATGGGGTAACAGCATCCAGTGTATCTGGAATGACATGGACTCTGGATACCCGCGCGTCAGTCTTTTCCTTTTAGTGGTTCTGACCCTCATGACATATGGCTATATCAACACGATGTATTCGCTTTACCCTGAATATTTGTCATGGGTTGACGATTTGGAAGCTACGTCGGTTGGGCGTTCAGGTCACCGGGAATACTCTATTTGATCGTGAGGAGCAGATACGAGGCAAGCCCTCGGCCATGGAAATGGCTGTGGTTTCCAATCAAGATCTTCACATTTGTATTGTTCGTTCTTTTCTTTTCGATTTATCAGAATGTGGGCTCGACGCTCTTCTCCACCATTCGACTTTACATTGTTCTCGTCTGGGGTACTATGTACCTCGTCCATCTTAGGGGCCAAGTCTCTCAGGAAGGGCTACAAGGGAGCGAGAACGATTTGGGCTTCGGTCAGATACTCCCCGCTGTTCTTCTCGCATTAATTTTCTTTGGTATTGGAGAGGTTTATCATCGTTAGTCACTTTGACCCCGGTCGACTACATTGTCCCAACTAACTCGGAACTAGGCGATTTCTTGAACTCGAAGACCGAGATCGATAGCTCAACTGAAGAGACGCAATTGACGAGGAGTGATACTTTGAGTAAGGCAAATGTCAAAGCGACAGACTCACTGACCTCCCTTGAAGAATCGTTACTTGGTTTAACTCTCTATAAACTCTTTCTTGTGATTTCGGCTGCGATGATGCTTGCCTGGTTCACGAAGCTTGCTGTTGTTGATGGTTATGTATTCTAGTCAACATCTTGTATTGTCGTATCCTGTATATTTTCATTATCGTCTCATTTTTATCTTCATATTTTGATATCATCATCAATCCTACGTCTAAGGGACATCCGACCAAATATATAGATTGAATGACCGGGACATTCTGTAAAAAATGCAGGCGGCTTGATGAGTCCCTTTCGTTGAGTGTTCTTTAAGAGAGTACAGTATGATTGTGTACACTAATGAAGCCGAACAAAATCAATCGTAGATAAGTTGTGCTGTCGCTGCTGCAAGCCTGAAAAGACATTAAAGTGCATAAATTTATGTCACTTTCATACACCCTTGGCGCACTAACCGCATTTGTACACCCCAAAAGGGAAACGTCCCAAAGGAGCGACCGAAAGGGGCTCTCCGAGTTCGCCCAAAACGAATCTCCGTCACTCGAAACTCGCAAAAAGTTATTGAGGTAATTCCTAAAGAAGACTCGATGCTCGATTACCCAAAAGTCTCATTTGAAATCAACAATGATCAATAACAATTTCCATCTGGCAAGGCGGATTCAACATGATTTGTCATCTACGAAAATGATGTAAGGAGCCATTCGGAGTCAGTTCCACACAGCCAAAGAACCATCTTGACAACAAGTATATATAGAGGTTGGTATCCGGTCTTTGGGATTTGAAAATCGTCAACAATTGATACAATCCCAGATATATTCAACCAAAAGTCCAAAAAAAAATTCCAACCTTCGTCCAGACCACAGAAGTCCGAAGTCCAAAACGCACCAACCAACCACAATGTCGAAAATCGGTGTCTTCCCCGCCGCCGGTGGCTTGGGTACCAGCATCATCAACCACCTGGCCAAAATTGTCCCCGCGTCACAATTGATTCTCATCGCTCGCAAACCTGAGAATCTCGATACGTTCAAGCAGAAAGGAGCCACGATTCGGCGTGCGGATTATGAGGACCCGACTTCTCTGGAGGGCGTGTTCGAGGGGGTGGACGTGCTGATGCTCATCTCGTACGCGTCGTTTGAGATCGATTTTCGGGTCAACGTATGTATCATCATGTTTCCGTGATCGGTTTTTCCGTTTTCACAGCCTGCAAGTGAATTCTGGGTCGGATCAGCAAGCTAACGATGTATGTCCAGGTCCAACGCCATGCCATTGACCTCGCCCTCCGCGACGGCGTCAAGCACATCTTCTACTCGTCGCTGGGCTTCGGCGGCGATCTAGAAGACGTGAGTGTCGCGCACGTGATGGGCGCCCACCTCGCGACGGAGAAGTACCTCGCGGACCTGCAGGCGCGCACGGCCGACACCTTCACGTACACCTCCATCCGCGAGGGGCTCTACTCCGAGTCGTTCCCCATCTACACCTCGTGGTTCGACCCCGCCGATCCCGTCAGCGAGATTACCATCCCGCATGAGGGGTCCGGGCCCGGTGTCGCGTGGGTGAAGCGCGACGAACTCGGCGAGGCCACCGCGAAGCTGATCGCCTCGTACGTGACCGACCCCGCGGGGTTCGCGCACCTGAACCGAAAACTCCTCCTGTCGGGTCCGCGGGAGCTGTCGCTCAACGAGACCGCCGAGGTGCTGGGCAAGGCGGTGGGACGGCCCGTGCGGATCCGTGAGATCTCGGTCGACGAGTACGTGAGGTTGCCGCAGCACGGGGACAAGCACACCTATCACGGCGTGGACCTGGCGAGGGAGTGGGCGACCGCGTGGGAGGCCATTCGACGAGGGGAGACGGCCGTCGTGTCCCCGCTGCTGGGGGAGATTCTGGGTCGCGAGCCTGAGGGCTTCGAGAAGACGGTGAGCGACTTGACGCGGTAGTTGGGGGCGGTTGGATACATACACACCTGGTGGTGAGGGGCAACTTTTGAGGGTATTCACGATGTTCATTCTATCTTTTAATAAATTAATTTTCCCACCATGCACCGTGCCCACGCGGTCACTGTACATCGACGTCATCCCGTCAGCCCTCTCTTCCTGAGCCCATCCATCGTGGAATCCTGAAGATCTACCGAGCCCCGTCTTCTTCCTGGAGGCCCCTCCTCAGCTCCTCGCTCCCAAGGCCGATTATCCGCCGTCCGGCCGCAACGCAGCGGGAATAATCATACCCGGGCTGAGTCAAGCCAAAATCAGGGACCGTATCCACGCAACCCAGTAGCTTCCCGTACCCTTAAGCGTACCGTAGTGCATCCGTCCGTAGCCTGCCTTAGGTGCCGACCACGCTTGGATCTGGGGAACAGTGGTGGTCAGAGCTTTATCGTGGACCTGAATCTCCTTCCCTCCCAGTCGATTTGCCCAATCGGGGATTTTTGAAAATATTTTCCCATGATCATCCCTCCTTCATCCTGTCCCTGGCAGATCCTAGCTCGGGCAGACCACTCGGCGAATCTCCCCCCGCCAACGTTCCATGCAGACTTTTCCCTCTCTCATTCTGCATACTCGATCGGGGGGGATTTTTCCCGCAGTCTGCAGAGAGAAGGTTACCCCGCGGATGGGCAGGTGCTGTACTGCACCCTAGAACAAAAAGAATCAACAAGGAAAATACCCCTCCCCGGTGAGGTGGCAACGCGGCTTGCCGTCAACATGAGACGATCATCGGGAGAATGAGGATGCAGGTCATTGTGGTGACTATCCGGAAGCTGAAAAGCCGTGGACTGGGACTGGGCTGGGCTCGGCGGGGCGTTCCGATGCGACTTGTTTTTTGGCCTGCCTGCACCAGGCCCAGCAAGTCCGCACCGTGCTTATGTACGCACTACGCAGAATATGCAGGTCAGCATTGGTTAGTTTCCTAGTGGCTGCGATCGGATTGACGGAAGGCGTTAGTAGCAAACACGGAGTCGGGTTGTCTGAATGGGAAAAGCTAAGAGGTGGCTAACTTGGCCGCCCAATATTATGACGATTATTATTATTTACTTTTAGTTTTTACACGTTAGGGCTGAGCGTGCCTGTGGCCCTTTTACACTCTGGTGTTCCTCATACAGTTGAGAATAGTCGGTTAACGCGTTCCATATACTAATCGGGAAAACCACCCTGTCCTTGCCATTCGAACAATCTCCGAAACCTGACTCGAAGGAATCATTTCGCCCGCTCAGCTGGACATTTCATCTCGTACCTAGACACAGCCTCCTTGTTTTGCCTGTTTCTCGGTCGGATGGCGAATCTCAAGTGCTTCTCTCGGGCGATATGTCAGGTGTGTCGCACATCGAGAACAAGTGAAGCGGGGGGATATATTCTGTATCCTGGCCTTACCGGATCACACCACTGGGTGGCATCGTAGTCAACTCTGGGAGTCCGGCATCCGGACCGGCTTGCAGGACCGTTGGGACGACGGAACCTTAACCCCTAGAGGTTACTTGTCCATGGTCAGTGCTTGCGTCCCGAGCTGGGGGACCACTTAGCATAGGTGGATTAATAGTCTGGTCTCTAGTAAAGTATCGTCGGCTCCGTCTCTCCGTAGGAGGTGGGAAATGGATGGAGAAAATACTCCGTACCACTATCTTGTTCTTTCTAGACGGATCGGGTGTGCTAAACCGTACCTAGCCGCACCACTACGTCGTAGTAGATCGGGATCCGGGCAGGTGGACCTGAACTGACGAAGATGATATTAGCGATGGTTACGAGGCTACGAGGTTGCAGGGTCATTGATGATGTCGAATGTACCAAGGCATAACCAATTTTTGGGGGAAAGTAAGAAAGAAAAAAAAAAAAAAAAAAAAAAAGGGACCGAATCGTAAACACGAGTTGAAACCTGCGCTTCCTTCCGAATTCACTAGATAGGTCACGAGTCATGATGGGAGGCGTCGTGCCTTTCCGATGCGACAGTACTCCGTAGCTAGTTGAGACCAAATGGTGTACGAAGCCGCGTCGTACTGGCCCCTTTCTCTTTTCTCCTTGCTTTCCTGACTGAACTGCTTGAGATATTCTCCGAGTTGACCCTATTCTAATCCCCACAGGGAGATGCCCGATCCACTGCTGGTCTGTGTGTAAATAATAGCTCATCTGTGTCAGACAGCCAGACAGCCATAGTAAAACTGTCCAGTAGGCGATTTTACAAACAGGGAATGTCAGCGCCAATGGATTGTTAATAGGTCCGATGTGATTGGAAGATGTTCGTAATCTGCATTGTACTTTGTTTGATGAAGGGATTCTGCAGCAGTGTTTTGGTTTCCCCCGCTGGCTGGAACATGGAAGACGTGAGAGACTAGAAAGGGGCAAGTCAGAGTTTTCATTCTGTGACATTCGTCGTCTAGTTCTGACGCGGAGAGTCCAGGGTTGCTCAGGGGAGGCCAGATGTGTGCACCAGCATCTACGGAGGGCGGACAGGGACATGGAATAGTATGCCCAAAACGGTAACACAAGGCATGTTCTATTATTTGCGTGGCCATGACGGCAGTGCAGTCTAGCAATACCCACCGGTTGTGTTTACCTACTACGAAGGAGAGAGCGAGTCAGGCAGACGTCACATGGGTATAGAGTATAGAGAACTGAGAAGGTTCTGCATTATTGTGTACTCCGTAGTAGGCAGGCTATGATGCATCACATCTACAGAGTCTCAGGAGAAGGGGATAAAATCACATCCGCGCGTACCAGGCAGGCAGTCCATGGAAAGAATCGGAGCCGAGTCTCGGCCGGAGAGGCTTGGCGGGGCATCGGTTCCGTAAACTTCCCTGCCAACGGTTGTGCATCGATCCATCCCATGGCAGGATCCACCGATCCCGTCCCTCCACGCTGGGAACTTGCTGAACCTGCTGAACTTTTTCCTACTGCTGACTGGCCCGCTGCTTTTCATGACGCCTCTCGTCGGAGCCGGCCGAGTCTGGATGTCTTCCATCCGGCTGGGGTGATCTCGGTTGTGCTTCACCGGACTGGCCTGTCGATGCCTGGAACTGGGAGAGATTGCCTTGCTCACTGCCGTGACTGCTGGCGAAAGTCGAAACAGTCCGGCTGATGATGCTACTTTCGATCATGGAGCATAATCGCGATGGAGACTCCCGACTGATTTCGGATCGTTTGTGACTAACTGACTATTGTTTTTTTTTATTCCGTTTTCTCCTAGTATTCTTTTTTTCATTATAGTTGTTTTTTTTTTTTTGTTTTTTTTTTTTTCCATTATCCTAGTTCCATTACATCACGCGCCTCGGCTGGGGTTCGGCCCTTGACAGCTGCACGGTCTTTATAAGACCCCTCGAGCGTGCTCGATTAAGAATCTTCAGATCCATGGTTCTATTTCGAGAGCTTACCATTCCATTTACTATCACTTCCATAAATATATCCCGCCAACCCCTTGCCACTTGCAATTGTTCTTGCCTGGATATATCAAAACATCATTCCATCCAACCGCACTTCGCCTCCCGCGTCTACCAATCTAATCCAATCTGCTACCCCCTCATCATTCTATGATCATGAGCAGCATGGCATACCCTAGGGCTGATCCCACACCATTCACCCTCGATGACGAAGATCGCATGTATCCAATGCAGCGCACCAACGAGTCCTTCCCCGCTCCCAAGGGTCCCGATCCTTTGTCCAGCAACTGGAACTATGACAGCGCTATCGATCTCTTCTCTCTCAACACCATGTTGCCTGAGCCGTTCCCCATGGAGATGCCCAGTGATATGATGGGCATGAACCCCAAGGATTTCCCTACCGACTTCTTCGCTCCTCCCCCCGATATCAGCGGCTTCACCATCTCCAACCACTCCGGTGAGGATTGTGCTTCGATGTCTTCGGTATGTTCCAGTGCCCCTCTTTCTGTTTCCCCACTCGATCTCCTGATCAAGCTTGGACCTCAGCTAACCTATATGACAACAGGATCTTGAAAGTGATGACCAGTCCTGGTCCCCCACTTACGTTGCTCCCGCCGACCTGCCCAAGTCTATCACCACCTCGTCGAGACCTACCACTCGTCGCAGGACCAACGCTCAGCAAAAGCCCCAGATCACGAATCCTCGCTGGTCCTCCAGCCCCGAAATCACCCCCCAAGAGTACTCGGCTCCTCTCGTCACCTCTCCGCAACCTGCTCCTGCCTCTCCCCCCGCTTCCAACCGCAAGATGACTCGCAGCCTCTCCGGAGACTCGCAATCAAGCACGGGTCCGGCTACCACGACGGGCCGCAACGCTGCCAAGCGAGCCGCCCACAACATCATTGAGAAGCGGTACCGCACAAACATGAACGCCAAGTTCGTATCCCTCGAGAAGGCCATGTGCGGTGGAGTCCAGAAGTCCACAAAGGGCGGATCCGCCTCGTTAAAGAAGTCCGAGATCCTGACCAATGCAATCGCCTACATGCATGAGTTACAGGAAGAGAATAAAGCCATGCAGAAGGAATTGGCTCTGTATAAACAAGGCCTCGTCCCCAATGGGATTTGGAGGCCTACCAAGTAAAAGAGAGATAGAGTGTTGCTTCTTGCTTTCTTGCATCTTTTCTTCTTGGAATACCGTTCCCTTTCATTCTCTGTCATGACCGTTATGCTCTGTATAATATTTTATTCTACTATTCTCTACTAATTGCGTGAGTTTCAAAGACTATCCTATCGAGTTGCTTTGTTGGTGTTGATGGTGAAGGGTGGGGCGAACTCGGTGCATGGGACTTTTGTTATTTCTTTCCATATTACTGTGGATCATTTGATATACCCGGATAAAAAGTTTGGTCTCAGGAATAATCTCGAACTCATTTTCACAATCATTTTATTCAACCAATAATCCCTATACACCAAAAAAATCCCTCTTAATACATATTCTATTGAATGGATACTGCATAGCGGAGCCACCCTCCGAAGGTCCTACCAAGCCTGGAGTACTCCGTAGGTACTAACTAACACACGGACACCAGTTTCCTTGTTTTTTTCCTTCTCGGATAGGTAATTGAATGTACTCCGTAGGCAGGTAATTGCCTCTAGCGTGGTAGGTAGAGTTAGTGACGGAGCAAGTAGATTTCGATGTGGGCAGGTGGACCACTTGCCTTCCTTGGCATAGTCTCGGCCGGCCGGCCTCCTCTGAGGCCCTATTATTAGGTTGACACTTCACACGTGAATTTTCGAGGGGGGAAGGGGCTGGCCTAGACCCGAAGGGATGCGAGAAAAATTGGACCGGTCACGTGAGAGGTACCGGATGGGTTGGAAGGCTCAGTTTTGTTTGTTGCGCTGTTTGCATCTATCATTTGACGGGTTGGCTCTGATGTGATATGTCCCATTCACGGAGGGATGTGCCTAACTGACTAGGGGATATGAGTATACGAAATTGCGAAGATGGAGTTGGCTGGAAGAAGTACGTACGTGCCTAGCCCCTGACATATCCTTTCCCCCTTCATGTGTCTATGATTGACTCTTGTATGGGCTACACAGGTACAGACTAAACAGACTATTGGAAAAATACCTTGCTAGAGCAGAGAACAAAGAAAATACCATGTCCGGAGCATTTCCTACCTATTCCAAACTCAATACCCGTATACCACCTTCATAGTCCGTCCGAGTCCGATCGCGCACGTGCCTATAATTTCCTACATTCCGCCGTTATTGTTATCGTAACGGCGATGGCTGTGTATACCTATATCAAAGAGACATATACATCGGTTCAGGGGCTATCGGTGTTTCTAAAACCGGGGAATTGGATCGAGTTGAAGACAAAGACAAAAAAAGAGGAGAAAGTTTGTCTTGGCTAGGTATACCAGGGTCTGTGCTTGATTATCACTCAAGGACATCTCTCCTATTCTAGCCATACGCCAGAACTCTAGATTGGAATTAGGGAAGTCTCTAGAGACAGATATTCGCTCCTCGAGAATCCCAGAACTGCGGCCTGCCATAGCTTTCTTCCACGTATGAAAAAAACAGGGACCATTAGGAGACATCACGCATGGTCTTTGAGGCGAAGATAATTTAACTTCTGACCCAAGTCGGTATTTGACGTCTCTAACAGAAGATGATACTCGCCTTATCTTGCAGGATTATGTAGCCTTACACAAAGTTTTCAGGGCCGAGGCTTATTATTCCATATGGGGCAGTAGAAGCGCCCATTCGTATGATGTTAGGGGAGGCGGCCTGTTTTCCCACGGACTCACGCAAAGAGATCCAGGAGACGATACGCCCAGGCTCCCGTAGGACATTGCATAGCGGCTTCACGAAATCCAATGTATGCACCTGACTATAGAGCTTTTAACAGAGCTCAGTTGATCTAGAGCTAATTCAGGTCATGCCGATGTAGGGATCCGGGGTTGAGTGTTTACAGCAACAAGGGACTTACGGTGCTGGACGTAGGTTTACACCTGCCTGGTAGCCCACTTGGAATCCATAATTCGTTTACCAGCCCGAGGGTCAATAGCAGGACCAACCAAGTTAGCAAGGTTAAGTTTCATCATCGAACCAGTCACCCAAAGATAGTCAATCTACGAACCGCGTGTCTACTTCCGCTAACCAGGTTTCTGATTATCCTAACGCGTTGAATGACAAGAATTGAGTGCAACACCGAAGGTTAGCGTAATCGGACACCGAACCGCCGGTCCCTCACCGCCGCTTCTTATCAAAACGCTCAATTTTCAACCATTTGATCAAAAACGTGGCAATTCAACAGTATGGAAGGCCTACCTCGAGATAGGAGGCTAGCGCTCGCTACTGAGGCCTTTCAAAAAGCAGTTCTCCTCTAAAAAGGCCTGCGCGGCCGCTTTTGACGTCAAAATAAGCACTCTAAAAGGTCGCTTGAAAGGAATCAAATCGCGCAACGAAACAGAGGCGAATTGCAGAAAGCTCTCTAATAATGACGAATTAGTATTGAAGCGAAAAATTCTCGATATGGACTCTCGTGGATATCCTCTTACTATTGAAAAAGTCCGCTATCTCGCAGAGATCCTCCTTGCCGCGAAATTGAAGCCTTTCGCTCCGAATAACGCCTTTATAAGCTATCGCTGGGTCAACCGATTCATCAACCGCCATGAAGCTGAATTGCAGTCAAAATGCACGAGGAGATACGATTACCAACGAGCGAAATGCGAGGGCCCCAATCTTATAAAACGCTGGTTCGATTTGGTGCAGAATACCATACATAAATATGAAATTCTTGAACCGGATACTTATAATATGGATGAGACGGGCTTTCAAATGGGGGTTGCCTCTACTGCAAAGGTTGTATGCGGCGCAGAATCACGAGAAAGCAATGCAAGATCAGTGCAACCAGGCAATCGAGAATGGGTCACGGCGATCATCACAATCAGCGCCGCAGGCGTTGTTTTACCTCCACAAATCATCTTCGCAGGTAAAATGCAGCAACAGAAGTGGTATGAAGATATTTCCGATGGCTATCAGGTCAGCGTGAGCGAGAATGGATGGACGAATGATAAAGTCGGGTTTGAATGGCTTCAATTTTTCGATAATTTCACTTCTTCAAAAACGGCCGGTCAATATCGCCTTTTACTGCTTGACGGCCACGGGTCCCATTCAACGCTTGAATTCGATCAACTTGCAAAGAGAAAAACATCATTCCTTTATACATGCCGCCTCATTTTTCTCACATATTGCAACCGCTTGATGTGGGCTGTTTTTCGCCGCTAAAAGGCTACTACGGCCGGCGAATTAGCGACGCTATACAGAACATATCGATAAAAGCGATTTTATTAATCACTTCAAGCGTATATACAGTAAGGCCTTCTCTGCGAGCAATATAACAAGCAGTTTCGCCTCTACGGGCCTCATCCCGTACGATCCAGATAAAGTGCTTTCAAAACTGAAGCCTTTGCGATCTTCAACGCCTCCTCCACCTTCAACTTCATCGCCCAACCAGTCCATGTATCTCGGTAAAACGCCCGTGAATTTATATCAACTAAATCATCAAAAAGCGAAGATTCAATCGTTGCAAGAATCGGGATTATCATCGCTTATTGCGGACCAAGCGCTTGAGAAGGTGTATAAAGGCGCGGAGATGGCCATGCAGAACGCCGCCCTGCTTCAACAAGAAATACGCCAGCTTCGCGCGGTAGAACAGTATAAAAAAGGCAAGCAAGCTCTCTATTTCTCGCACTGGTCCTGGTCCCCATGCTGGCTCGAACAACAACTTAGTAGAACAACGTGATAGTTAGATACTACGGAGTACACTCATCCAACTAACCATTGATACAAATCACCGCCTCCTCCGCATGACCCATTTTAGTTATAGCGATAACTGCTATTAACAACTACAATGACGGCCCCCCTGATGGCTGGTGTAAAAATTAGTCCTGTCATGTTTCGTTATCCCTGTTGAAGCAGAGACTCGACTAGCATTTGATCAAAGAAAAATAGGTCATTCCCAGTCATTCCTGCATAATACTAGTCTATTGATACATGTCTATTTGCTCCATCTATAAATCCTTTTTGTGCATTTCTACTCCGTACTTTGTTCGACTTGCTCCCCTACTACGGAGTAATTGGTAGACAAATAAGTCACATCTCAATGCCATTATTAGAAAGGACTCGGTAAACCTTAAATTGAGAAAGTCAGTTAAAATTCGACGATTCCTGCATCATATCGACCGGTCTTACTCGGTGTATATTATTTTAATTGTATTTTCTTTTCCCCTGGATTATTTACTTGGCTATTAGACTGCTCGTTCTTTCTCGGTTCATCGATTTTATATTATTTGATTTAATCACCTACGACCAGAATGTAGCGCAACAAATCCCTAAGCGAATATCATATAGTTACCACCAGAGTTTCCCTTTCGTTCCTTTTTACGCATCGTCAAGACACATGCCATTTCAAACGAGGGTGTTTGACAGCTCGAGAACTCGATATGCAACAATCCTCACTAAACCTACAAAAACCCCTACTTAGCCCACAATCATCTACCATAGGAGTCCTTGATGACCTTGACCATAATAAAGACATCGCTTGTTTTGCATCAATCTGATCGATTCCTGAGCCTCTCCTGAGCCGCGTGTTGCCCTTGTTAACTCTGTGTATATATATATCACAGGAAATGAAAGGCGGTCAGATGGGTAAAAATCAGAACAAGGGTTATTATTATTATTTATTCTCTCTACCAAAAAGCATTGGCAAAAAATGCAAAAAAGAAGGAACTTCCGTGGATCGAACACGGGGCCTACAGATAAACTGCTTATTGCAATCTGCCGCTCTTCCGCTGAGCTAAAGCTCCAATCGGATGTCTTCTGAACTTCTTTTTTTGTTTTACAATGACCTTTAGACCGGTAGGTACCTATACGGAGTAGTCATTTCGTAAATCCCAGGAACTCTCTGTTACACCACATGTAAGTGTACTGATGTAGTAGGGGTAGGGGTGTTGTAGAAGATTTAAAAATGAATAAAACAAACATGTGATATAATTACGCAGATAGCTTTCCTTGGTATTGTAGACAATTAGAAGAGAGAGAAAAAGCAATAACAGACCAATAGTTAGATGTAATGTAATTTGGGCCACTTCTTCGAGGCAGTAAATTGCCGTGTGGAAGAGCCGTGATGGTCAGGACTCGACTTTCCGTTTTCTCGATTTGCCTCATTTAACGGCGGCCTGGACCCTCCTGATGATGCACGCAGGTAGACAGGAGTACCCCGTACTCCGTACATGTTGGGTGGAGGATAGATCATAATATGAGTGGTTTACGGACTGGCGGAAGGATTAAGATATTGTACTTTTGCAGTGGGGACAGTGGAGAAAGAGCAGTCTCGATTGATGTGATGCGATGTGATCACTTCGGACATTTTCCTTGAGGTTGCGACCAGGACAAGGTGTTTTGTGCAGGAAGTGCGGGATTATCACTTATGGGTCTTACTAGGTCTGGACCGTTTCTGCCAGGGAATTGACCTGTGTGCTGGTTTTGTTTGATGTCAGAGTGTAGTACGTTGGTGGGGGTCTGTACAGAGGCTACAGGATTTTTTTTTTTCTTTGGTGACACTTTGATGGGCTTTTTCTTGACCTTGGTCTAGAAGTCTCAAAAGCATTTATGATATCCTTGATAGATTTTGGTGTTATCAGAAAGTGGTCGGAATACATTGACTCTGCTGGTATTGAACTACCCACTTCGCGAATCACACTTTTCCTTGAGGCATGTAACGTTTCAAGTGCCTTCGTAATAAATATCCGGTCGAAGGTTTGAATGGTATCAAGTTCTGAATAGTAGAATCTTTTGTCTAGATGTGTGCGGTAAGCCCCCATCCTGGCATTCCCGACTGTTGGAAGGATAATGGATATGGGACTATACCACATTAGTAGGGAAATATTATCGTGATACATCAGCGTTGTGAGGTTGTTTTAACGTTCTTTCTTCTCATTAGCAAGAATTAGATTCAAGTGTTGTGGCCCCCAATTCTCTTGCCATCCCTCGACAGCAGACTAACTATGTATCTCCGATCATTTGTACAACAAGGACGCCGTCTTTGCTTAATGAGAACATCGTGAAATGAACGAATACATTTTCAAACTTGACTCTATAGCCCCAATAGCTGAACACCTAAGCAAGATGGTTAATAATGCCGCAAACCTACTTCCTAGACATAAAATCCATGAAACCGATCCTGGGTACACGCAAAGACCCCAAACGAGCAAAGTTTGTGGAGTCTTGTCGTGACAAAATGGTCCTCTATTACGATATGCCGCATATATCGGTCGTCTCTGGCTTCGTCTAGTAAGAAACCCTAGGAAATGAGAACATATCGAACAATTGATTTGAATAAACTTGTCCCCCCCCCCCCCCCCAACATGATCCATAAATTGCAACTAACACACTCCTCGTGATTTTTGTGTTTATTGTCGTTGGGTATAAGGGGCCTGACCGGATGAGACTGTTAGCTTTCTGTCACTTTGCGTATGGGGTCTGTGAATATACCGATTAATGTAGGGAAGCTACAAATTAGATATCCTCTCCCTGTCCACTGAGCAGTGTTCTTAGCGAAATGATGTGCTTAATGTCTCCGATAAAACCTTGTCATAACCTGCAGAGCCAAGCTTGTGTGTATATCTACATAAAGAGGCCGTTCGACCTCACAGCCTTGCGGTGATTTTGTCCAAGGTATCCGCCAAGGCATACTCGCTCGGGGCCTTCTTGCTCCTGACTGCTTGCGCCTGCTCACGAGTGACATACCTAGCCTCCACGGCAGGATTATACCCAAGGCCACTGACCTTCGCGATTTCCATGTCGTCAACTACAGCATCTATATTCTTCTTGCCGTCCGCACGTCTATAAACCGTTACCACAATCGCTCCACCAAGACCAAGATTATGCTGCAAAGCGACATCTGTCTCCGGGACCAGACGGCCGTTTTTTGCCCATCCGCGAAGCTGCCACGTCAGTTCCGCACACTGCGCAACTCCCGTTGCGCCGAGGGGATGACCCTTGGAAATCAGTCCGCCCGACGGATTGACAATCGGGCCTTTGCCGCCGTATGTGATATCGCCGTTGCGAACGAGATGGTGGGCTTTTCCAGCTTCAGAGAAGCCCATGGCATCAAGCGAGATCAGCTCGTTGGCGGAGAAACAGTCGTGGAGCTCACAGACTTTGATGTCGCTGGGTGTGGCGCCTGCTTCGGTCAGTGCGGCCTTGGTGGCTCTGCGGGTCATTTCGTAGCCGACTAGATCTAAGGCACTGCCGGAGTATAGGGAGGGACTGTCGGTTTTGAGAGACTGCCCTGCGATCAGGATAGCATGGCTCTTTAGCTCGGGCCGTGCGTCGAGGAATTTTTGCGACACGATGATCGCGGCCGCGGCGCCGTCGGATGTAGGCGAGCATTGGAGCTTGGTGAGCGGGTAGTAGATCATAGGCGATTTCTGAATTTCTTCTAACGAGTAGACGTTGCGAAACTGGGCGTATGGGTTGCGCGAAGAGTGTTCGTGTGAGATGCGGGCGATCTCTGCGAAGTCTTCGGGTGAAGCGCCGTACCTGGCGTCAATGTTAGAAACAAGGAACCCATTACTCGACAAGAATCCTAGTGAGGAAGTAGAACGGACTACCTACTTCTCAATATACTCCCTCCCAGCATTCCCAAACATCTGGGGATTCCTCGGAGCATCGTTCTTTCCCCAGGTCGATTGCATCAAATCAACACTCAAGTCCAGCGGCGTCGGTCGGTCGGTGACATTGCTGACCAACGGGCCGGCATTCATCTGTTCAAACCCGACAACCATTACACAGTCATGGGCGCCGGATTTGACAAATGTGCGAGCAAGATGGAGACCGGTTGAGCCGGTCGCGCAGGCATTATTGGTATTGTAGATCGGGATGTCGGTCATACCGAACTGATAGAACACTCGCTGGCCGCTACACGTCGACCCGGATGTGTAGCAGGCAACTCCGGCCTCGACATCGTCGTATGTGATGTGGCTGTCAAGCATGGCTTTGATGCCCGCTTCGAAGGCCAGTTCGGTGTACATTCGTGTGGCACGTGGCTTGAGGAAGGCCGCCATGCCCACACCCAAGACGTAGGCGTTACCCTGGTTGTCTGAAGTCATGATTTTTGATGAGATAAGGAGTTACTATCGGCAGTCAGTGTTCGGTGATATGCGACCGGGCTGTTTTTGAAGCAGATTGAGGATTGTCAGGATAACCAAGGCTCCGAGGTTCGGTCGGTAAGAAGGCTTCACCGAGGTTGAACAAGATGTAAGGAGCTAGTACGGGGGATTTCCCCGCATTTTCCTGGTGGAGCTTACGGCTATTTCGAGTCAACTCTATCTGGGGATCTCTATGATGAACACCATGTTCATGTTGTCTGATATTCATTAAGACACAGGGTCTCCGTGATTATCAATTCACCTTACCTATTTATGAAATTCCAGAATGACAGCCTTGTCGACGGCGAAAATTAGCCAAGCTAAGATCGTTCTTCCTAATTTCTCGAACATTCAGCACTCTTCATGATGATGTATGCATTGCAATTTTGTGAAAATTGCGATCATACAAATCTGCCTTGTTGCCTACCTTCACATCAGCAATCCATGCAGTTGGCGCCTGTTTGCCTAAGTCGCCAAGAGTCAGCCCTCGCCCTTTTTGCCAAAGTAACCAGGGCGTCACAGTGCACCGCCACAAGCAAACTAAAATGACCTTCAACATCATAGAAGCCACACTGCCCCGCTGAAGACGAACCATCCACCACTCATCTCTATCTTCACGAACCCCAAGAAAAGGCGTGGCATGAGCCAGTGTGGCATGTGATGATGTGACGAGCTCAGCGCCAGCTCGCCAGCCTTGCGGATTCTAGAACCGCCCAACCAAAAGGTCTAGAACGACGACCGAGGCTGTAAGGCTCGGGGAATAGAACAATCTAGGCCAGATATACTGGCTCCCCTACCAACAAACTTGATATTCATCTCGTCTCACTGGCCGGGAGACACTGACGAGTTCTGCTGGAAGCTGTAGCTGCGGCAATCTCCCTTCTAGATCTCGCTGCCCGATGATGTCTTCATGCCTTTGCTTTTTCCTCGGTGTCTGTTATGGTCAGGCTTCGGCAATGAGGGAAAGGGAGATATATGCCTCGCTGGTGGGTTATAAATGGCTGCAGACTCCAGAGGGGAGGGTGTCGATCCGGTCATATCGTGCCTTCAATCGATCCGATACGATGCCGGAAACCAATAACTCCACTTCGTATGTGTTTTCGAGGTTGTTTGGTCGCTAATGACTAACATGATTGATGCAATTAGATCGACCCAAACGGTTCATTCCAACCACGCAAGCCCCCCGAAGCCTAGGAACGCCGAGAACATCCGTCGATATTACGAGTCGCCGGCAGGATCAGATCCATATCATTTCGAGATGAGCAAGGAAAGCCAAGAGACTCGACAGCGACACATCAGTGAGGAACTTCGCAAACTTGATGAGGTCTTCCGAGCGTCATAGAAGCTAGAACACGCTGTTTGATATGGATAAATGGGCACTGGTAACGGGGCGAGGTGATTCGCTGCACTGTGGAATAATGCGCTGGATAATATAGGTTGGGATTTGATAAATCTTAGACTGTTCGTTTGATTTGTTTCGTTGATGATACATGTATAAAGGCTCGTTTCAATAGATGGAGACTTCGCAGATATATCCTCAAATAGACAAAAATGGTATATGTTTCAAGTCAGTCTTTAAAAACGCTGTTGGTATAGAGATAGGGCCGGCGTGAGTCCATTTCCTCAATCATGGGCGCAATTGTATGCCGAGAATAGTTATTTCCAAACTCCTATTGCCGTTATCCGCTTCGCTTTTAAGGCCATCTCAAATTTCTTGATGGGGGCCAGAGGTATTATGCAAGCATTGATCTTACCTTGACGTGGCTGATTTCCATCTACACCAACTTTACAAGGTCGTCAGTCGGAACAGACTCGATGAGACAGACCCGACCACGCCAGATGCACAGAAAAGACCTAGTCCTTGGTCTCTCGGATAAATAGATATTGGGTTTGAGAATGATCCTCGTTCTTCATTCTCGGATGTCAATATTAGCTAGGCCAAAAGTAGCACGTTTTTTTCGGTGCTGAACCATGAAGACTCAGGCCCGTCAACGACATGAACCCCGACGACCAAAATAGTGACGTAGGTGGAGTTGGAAGTACAGAATGCAAGGGGGGCGTCGTGGGCACGAGTAAGCCCCGCAAAGAAACACTGCACCATCTAAGGCGAGTTATTATGTGCTCTCTCCCCTAGTACTTCAAATTTCAAACGGAGTACATAGAGGTGTCCTGAAAGACAATGCCCCTGGTTTTCCCATGAATTTGGCGTAAGAATATTGAGACCTTGTTTAGTATGGCTTGGAAACAAAGTTCTTTATGGTGGTTCTGTTGAAAGCGACCAGCAATAAACAACAGAGATATAGAAGGACGGTGCAATTCCGGTCTCTGTCACAACAATGAATGTAAAACTGAGAGATACCTCAGGGTCGCAGAGTTTGTTCTCATGCGTGTTCCAAGGAAGTAGAGATGCGGACTGCTGGATAAGCAAAAGATGGAGCTAAGACAGGGCCAAACCAAGAATAGAAGGTGCCAAAGTGATAGTTCTTCGTTTGTTCACTAGCTCCAGTTGAGCCCGGAATACGGCAGCCTACGGCCCCACCGACACAGGCAAAAGAATAATAACGGAGCACTGGCTTTCTGCAAAGAGGCTATCGAACGTTATCAAGGATAAGTCTAACAGTGACAAAACTCCCCGAAAGGATGCGGGCGGAGATTCATCCTCCGAATCCTTCGAGCGGGTTGTAATCAAAATTAATTAATTCATCATTTGACGCAATTTGAGTCCAAGGTTGCATTGGTGCCTCATTTCGAATCGATCGCTTCCTTTGCGGCACGTTCCTTGAATTTATTCCATGCAGACTGTTGAATGATCTGGCAGAAGCGATGGAGGTCATACAAGTAAGGGTGTATAACCCCCGCATCGATCGCAACCCCTGCGTCGTCGTACAGGGGACCTGGTCGAGTCATCATGTTACAGTTGTGCAAGGGCTGTATCGGACCTCTTCCATAAGGATACGGATCAATAATTCGATAGCGAATGGACTCAGATAGTCTTACATAGATGAGGGGTACGATGTCCATTACCTAACAGGAACCGGAATCCGGGACGATAGAAACGCCACAACCATCCAACCATTGGCAATTGAAAGGGAAATAGATTGATGATAAGACCTTGGCGCACGGAGAAGCGTCGGTTAAGTCAAGCTTGTATAGAACAAGCTTAGTCTTGGAAGGGCCTTTGGCTTATCGGTGGCCGGGCGGACTGCGCGACCATCCGGGGTTGAGCGAATGAGCGCGGGACAGATGGGGACTAGGGCCGTAGTCGTTATGGGGAGGAGTTGGGTGAGGACTGAGCAGGGTTACATTGGGTTGTGCTCACTGTCTTGTCCCTCCAGTCGGATGCTGGAAGAGCACAGCGAGAGACCAAAAGTAAATAAACAAGCGGATGGACCCCTGGCATCAAGGCAGCCAATCAGCACGTAACGTGTCCCCGGAATGCTGGGGATCGGCCTTGGCGTCCGAATGAAGGGAAAAATAAACAAATGGCATTCTGACAGACAGTCTATCTGCCAGGGTTTTTACTCTCTACAAGGAGACCAGAGTATGCACACATGTAGACTACCAGTGCAAATGACACCACAGGCCCAAATGCTGAGCCAACTGCCCTAGTCCGACTAAATATGCCCGGATTGGGCCATTATTGCCAGTGGAGTCTCTCCTGACGATCCACCATGATAAGCCCCCTCAAATTCAATGTGACGTCGAATGGGATTCCCTAGAATAGATCCCATCATGCTCGCCGCGATCGGCAGGAACCCGTCGGTCCTCCGGTCTGTGAATGGATCGAGTAAAAGTATGCACATCACTGTCTGGCAGTTTCCGCTAAGCTAATTAATGTACAGTGAGTGAGTGCAGCGTCCCCATCCACATCACGCGATGGCTGGGGATCGTTACTATTAAAAACCCAACCCCCCTCTTCTCCCTGCACCTTTTGGTCGCTTCTCTCGCCCATCCCTCTCTCATCGTCCCCTCTCCTCTCCCCTGGGCGGACCATTCTTCATCATGCGGTCCTTCATCCGTCGTGGAGCTCTGTCGCTTGCGGCTCTCACTTTGCTTTCTTCCTCCGTCGCTGCCGAAGTGTTCGAGAAGCTTTCTTCTGTTCCCAATGGTATGAGCCACTGCCGCTTGAAATGTATCTCCTCCATTTGTCGGAGAATGCTGACATATCCTAAGGCTGGGTTTACTCTGGCACCCCAAGCGGTGACCAGGCAATCCGCCTGAAGATCGCATTGCAACAGGGCGACGCCGAGGCCTTCGAGAAAGCCGTCCTTGACATGTCGACCCCCGACCATGCCGACTACGGAAAGCATTTCGAGACCCATGAGGATATGAAGCGTATGCTTCTGCCCCGAGGCGAATCCGTCAGCTCCGTCCAGGGCTGGTTGGAATCCGTCGGCATCACCGACTACAAGCAGGACGCCGATTGGATCGACTTCCAGACCACCGTGGAAAAGGCCAATGCCCTGCTGGAGACCAAGTTCCACTGGTACAACAACAAGGAGAAGAACGTTCGTCGTCTGCGAACCCTCCAGTACTCGATTCCCGACTCGGTCGCGGGCCACGTCAACGTCATTCAGCCGACGACCCGCTTCGGCCAGATCAAGCCCGACCGCGCGACGCTGCGCTCCAAGCCCAAGCACATCGATGAGAACTGGCTCTCCAAGGTGTCGCAGAACTCCTCTCACTGCGATTCCGTCATCACTCCCGAATGCTTGCAGGATCTATACAACATCGACTACGAGGCCGATGAGAATTCCGGCAGTAAGGTCGCTTTCGCTAGTTACCTAGAGGAATATGCGCGTTACGCCGATCTGGAAAAGTTCGAGGAGCGTCTCGCTCCCTGGGCCAGTGGCGAGAACTTCAGCGTCACCCTTTTCAATGGCGGCCTGAATGACCAGAACGCCGCTAGCGACAGTGGCGAGGCCAACTTGGACTTGCAGTACATCGTGGGTCTGGGTGCCCCGCTGCCAGTCACCGAGTACAGCACCGGTGGTCGTGGACCGCTCATCCCCGACCTGAGCTCTCCTGATCCCAGCGACAACAGCAACGAGCCGTACCTGGAGTTCTTGCAGGGCGTTCTGAAGCTAGACAAGGCCGAGCTGCCTCAGGTTATCTCCACCTCTTACGGCGAAGACGAGCAGGTGAGTTGCCCAGGTCCTTCCCGCATTCCTGCGTGACGCAGAACTAATCGTTTTAATCCAGACCATCCCCGAGAAGTATGCTCGCACCGTGTGCAACCTGTATGCGCAGCTCGGCAGCCGTGGCGTGTCCGTGCTGTTCTCGTCCGGCGACTCGGGAGTCGGCGCTTCCTGCCAGACCAACGACGGCAAGAACTCGACCCACTTCCCGCCTCAGTTCCCCGCCTCCTGCCCTTGGGTCACGGCCGTTGGTGCCACCACCAAGACCAACCCCGAGCGTGCCGTCTTCTTCTCGTCGGGCGGTTTCTCCGACTACTGGCCTCGCCCCGAGTGGCAGGCTGAGACCGTCGACAGCTACCTGGAGACCATCGGTGACAAGTTCAAGGGCCTGTACAACAAGAAGGGTCGTGCTTTCCCCGACGTCGCCTTCCAGGGCCAGAACTTTGCGATCTATGACAAGGGCGCTCTGGGCACTGTCAGCGGTACCTCCTGTTCCTCTCCCGCCTTCGGTGCTGTCATCGGTCTTCTGAATGATGCCCGTCTGCGCAACGACAAGCCCGTTCTCGGCTTCCTCAACCCCTGGCTGTACAGCAAGGCCAAGGACAGTCTCAACGATATTGTCAACGGTGGTAGCACCGGCTGTGACGGCCGCAACCGCTTCGGTGGTACCCCCAACGGCAGCCCAGTTGTGCCCTATGCCAGCTGGAATGCCACCGAGGGCTGGGATCCCGTCACCGGACTGGGAACCCCCGACTTCACCAAGCTGCTGCACGTCGCTCTGTCCCACTAATGAAGTTCAATTTTAGTTGAAAATTCATAATATTTGCGAATACATAGTTAACTAGATGAACAGCATGAATACATAACGAATGTTCAAATCCCCTTTCCTGTCCTACATCCCACCATGGCGCCGGTCAACTTATCAGTAGTAGGCAGGATCATAGATCCTCGCCTTGTAGAACTCCGCATCCCCCCATCCCCTCTTATCCTCTTCCACCTCCGGCTCCCCCTCCCTGCTGAACGACACATACTGTCCCATCTCGTTCCTCGCACCTCGCACCCACACATACTCACCAGACTCATCCTGCACCAACGACTTCAACTTCGTCGTATTCATCAACATCTCAAACTCCCCACTCGTCTTGTTAAAACTGTACGCCGCACTCGTATGCGTCAACAACAAGAGATCCTGATGGGCATAGCTCGCCGACAAATCATGGCCATTCCGCGCCCCCGTCCCAGGTAACTCAATCTTCCCCTTCTTCCCAGGTAGCCTCTTCAACCGCAGATCCTTCCCCTTTCCCTGCACCCGATACTTATACAGGTACTTCTTCCCAATGGCCCATAAAAACCCATCCTCCGGATCCTCACTCCCATTCGGATCCCATAACACCCCATGCGCAAAGTCCACCTCATACGTAGCCAGCTTCCTCACATTCACGTAGTCGCTCACATCCCCCGCATCACTAGGCCCATACAACTCGAGTTCATTACTCGCCGAACTCGCCACCACGATTCCCCCGACGTACGGAATCCGCTCGATCGCATGCGGATTACCCTCGGTGTACGCCGACCAAAGCACGTCCGGCACGCCTGTCCGTGGCCGGCCCTTCTGGATGTCCACGATGCCGACCATCCCGCGGGATGCAGCGACGAGTGCGACCCATCCGTGTTTTGCGGTTTTGCGGATCCGGACGTCGGACACGTCGTGCCAGCGGTTGCTGGTGAAGAGACCGTTGGCTCCGGATGGGTCGAATTCCCAGTGGATGTTGGATTGGGTCCAGCTGGGTGCCGAGCGTGGGAAGACTCGCACGGTTTGGGATTTTTGGTCGGCGATGGCAAGGTGGTAGGCGTTTGCTAGGGGGAGGAGAATGGATGTGAAGGGGATGATTAGGTGGGTAAGTATTGAGAGATGCATTTTGGTGGGACGGGAGTTGAGGCGCGCGTTATCCTCCTTTAGGACGATGGGTTGGTTAGAGAGGGATAGATAAAATGGTGTCAGGGGGTTTATATAGATTTAACATACCGTTCGCTGTTGATGAAGTAGTATAATTTGATCAAGTTGAGGGGGGTGTACATACAAATGCCAAGCTCGTACTATTTATTTCGCCCTCACACCTCCATTTCTGTCTTTTTCTGTGAACGAATCTGTGATTTCAGATCTGCATGGCACGCGAGATGCTTCCTATATGGGATGCTATTTTTGGGGCCGGTTCGTATACGGGCCGCTGACTAGCCACGATGGGTAGAGCCGATGACTGATCCATCTGGGGATTAGACTTTTGCTTCTGGGAGATTGGCTCGTGTCTGTCAGGTACGAGGTTCATTGTGGGGGCGGGGCCGATTGCTATTCATAGTTTCATACTTGGGTTGAAAACTTGAAATATAGGGAGGATCTTCAATTGATTTTAGCGGTGGGAATCAAGGACGATCTGTTGTGATTTGTGCATATGCTGTGAGAAGGGTGTGCGTTTTGGTCTTCGTTGTCCCAGATCCTAATATATTTTCTCTGGTCAGTGGCGTGGCGTAAATGTGTGCCCAGAAGATGATCCAGGAGTATAGTCCAACAGGACTAGAAATTATCCATAGTAAATAGACCCGAGAATGTCAAATAATTCCACTCAACAGTATCCGCTTCGTTTGATCAAGGTCTTATTCAGATGCCATAGAGCTTTTATCCTAGCCCAAATATAGAGTGGGAATTTAACAAGACAGCGAAAACCAATTATAATGGCCACTCAAGCGCTAGTTATCCACAGAGTGGGTATTCTATAGCAGCTACCATAGAATATCAGTTCTCATTGGTAGAACACACCTCTAACATATGCTATAACAACAAGGGTGTTCAAGCCTAGCCTTCCACTGTTCGTTAGACTGTCAAAACTCATGCGGAGTAATCGAGAGTACTAGTTTATCTCTTCCAAGACCCTTCTTTCTCAGACCATCATCTAACTCTAAACATCCATTTCTCATTCCATCACGTTTAAACTACCATCTCAATCCCCAGCATAATCCCACAAAATGACCACCATCGCCAACCCTCTCAAATTCCGCCTCATCTTCAACGCCCCTCCCTCCGCCGTCGCGGCCTGCAAAGCAGCCATCTTCGCTGCCGGCGCAGGCAAATACCCAGGTCCAGGTGACTATACCGAGTGCTGCTGGACAGCGATGGGGACTGGTCAGTTTCGCCCCGGGGACGCCGCAAACCCTCACCTTGGCAAAGTCGGGCAACTAGAAGAGACGCCCGAGGTGCGGGTGGAAACGATCTGTGTGGGTGAGGATATTGCTAGGAAGGCGGTTGATGCTTTGAAAAAGTAGGTTTTCCTTCTTGGTCTGACTGTTCTGGTGATTGTTGGGCTGGTTGATGGCTAATACTGTTTGTTATTTTCTCTAAAGGGCTCATCCGTATGAAGAGCCATCATATAGTGTGCTTAGGATGGAGGACTTCTAATTAAACTCTGGGTATGGTTGAGGAGAATGAGGACAGTGTATGTTTTGTGTGATATATTGACAATATGAGGGACTAAACCAACTTGGAAAGATTCCAACATATGGGCCATGTGTGTAGGTAGAGGGATGCGCTTTGACTGGGACCCTTTCTAGTCGACAAACAGTATTCGAATTGTTCCCAGGCTTATAATGTGCTTAGCTAGAAACTTTTCTTGACTGATGTAATAAGACTATCAAAGTCAAGTTTGCGTGACGATCAAGAGCTGTGCAACGCCGCTGGAAAAGCTCCTATTGGGCCATTTATGAAGGTTATGTGGGTGTCAATGCCTCTGGCAGATACGACAACTCCGTCTCTGGACTCGGTATTATTGATGTAATAGATGCTGACTTACTAGCAGGTGTTTACAGCGGTTAGGTACGAAGATATTTTCTCTTTATTACACATACTTTATCAGAGGCATTATTATCTGATCTTTTGATTAGCTCATGAAATTCTCGTTTTGCTTCGTAGCATCGTTGATTGAGACTTATGGCCATCCTTCATATTTGCCGAAGCATAGCAATGACGGTCATCGGATCTGGCATGGGAGATTACAATTCCCCAATGAAAATTTTTAGGTACTCCAGTATATATGCTTCTCAGGGCTCTCTTTTCTTCTTTTTATAACGTTTTCGCATCAATGTGTCCAAGTATCATCAGATACCTTGAAATACTTTCGTATCGCTCGACAATGTGACTCTTTATATATCCGTACGATAATGTTGAAAGTTTATAGCCGCTTTTAGCTTTCGAAATTACCTGTAACAACTAGACATATTCATGGAAAATCATGAGTAGGACATAGTATGCCGTAGACCAATTCAGTCAGCAAGTGTTTCTCTTGACGCTGCCCTATGATAGTGGCATAGTTGATAGTTTCTGCCTAAGGCAGAAATTATACTGCCAGGTACCGAGTCACCGCCCACCAGAGGGCGCTATCTGAGTCACTATTCATGCCTAACGGAGCGGACAAACATATCCCCGGCGTGCCTTTCCGCGGCGGGGTGGTTTTTCAATTGATCGCGGGGTGGCTTTTCCATGCGTCTTTTCTCCGATTGTGACTCACCACACGACCCATTGCGGAAGGCCGAGGGATCTCGTTTATCGCTCACGTCCTCTCTCTTCAATCGGCAAAATGTCCACCATGAACGCCGACGAGCGGTTTGCGCTCATCTCGGAAAACCTTCAAGAGGTCCTCAATCCGGATGTCATCAAGACGATCCTTGCGGAGGGTGGAAATCCTAGAGTCTACTGGGTGGGTATTCCATGATGGTGTCTTCCTTTGCAATTGGTGTGGGACTTTTCAGCTAATTATTTCTGGTTTTCGCGCACAGGGAACTAGCCCGACTGGCAAGCCTCACTGCGGATATTTCGGTACGATTGGATCTCATTGTTTACAAAGGCGATTAATGGTGGATTTTGGCTGATCGGGATGTATGACTATAGTGCCGGCGGTGAAAATTGCACAACTTCTGGCAGCAGGCTGCGAGGTTACCGTCCTGGTGGCCGACATCCACGGATTCTTGGACAACTTGGTTCGTTCACGGTTGAATGGAATTGCAGGCGCATTGGGGGCTGACGACTTGACAGAAAGCGCCCATTGAACTCGTCGAGTACCGGTCGAAATACTATGAATACACTATCACCGCTATGCTGCAGGCTGTCGGTGTGTCGACGGAGAAACTTCGCTTCGTCCTGGGCAGCTCCTACCAGAAAACCCCCGAGTATATCATGGATGTCTACAAGCTGTGTTCGATGGTTTCGGAGCATGATGCGAAGAAGGCCGGCGCTGAGGTGGTCAAGCAGTCGGACAACAGCCCCCTGTCGGGTCTCTTGTACCCGATTCTCCAGGTGCTCGACGAGGAGTACTTGAAGGTTGATGTGCAGTTCGGAGGTACTATTCTCTTCCTTCGATCTTGGATAAAGGTCTAGAATACTAACGGCAGACAGGACTCGACCAGCGCAAGCTGTTTGCGGTGATTCCTCTTGTGATTCCTCTTTAAGCACCATCGGACGCTGATGACCAAGATTAGGCTTCTACGGAATGGCAACCTAAGATGGGCTACAAGAAGGTAGGCAAACATTTACCCTTCGCGTTGATTTCCTCATTGCTAATATTATCTTTAGCGTGGCCATCTGATCAACCCTCTCGTGCCCGGCTTGACTGGTGGTAAAATGAGCTCCAGTGAAGAAGGTACGCTGCCAGCCTTTTATCGTCTATAAATGAGCCGAACCACTAAAATCCCCTCCAGATAGCAAGATCGACCTCCTCGAGTCGGTAGACAGCATCCGCAAGAAGATCCGCAAGGCCCAGGCCGCGCCTCAGCAGACCGAGAACAACGGAGTTCTGTCCTTCGCCCAGTACGTCCTCTTCCCGGCCCTGGCCCTGAAATCCGGAACCCCCGAATTCCGTGTCAGCCGTGAGCGCGATGGCCTGGAGCCCCTGGTCTACAACAACATCGACCAGATGGTGTCCGATTACAAGAACGACGTCGTAAGTGGTTTTCATTCAAACCTGAGAAAGCTCTGTTCTAACTGACTTTTCCAGGTGACCCCTCAATTGTTGAAACCTGCCGTGGCCGACGCTCTCGTTGAGCTTACGGCGCCGATCCGCGCCGCGTTCGACGCATCCCCGGAATGGCAGGACGTCATAACGAAAGCGTACCCGCCTCCTCCTCAGAAGGAGAAGAAGAAGAAGCAGAAGGACAAGGGATCGCGCTACCCCGGGGCTGGACAGGCTGCCGATCAGGCGAAGCCCGCCGAACAAGCGGAGACGGCAAACTAACTCACTGCTAAACATACATCCGACTGGAAGATAGATGCAGGTTGTCTACATTATGAATCTAAGAATTACAAGAGTTTGGACGGCATTTTCATACATCACTTGACGCCATGACTGGTTCTCGTTGACACGAGTAAAGTATTATACGTTCACGGCTGTAGAATGGACTCAACAGATAGCGTGACATTTGCTTTTATTGTGTCATTGCAAGCACTGATAGATACGGAATGATATGCACATATGTGAGGCATTCAATTCATTGTATCTTTGGGCCCGGGACGAATCCTTTGACCGGCATACCAACGACAATTTACCCACATTGTCGATTACTGTTGTCTGACAAACCATCTAGATATAATACCACGTCATGATTTGGTGCGATCTCCAAAAAGTGAATATAAACTCATACCCCATACCAGTGACTATTGTCCATCAGCCCACCAAGAAAGTCCAGCATCCAGATCACCAAGACTCTGCCACAGATCGATCCCTTCTAGAGTATCTATAGGCGGCAAGCCATCGTCGTCGAGCATCGTCATGGCCTCCGACCCAAGACCCTGTGCACTTTCATCTGACCCACTCAGCCCGATTGGCTCCGGGGGATCCGCCTTCTTACCCTCCAGTCCAAGTACATAGCGGGCAATCAGCTGGATTTCATGCACGTTTCTCCGCGTTCGGGGCCAAATCTCCGCTAGTGCTTTGAGGCATCCGATGATCATGCGGATTTGGTCCCTTGCGATGGCCAGCTCTTTTCCCTTGAAGAGGAAGTTGCACGCGGATAGGAGCGCAAGGGTGCCCTCGCTGATCATGCAGGTAAGAAATGGGGAGTGGTTGAAGGGCCGGATTGGCAGGGCCAAGAGGCGGATTTGTGATTCCACCGAGCGCAGTACTCGTGCTGTATGCACGTTGACAAGTTCGGGCGTCGGTGTCTCGGCAGGAAGGTCCCTTGCGCAGCTAGAGACGTGCTCTATGGGGTTGAAGCGAAGATCAGATAATGGTCGGTGCATTCCAACGATTGATCTAGGGAAGCCAGTCAGGTTTGTCGAGACTGAGAACAGGGAATGATTTGGTTCTTACACGTGAACTACCAGATGAGCTTGGAATATGAGCTCGTCGATCTCCCCGGTTTTCGTCAGGACCTGCTTATGTTCCTTTGGTAGCAGAAGCAGCCACCCGTCAACAATGGCATCTGCAGCTTGGATAATGTCCAAGGAAGCCGTCTTTCCGGAACATCTAGGCACGGCAGATATTGCGGCTGCCGCAGATCTAACCGCCCCGATTAGATACGCGAATGATGAAAACGGCGTGTCGCTGAAGTCGAACTCGCGTGAGTCAAATTCTTCAAGTGTCCGTGGTTGCGGAATTTGCTATAGAATGAATAGTGGTTACAGAAGCACATGTTAATGGTAGGGTGAAAAATTGATTAACGATTATGGGCCGGAAATAGCGACGGCGTAGGAAGAACTTACTCCTGATTCATACTCTCTTTCCTGGCAAGGTAGGTCAACATTGGCATCGACATTGATAACTTTGAAATCCATCGTTCCCAGCGTGCCGGCGTAGTAGCCATCCACAACGTAGAGCGACCACCAAGTCCGCCTCCACGACTCGATCAACACCGGGTCTCCGTATCCATGCTTCGTTGCAAACTCGCGACAGAACATTCTAATTTCCAGAGCGATCCTGACGGCATGGTCCATTTCCTGCTTCGACTCATTCTTATAGTCGTACCAAAACAGAGCAGTGGAGTATAGAAGTCGACACTGAACCATGACGGGATCTGTTGGGGGAGTTTCGGAGAAAGAAATCTCGACCAAGTCCTTTAGCGAAGTAGACCATTCTCTGGAGCGATAGAGTTGGCCAATGCAGCGCATCACGGCAAGTAGAGGTCTTAGATTGATCGGCTTCCCTGGCTCATGGTAGAATCTGGCTAGATGCTTCCGAGGTATAACTAAAGGGTGAAATCTGTGGAAGTTTTCATAGTATGCGTCGATGAGAGAGTCATCATCTACGTTGAATATTTCCGTGGTTGATAATACTGGAGCCGCCGAGCTCGATGGCGTGTCAGCAACGTCAACGCCACCAAGAAAGTCGAGGTGATGGGATTGTTGAGGGGCATTTAGGATTCCTGGGCTTTTTGGGAGGGAATTATCCCGATAATCCGCTGACGATGTTGCAGCAAGACGTCGGCGTCTTTCGGCGAGAGCCTCTCGCGTTTGACCACCTCGGCGCGACTGAGTGTAATCGCATTGCTGTTTAGCTTGGATGCACCGCCTACACCTTGGCTGTTCACCGTCACATTTGACATGACGAGAGCGACAGGGCAAACAGGCTAATGAAGAGCGGGTGGCTTTGCGTCTTTCGGATATCGTTTGATCAGCTGGAGCCATCGAGACGACTGTGAGGGTCTATCGGATGCAGGGCGAGGTAAGATGATGACAAAAGAGCGGATATTGTTACCCGTGGATTCCCTAAGCCCACGCATTCCACGCACTTGTGTCGTGCCCCACCTGACCGTAAAAGTGCCCCTCTGCGAGCTCCCACAAGGTCCCCATTGGTTGTGGCAATGAGAAACAGGCGTGGAAAAGCCACTCGGCGACTCATGAAATCCCGAGATGGCAAAGGGATCTAGAAACAGGAGCGAGTATAAAAATGAATCGAACATCCACGAGTCGAAATTCATGTTGACCATCTCCATTCAGTATCTCCATCTTCATTTTATAATCCACAATTTCAAGCTCCATTCAATCTTTTTCACCTCAACATGCAAAGCAGAATCGTTATCGCAGGGGCAGGCTTCGCCGGCGTGTGGAGTGCTCTCTCCGCCAAACGTCTCATTGGATTTCACGGCAAAGACGACGATATCGAAGTCATTGTCGTTGCTCCAGAGCCATCACTGGTTCTTCGTCCACGGCTCTATGAGGCCAATGCTTCCGGCATGACGCATCCTCTTGGTGCTCTTTTCAAAGATGCCGGTATCAACTTTATCCGGGGCATTGTCGAGACGATCCAAACTGAGGAGCAAACTGTCAATGTACGACATGTCTCTGGTCCAACGTCGACGATAAAGTACGATCGATTGATATTAGCTGTTGGAAGTACTGTTTCACGCCCCAGTAAAGTCGCTGGTGTGCAGGAACATACCTTCGACATTGATGCTCTCGATTCGGCAACCAAACTCGAATCCCATCTCCAGAGCTTAGCTTCTCTTGCCGCAGGTCCAGGCCGTGACACGATCGTGGTATGTGGAGGAGGATTTACTGGCATTGAGCTGGCGACCGAGCTACCTAAACGCTTCCCTGACGCTCATATTGTTCTTGTTGAAAATGGAACCGAAATTGCCTCGGGATTTGCACCCAGCTCTCGAGCTATCATCAAAAAGGCCCTTCACGATCTGAACGTGGAGGTCAAACTGGGAGCGGCAGTAACATCCATTGATAGTGAGAGAATAATGCTTGCTTCGGGCGAGAGCATCGAGACAAAGACCCCTATATGGACCGCCGGAGTGAGGGCAAGTCCGTTAACGCAGCAAATCTCGGGAGAAAAAGACGGACTTTCTCGCCTACGCGTGGATCACAACCTGCGTGTTCCGACCGATCCCCACGTCTTCGCAACCGGAGACACGGCGTGTGCCCTCGCAGACACCAACAGTCACCATACATTGATGTCCTGCCAACACGCCCTCGTCCTGGGCCGGTTTTCTGGTCACAACGCGGCTGCAGACCTGCTTGGTGAACGCCTGATGCCGTACTCACAAGCGGCATATATTTGCTGTCTCGACTTGGGTGGGTACGGTGCGGTGATCGCTCAGGGTTGGGAAAAAGAATTGAAGCTCCAGGGTGACATGGCGAAGGGAGTGAAGAACCTTATCAACCAGCAGCTAATTTACCCTCCGCAGAACGTTGAAGAGGCTATGACTGCGGCGGACCCTATTGGACCCGATTCTGACCAGCTGCTTGAGCAGTTGATTAAAGTTGTGGGATAAGTTCAAAGCAAGCTTGGGCCTGGGGAGTCTCCATCAAGGATATAATGAGAATATTGTTTTTGTTTCTTTATTCATCAGTAAAAATGTGTTTTTATTTCAATAATTTATATAACTATTATCCGTGATTATACTCAGTCGAAGACAAAGATCATACATGTTCAGGGCTTGAGAAATGACATCTAATGATCTGTCCTTACGTTGACATAGAAAGCCGCATCATCGAGTTCAAGAGTGATGGAACGTTGAAGAAATGGTTAAAGGATGATCATCCCTACCCTAGATCACGCAGGGGCCGTGGTGGGCCCGATGTTAGTGTGGGCCTAAACAGGCAGGTACCACTTGGCTGCCTGAGTGCCTGGGCTGCCTGGTGACAGTTCCATCCAGCGTCAAGTCACCTTGTCACCTTGTCACCTTGTCAAGCATCTAAGCATCATCGGCTCCAACAGCTACGATGACCTGGACTTGGGACCTGCATCTAGACATCGACTCCCACGGGAGAAAAGTTGTTCCCTTCTATTACTTTGTTTCACCCCAACCTGACCTGGTGCCGTCGCACCTGCCATTCGATGGCTTCCTCTCTTTGCCAGCAGAAATCCAACTGATGATCTTCCAATACTGCGACCCGCCGACACTTTTTCATCTCATGCATACTTCATCTCACATGCGTCGGGAGTGCTCGAAATTGTTCTGGGACTCCATGCCCAATGTCTGGTATCAAATTGAGCCGATGAACTCTGTGTGGGACGGTACAATGAACCCGCTCTTCTATTGCCCTCAGTTCGCTTCTCACGTTAGGCAAGTGGAGATCGAGGTGGACATCTTGCAGGCGTGGTCAACGGGAGATTATGGAGAAGCATTCTGGAGGAAATCAAAGAGCTCTTTCCTTCTGTGAAGAGCGTGGTCTTGACCTGCAACGATCCCAGTGACCTTCCGTTCGATAAAGACGGGGGCCCCTTCGACCACTACGCGGCAATGGCAATGGTTGTAGAACCCGCCCCGGCTAATATTACCGCCCTGATAGCGCTCGGCTTTACGAATTGGTGTGCTCTTTACCGACCGCGAGGCGTATGCGAAGAAGGACTCTGGGATGTCGTCCAAGACCCCTGGATTCGTCCAAGACCCCTGGATCCGTACGCGAGTTATGCTGTCTTCTAGGAAGTTGGACACGGGAATTCTAGCGGACTTGATATCCTCATGGCAGATCTCATGGCTTATCAGCAAGGAACAGATAGGACTACACTGGTTGATGTGGGAAACGGAAAGATACTACGAAAACGGAACACTGGTATGTCCGCGCCTGGAATGTGAGCGCTGGTTTCGAGATCGCGAGTCGTAGTTGGCTCATGTCTCTAAACCCTGCTTTGATCGTGTCAACCTACGCGAAGGGCAAGACTATCTCCCTTTTTCTCGTTTTCGCTTTTTCTCGATTTAATTATAAAAGGAATATTTAATATTACAGACAAAAAATACATAATTTATATATTTACGAATCTTAGCATATATATAACGTTTAGAATCTAAGTTGAAGCTTCAAATCCAGACTAAATTATCCAACTTTAATCCGGACTTAACGCTGGGTCGCAGTCTTTGATTCAAAACCCAATTCAGCCCGGGTTGGATTCGGGTTGGATCCGGATTATATTGGGTCGTGCGGAAGCCTATCAAAAATGTACCCACAGGTACTTTACTATCCGGTCTAATCAGCGAGATTATTTCTTTAAACAGAAAGCAAGTCATGATTGTTCAAAGAATTCTTTTCGAAGCGCTCAGCTGGGTCTGTCATCCATATAATCGTCTTAGCGGCAACAAACACTCCTTTATGTAGGGGGGAAGGAGATGTCGGTAAAAGTCAGATTATCAAGACAATCGTCGCAAAGATGGACTTGCTTCGCCGCAAACATAAACTCATTCTTATGACGCCAACAGGAGCTGCAGCCGATCTTATTGATGGCAACATCTATTAGGAATTTCCCTGAGCCGTTCTCGAGCTGCAGCAAAGGGCCTGAGAGTTCGCCGACTGTAGTCGCGCAAAACCATTATAATTATTAATGAAGTGAGCATAATCGATCTTTCCATACTTAGTACTATCAACAGCCACTGTAAATCAGCCCGATTTCTAGACAGAACGTCCCCGAACCTGTTCGGTAGCTTACCGATCGTCATCCTTATAGGAGACTTTTATCAGTTTCCCGTTCGGGGTCAACCGTTATGGAAGCTATCACAGAATGACGCAGACACCGACGGCAGACACATCTGGCACCGGTTCAGTCAAGTCATCATCCTAGACGAGCAGATGCGTCAGACGGAGGATGAGCCATACCAACTGTCTCCATCTACTATTTACGCAAAGTCATCCATTAATACAACAACGTTCCAATACCACTGCTTCCAATGCCGCCAAATAGGACCTGTCCAGCTACTATCCATATTCGAGACTTTATCGATGGCGTTGAACCCAACCCGACACGCTCCGGTAAAAGCCTGGCGCTGCAGTTACGCCTTTCCCTGAACATCCCGGATAAGGACGAACAATCAGACGATGTTACCCAAGAAAATATACCGACTCTGATTCAATTCTTCCGTCAAACAACCAGATCTGAAATCTACCAGCCCAATGTGTTCGTCTACGCTTAGAGTTCCTTCCTAATGGCTACTACCCAAGAGGACGGCTTTTATATTTTTTTGCATACTCATACTATAGCCTGATAAAAATCGCCACCCCTCCTCAACATAACTCTTTTAAACGTCTCTAGTCATCCGGGCAACTATAAAAATGCAGATTCATACTTTATGTACTGCCCGAAGGCCGCATAACCGACCGCTACATTCTTCGGCACTGTCTACGAGCGTAAAGGCCAGCTAAATCACGAGTCAATACTATTGCATTATCGTCTTCAATCAACAGTTTACTATACCTCCAATCGAACCCATCATATCTTCTCACTAACCGCCTACTTTAAGAACGGCTAGCGCTGGATCAACCTCCCGTCCCTGTCTATTAACGCCCAGATATTTATCACCGGCCGCATTTTCGGACTAACCAAAGAAAATCAACAATTGGCGATTATAACGGAGGATATACACTTTCTACCAGCGCTACCTTAACCTCTGCCTGCGACTCTTTCGTCTACACTCGATAAGCGACAACGATCAGACCGGTGGACTCAACGAGCTACTTCTGCACTTCATTCAAGTCCGCTCAGGGTCTGGATCTAGATTCGTCCCTCTTCATTACAGCTATCAGAGCGTTCAGTCTCAAAAGGTACCCGGGCAAAGAGAGAGGACTGCACAAGATGACGATACAGAAACCCAGTTCACGTGGACAGAGACAGCCGATGAAGCTAAGTATTTACATCAACTCATCTCCTCTACACCCGAGCGACGTTCCCACAGGATGCGGAAAATCTCGTATGCAGATGTTTTACTCAATCAAAATAGGGCTTCCGGCCTCGGCTGCTTTATCAATATCCGCAATGTTCTTTCCTGCATGCTTTAGCCTTTCTTACTCCATGAAGTCATCTCAATCTATCTCGATAACCTCACGTATCTTATATTTCCTCCCCTTCTTGTCGTTTCAGGGCCGCAGCGTGCGCAGCGCGCGCCTTCCAGTGTAGTATTTGCCAAGAGCGTCACGATTTCCTATTATGAGTTAGAGTACGTGACGATTTCCTGTTCTGGATTAGTGTTAGGATAGAACTGGCACTTTCAGGGTGCAACACCGTGACAGATTCTCCCACATACAACAGACCACAGCGCAAAAATGGACATCTTACCACAATTTCGATTTGTAAATGACAAGCAGATTGATTCCAATCTTCTTCACTGCCGTGCAGCTAGAGGAAGACGCCGAATATAGGCACTGATCTTGTGAGGCCTACCAATCTCAGTCTCTCTACTGGAGCAGCCCTACCCGGATTTTCAGATACGTTACTTGATTCATGTTCTTCTTGTGATTCCACAGCAGAAGATATTTATCTCGACTGTGACTACCCTGGATCACTGGATGAAACAAATATAGAATCGACCTGTCAGTATCAAGTTTCAGATGAGCCGTATCCTCTGGATAGCGAAGAAAATGGGACTATGTCTCAAATGCCAGAGTCCAATATAGAAGAAGAGAGTAATGTCACTTCTTATCTCGAATCCGATTTGGAGTATACCACAGAGAAGCTAGCTCTGCAATTTCTGACTGGAATCTATGGATGCGGCCCCGAGAAGCATGACGACTCCCTAAGGACGCATATTCAGGATGTGGGGCCGGCGGGCCATCATACTCCTAACGAACTGCGCCTGAAAAACGTGTCTCATACACTTGATAAGCCGGACTTTATGCCTCAGCAGTCCTGCGAAGACAGGTATCATCTAGCTCTGAAGAATGGCAGGAGTTAAGTATGTTCCCGGTTGGAGATTAGCGAGCCGATCATAGCAGTCAGGACGATAGATATATGTATATGTATGTTCCTCTGCGTACTGATGGTGAGTAGTAAGTTTGACATTAGCATGAAGCAGACCAACACCCCTAAGAGGGATGGGGCTGCTGACCTGGGAGACGGCTAGGCGAACAGATCTACAGCAACGCGGCAACCTTGGCTGAGCAGTCTCGTGCTGCAAGAGATAGGTGTCTTAACTCAGAGTCCCGTGCAAATTAATCCAGCCTTGCTCGTCGTACATCCCCCATATCGAAGGCTGGGCAGCACCATGCAACATGCACAACCTACCAAATGAGCCTCCGTCCCTATATATCGATATTGAGGGTATAAATTTGTCTCGCCATGGATCTATCTTGATTATACGAATGTTTCTTCTTCCTCAAAATCAAAACCTAATTGACACATACTCCCCGACGGGTACTCGATTATGTCCTTATCGTCTGTGCTACATCCACAGACCCTTTCAAGAATCGAACCCTCGTACCGGGGTCCCGCGAAGGCCTATTGTTGCGGTGTCGACGGTAGTAAAGGACGAATCGGAGGATCTATTACGGCCAGCCTATGGATGGAGGTACAATGGGCGGTCTTGGTACCTTGAACTCTTGGCGATCGAGGGCCAACAAATGCTGCATGTTCACCTACCGACGATTGTCTAGACCGTGTTAGCTCAGCTCAGCTCAGCGTTCTACGGGAGACAGGATGCGTTGCTGCGATACGCGGTACCTAGGCCCTCCATTTGCCAGACAACGATGAGCTTCCGTCCTATGGCGCGGTGTTGTTCACTTGCTTAGATCAAGTTCTGGATGGGCAGGTCGCGCAGTCCCGATTTCCTCGACGATTAGTAGCACAATTACGAAGGGGGCCAGATCCGGCGGTCACCCGTACGGCCCCAGCACGAGCGCGCTGTGTCGAACGTTGTGGAGATGCTCGGCATAGAGCGCTGCCGCCAGCACACGTAGCGCTCGGTAGCCCCTCACAGAATTCTACAAGGTCCTTCCTCTCGATACACGCCGTTGACTGGTAACGTGTACGGCTGCATACACCGGAGTTTTCAAGCGAATCCGATACGGCCCTCGGTCGAATCACGTCTTCTCCGGTTCTTGTGCAGAGGAGAAAACGACAACGAACGTTGAATCCTCAAAGTGATCCTAAGTATTCCGGTCAGAGACGCCCTCCAAACAAAGAGTGTTGTACGCAAGCATGTCTTCCAAGGTCTCACTTATAAACGTGAATTTGATCCTGAGTGTCCGAATCTGTCCTTTCACCAGAAACGTCCGTCGAACGGTCGACATCCACTTTCGCGATCCGACTTGGTCAAGCTTGTAAGCGAACAACTGAACCGTGATCCTGATCACAGTTGCCGTCCTATGGGAAAAGGAGGACTAGATAGCTCTCTGTTTACCATTACCCTAGATGCTTATGGCTACACATTTGTTGGCAAAGGAACTAAGTATATTTCTAATTATGAAGCCAGAATTTATCAAGCTCTCGAACCTCTGCAAGGGTACGCTGTCCCTGTTTATCTCCGAGATATCTACCTACTACAGAAAATATATTATCTGCCGACCCGTGCTATCGTGCATATTTCCTTAATGTCATGGAGAGGATGGCTATGCGTGATGAGGTCGTTGTCTAGGTTGCTTGAATCGCGTCACGTGCGTCAGATGGCTACAGTAGAGAAGTAAGGATCTCCAGCGGTGCGGACCATACATTGCCCAAGAGGCTCGCTTTTCTGATTATCCCATAGCAGTACTGGTCGCTAAGAAAAAGTGCTCACGTTAGAACTTCACAGATTCACTGCTAGACCCATTCGACAAAAAAAAAATAAAGTCAGAGAACGTCCACAGGTATGTAAGATCAGCGGACTTCAGCATCAAAGTCAGGGCCCAAAACGATAGATTCATGAGTATATGAAAGCGATTGAGTCGTGCGTGCTCTCGCAGATGTCGTTTAGAAGTTTTGTCAACGCGCCATAACATAAAGAAAAAGCAAGCAAGCAAGCTCTTGCATGTCCACTTAATTTGCCTGCGCCAATTTACTGGGCATCTAGCCAATGCGCCTACAAATGGTCCGTCGTAGCGCCGCCATACTACTGCCAATGACAGCAGTGTGTCCCCATTATACTGGCCGGGGATTGTATACGGTTGATCCACGCTATGTTGGATCCATCCATGCCGACCATGGGTTGATCGGGCCACATCCCCCTGAGTTGGATAAGGAGAAGCGCCTGCTGAGCTCAATGACAATCGTTACATTTCATCTCATTAATAGAAATCTGGTTTATTGATCAAGGTGTAAACGAATTGGAATGACGAACGTCAGTTTAGTAAAGCTGCCCAGTCCAACCTTTCTGATAGTCCAAAATCGTAATATTGCTATAATTTGTTGGCTTGTCATCCTTCATGAACGCCTCTTGAGCCCCCACACTCTTGTCTCGTGGTGCTTTCATGAAATACGCTACTGAGTAACGCTGGGGAAGCGTATCACCATACTCATGCGGCAAACCCACACGATGCAAGCCACCCTTAATCACGTCATTTGTCCACCGCTGGAGTATATTGCCTGAGTTGACCAACAGTTCACTTTTCGACCCCGGCAGTAACGGGGCGAACGTCTCTGATGTACTGTCCCATGCTTCTAAGCCACCAGTCTGATCTTGAAAGAGAAGCGTGATAATGCTAAAGTCAACATGCGGCCAGATCCGGTTCGTCGATCCGTTCGTGATGCTCGAAGCTGGAATGCTGGGGTAGTGGTTCACCCGTAGCTCACCGTTGTGTCCCTCGCAGAGGCGAGTGAAAGCACCAGGGGAAAGCCCGAATCCAACCTCTAGTGCTTCCATCAGGTGCATGCTGATTGCCTCAGCTTGAACAAAGAATGCCTCGATAGAGGTACGAAAGCCAGGCACCAGATTCTCATCTGGCCATAGGTTTGGGAACATGGTGTCCTGTGGTGGGCCACAGTCATAGTGCTCCTAGAGACATACTTCTCAGCTCAAGCTATTAGATATCCATACTGTCCTGAGGTGCAACCAACCTTTGCATCCTCATAGCCTGATGGTTCCGTGATATTGGGGTTATATAGATGAGCAGTTTTCTCCACCCCCAGGCCACTCCATCCTCTCTGTGGTTTTGGACCAGGCAGGTTCACTATTTTCGTCTTCTCTGATGTAGGCAAAGAGAAGAATTTGGTTTTCTAGATAACAAGTCAGACGGTATCGCCAGGACAGCACTATGGTCGGAGGAAAGCCTTACACACTCCTCCAAACCGTCGATGATATCGTCGGTTATTCCGTGGTTAACTAATCTGACAAACCCACAGTCCTTCAGGCCCTCACAAAGCGTACGTGCGAAGCATTGTTTTTCATCGGGCCGATTGCCGAGCCAGTTAGCAAGGTTTAGCGTGACAACCTGAAGCATTCTCAGTTTGCTTGTGATGATGTTTCCGTGCTCTCTTTCTCTATAAGCCGAGCCGTCAGGAACAAAACGGGACTGAATGTAGCGAAAATTCCAGATCGAAATTTTCTACTTTTTATACGGATAGTTGTCCAAAGAAAAGGATTCCGCCACGAGTGGGCTTGGGCTTGGGGAGAAGTTGCATTACCATGATCTAATCCATGGTCCTGCTTTTCATGCCAATCCGACATACTCTCAGCTTGATTCTGTTCTCGGTGTAGATTATGCCCCCTTACATGCAGCTGAGGTTACATTGCAATTTCGTCACACCGCAAGAACTTTGCATCGCTTCCTAATAATTGCCACGACGAATGACGGTGGTAAACGTGTATTCAGCTAATTGTACCTTTCATTGCCACGAGTGGGCTTGGGCTTGGGGAAAAGTTGCATTACCATGATCTAATCCATGGTCCTGCTTTTCATGCCAATCCGACATACTCTCAGCTTGATTCTGTTCTCGGTGTAGATTATGCCCCCTTACATGCAGCTGAGGTTACATTGCAATTCTGTCACACCGCAAGAACTTTGCATCGCTTCCTAATAATTGCCACGACGAATGACGGTGGTAAACGTGTATTCAGCTAATTGTACCTTTCATTTTTGAAACTACAGTATTACTGTTGGATCTTTGCATATTCATCCTTCATGGTCCTGTACAGGTGGTAACACAAGGTAAATTGGGTAGATCAACAGAGGAGGTACAGCAGAGAGACTCGTCCAACAGATTTCAGTTCGATACGGTATAATTGTTTCCAACTTCCAATTTCACTGTATCATTTCATATCTATCTAAGTCTCTACACGGCTTGCCACTAGAGCAACCATTTCATGGCCAACCCAGTGAGTGCGGCCTTGGAAGTGCAGCTGTAGGTTCGAAGCCAGAGCCTCCTTGATAACATTATACTGAGGATGCGCTTTGTGCCATATCCCAGCTAGCACATCTGCCGCCACAGAGCAACGACCAGTAAGGTCCTGCTCAGGGAAGTAATACTGGGCATCAATCCGTCTCAAAGAAATATCGCCAAAACCAGCCATCTCCAAATGTTGTACCGCACAACGTAGAAGATATCCTTGATGCTCAATTGGAAGCGAACGCGCAACGGTATTCAAATGCTTAACAACTTCGTTTCCTGGTGCACCCTGGATGAGGATTATCTGAGATTGAGATTTGTTCGCCACCCGAATTAACTCTGCTAATGTCCTCTCGAGATCAATGGCGTAGTCAAGCTTCCACGGTGCGAAGACTACATCGAAGCTTCCATCAGTGAATGGAAGCTTTTCCAAAGGCTCATCGAAATATTTGGCGTCACAGATGGTAAATCGCGTATCTGGTCATAGTTTAGCGGTAGCTGCAGGAAATCATGCCAATGCGTACTCACTTTCATGTTTCTGCCCCAGGCAAAGTACATTGCGGCTGCTTTGGTGCGTCCTAAGTAGCCCTTCCAGATCGCTGCTCTCAAAGCGGCTGTTAAAGATGTCGCCTCTCGCTGTCCTGGGCAGCGCTTTTCGGGTGGTCGGTAAAGGGAACGGCCCCAAAAGCGGTTGCTCATCTACCTTGCGAGCAAGAATAAGATAGTGAGCCTCTGGGTGATTACAACCAGTAGGAGAAAACAAGTAGTCGACCGGTTCAGTCTCAATGACAAACCCTGCGTTGCGAAGAAGCCGGCGCCAGTTTTCTTCGGAAAAGAATGACTCGTTCGTGTAGTTTCCCATCCAGAACTTCCCAATCATCCAGACGCAATCCCACGTCGGGTCGTAGGTGCATTTCTGCGGAGGGAGAGCCGTGCTGGGAGTGACACCAAGAGCAACATATCCGCCCACTCTTAGCCACTCCGAGAATTTGGTGACCATGCAGCATATATCACCCGGCGTCAACTGGAACAGCGACAAAATGGCGAATATGCCGTCGAACTGGACTTTGGGGCTATATTGTCTCATATCCGCCTGTTCAAAAAACCCAGCCACCTGAGAACTGGCGAGGCGGACCATTTCATCGGATGCGTCGATGCCATGGACGATAAGATCGGCGGAAGAAAGCTCCTCAGCGACTGGCTTACCAGTCCCGCATCCGACATCAAGCACTCTGCTTCTTTTGGGGAGCTTAGAAGCTGCAAATGCGATGAATTGGCGGAGCTGGGGGTCATTGCCAAAAGCTTCCTCGTAAGATAGCCCCAAGTCGTTGAACAGGTTCTCGGCGTTTTCGGCGTGTGCTTCCATGACGTGAAAAGGTGAGATTAAGGTATAGATTTTTCAAATATTTGGAATCAATAACTTATCCAGAGTGACCCAGAGTCAAATCATTCACAAGCTACATATATTTGGGATCTAGAACCGTTTCTCATTAGTTAGCTTGATCAGACCCGTCCTGGCTTACAACCCTGTCTTATGTTCATGCAGTCGGAACCCACTCAATAGCAATGGACATTACCCAGCGACTCAGTGACCTACGTGGCACATTCGCAATACTCTAGGGATAAGGGTCCAGTAACCGATGACGGGAGCTCGCAGTTGAACAAAGTGAATCGAGAGAACGTGTAAACAAAGGTAGATACAGGTAATTTCGTAGCAGCTGACGGCGGTGTCTACGTGGTGCCAGATTTAAGCCTTGGAAGCTCAATATCAGGGGTATGTTGGCATTGAAACGCAACACAAGTTGCGCGTATGTGTACTTGGTTCGCTTTATGCGTGCATAGCTGCACCTCCATCCTCATTCAATGCAAGGAAACATTGCTAGTTGTCTCCCCTCGACGTCCCCGGCTCTTCTCCTTCCGCCTTAGGAGCCGGTTTCGAAGGCGACGAACACGCAATATGCGTTAGTTGAATGTTGCTTAACCCCAGAAACCAATAGAAGGGAAAATGGTGCAGAAACTGGTAATATTTGAGGTTTTCAACGCATACTCCTGGGGCCGCACCAGGAATTCGTAGCTGCGTAGTCGATGCTACATGATCGACTGAAACTTTGCAGAAATTGGGTAGGAATGCAGCTGTTGTGGACTGGGTGAGACTGCCTGCCGTATTACATTGGACGTCCACTCTATGCTCTGGACTACATTATTCAACCCAAAGCTATGCTTGTGGCTCGGCTTGCGTTGTACGGCAGATTGGTCATAACGCGTGTATTGGTAGGAATAGCTGGAAACATCACACCGCTGGTTACAAGTCAGCCAGCCGTTGGTGATGGAACACACCGACAAAAGGTTCTTGATGTTGATCAATATGCGTAGTATTCCTAATGAAGGTTGATCGAATGATCAGCTATCTGAGGCCACTGTGCGTAGCGCTAGTCTACATTGGGAAGCGTAGGCGAGCAGTATCGCTCAACACTTGAAAGCGGAGATTACGCATCAATTGCTCTCATATTGTTCGGTGTGGTTATAATGAGACTATCAAATTAATAAATACCAAAAGGAGAACGGAAAAGGAAAAGAGGAGTCGCCATCAGGAGGGAATTATAGACATAGATAGACATAGCCTGACTTTAGACCCATAGCAATTTATCATCCGGACTTGTCTGGGTGCAGCAGGCTCCTGCAACAGCGAGATGAAGGTAGGAGTAAGCAGCTTTTGTTAGATCGTACTAGCTATCTCGAAACTAGAACAGTAACTGAAACTTTCTGCTGATCCGCTTCCCTACACGCGACGAGCAAGTGGATTGGTATAAACTGTGACGTACGGACCTGAACGTGTAGAGTATGCAAGAGCAAGCCACATGTAGATATCAGTTCGTCCCTCCAGATCGTGGGCAGAGCTAGGACTATTAGCTGCCATCCGCTCATGCTGCTAGGATGGTTCGACTTACTATGCCTCCTTCTCCAAGGCTTTGTGTCGGTGGATATGGTCCTTCCAACCAAGTTCTTGAAAGAGATCAATCACGGCCAGAGAGATATGCTTGTCATAATCATCGCTGACGAGGAAGTATGCTTTTGGCGCAACGTTGCCATCCTTGGGCGACAACTCCCAATTAAAGTTGACGGTCAAAAACTCCTTTGACTTCGCACTGGGCATTTGGCAACGGTAAATGCTGTTCCACATCTTCTCGACGATCCGAAATCCATTATCAATGTCCAAGCCCTGAAGCCGGCCCCCCAATGTCCAGAAGTCATGAACTTGGTCAAGTGAGGTCACGTCCACGGCGGAATAGATCTTGATGCGGGACTGGGTAGGGCTCTTGCAGTCGAAAGAAAGATAGGTTTTTTCCCCTTGAATTTTATGGGTCGTCGAGCTCAGGTACTCTTCCACCTTTGACAGACCAAGCTTGAGGTTGCTGGTGCTGCAGAGATCCCTCAGATTGTCAAACATGACTCGGAGAAAATTGTCGCCTGTAGCGGCTGCATTTAATAGAGGGCTGAGGTAAGGCTTGACTGTGAATGAATCCTCATGAAGGTCGAGTCCAATCACCGTCTGAGATTTGCAGGGAAGGTGTTCCATCAAGCTCCAGTACTGGCGCGCCTGTTGAGTATTCAGAATAAGCGTACGGTCAAGGTGGTCGAACCAGGTAAAGTCGATATCTGGCTGGATATGGTTCAGACTCTGGAGCAGGGACTTCGGAGCCAACTCATTAATGATGTCTGACTGACCTCCAGCGTGAAGGCCAACAGGTTCAACTGTAATACGAAAGGCACACTTCGATCCTTGTTGATAGTTCACGCTGACATCTAACGGCCCAGCATTGTTCGCCATACAATTGATCCAGGTGGATTTTGCCCCGTTCTTGTTTGGAAACGGACCGAGAGATGGTATAACAATGGAATAAATTAATAGGAGATTCCGATACTGAGCACCGAGACCATAATCCGTCAAACCCAAGGAGGATCCGATAACTGGTGCCAGCCTTTCCCACCAGAGCTGGTGATCGCAGCTCTGGGACGGTAAATGGCGGAATAAGACCTTCCACGGCTCTTCGTGCCGGTCACTATGCATCGACTCGAACATGGTCTTGAACGGTTGGCTGGGATCTGGGAGTACTAAGGGACTTTAGTATTCGACCTTGATGTTGGGTTGTTGGATAATTTTTATAAGAAGAAAAGTATCGTTATTTGGAAAATACACGAAGTATTGCAAACGGAGACATTCAGTCAGCCTTCATATCGGTCAGCCCATGGCCACGATGAATGTGCATTGATGGAGGGGCGCAGGGGGTGGCAAAAAGTGCATGAACCACCGCTACAACAGGTCCAATATTTTAGGCAGACATGCAGCAGGCTGACTGAATGGCCACTTGGCAATGTATTAGGTGCAGTGTCTCACTTATTTACTTCCGGCGATGCTATTATCTCGTACATTATTTCAAGGCTCTTATTATATTGGCACTCACGGATGCCTGGAGCATGTCAGCTGGCCGTGGCCTTTGCTCGTCGGACTCTGGTGAAATTCTTGTCTCAACCGTTCCTGGATCGAACATTTGCTGCTTGTATCGTTCCTTGTATGTCCACCCATTGCTCATCGCGGGCTCCACACTCTTTTTCGCGCGCCAGCTATGGTCGTTCATTTAAGCTGTCCACGAATTTTCTGGCTGTCGAATCTTCTGTCAGCATCAGCTGCGCAGGGACAATATGTAAGCCACCAATAATTGGGAAGCTATCGATTGCTCGAAACAGAGCGTATCTAATGGACTCTGACAACGGCTGATTTTTGAGCATGCGTTTACCAGGAGCGTTACCCACAGCGGCAATTCTCTCAACTCGTCTGTGGCGTATATCATGATATGTCTGACAAAGTTCGCTCAACGGTAGTGACAATGAATTGCTATTCGCTTCATCAGCAGGAAACTCCCGAATCATCCCTTAGAAGCAAGGCGAGGGTTTGCACGTCTTCCTGACTCCGCGACGCCCCTTGTCCCGTCATAGGTGACATGGCATGGGCTGAGTCTCAAACCAAAACAATTCTATTTGGCCCCACGTCGGTAGTTTTGGGAGAGTTTTGATGCCATATACATGACTTGGCTCCGCTTCAGCGATGATTCGCTGGCAAGCAAGCTGGGCTTTAGGATTACTCTGGAAGGGTTGCCTTCTGGGGAAAGTAGAAGACCAAGGCATCCGTTAGCTGTCTGTAGGGTAACAAAAAAGGTCGCCCTTGCCGATTGTGAAAATCATGGCTTCCTTCCGTCTCGCCCTGGAAATGATTCAAGATCTATGCACCCATGCTTGGCCGCTCTAGGAGATACCTCTGCTTCCTTTTATGCCATGCTCACCTGTACCGCGGACAGAAATTTTCGATCCCGAGCGGGTGCCCCCTTACAACACTGTTTATGCCATCCGCTCCGATAACTAGGTCCGCCTCGTCTTCGCCGAACTCACATGATTTACAACGGCGTTCCCAGTCTCGGGATTATGTTTGATACTTAAATCACGCGGTATTAGCCACCTCGTTTCCAGAGGAACTACTGCTGCCTCCCATATAAAACGAATCTATGTGCTATCTTTTTAGTTGTCGCTCCAAGTTCGTGCATGTCAGTGATCACTCCGGTGGTGGCCTGCGCGGTGGCCTGCTTGATGGCCTGCTTCCCGTCGCCGGATTCCAATATCTCTTAGAATGAGGAAAGAAATGAAAGCCGTAATCAATTGATGAAATTTTAGGAAGTTGATGATAGATCCAAACGCATTGAGGACTTAGACTCTTATCTCAAGGAGGTGTCGGAACGCTTGTAGAATCATGGCCCCTACTTCTGCCGGACTGATAGAGGCCATGGGACGCCTTTCGTGCTGTCTGGTAAGGAGTTAGAATTCAAATAGCAGCCCTTATAGATCAAGAAGCGGTTTGCGTGAACTATCGAAGGACTGAGTTGAATAGCATACAATGCCACTACCGCGAGTCTGTATGCCTGATGGGCACAAGATTGCCACGAAACGTTCTCCTGCCTTTCGACGTGGGCTCATTGCATAATGCACACAGTGAGGAGTTTGATAGCAGCAATGCAGCAATGATACATGTAACACAGAATGTATGACTGGTAACCCTGGATATGCGAACAGCAAGGGGAGTCGTCAGACCCTAATCTTCGGACCATATCATCCGGTTGTACAGTATACCCCAAAACAACGCATCCCTGCCTGGTGCTACATTGTACAACACCGAGTCGATTGACTATTCGTGCTCTTCGGGATCTGTATTAGACATAGCACGCTCTATTGAACAGAGCATAATCCAAATCATCCACCCGAATATTATGGACAATTCTAACGATTATGAAAGGCGGTTTTTTGTTCTCCCCTTCAGTTGTCCACTGGCTTAACAACCAGTCACATCCTGTGATGAGTAAGCGGATGCTGGTCGCAAGCACGCTGCTCGATGCGACGACCTGCATGGGCCATGGCCGTCGGAGGCCTTTCAACAGCACATCCGATCGCCTTTTTGATGGATTCGAAGCGGAAGCGTGCTGGGCTGAATTATGCAAGCACTTCCGGTACAACTATATCCTCACGACCATAGTTAATGGGAACCGGGTTTCCGGCTGAGTAATATGTAAAGATAACTAACTAACTAACTTAGTTAACTAGTTAGTTATGTGTGGCCGCGGGAGATGACTAAACCGCTTATATCATCGCCTTTCTTGGCCGATTGATTCATTGCATAAATATTGCATTGTCATTGTGTTTTATTGCAGTTTTATTGCATTTATACGGCATTTTTCGGGACAGTATTATCGTGATATATCGTTTGTTTTGTCGATCAGGAAGCCTCCCAAATTGCATAAATATCGGCTTCTTTATCGTATAGTTAGTTGAATCAAGACCTTCATTCAGTTGAAAACGATCATATTCCTTGGTTGAATAATCGCTTCTAGGAAGACCCACATATTTCTGCCACAATATGACAGAGCTCACGTGACTACTCACTGAGCGGTCAGCCGTGATGTGAATTACTCACTGAGCAAGCCCCTGAGCGCCCTCAGTAAAGCGGTGAATGTCTACAACAGGAAATTTACGATATTGTAGAAAAACTGGTACGTATAGGGACATTTATCTCTATAGTCTCGGTGTTAGCGGCACTCAGGCGGACAGCTCAGCGAACAATGTCACAAGCGGAGATAACGAAATCTGTATGGAGAACAAAACCTTATAAACCTAGGCACCCGAGACATGTGGATCAGTTTTCTTTATCTTTTTTTGTATATTTTCTAATATTGTATTATTATTAGGCATATATCTAGTATATCCCAAGAGGGGACAAGGAGGTAGTAACGAGAGCTAGAGAGGTTGAAGATTGTACGTCAGCCAACATTGCTTAGCCAGATCAAGTCATCTAACTTCAGTCGTTTCCTCTGTTAAAAATTGATTCATTTTGCCGAACTTCTGGTGGTACTTGTGCTATGTTTGATAAGGCATCGCTCTACTTTCGGTCTGTATGACACTACGTGACAGCTTTTGAATGAAAACGGAGAGGACAAGGTACCTAAATATTTTCCAAGTCAAACTCCGAGCCCTGTATCGGATTACACAGCATCTTCATACACCCAGTCCGAAAATAACCAATTAGCGATGTCACCTAGTTCCAGGTCTATCTTATCAGGACCTGGCATTGAGAAAGGACTGATATTTCCCAAGTTCACAAGACCCTGGTCAGTACTAACTGACCCGAGTAAGCGACTGCTATCTGCGTTTGTCATATTACGCTTCTGTAGTATTTCTAGAGCATACTGTGAAGCGGCGGTCGAGGCTTTCGTTACATATTCCGTGATATCAAGGCCATTTTCCATGGCCTCAATCTGCGCAACTGCCATATGAAGGAAGACGTGAGCTTTCACGTTGGTCTCACCAGCATGAAGACGGTCTATGGCGAGGCGCTGAACCTTTTCGACAAAGGCTAACCGGCAGGCTCGATCTTTCCGATGGAGCTCAAACAGCCTTTTGTCCATTTGATCCTCCTTGAGCTGCCAAATGGTCTCTAAACAAACCACAATGGCAGCATGGTGCATGATGTGCTGAAAGTATGTAACAGATTCCAACAAGATCTGATCATAGTCGGAGTCAGGGTCGCATGAAAGCAAAATCAGGGCGTTGTCCAGACAAACTTTGCGGGAATAGTAAAACTGTCGGTCTCCCAATGACTTCTGCGCGAATGGTCGGTGCGTGGCCAACAAGAAACGGCGTGTAAGAAAGATCGCAAGGTTACGATGAACAGCTTTCATTCCGAGTTCCTCAGGAAAAGATCCTATATATGCCTCATTGGTGGCCAAAAGCTTTCCCAGTGAGCTGGCTTCTTGAAGAATATCATCATATGACGGTTCGTTGAAAGAGTCATTCATCAGTCGACATATCTTCATCCGAGTGGCCAGGGAGTTTTGAAGAGTGATTTGAAGAGAGGCTTGGGTGGGTTTTGACTGGGGCATTTCTGTAATAGATCTCTGAGTTGTTTTGTCGAAAGCGTCATCGTTCAAATTGGAAGGTGGTAGACAATCGAAGCTTCGCTCATTCATCGTGGGTACATGACCGAGATCCATTGCAGCCTGAAGATCGAGCTCGAGAATGGTACTCCAAAGCCTCCGTCTCATTTCAGCTTGATAAAACGACATCCCAGGAAAGTGGCTTCCGTCGCGATGCAAGCCCATGCATGTTGCGGTACGAAGAAGCTTTCCCTGCAGAAGCCAAATCTCTTCAGGCTTATTTCGACCAAGTCGAAGCAATACAGACAGCAAACACTGAGCTTGAAGACCTGAAATAGTGGCTATTTCCTTGTACTTTGCTCGCGAGAGGCAGACCTCAGCTGTTTGAACCCATTCATGAATATGAGGGCGTATGAGAGTCTCTATGGTTTCGTCATCACAAAATTTGATACCAATTGACATCATCAGACAGATAATAACCGTAAATAGAGTCCCTCGTTTGGTATGGTCTCCCCAAAAAGCCGCATATTCTTGCTGAAAGGTTCCAGTATGAATGATGCGAAAGGGGCCCTCAATGACCCTCATATAATGACGAATCAGAGTATCACTGATTTCCTGAGGCGGTAGATAGCATGCGGCCCCATCAACAGATAGGCTCAGGGGGGTTTGTTGCCTTTTCACAACTCGGGCTGTCGCCTTAGCAGAAGCGATCAAGCTGTGAGCCTCACTCAGCAACTCCGATCTGTTGGTCTCTTTACGTCCCACGACATGTGGAGTATGATTAACTGTCCGTCTCATCTCATCGCACTACATCCTTATTAGCGATATGACCGCTAGACCGCCTAGCAGGGGAAAGGGTAGGGCAAACGGAGCGAACCTGAAGGTATGTCGTAATGGGATGGGTATTGCCGAGAAACCGGCCTTTCGACAAGGTGCCACGGACGTATTGCCGATTTGTTGAAGTCCCCTCATCGTTGTATCTCTTATAGTTTCGTTCTAGATCATGTGGAGAGTCCTGTGGTGGCGCAGATGGAGCGACGTTGTCTTGCTCGGAGGGGCACGGAAATATCACGCTCTCTGTAGGAGTAGCTGGCAGGTGGTTATCCGTCCTTTCTATGAAATGACGGCTACTTCTAGTAGCTGCTGGACCGACTCCATTATGGGCATCGTAGATACAGCGAATCCTAGCCGCCACGCACCTTCGACATGGATCATGGCGGTCGCAACGTACTTTTCGCCGATGGCATTCCATGCATGAAAGCCTACCCCTTTTGCGCCTGCGACAGTCAGGTGCCTCCATTTTTGATGGGCCTTGTATATGAACGTCCGAAGGGTAAAGGTTGATGGCAATGGTCGATGCGTAACTATGCTCGGGGACGAAGGCGGACTTTACTTAAGGCGGACTTGAGTCTCGGCGATGGCGGCACTCGGTTCGGCGATGGCGGCGATAAAACTCTGGGTGGAGCCATCAGAGGACGGACTTTCCATAATCCCGATCCCTTGGAGTGATTTAAAAAGCAGAGTGGAAAGACTAACTTAACTCAAACGAGGCGTTAACAGCCCATTTCTTCCCAAGATAGCAATTATTACTGTCAACATACTGAGTAACTGTCTACCTATGCGGTCCCCAGGAACCACGCCCCAAATGCTAACAACGCTCCCATTCCCATTGCGCTGAATGTTCTTCCAGCTCCTCCGCTTGATGCGGTATTGTCTTCATCGGAGACATTATTGTCGTTCACAGTTGCTTCCGGCTTGGCAGACGAGCTTGACTGCGAACCAAAGTCATTTGAGGCCGTGATGGCATCTCTTGAAGTAGTCTCGGAGGTCGATAGGTGGAGCTCACTAGATGTAGCCGTCAAAGACTCAACCACAGGGGTGGTCGAAATGTCCTCTGCCGATGAGGTCGATATCGACGTGGTTCTAGTTGAAGTGACAGTGGCCGTGCTCAAACCCGAATCTACATCTGTAGATACCCTAGACTCGCTCGTCACATCGGCCGTGGGAATGGCCGGGGCGTAGGTAATTGGGTATTCATCATCAGTCCGAAGCGTGACAGTGCTGTAGGGCGTGTGGATCGTAATCATAGTGGGTGTTCCAGTGCATCCTCTACAAAATCAGTGACAGATCAACACAGCGTTAGAGCAAAGGTAGGAAACGAACCCGATAAGATTGGCACAACATCCGATGAATACGTTGCCGTCAAATTGACATCGCTGGGCAATGCCACATCCAACTGCATTAACACGTTAGCTTTTATGTGACTCGTGGGTCGTCTCGTGCGGGATATTCATACCGCCGCCATCGTCATGTCCGCAACAATTCTGGGCGCATCCGTCACCACAACATCTCCCTATAATGCATCGTCCACCCCCAGGACATGTGTCTCTCTTCTCGAGGGCGCCGTACTCAACGGTGCCAAACTCTTCCTTCATGAGAATGGGAAGTTCGTTGGCGCCAGCTTCCTCGTCTGCGGCGCATTGGTGGATGGTGGCACTGGCGACAAGCAGAGATAGGGCTCGATTGAACAGCATCTTCACCAGGATAAATACAGGGTGGATTGACTCTCGAAATGTTGCTCTTGTTTCAATATTTCAAAAAGGGACGGAATCTGGCATCCCATCCACGTAAATACTTCCCAGAGATCAATCGTACAAATGGGTCAACACTCGTATTTCTTCTCTTGGCAAGGTCAGATTCCCATTGCCATCCCACGCTATCACACGACTAGATAAAGTAGAACGAACTCCTATAGTACTTCTGGGGCGCCGGTTGACTTGGCGCGCAGCAGTGCCTCGTGTTCGGGGCTTGAGCATCCACTCATCTTCGGGTTGTGTGATTGTGGTCGCGTGGACGGGAAGTCTATTGAGCCTGAACGAGTGACTTTAATGCTCGCTTGGAACGGTATGAGCTCAGTCTTGGTGCGTTGTCTTGGTGAATCAAAGTGCAAGAGCCTCACGAGGTGGAGTGATTTGGGTTCTTTGCCGCTTTATCATTTTTATGACGGACCTTTATCACATGTAGTGGCCCCAATTGTTGGTTCCATGAGGTTGCATGTTTACCTTTGGTTTCAGGACTTAGTAGATGTTTCTCCAACCGAGGGCATGATCAAAATCGCCTAGGGTTCGCGTTTTGATACCTAAAGAAGCGCTTCTGTGATGCTAAAAATAAGTACCATCCCGGGAAAATATATAGCGTTGACTCACTGACTAGACCGCAGTTTCCCTACCCTCAATCAAATCGAATGTCGGAACAGTCTCAATATCAAACGACCCTTTCCCATCAAATCGATGCTCATCTCTTTTCGCCTGACAGTATCTCATCGCTGCATCCCGAATGATCGCCCAATCCAAAACACATCTCCCTAACACCTTGCCATCCGCGTGTACCCTATCTAACGCCTCCCTCACCCATTTCACGCAATTCCAGCCCGGTGTGTTCTGTTTGACAGGCGTCTCCCTCAGCAGTCTCATCAATCGTTCTTTATCAGTTATTTTCGCTACCATGATCCGCACCAACAGCATACTCGTCGGACCGACAGAGCGCGTCGACTCTTCAAAGAACCACTCCCCGGTGCCATCTGCTTTCAGGCGCTCTTTGGCTTCGTAATGGAGGCATACGCTGGATTTTATTTCGTTCTTCGGTGCAATGAGTAGCGCCCAGTGGTATCTATGTCGTATAGAATTATCAGAGAGAAATGCAAATGAAGCGCTTGGGTTGTAGGTATCGTGTACCGTGGCTCAGACAGCCATGGATACTTACGTATCTTCCTTCCCGGGCATGGTGGGCCCTCCTGCACGGGCGTGTAAGGCGACGTAGAGTCGATCTTTGTTGGAGGGCATTGTGACAGAAAAGATGTGACGGTCGAGAGAGAAGTGACCGGGGAGGTAGCACCTGGGCAACCCGCCACGTCAAAGCGCTGTTTTTCTCCTGTGGAAAAAATATTAAAAGGGTCAACCCTTAGTAGTAAGGGCTTATTTCTAGTCCATATCCGCGGCGACATCTCCACGGGGGAAGACGTTCCCTCCCATAATCTTAATGGAATTTCATTGCTTCAATAATCCCTCATCAACCTTGGTCATCGGGATTGATTACATGCATTGTTGGCTTTTATGTGCTCGAGCGACATTCTAGTAGGATCTTGGATGAAACAATTGATGATATGGTCGGAGAAAATTTCCCGAAGGAATCAGGTGAGCAATTACCTGGTAACTAGAAACTCTGAAGAGAGAGTTCTTCTCTTCCTTATACCGAGTATATACAGTGTCCTTATAACATCCCGGCCATTTCAGGTTAAGTTTTCTTGGTATCGACTCCTCCTTCCGCCTCTGCCTCATTCTCCAGCCTCTGCGCCAGAATCATTTGCGCGATCGCATCTTCCGTCTTTAGATACGTTCGACTTCCCTGCAGAAACCAGAACCCGATCGAGATAACCAGCATCACCCCGAATACGGCGATCGCGTAATTCATGTCGCTGGGCGGTGGGTTTGGCGACCCCGGAAAAAAGAAAAATACAGTTGTGATGGCGCAGTATATCAAGCTCACCCAGTTCACGGGTTTACCCCATCGTCCCAGCTGAAATGGGCCCGGGGGGAGCTTTTCGCGCCCGACGACGAGCAACGCCGCGATGGGAAGGCCGTACGAGATAGTGAGCGCGATGGTGCTGACGCTCAGAATGGCGTCAAGGACGGTGTTGGCGAAAAGATAAAGAATCCCGACTAGAGCGATCAGAACGCCTTGGAACCAAAGGGCCCGCGCGGGAACCTTCCAAGTGGGATCGACATGCATGAGATAGGAGCTCCAGGGTAGACCACCGTCGCGTGAGAAGCCCCACGTCAACCGGGAGGCTGTGGTTAAGATGCTGATCCCCTGACCAAGGCCGTTGAAGATGAAGAGCGCGATCAACGTGGCGCCACCTTTCAGACCAATGGTCTCCAGCATCAATTCGATGAATGGGAGTCCACTGGGCGAATCAACGACTCGGTCGACGTTTTGGATGCAGAAAAGACAGACGATCATGAAGATGAATCCGGTGACGGCGCCCAGCAGCACGGCCAGCCAGATAACCTTAGGGGCATTTTTACGCGGCGCAGGAATCTCTTCGACCATGTGGATGACAGCGTCGAACGCTGTCAGGCCGTAAGCGGCTTGGACTAGTCCGGTGAACCAGACGACGCCGTCACTCCAGCCGGTCTGATTCATCCACTTGCCAAAGACGAACGAGGCGGGCTGAAAGGAAAGATCGCTTTTGACGCCAACGGAAATGAGCAGAACAAGCGAGAGAACAACGAACAGCCCGGTGAACCACACCCCGACGAAATTGTTCAGCCACGGCAGAACTCTTTCACTGCGACATCCGACCACGTTGATGACCGTCAAGACGAGCACGCAGCCAATGTACACCACGAACTCCAACCATCCGGTGCCCGCACCTTCCCAATTGGGGTTGAACATGACTTTCATGCCCAAGAGGAACTCGGTCATGAAGGCGACTTGGGATGCGGTGAGAGTCCACCATCCGAAAGTGTTGATCCAGGCGCACATGTATGATGCGAACCGCCCTGTCGGCGAGTCCCATAGTCGAAAGACCCAGTAGGCTTGGCCGAGCGCGGTCGGCATGCTACTGGCCAGCTCACCCAGCGATACAGCCACGCAGAGGTTACACACCGTCACAAGACACAGGCCCCAGAGGATGGTAATGGGACCTCCATTGGTCAAACCGCTGTTGAGATCCTGCGCGAACGTCGAATAGGTGCCTTGTCTCGGTCAATAAAAAAAATATGATCGTATCGGTCAGGCTGTAGGCGGGCACCTACCGAGAACACAAAATGCGAGCGCCAACATGCTCCAGAGGTCAAATTTACGCGTCAGGGCCTGATCATGGCCCATGGCCGCGAGATCGCGAGCATCTTGCACACTCTGATCGACCGATTGCACCGGTTTGATAGATTGGGGGTTTGTTTCCAGGTCCATCCGGAGAGAAACGGGAATTAAGCAATTCAGCCGAGAGGGGGAAAAATCAAATCGATGGACAAGAAGCGAACCCAACTGTCCATTTTCTGCTGTCAATTGACTCGACTGTACCCGGTCTGATCGCGCAGGAGGGGGCGCGAGTTCTTATGGGTGCCGGTGTCCTACCAAGCCAGCACAGCGTCGCAGCAATGGGGTATTTCGGTTCCCCTCACGAGAAGCGCATGGATGGATTGGTTGTTTATCAATGGGGGAAGTTAATCACCGACATTGGTCATGAATGATAGACCGTGATAGGCGTGAGATACTCGATCAGGGCTAGCAGATAATTTGTTCGGATTTTTCCGCGCGGAACACAGTCGGAGGAAATTGTTTTGCGGGGAGGAAATTGGCCGTTTGTGTTGGCTCGGTAGGACTTCCTAAGTGGGGATGGTTGATGTCACCGTCTGGTCGCCCTCCATCCTCCCTCCCTTTCTAGTTTCTGCACATACCTTTGTTGACGCGGGAATAGGGATGAGCCACACAGCCCGCCTGTCTCCTCCACTAGGCGACAGTATTTTCTGCATCGTCAAACCCTCGTCCTCCCTAGTATCCCCCAGGCCCTTCCCTGATACCAACTCGCCACTCCCGATCGGGCAGGTCTATGCGGCCCTGATAATCCCCGTGTTGATGATTGTCGATCCAATGCATGACTGCATCCTTTAGATAACAACCTGCCTATCATCTGCAGGATTTCAAAGCGATACGGCGGGATAACAGAACCCAGCTGGACCCAAAGGTCCAGAAACAAAAGATAGACGCGGTAAATAATCGGTGACCACCTGTCGAAGCTGACGTTCCGTTCATCTAGATGCCCCGTATCCAGCGCGATAGGACAGGTCCAGATCTGACTCTTACGAAACTAACTCGAACTCTGCTGCTAGCCGAGCTGTTACCGGGAAACAAGGTGGGAAAACGCGGGGAAGCTGCTGGTGGCAGTGTCGATCTCTGAGTCAGCCTTTGTCGGCTCTGTTCTTGACTTCACAGATGGCCGATGATAGACTGTCACAGGGAATTCCATGGCTTCTCGATGCTTAATAATGAATCGCCGGTCTTGTCACCCTATCGGATCTACCTATCCTCTTCAATCGAGACTCTGTAATCGGATAATTGTAGTATGAACCTTCCGGTCCAAGTCAGGTACCAGCGGGCTATGAATCCCGATATGTAGAATATCATTACCTATGTGGGTACATCGCAAATTAATTTTGCCGATTGGGCTGCAGATACATTATAGCTTGTTTGTTCGAGTTATCTCCTGGACTTTCCCAATCAAGAGAATGGCAGATCACGAGGATGGTAGACAGTATCAGACTGATGTCGTTTGACGCTTTCTAGGGGGTAAAGGGTATTTCTACAATGAAATTGGTATCATTTATTGTTTTCCCATCTCAAAACCAGTTGTTATGCTAAATACTAGATACTTTTCTACAACATTCTGAGACTCAAGAATTCTTTTGACCCCCCTCCCCAACCAAAAAAAAAAGCAGGGAAAACGAGGTGGAGATTGGGGAAATAGGTATTGCAAAGCCACTAGAAAAGACGATGAGACATTTCTTGTGCCTGAAGAATTAATCCGAATAACCCCGATCATAATCCTGATAATAGTCATAATCATCTTCTTCCCATAAAGTGTAGCGGTTTTCCATCAGCTTTCTATTTCTCTCATCAATTATGTCAAAACACTGCGCGAACTCAAATAGCCTCCCTCTGTGGCATGCGTCATGAATCTCAAGTGGATCTGCCTTCAAAAGCAGTTTCTTGTAAATCTCCATCAGTATACGCGTCTCTGCGATGCTCTGACAATTTTTAAAACCATAGTCATCTTCAACCTCCCTGCAAGGGGGGGATTCTGCGGGTTTATCGATAGCAATAAATTGCTTAAGCAGCCAAATTGACTGGGAATACCGACGCGGTACGGAGAGAAAGGCTTCAAGACAAGGAAGCATCTTCCTCTCGGATGCCAGTCCCTTTGAGTCCATGAGTTGTATCAATTTGCAAGACTGATATGCCTGCCAAAACTCCGAAAAAGTAGCCGTGTCTGGTTTAGGTCCAGATCTCATGTCATTCGAGACAAGAGTATTGAAAAATTTGTTGCTAACGAGCAAGCGGCTGTAAAGGTTCGCCAGCATAGTCTCTTCCAGCTCATTGCGACACACAAAAAATCCAAAGTCGTACCAGACATCTTCCGTCGGATGAAGGCGGTCCATGTGGCAAATTGAGGCTAGCAGATCGAAACATTCTAACTTTTCGCTTGGCAGAAGGTCTTCTGCCTGTTTTTGCATGTTTGCTTGATCAGGCGAAGACAACTATGCATTCACGTAGCGGTTCCTCGTGGTGCACATCTTCCAATGCCAGATTCTCACTTTGACTCTGAGCCAATGTAGCTCCCTATTCCAGCGAGATTCTAATTCATCATTAGATTGAAAGCCTCTCAAAATTACCTATAACTCACCTCTCAAATGCTTCCATAACTTTCGCCTCTTCGGTCGGCAGTTCAGTGTTCCTCAGGTCAGACAATCCCAGGAGGCCATGGCAACTTTCATCCATGCTGGTGGTTTGATTCCTAACTTGAGCGTCAAAAGGCGTTGAGACTTTATTGAGCATGCCCTTCAAAATTTCCATGAGATAGTCCTCCAAGCACCGCAAGGCCCGGGGAATACTGTGTGCACCCATGGACGTTACTCCAGTCACCTCCGGTACTGACCAGGGCTGCAAAAGTGCCCCATCACACCCCCTAGTTGGGATCTGGCTGTATTTGTAATGCTTGAGAAAGCTCGTGCAAATGAAGTAACTGAGCTGATTGCATCTAAGATAGGGAAACAAATCACTAAGCGACCGTCCATGCGTACTGAAATATAAAACCATTTGCATCTCCGCATGAACCCAAGGAACCTGTCTCTGCAGCGATTTAAGTTTCTCCTGGGTCTTGGAGACGAGGCAATTCTCTCCAGTGACTTTTGCGATGGTTGAGGGGTCTAGTCGCTTTCCCAGCAACTCAAGAGTCTGCTCCAAATTGAGGGGTCTCTCAATAGGTCTCTCTGATGCTTTGTCGTAAGGTATCGGATATATGGTGACAGACTTGGAGCCCTGGGCGGCCTGACAGATTCGCTTAAAAACATCAACGGTTTCTTGTAGCTTATTTTGACGAATTTCCGAAGATGAGTTATCCAGGCTGACACAAAAGGTATCTTTGCCCTCTTCCAGACTGAAATTCAAACAGATGAATGGATTTGCTTTCGAACTGGTCCTCGTAATAACTCAGCATAGCTGTCCAAAGATACTCTGCGTTCTTCTCGTCTAGGCTGGTTTAGTATCTGTCTCTCAGCTTCAGTGGCGGAGAATGCATGCACACACCTTCATTTGCGGATGCAAAATAGGTTAGCAAATTGGCTAGTCCGTCCAAAAAGACGCGATCTCGTTCCTTGAACCCTCCGGTCTTTGTGACCCAGATACTCACGTCTCCCTCTCTCTCGATCATACTAGTGTAAGTTGTTGGTCTAGAATGTTCCACATTGCCTACCAGCTCGGCCAAACAATTCAAGAACTGGATCTTGAGTTTACCATGATCGTGTGATAGAGCTTTACGACATTCAGAGGCGTCCGAATAGCTCGCGATACTTTAATCTCCAGAATTGTAGCCATTGCTTTGCTATGCAGAGAGTTGTCTTCAACAATATAGCAGGTTCGAAGGGCGAGCAGATTGACAAAGGCATTGGATTTTCCTTTGTCCAGACCGGACAAATCCCAGTCGAATTTCTCAGTCAGAGAACATTGATTCCGATGAGCTGAAGAGAAAAGAAAAATCAAGGGAAGTCTGACTGCTCGATAGAGGAAATAGAACCCTGATAGCCCGGTCCTGTGGACGGGTCTTTGTTTACAAGTCTATTCTCACTTGACAGAATGACTCCTAAATACAAAGTAGAAGCAAAGGGGGAACGAGGGGGAAAGAGGACCAGGAATAGGAAGAGAGGAGGGCGCAGAGATAATTGAAATGTTAAAGGAAGAAGTGAGAGAGAGATGAGATAAGAAATTCCATGAAAGTAGGAGGAAAGGGAGGGGCACTGGGGTGTAAACAGAGTTTTCTTCTGGGAGTGAATGCCTAAGTCAGATCGGGGACTATCATTCACTTAAAACGTATCTTCCAGTATAAGCAACATTTCTCGGATGCCTGATTTTCTTGTTCTCTTCCATGTCCCCCGGCTTCCATGCAGTTTCCTTGTTTTTCCAGGCCATTATTTTGCTCGGTGAACCCAGTCAGGTGATGATGACGAATGACACATATCTTCACAGTCGCCTCAAAGTTGCTTGAAGTCCATACACTTTGACATATAATCATTGTAGATCTTGTGCATAGTGAGCTAAGTATAGTGAAGCTACTAGTTAGAACAGTCTAGAAAGTTCCTTTACAAGAGGAGATCGTGCTAGATCTCATCCAGGGTGCTTAAGCAAACGACAAGATGCTTGACTATTTCTGTCGTACGCATCCACACCATCTGAACCTTCTATCCAAATCTATGAAGACATACAATCTCGTAGCTAACATGACTAACAGTGTGGTGCGATACTAATTATGCTTATGCAGATCTTCAATCCCAAAGAGGAAATTTTCCGATATTTCGAGCAAACTGTACCCCTCGCTGCACCGGATAATTGGCTAAAGTCTTCTTGGCGGCACGAATGACGTTAAACCAGGGGTATAACTCTACTTATTCCTTCGAATCAAGATGTTCCTCCGAGACAGTACTCCGACATTTTCTCCGGGGAGTGTTGCAATACCCCAGAAAATCAGGCGACGATGCGGGGAATCTCCGATGGAGTCTCGGCCATGCCCTATTTATTTCGAATCCCCCCCTGCAGGTGCGACTATCATGGATCAAGTGAGCTCAACACTACTCCCATCATGACATTCTTATTTATTTGGTCTTTGATATTACCTGCTGCTGTGGGTACTCTCCACCCTCGAGTGCAGGATGGCCTGGCGCGGACTCCGCCTATGGGGTATGTTTCCTAGCTGCCTAACAGTGTCAAACTAACTGGGTAAGATGGAACACCTATAACACCTATAATTGCAAACCAAACGAGACAATCGTACGGTCCAATGCCAAGGCCTTGGTCGACCTAGGGCTTGCGTCCGCTGGATATCATTACGTTACGGTGGATTGCGGCTGGACTGTCTCGGAACGACCTGAGGATGGCTTCCTTACCTGGAATGAGACTCTGTTCCCTCGAGGATTTCCATCTCTGGGCCAGTATATACATGACCTAGGACTATTGTTCGGTGCTTACGGAGATTCGGGCATCAAGTTGTGCGGCAGTCCGCCCGATAATATTGGGAATTTGTGTGCGTTCGATTGTTTTGTCGGCCGGCGTGTTCTAACTTTACAATATAGATCACGAAGAGGAGGATGCGAAGACGTACGCTTCTTGGGGAATTGACGCGCTGAAGTGTACGATCGATCATCACGAGCTCTGCCAAGCGAACAAAGATATTAATGGACTCTACAGATGACAATTGCTTCTCGGACAAGGAAACCGGATACCCAACCGTAAACTATTCGCCCGGTACATCACCTCATCCTCGATTTGTGAAGATGGCAAACGCTCTCGCCCAAACGAATCGTTCAATATTGTTTCAAGTCTGTGAATGGGGAGTCGACTTTCCTGCACTCTGGGCTCCGTCTATTGGTCACACTTGGAGAATCGGCAACGACATCCTTCCCGCCTGGCGAAGCATCTTCCGCACGTTGAACCAGGCGGTCCCGCAAACGAGCTTTGCCGGGCCAGGTCAATGGCCAGATCTGGACATGCTGGAAGTGGGTAACGGAGTCTTGACAGTCCCGGAAGAACAGACGCATTTCTCGCTGTGGGCGATTCTGAAAAGCCCTCTGACAATCGGTGCGGCGTTGAAGGATGAAAAGCGAAGTATTGACGATGAGTCTCTAGCTATTTTGAAGAACACTGATGTGATCGGATATAACCAGGATAAGCTAGGGGTCAGCGCTAGCCTTCGTCGGAGATGGGCAGACGACGGCTATGAGGTGTGGAGTGGGCCGTTGTCGGGTGGTCGGACCGTGGCAGCGTTGATCAACTGGAAAGACGAGGCCAGTGATTTGACCTTGAACCTGCCTGACATTGGTCTTCAATCTGCCGGGATCTTGAAGAATATCTGGGAAAGTTCAACTGCTCGCGATGTTAAAACTTCGTACACTGCTAGAGTCGAGGCCCACGGCACAATTCTGGTTGAATTGCAGGACACAGTTGTGTCTGGTCGGTACCCGACAAAGAAGTTTGCATCCTCAAATAGGTAAGCCGGTCTCTTACTGAACTTTTTCAAAGCTAATTTTCTAAAGATCATCTACGACTTTCAAATCGGTATATGCCAACACTACGAGCAGCAAACATACCCTGACGATCCATTTCTCTGAGCCAGTCTCGACTCACTCTAACGTAACCATTGAAACGAGTGTGAGCAGTCGCAAAATATTCAAAGCCGTCACTGCATCCAGCGAAGAGGTGTCTCTTAACATTCCTCTTGTTGCCGGGTCAAACAACTCCATCACCATTAGGAATGCCCCATCAATCGATTCCATCGTGATTGGCTCACCTCGTGGAACCTACCACCCCAGCACAGATTTCACTCTCAGCGGAAGCACTCGAAAGGAGCCCTGTGGCTCGGGTTTCTGTGAGCCTGTTGGCTCCCGAATCAGATACATTAGCCCGAACGGTACTGCTCGTGCTGTTGTCCCCGCCACGGCTGGCTCCAAATACATCGAGATCGACTATACCAACAACGACGTCGCCTTCGATTCCGCCTGGGACTGGGGTAGGAACACCCGGAATTTAACCGTGGCCATCAACGGCGGAAAGCCAGTTCGTGTAGAAACGCCGCTGAGCGGTAAGCACAGTGAGCTTTTCGGGCCAGGCTTAGGATGGTGGGATACTGCAACAATGGGAGTCCTAACAGATGGATGGAAGGACGGGGACAATGATGTCGTTATCGGAAACGTTGGGGGAGAACAGGGAGTTGAGTCTTTCGGGGCCGATTTTGTGGGGTTGACTGTCTTTAGTTGAGCCTCGTATAGGTAGGGCTGTGGGGATCAGGCAGAACATGATGCTCAGCACACTCCGAGTTATGTTCAAGTTGGATCTGCTGGTCAACTCAATACTGAGATAAAAAAAAAAAGCATATTTTTATACGGATATTTCGCTGCCTCGGCACAGTTCCACAACCCTCATACTATCTCAAAGTCATGTTGTTGTGATGTGCCCAACGAAAGTTCCAAGCCAAGTTTCGTATTCAACCAAATTGTATTACCTTGGCATTAAATCCACTCCCACTAATCCTCGAGACACTGTTGGCGTTGAGACCTCAGCAAATGCTTTTTAGTTGTCTGAGGCTAACATTCACGACACGACGTTGCCCGCAATTTACACCTAGCCTGCTTGAACTTTGCCCCTGCAAAAAAATCTTGAGGACCTTCAACAATGTCCGAAAGCTCCAGCCGAAAGACTTACCGTGGGAGTTGCCATTGTGGGCAAGTGAGATACTCAGCTTCCCTTTCTCCTCTCGAGGAGCAAGATGTTGTTCAGTGTAACTGTCCGTTATTCATCCTCATGAATCAGTTCTCATGGTTACTAAGCTCTTTTTAAGGCTCAATCTGTCAGATTAATGGTTATTTGTTTGTATATTCCACCAGATCCGAAATCCAGCTCGAACATAGCGATGATGCTGTGACGGTCAGTTCGATTTATATCAAATACTTGCGCTCTATCAATCTATCTCAGTCGGTCTAACACCGATTAGGAATACGCATTCGCATCCAAGAACTACCCTCATTACTTCTGCAACAAATGTGGGACGAGCATGTATGCAAAGTGTATTGTTCCGGGAAGTTGCCACGTTATGGCTTTGAATGTCAGTCGCTTGAAAGCCCAAAAGAACGATATCTAACAATTCTAGGCCCGTACTATTCAGGATGTCGACATCAAAGGGTTAAAGTTGAAACACATTGATGGTCGGAGTGTTTAAACATCGGGGTATTTTGGGGCTTCTTGGCTTTTCTGGAGGCAGTTCTTGGAACCTCAATTGGAAGAAGGAACTCTAACAGACTAACGAACTTTGTGCTACAGCACTCTTGGTGATTGGGATGTGATCCGGGCATTGTAGCACGGAACAAGCTATTTGAGTCTGTGCTATTGCGTGGAGTATCCAAAGGTCACAATAGGGTTTATTAGGGAGAATTGGCATATAATCCTCTTGGGGGTTTCCTTTTTTTTTTTTTTTTTTTTTTTTTTTTTTTAAAAAGGCTCATGGCTCCGCAAGAAGATTACAGGTTGTCAAGTAATCAGCGCAAATAACTTTGTTTGGCATTTCTCTCATTTAAACCTTGTCACTTCTGGATATTAACCCACTCAATTCGTGATTGAAAATTCTGCTTCTCTGCTGATTGCCACGGAATCATGTTCTATGCTGCCTAGGACACAATGCCCTTGCTTCTCTATGCAAGGGCAATTGAGCTTCCGTACATCCGTACTGAACTCCGACAAGTGATGAAAATAATGACGCTCGTTTCTAATCTGTGTTTGATCAGAATTCCATTTACTCCAGGATAGACTGTGTGGTTGTGAATTCGCCCTGTGGTGTCGTTTCCATTAGAATCGACCATACTCAACAGCGTCAATCACGCACCCAGCCAACCTCGACATCCGCAGCAAACCTGGACCAACCCTAACGCACATTCCTTGTCCTTGCTTTGTCTCAGTGTAACAACCTTCGCCGGTTCGTCATCAGCATGTGACATGTTGAATAAATAATATGCGTGGAAATTTATATTTGTCCCGGGGCATTTTAAGAATCTCGCCAGTTCATGAAATCCGGTGCTCGCTAAACAATGTCGCTTGATATCAAACCTACTGAACGGTCCACGGAGGTGGAAAAGATCCCTGATGTGCCCTTATCCTCGGATGACGCTGTCCTTCAAGCCCAGGGCCATCGGGCCGAGTTGAATCGGTCTTTTTCCTGGGTAGGAGCGATTGGGTTTGCTTTCAGGTATCTTTCTTTATCATTATATTCCGGGCGATACTGACTATTATAGCATTTCCAACGCATGGCTGGGTTATGCCGCAACTATTGGATCTACCTTGCTATATGGCGGAGGCCAAACAGCTCTATTCGGCCCTGTTCTTGCGGCAGTTGCGACTACGGTTGTCTTCCAAGGTCTTGCGGAGTTATCCTCCGCATTTCCGTCTTCTGGAGTGAGTGACCGTTTTACCGTTATCTGAGGCTCTACTAAGGCATTAAAGGGCCAATATCACTACACCTATATCATGGCTCCCAGCTCTATCCGGAATTTTCTTGCCTATCTGGTAGGAATTTGTAATATTCTCGGGTGGTGGATGTCCCTTGCCTCAGGAACCATCATTGTGGCAACCTCGACATTTGGTGTCGTGGCGTTCTGGTATCCGGATTTTGAAACTCAACAATGGCAAGTTTACCTCTGCTATGTACTGACCATTGTCTTGAGCTGTAAGAATTTCTATTGTCCTCTCTGCGAACATAACTGACATCAATAAGTAATCCCCGTATTCGTTATTCCCCAGAAACGCGTGGACCATATGGTCAACTCGGCTATGGCTTTGTCTATATTTGGCTTCTTCGCTGTCATCATCACTTGCTTGTCTATGGGCAAGGGCAATTACCATCCAGAGATGATGACCCAGTATGACGGTGCCAGCGGATGGTCAAGAGTCCCTGCCTGGCTGTTGAGTATTAATCTTGGCCAGTATGCCTTCATGGGCAATGGTGCTGTCACTCATATTGCTGAGGAGATGCCACGACCAGGGCGAAATCTTCCTTTAGTATTGTACGCTCTTGAAGGTATTATCTGAAAGCTAAAGCTGACATTTTCACTCTAGAAACATGGCCCAGCTTATAGGAGTCATCACCGCCATTCCGTGGACAATGGTCGTGCTCTGTGGAGTCCAGGATATGCATGCTGTGCAGAACTCGTTCCATGCCTCGATGGAGATGTTTTACCAGTCAACTGGAAGCAAAACGGCAGCTACTGTGCTGCAATCTTATCTCATTCTTCTTTATTACTGTTTGTTTTCCATTTCCCCCCATTTCATGCAATATCGTGCTCATTGATCCAGCCTGTCTTCCCAGTCAATGGATAACATGTAGTCGAATCGCCTGGGCGTTCTCACGCGACGTAAGTAGATCTCATTATTAACTCACCCCCGATTTACAAGTGAAGAAGAGATACTTACCAGAACCAAAAGGCCGGCCTCCCCGTCTCTTCATACTGGAACCATATTTCTCCTAAATACAAGATCCCGGTGCGGACCACTTTCCTCACTGCCGTCTTCTGTCTTATCTACGGCCTTCTCTACATCGCCAGCACCGACGCTTTTAACTCCATCATCAACATGTCCTTCATGTTCCTGACATTCACGTATGTCGCCCCGCAGACAATTCTGCTCTTCGGGCGGAGGGAAAGTCTGCCCAAGAGGCCATTTAACCTGGGGAGGTGGGGGTATGCGGTTAATGCATTTTCTACCGCATGGTTTGGCTTCACATTGGTGTTGGTGTGTTTTCCGACGCAGATTCCTGCTACGAAAGGGTCAATGAACTAGTAAGTGTTCTTTTCTGCTTTTTTCATGTCTATTCTTTCTCTTTTCGACTTGAAAGGGTGGGAGCAAAAGGACAGGCTAACTGAACTGAATAGTGGGGCAGCTGTCGCAGTCGGTGTGTTCGTGTTAGTAATGATCTTGTGGTTAGAAAGGAGGAAGAAGTTCGCTGGGCCGAACATCGATTGGGATATGTTGAAAAGGGCGCTGGAGTAAACTAGGATATAGCGGATGGATGTCTTGGTTGGGATTATAGGTCCGCTTTAATTTGATTTGGGCCCGTCTTAGAAGGAGCTTATACCGGCTAAAAATGGCTAGATTAGTTCAAACTCAGACCCTTCTGCGTGTCCTTTGTGATGTCAACTTTTCTCTGCTTGACAAGCCCAGGGTGTAAGATGCAATATGCTTTGCCACTCATGGGCGTATGGATACTTGAAGAGGGCTTGTCGTAGGCCGGCCTTGGCGAGGTCGTCGTCTTCGGTGGTCCCGCTAAGGAATTCAGCTGCAGTAGAGTCCCAAAAGAAAAAGACGCAAGTACCGTTCGATTGCTGCGCAAGCGATCTAAATTTTTTATTAATCACATCACTGCCGGGCGAGTGATTGGGGCTTACCATGACATAGTAGAAATAATAACATCCAAGCTCAGCCTTTGTGATTTCCGACGTGGCGATCAGCGGGCTCAATACCGCTCCTACGCCGTATAATCCATGGAGCAGGCCCAGTAACTGGTTCGCGTTCTCCATATTCCCAATCTATGCGTTCCATACTGAGTCGGCAAGACCATTGCCGAAACCTGCGAATATAAACGAAACCACGAGCACCGGGTAGGGTGGGTGCAGGCAATTCACGATGTAGGCGATTAGATGACAGCCCGGTGAGATCCAGGCCACACCCCGACGACCGAAAGTAATATGTATTTTGTGATTTAGGACCGCAGCTAGTGTATACCCCCTAGCGGGGATAGAAATATCAGGGAGACAATAGTGTAGGAAAGGTCATAGTATGTCTCTAGCTGGAAGTATACTGGTTTAGTCGAGGTTGTAGGCAAGGGATGGCCAACTTACGTATGGAATCAGGGGCTGTTCATGTTAGCTTTCATTTAAGGCTTAAATTTGAAGCTGGGACATACACCGTAGGCTGCATCATTCGCACCCTTCACCACTCCAGAAGGTAGCGAACACTTTCCACACATTGGACCGCGGATAGTTCCATTTCTCTGCTCCGAAGGTGGCATTGGGTGCTTCTGAAGGACATCTCTGCTCAAGATCGATTGTATCACTTTTCGAATTAGATGTTGACAATCTGTAACTTTGTTGTTAGAAAACTGCTAGGGACAACAGATTTTGATCCTCATCATCAGAGGACGGCCAGCTCTTAGGGTTGCTGCTAGGTGAACTCCCTATTTTAGCCTAGCCTGTTAGACCCTTACGCCCAGGCTAAGGAATGAAGACCAAAGCGTTGGACAGCTTGCGTAATTATTATGCCAGTATGGTTGTTATATTTTCTTAGTTCTTCAGATCTGCCAGGATACAATCATACAAATACTCCACTGTTGGCCGACACAAAATTCTTCTCAAAAACTTACCCAAAGTCCTCACTGAAAGCACAGAAAGGCTCCGCTGTGGGCAGACATAAAAGCTTCATCCAAGGCAGACAAAGTCCTTATGGATACGCAAGGCAGACACAAAACCTGATTGGAGGCAGACACTGTCCTTGCACAAGGCAAATAAACACCTAATAGATATTCCAGGCAGATACAAAGCCCTGATGGAAATGCCAGGCAGAAATAAAGTCCTGGTTGAAAGCAGACATAGTGTCAGTATGAAAAGGCGGACACAGTCCTCACACAGGGAGACATGAAAGCCTCATCAAATGTAGACACAGCATGCTGATTGAAGGCATACAAGGCCCCGATGTTGGACGCAAACAAACTTTTTTTCCCAATCGATAGCTTTGGGGCGGCAGTTGTTGGACCTCCAGTCCTGTATTGAAAGTCTGGATGCTTAGTATACTAGCCCTACCTGCTACCCACAAATGGCTACGGCATATATAGCTTCGCCCTCGCTCGACCAAAAAGGGTCCAGGCGTTCCTATCCCTTTTGAGTAACAACGGGCCTTTGGTCCAACGTGACACCTTTCAGCTTTCGTTCCTTAATGGGTGGGCATATGACTGATCAATTGCACATCTTCTATCGATTAGTATTCATCGCCACAGGGTCGTGCAAGCGAAGAGCCTAATATACCCCCAAACGTAACACATTGAAGGGCAAAGTTTAAGAAACACGGGAGTTTTTCTTGAGCCCCGAAGACAATCAAATCTCGTAGATTTTTAGATGCCTCAGGTGCAACCCGCCTTGTCAGTTTTCCGCCTACTTGTCATTTTATGGCGGCGTGGTCATTTAATGTATGCAAAACCCATGCAGAAATGTTTCTTGATCAACATATATCGTTGAATTTCGCGGTTCTTTTCATTAATGCGCGTCCCTGCACCGGGATCGCTTATGATTTATAATGCATTTTAACCCAATTCGGCTAGTTCTGACCGAGAGGTTCAATCGTCTGTACCATACCGATTGTAGCTAGGCATAGACGAGAACCAGGCCCCCTTCATCTAAATGATAAATTCTTCACATGTTTTGGTCCAAAGGGCAGAGCAATTGGAAGGTAAATTTAGTTTTAAATATCGCAGGCTACCACCCTATGTTAGGGCCCTTGTTAGTATGCTCCTGGATCAATCCGAACATATAATCAACTACAGATTTTTTCTCTTCCTGGTTAGAGCCATACGATACTTATGAGCAGTTCTTAATTGAGCTTGATGATTGAGTGACTGCGTCGCTCAGTATGGAGCATACTTTTAGGTCAATGTATTTCTAATTGTGTTCTAGTTCCACATGGTCTTCAAGATATATAACGTGCTACGTCCTCCCTCGGAAATTTTACTAAACCCAACACTCATTCTATCAAAGCAAGATGCCGACCCTAATTTCGCTCGTTTTATTTCTCTTTTGTTCCTTGTCGCTCGCTGAATATTTTCCTGCCACCCCGAAAGACCTCAAACGTATCACTTCACATGTGCCCGGAGCCTCGCTGTCCTACAAACAGGTACTAATCCCAAATGCTTTTCTTCTAAGTTCACAAGTATCTCACGAACATCTCAGACCAACATCTGTAACTCAACTACCTCATACAGCGGCTACATCCACTTACCCCCAAACCCTACCGATGCATCCCCCCACCCCAGCAACATCTACTTCTTCTACACCGAGTCTCTCCATGACCCTTCATCCGCCCCATTAACCGTCTACCTCGGTGGCGGCCCCGGCGCCAGCTCCATCGGCTCCATGTTCACCGAAGTCGGGGCCTGTATGGTCAACGAGGACTCGAACAGCACAGTTCCGAACCCCTGGGCGTGGAATAATGTCTCCAACATGCTGTTTCTGGATCAGCCGGTGCAGACGGGCTTTTCGTATGACTATCTGACTAATTCAACCATTGATTATACCACGTCGACTGTTTCTCCGGCAGAGATGGGAGCGCAAGTACCCGCTGTCAATGCTACGTTTAGCGTCGGGGTGTTCGGAAGTGGCGAGTTGAATGGAACGGTTAATTCGACGACGACGGGAGCAAGAATGTTCTGGGATGCGTTGCAGGCCTGGATAGTTGAGTATGTTTCTTTCTGTTTTCTTTGCTTCTCTTTTTCTTCCCACTTGTTTGGTTGCTTAAAGGCCGGCTGTATCTGGGATGCTAAGTCGTTGCGCGCGCAGGTTCCCCGAATATAACTCCACCGATAACCATAACCATATCAACATTTGGACTGAATCAGTACGTTTCTTCTCTACCTGGCTTTCCCCCATCCCCCCTGCACATCTACATACTCACCCACCAAAGTTCGGGGGCCGCTACGGCCCAACCTACACGTCCTACATCCTCGAGCAGAACAAGCGCATCCAAGCCGGCGAGCTCTCCGCCCAGAAAATCCACGTCGACACGCTCGGCATCCACAATGGCTGCAGCGACGTCGTGACAGAAGGCTCTTTCTATCCTGAATTCGCATACCGGAACACCTACGGCGTAGAGGTAGTCACTAAGGAAATCTACGAGGCCTCAAAGCACAATTTCACGAAACCAGGCGGATGTCTGGATCTGGCGATGCAGTGCAAAGAGCTCGGTGATAAGCTGGACCCATTGAATTTGGGGGATAATACACAGGTCAATGAGTTGTGTGTTGCAGCGAATGAGTACTGTTATGTGAATGTGTTGGGAGGGTATGTGGCTTCTGGGGTAGGTTTTCTTTTCCATTTGGGTTGCGTGCAATGGTGCTGACGATTTGATTCAGCGCGATATTCACGATATGGCCGCCGTGTCTACGGTCACTGTTCCGGCTCCGTATAGCGATGGATTCTTGAACCGGGCTTGGGTGCAAAAGGAGTTGGCCGTGCCGGTCAACTACACTGCTAATTCGAATACCGTGTACTCTGGTATGTTTGCATCTGACTTCGAGAGGCATCCTACTTCCACACTTTCTGCTACCGTTCAAGGGCCTCTACAGTAGCTAACGCCATATTTTAGCCTTCGGTAGCACCGGCAACGCCCTCATTCTCCGCGGAAACGCGATGGACGAGTTCGCCTCTATCCTGGCCCACGGCGTCAAGGTGAATTTGGTCTACGGAGATCGGGATTATCTCTGCAATTGTATGCCCTTGACCCTCTATTCCACCCTTGCAATTGAAAAAAGAAACTTGAGGAGCTCTAACACACACTAGGGATGGGCGGTGAAAACATCAGTCTCTCAATCAAGCACGAACAATCTCACGCTTTCAAAAACAGTGGGTATCAAGCTCTCATCACCAATGCCTCCTACACAGGTGGTGTTGTTCGTCAGCATGGAAATCTTTCGTTCACGAGGGTCTTTGATGCGGGTCATGCTGGTAAGTTCACGTATATCCTTCCACCTGGAATTACTTCCTAGTTCGTGACTTGGAATAAAATGGCATGACTGATTGAATGGATTATGTAGCTGCTGCATACCAGCCTGAAACTTTCTATCGCATCTTCTCCCGCATCATGGCCTCCAAGGACATCGCTACAGGCGAGGAATGGCTCATCGATGACTATCCGGGTAGGTATCGGACCCGGGGCCCGCATTCGAGCTTCGGGATTAAGAATGTCATGCCGGAGCCTGCGGAGCCGGTGTGCTATACGCTGGATATGTCGACTACTTGTACAGAGGGGCAGAAGGAGGCCTTGGTGAATGGGACAGCTGTGGTGAAGGATTTCGTGGTTGTCGAGCCGAGAAAGTAGCCGGATTGGGGGGTGTAGATAAATTTTCATTTCTTGGATTGTTTTATTAATGTCATTCGGTTTTTGTATTCTAATCGGTGTGTTTGTATTATAGACCCCATTCTTAAGTCGTCAATACTATTGTAACAAAATCTTTGCGCCGTCTTCATCGTCCAGAACGGCCGTTAAATTTCTCACCCTCATATCAACCGGTTGCTGAGTTTCTGTATCAAATGTTGCAGACTCTTCGATCTCTATTATGCGCTGCGCAGCCTCTGCGGCTAGTGCAGAGTCCCAAAATATTTCTCTCCGCTCACAAGTGGAAAGTAAATGGATTGCGCGACGGCGGATGCACGCATTCCGACATCGCTGCGCGGTGATAAACAGAGGCGGGACGACACCGAGTGAAAAGGCGAACGTGTGGTTTCTGGGTGCGCGCTTCCTACTCGTGGTTAGACTGTTTCGTGTTTTGTAGAGTTCCAAGTGAGACATACTTCCTAGATTCAGAGATGTAGATCTCACAGAGAGAGAGTATCGTTTCAAATTCACCGGAGAATCGGTCCCAGGCGGTTTCGGGATCGGATGGCCGAATAGTCAGATACATCTTGCCAATGAGATACCAGATGCGAAGTATGACATCGTCGTCATTCGTTTCTAATGACCATTTCTTCAAGTCTGAGTCCGAGTGATCAAATCGCGAATGCCACGTATTCAACGCAGACAGTAGCATGGTCGACGTAGACGCGGCACCTAACCCCTGCATCTCTACCAGACTATCCAGTTTCTCCCTCAAGATTGCATTCAGCAGCTCATCCAGCAATCCATGCATGTCCACTCGTTCAGATTCTGCATCAGCATGCAAAGCGGATACCATGGCCTTCGGCGCTCGAATCCCATTCTTTTTAAGCGTTTCACCGACCCCAATCCCCAAGATTTCAACAAGCTGACTATCCAGCCTCGTAAACAACCCCCGGATCGTGCCCCGAGACATAATCCCCCAAGTATCCGTCCCTGCCGTCTCCTCTACCTGTCGCAGCAGATTCAACCCCGAAGCGATATGAATCATCGCCGCGCGCCGACACCCCCGGAGACACTCAAAGCAGGCAAACAGCACGCTGCAAATCAGCGTCACGTCGTGCGTTTGGTTTCTCGCGCGGGACTGCAACATCCGAAGAGCCTTGCCGTAGTGCTGCGTCGCGAATCGCATTCGCTCAGTCCATTTATCCGTCGCTCTTCTCTTAACTTTGTCAAATTCAAACACCCGCTGCAACGCCCCAAACGACATGATCGCGGACGCTAGCACCGGCTCCTCGCCCGCCGCGCGCAACACCGCATGCGAGAAATCCAACGGAAACCGATCGCACGACTCCCGGACGAAAAATTCCAGCGCTTCTCGCTCTTGCGGGTTCGTCGCGAGCGAGAGATTCGGCGACGGTGATGGCCGGGGCGCCGTGTAGACGACCACGCGGAACCGCGGGCGGGGCGGTTTCCCGTTAGGAGGTGTGTAGGTGCAGGTCCGCTGGCTGGATGTGCAGCGTAAGCAGGACGGTTTATTTTCGTCGCATTTGATGCGGCGGGCCCTGTTGGTGTGGGTGTTAGGTATTTACTACTCGGGATGTTTGTTGTTTCTTGAGGGGGGGGATGACTTACTTGCATGTTGTGCAGCCTGTTCGTGATCTGCTGCCGCAAACTCGCATGCTGTTACACATCTTCCCGACAGTATTGGGAATGGTGGTGAGATTAAGGACTTAGTTTGAAGCTGACATCGCGTTTAGATGAAGGATTACCTAGCTAGCTGACTAGCTTGGGTTAGTCTGCAGAGAATAGTTGATTGGCTGCGCTAAGGGGTCTGGATCAGAAACTGATTCCGCTTGATGCCTGGTTCTATTTCTGATGACTTGACTATATTTCGTTTCATCTTGTGTTATCTTTTATCTTGTTGGATAGGTATTCCAATATTCCCGCCAACTAACATTGGTCAACGCCGAGATTCTGCGGAGAGAAATGTCTCTTGCCAGGGCTTAACATTTCAATGACCGGTGCTGTTTTGACAGGAAAGAAGAAAATATGAAAGAAAAAAAACTTAGATTCATGCCTCGAAGAACAAATGCAATGTCTCACCCTGATTGACAAAATTCAAGTACTCACACTTTGTTTCGTGGCCTGTGAATAGAACCACGCTAGTCCATATTTAGTTACTTAAAACATATCATGGCATAGAACCTGATTGGATTCCCTGGTCTCGGGCGCTATTGTAGATTTCTATATGGATATCTAGAATGTTTTAGTAAAGAGTCTAGAACGGGTTGAGGAGATGGTTGAATCTTCCCTGTTGTTGCGTGGTTATGAACTCGAGTATATCCTACAACTATTCGTCGTGACTAGGTTGAAAACGCGAAGAGAGCGATACCGCAAGGTCGACAGTTCTTTTTTGTATTGCATGATAAATATCGAAGTTTGAATCAGATCTTGATCCCGCAATAGAATTACCGCTCTTTCAAAACTGCCTCCATGAAATCCTGAATATCCTGTAGGAATTCCGCAGGCCACTCAAGAGCCGCGAAGTGTCCACCCTACTCAGAATTCAGTGAGGCGCCATTGACAAGAGGACTTTTAGGTGACCTACCTTCTCATGTTGCCGATAGAACACTAGCCGGCCCTTCTTTTCCATAACCTTCTTAGGCCTAGGCGCTAGTTTATGTATGAACCATGAATATCTAAACGCTTTGTCAATAAACGGCAAGCAAAAGGAAGGCTTGACGAGAAAAGTGTTTTCATGGAATTAACAGCTCTTTTATCAAAGAAAAAAGCATTTGATTGTAAACAGATGCACTAGTGGTCGAATAGAGCCCCATTCTTGGGCTTAGTACTGTTTTTTCGTACTCCGTAGTCTATCTGTACTACAGAGGAATCCATCCTTCTTCACTAAGTAAACTGAGCCAAGGAAAAATAGTCCTGTCTGTGTAAGAAGAGAACAAATTTAATTTTCAAACAACGCGAGATTAAAAATCAATTTCAAGATGTGATGGATTCTACTGTACCACTCCGTAACCACAATTTCACTCCAACCTGTTTTCCTCTATCCATTGTGAGTTTTCTCTCTTTTCATATGATAGTCTATCCTCGTGTTCAACATGAGATCCACATCCGCAACCCAGACCGCGAAAAGTAAACCACAAGGCTGTCAGATTCGACCACCAGGCTGACAGTCAGCCTCGTCTCAGGGGCTCTTGCTAATATCACCCACCACGAATACTACCTACCACGCACACCCACAGAATCCCCATTACCTCTATTTATTTTCCAAACAAACCATCCACCTGGATAAAAATCCCGGGAACAAAAACAAACCCAAATCAAAAACCATGCCCACCGACACCACGAACACGAACCCACCACAACCACCAGCACGTCGCACGCCCCGCCGCATCACCAAAAAAGGCCGCGAACTGCAGCGCAAACACCTGCGCGAGGACCAGACCGTCGTGCGATGGGAGCCGAACGGTTTAGTAGTATCCAAGGCCGTTCGGGTGGGGTTTCTAGGAGATAGGACGGTGACGGTGACAGTGCCGGTATCGTGGAAGGGGTTCTTGGGAGTTGTGGGTGCGGTGGCGGTTGGTGGTTTAGGGTGGGTTTTGAGAGGGTTGGGGAACTGATTTTGCTTGATGTTGATGTTGAGCTTCCAGGGTAGATGGGTTGAGTGCGAGGGTTTGTACATTCATGGAGTTTTGTATATCTACAAACTACGGAGGACTGGGGAGAGGGGATCCCTTCAGGATGTTCAAGGGTCTGGCCAGTGTAAATATGAATAAATCAATTCGGAAATTTCATTCCCATATTAAATAGACTAGCGTGACCCATTGACCGTGAAACCGGAACGATAAGAAAATATAATACATTCAATTCCAAACGCAGGCCATTCTCATGAGGGTATTAACGTATTAGATAGATAAAAGTAAGCCACTGTACAGCCATCTCCCCTTTTTGTCGTCGTTCTCTCCGTTGTCCGTGCTGTTCTTCCGATCTAACCGATCTAAGCAACAACACCCATCAGGGCGGAGCAGACCAGCATGGCCAACAAGCCCAGGCCGCTCTTAGAGACGGGCTGGCTCAGGGCGATGGCGGCGGAGTCGCTGGAGGTGGAGCTGGCGGAGCTACCGGTGGAGGTGCCGGTCTTGGAATCGGAGTCGGAGTCGGTCTTCGAGGGCACGGCGGCGGTGGCCGTCAGGGACGAGTTGCCGCCGCTGCAGAAGAACTGACCGTCCTTGGCACCCTCGTCGCGGAAGCAGTCGCTCAGGTCCTTGGCCGACTGCTCCTGGGCCAGACAGTAGAGGCCGCAGCCGTCGTTGTAGTGGCTGACCTTGGCGTGCTTGCAGCACTTGTCGAGGATGTCGGTGGCGTTGCCGGACTTGGGGAGGGCACAGGCAATGTCCTTGGTGGGGAGCTCCCACATGGAACCGGTGCAGGTGGCCGACGCGGAGGTCGCGGAGGAGGTGGTGGTAGAGACGGAGGTGGTGGTGGCAGACATTGTGATGTTTGGATTCGAAATCGATCGATTAGAGGATGATTGATTATTGTATGGAGGTATGATAACCCTGAACGAAGGACTGAGAATGGATGAAGAGTCGAAAGAAGAGGAAGAAAGGAGGCAAGGAAGAGACTTAATATACGGGGATGGGCTGATACGAGAGGAAGAAAAGAAATCCTGCGGGCTCCACTCTATAATTATCTCTCACTTGGCGGGGATTCTCCATTGGCCCTGCCCTCCCCGCCGATCGGCACTTCTTGTCTCACCTTCCACCGGTCGTTGACTTGTTGGCCACCTGATCTGACTGACGCTGCTTTCTGGGTGCTGCTGAACTGGCCTGGCTGACTACTCTACTCTGTACCCGACACAGTACAGAGAGCCTATTAATAGCATTGTTCGTGAGTTGTGAGTTGTTCCTGTCCGGTTCGGTCCCTGTTGGGTGTTTTGGTGCCTTGTGGATTGGGCCACCAGACCCGTCCGATTAGCCGATCGGGACCCTCCAACCGGGTGGAAACTGGGAAGGTTCAATAAATATTAAAATGAAAGGAATGGATTGAATGATACCCTGTTTGTTTCATTGTCGATTCCCCACTAGTGCTGTACTCCATATATCCATCCACTTCCCACGCCACCGGCTTCCCGCTGCACAATGCTGCATTAGCTGGTCGCGCTGCCAACCTCGGCACGTATCAAATTCAGAGCTCAGATCCCTCTGGCGATTCTCGTCGACGTGCGTAGTTAGACAAAAAAGAAAAGAAACACAGAGAATTCGAAAGCAAGGAGAACAGACTAGCTACCGCCTGGCCTTGATAATCGTTTCCAACAACTTCCTCGCCTTGTCGTCTCCCTTGGCAAACGCCGACTTGGCCACCCCCTGCGCCGCATTTGCATGCTTCTGCGAAAAGATCGGCTCTCCCCATCCCTGTGCCTGACAGGCCATCACCGCCCGCTCCAACAGCTCCCGTCCGACGCCTTCCCCGCGATATCGTCGCTGCACCGTCCACGCGCGGATCACGCCCACGGGGAAGTACATGTCCTGGCCGCGCACGAAGTGTCTCGCCCCGCGGATATGGGGCTCAATCCCCGCCGACGTGAACACGGGTCGCAGCACCAGCGCCCCAATCACTTCGGGGCCAAGCTTCGTGACGAGAATGTGGTCGCGGGCGCCGACGCGGGACCCCGCAGCGTGTCCCGAGCCTTCGTAGAGCCATTTCCACGTCCCTGTTTGCTCGGCCTGCGAGAGGTATGAGGCGGTTAGGTATCGCACTACCGCGAGACCCGTCATGACGCATCCGGTCCAGGTCATGATGATGGCGGGCCAGTCGTTATGATGGAGGCGGAGGACGTAGTAGCTGGCGGCGAGGCAGAGGACGACCGTCGCCAGCCAGAGAGGATGCAGGATCAGCGCTTTGGCGGCGGTCTGTCGTTGCTGGGCGATGCTGTCGGCGATCAGGCGCAGAGAGGCGACCTTCTCCTTCTCGGTCCCGGCAAAGCCGATTGTGAGAGGACGAGGGTTGTTTTGGACGGACACCATTTTGCGAGCGGCTTCAAACAAATGTGGAGAGTGATGATGGTTGTGGTTGTGGGCAGGTACAGTAGATAGACAGGTAGGTGTTTTGGGGGGACGAGCTGAGGTCGGCCTGAGGAAGTAGGCATCGACATGTGTTGACGTCCCTGGTGACTACCCTCACTTGCCTCACTTGCCTCCCTTGCTCACGGCCATGATCCCCAGAACTTGTAGGGCTGAGAGGGGTAGAACCTGGTTACTCAGGCTGGTAATGTTCTGCACCTCAGCGGGTATGCTTATCTTAGTGGCTGCCAATCCTGTCAATCGTGACAATCTTGACGATCGGTGCTCGATTCGACATTGGACGTTCGCCAACCGTCTCGAACATGTTCCCTGTGGACGATCCGATGCTTCGTCCATGGTTCATTGGAATGGACCTCCGCCCAATGGAGCATTCACCCCGCTTGGAACCAGCCAGGTTGATGGAAGTGGATGTCCAACAGCCTCTACGATGATGATTTTTGATTGCTTATCACTGCGCTCAACAGCTCAACATGTAGCAGACGATGAGTATAGTGGATGCTCAGATGGCCCTGAGGAGCAAAGTACAGCATGTGATTTGGCATCCAGACCTCCACTGCCAGCATCCGACGTTCTCCAGGTTGATGTCACTACTATCCTGCCGCTCTCGTACATCCCCAGGAAGGTGAACCCACTCCACAAACTGCAAAGCGCTGGTACACGTGGGGGAATCGACGGATGTATCTCGCTCTTCGGAGGAAACCCCTTCCTCTCCCTCGATAAAGCTGTATGTCCATTGAGCCTTCTGTGGAGGGGCATGTGACTCGACCAAATCCACCGATTGGTCTCTTCCCTGTCGGAGTGTCGGTGGCTGCTCAACCGCCCGTGAAAAACTGGATTCACTAATGAGAAGCTTGGTAAAGCTTACCTACCTAGGGAGCTCCCGAAGAGCATTCTCCGCATGACCATGACATGTCCAGCCCATCATCTGCCCTTTGTCAGGTTCCTATTTCAACATTTTCCACCCTTCAGTTTCCTGATATCGCCTCCACATCAAAGCTGTCCCACTGATCACAATCTCATCATAATCTTAAAAAAAAATAAAAAATAAAAAAAGCCCCTTTTTATGGCCGTAACTCTCACCTCGGGCGGCAACGCCGTCTTTCCCAATTACAACAATGAGTTCGGTCACATCGAGGACCCGAATGAGCGCCGTCGTCTTGCCCTCGCGGAGATCGACAACGCATCCTTCGGATGGCGTCATGCTCGCACAGTGGTCGTCGCCGGCGTCGGCTTCTTCACTGACTCGTACGATATCTTTGCTATCAATCTCTGCTCCGCCATGCTGGGTGTTGTCTACTGGCAAGATGCGGCCTCGCGTCCCGGCAAGATCCCATACAGCTCCGACACCGCCATCAAGGTCTCTACTTCGGGCGGCACCGTCTTTGGTCAGCTGTTCTTCGGATGGTTGGCTGATATGATCGGACGGAAGCGCATGTACGGCTTCGAGCTGATCATCATCATTCTGGCTACCTTGGCACAGTCCCTGGCCTCCGACTCCCCTGCTTTGTCTATCACCGGCATCTTGGTCTTCTGGCGTGTGCTGATGGGAATCGGTATCGGTGGTGATTATCCGCTTTCGTCGATCATTACGTCTGAGTAAGTCGTCCCTTATATACTGCGAGGATCCGTTGTCGAATGCTGCGTGTAGATTCGCAACCACCAAACACAGAGGATCGATGATGGCTGCGGTGTTTGCCATGCAGGGCTTCGGCCAATTCGGTGCTGCGATCGTCGCTCTGATCGTGACCGCTGGATTCAAAGGTTCCCTTGAACCTGCCGCTTCTGTGGGCAAGTGCTCCGGGGTGTGTCAATTGGCGGTCGATAAGATGTGGCGCGTCGTCATTGGATTCGGTGCCGTGCCCGCTTGTATCGCGCTCTACTATCGCTTAACGATTCCCGAAACCCCTCGATATACCTTCGATGTTGCCCGCGACACCATCAAAGGCAATGCGGACGTGCGAGCGTACATGGAGGGCCGACATGAAGGACACCCAGACGAGGTGAAGCGCATTGCGGTGTTGCAGGACGAAACCATCGAACTGGTCACTCCGAAAGCAAGCTGGTCGGACTTCTGGGCTCACTACTCCCAATGGAAGAATGGGAAGGTTCTTCTGGGTACGGCGGGTTCTTGGTTCTTTCTTGACGTGGGTGAGTTGGCACTTAACACTCTTGGGCACTTAACGAGGTGAGGGTAGTCCACTAAAATGAGCCAGCGTTCTACGGCCTCGGACTCAACAACTCCATCATTCTCAACGCAATCGGCTGGACCGGAGGCAGCAACGTCTACGAGTACTTCTACCGCAACGCCGTTGGCAATCTGATTTTGATCTGCGCGGGCGCGATCCCAGGATACTGGATGACCGTAGCAACGGTGGACCTGATCGGGCGGAAACCGATCCAAATCGGCGGATTCGCCATTCTAACCATCGTGTTCATCGTGATCGGATTCGCCTACGAGCCTCTGAAACACTCCAACAACGGCCTTCTGGGCCTCTACATCGTCGCGCAATTCTTCTTCAACTTCGGCCCTAATGCAACCACCTTCATCGTTCCGGGCGAGTGTTTCCCGACGCGTTATCGCTCCACCTCCCACGGCATCAGCGCCGCCGCTGGAAAGGTGGGCGCTATCATCGCGCAGTGCGTGTTTGGCCCGCTGGCCCATCGCGGTGCCTCGCAGGGCAAGTCCTCCACCGATACGCCGTGGTTGAACCATGTGATGCAGATCTTTGCGTTGTTTATGCTCTGCGGTGGGGTCACTTCGCTGCTTATTCCGGAGACGAAGCGCAAGACGTTGGAGTTTATGGCTGGTGAGAGTACTAGTTCTGGGTCGGATTCCCATCGTAGTGATTGAGTGCTGTAGGCGGTAATTCTCGTGTCTTCAATGGGGTCTACATAATACACAATTTGTTTGTTCGGGTGGTTACATAGCGTGTTTGCGTTGCTTGCATATTGTCGCTTGCATATCTTGTTGCGGTCTTCTGGTCGCGGTTGATTTCTTTAATGTTCCACAAGCTTCATATAGCTTTAGTTCATGCATCCTGGTCTTCCAAGGGTCACTTTCTACTTGTTATTCAATAATATAAGTTTTCTGATGTCGAAGGATAGATAGAGTCTCTCCTAACAGGACTGAACCCAATTCATGAGCAATGGGCTGGCCGGGAATCACCGCAGAATCGGCTGGATTAGTGACTGGTGGTTGATTAGGCACTACATATTGAATAAATAAGACATGTTTGATATCCTTTAGGTAGTACTCTAGCACCTGTGACTCTAAGAAGCCTCAAATTGGACTGCATGCTTCTCTCGATGAAACCAAATGGCCATGCTCCGCAACAGGTAATATGAAATAGGTAGGTCTTGTCAATGATAAGAACAAACTCCCCCCTTTAGATAACCTTCATCCACACCATTCCTGTCCATCCGCATGCCCACATTGGAAAGGGAAAACAGAAAGGAAAAACAGAAAACACCAACAACACCCATGACCTATTCCACCCCATAGCTAAAACCAACACTCCACCCACCAATTACCTAAGCAACCCTCCCCCCACCCTGCATCGGCGCCATCTCCTCATCCTCCGGCGCCAACGGATCCAACCCCATCTTCATTCTCTTTAACTGCACCAACCGAAACACATTGTGATTCAACGACCTCAACAACCGATTCGCCTCCCTCTCGTCCGAAATCGAATGTATCTCATACGAATCCGCTTCCACAGTCAACTGCTGACAGGCCTTGATGCGCTCGTCTCGGTCCTCTATCTCGCGGAGCTTGTCTACTTGGCCCTGTAAGAACACGGGTACCGGTTTGCATGATTCCTCGCTGGCCTCACAGGGGTCGCAGGCCTTGTGGGCGTGGGCTCGTTTGCAGTCAATTTCCGGGTTCTTGCCGAGTTGAGTGGCGCAGCGGACGCAGCAGGATGCGGTGGGGGAGGACTCGGGGAGTTGGAGATCTGAGGGATAGTATTTCCAGGTCATTTTGTCTGAATGATCGCACAGTAGAGATTCCTAAATCAGCAGGTTAGAATTGGAGGTATGAAGGGGGAGTTGGTGTAGCTGGTAAGGGGTTCTGTACTAGGTACAATTGGTTTGCTTGCAATAGATGGAAGGACTTCGCTGTCGGAACTCCTGCGGTGCGGTTGTAGAAAGCTGATTTCAGGAAGGATAGGTACGAGGAAAGGAGGGACTATTTAAATTAATTGATCACAGACCCCTCCCCCTCCGAGTGATTGGCGAGGTGGGTGAAATGAATGTGATCGCCTAGGTAAACGCGCCGCACGGTGGGTGAGTGCTATACATAGCCTCTACGCGCCACACAACGGAGACAGCCATGCAATCAAAACTGGTCTTCTGCTCTGCCAAGTGTTGCCCGGCGCTACGTTGGAGAATCCCTGCTTGTGAGCCTTCTCAATGCTATTTTGGATCATCAATACATGACTTCAACTGGTTGATATGATATTATGTTGGGCGCGTAAGTGAAGTCTCATCAGCCGCTGGAAGTCTTGGCAGCATGCATCGGAGGCATGTAGAGCGGCTATGTAAGTGACATAGATGTACGGACGTTCGTCCGTCTAGATTCAGATAGAGGTAGAGTAGTATGTCACAGGATCAAGAAAACAAAAAACATTATATGTATGCCACACGTTGATGAGCAGAAAAACATTATATATAGATCTAGTTTATTTAGCCTTTATCGCCAGCAATGCACTGCTCAAAAGAAAATAAAGCATCATAACCAGACACAGACAATAAATTCGTAGTATCAGGCTGATTCTATCGTGTATGCGTATATGCAGGTCTAAATTTTGTTGTATATCCGTAACCAAAAAGCAATATGTGTATCGTCGAATATATGGCAAAAGATGGGTATATATAAGTTGAAAGAGAAGGTAGCGAATTTACCACCCGCGCTTCTGTTTCCAGCGCATGATGAATGCGGCGACCGGGTAAAAACAGATGGACACGGCAATCCAGATGAAAAGAATGCCGAAGTCGAGGCCGATGCGGGAGTGTTTGCCGAAGAGGATGGTGCGGAGAGCTTCCACGACTGTGAGGTAATTTGTTAGTATTCTCTGGAATGAAGAGCAGGGGATGCGCAATAACATACTCCGATGCAGGGGCCAAGCATAACCCCATCTAAAGAACCCAGGGGCCAGATCTAACGGGTAAAATCCCGTCGCCACGTTGGTAATGACCCAAAAGATCAGGAACAGCGAGCTCCAGGGGAATCCCAGCACCATGGCCATGTTCTCACAGGGGAAGCCAAGCGCCGTCATGCCGACCCAGTTCAGCATCCAGAAGACGACGAAGGAGCCGCGGCCGTAGGCGTTCGGGTTAGCCGCCGAGACGGTATCCGGGGCGGGGTCGTTCGAGAAAGGGATCTGGAAGGCCAACGAGACGAGGGAGTAGAAGAGCGACAGGAAGAAGTAGGCGACGATGTTGGAGATGATGCGCCATGCGAGCCACTGGCCGACTTTCAGCGGCGGGTGGTTGCCTTTCATGAATTGCATGTGGAACGGCATAAGGAACGGGAAGTTGAAGAAGGCGATGATGATCAGATAGATCAGGCCGATCGTCACGGCGGGGGTCGCCACGGCGGGCGCGAACGGGCGGAGATCGAGCGTGCTGAATCCGATGGCCGGGTTCACGGCTTGCGGCACTCGCGAGATGTTGCGCGACTCCTGCGCGACCGTCTGCACCCAGCGAGGACCAAAGTCGGCCAAGACAGCGCGTTCCAGCGAGTCCAGAGCCGGGGTGATGTAGGCCATGTAGGTGTTCTCATCGCGGGCGCTGATGATGACGAATTCCACTGCCTCGGTGGGGTCGTATGAGGAGTTTCCGTTGGAGACGGCGGAGCGTAGAAGAGCGGATGCGCCAGCCTTCACGATCACGGCGGCGTAGGCGTGCTCATCGTACACTCCCTGTCGGACGGCCACGGGGTCGTAATCAAACTCGGCGGGCGATTTAATTGCGAATCCCACGGTCTGAGGGTTGGAATTGACTATGGAGGACACCATGTCGGTCACGGCAGGTCCCACGATGGGATCCTGGTCCTGGTTCTGATAGGGATCCAATTGGCCATCGAAGTCGACGACCCAGACGGGCAAATTGGACAGGTGTTCCTGGACCTTGAATTGGGACGACCAGAAGAGCGACAGGACGCAGAGGACGAAGACACATAGGATCAGGACTATACAGATTTGTTAGTTCTCAATCAACCCCCTGGATCGTATGGCGGGCGGGTTGCATCATACCCATTCGAGCCCATCCGAATGCCACTGACCGGCGAACATCTTTCAGGGCCGGATCAAAGAACGAGACGGGCGCAGGAGGAGCATCGATCTGCTTGCCTTCCTCGGCGGCACCGATTTGGGTTTTCTCGCTCGTGTCGCTCATGGTGTTCGGATTTAAGCTTTGGGGATCGGCAGTGAACCAGGTGGACGGAGTGACACAGCAATGCCAGGCACGGGGGACAGGTGTACTGTTTAATATTCTTCGATTGGGGAACCTTCAAGGAGTGGACATGTCGCAATTAGTCATATAAATGAGGGAGCGGAAAGGACTGGCCAGAAAATGCAACGAGAGGAAACCAAAGCGGAATCCTTGAGATGAGATCAGACAAATAAGAATCAAAAAGTCTGCGATCGGATGCGACCCTCGGCCTATTCCGACTCTTAACTCCGCCCCGTCGGCCTTCGCGCGGCCTTCGCGGCCTTGCGGCCTTACCAAGCAGCGCCCTACCGAGCGCCCTGGAAGGCCCTGCGAGTGGGTGCCGCTCTCCGACACGGCGGCCGACACTCCCCGGCACGCTGATTCGTGGCTATCTCGCAGGTTTCCCGGGGTTCCACCGCCCCTCGTCATTCTCTTATTAATTTATCATAAGTGGACAGTGGTTCTTCTCGAAGATGATCCGAAACTCGGGTCACGTGTCTACTGCTTCCGATTTACCCGTCTCTCCCGGATTGGGTGTTGGATCTTATCAGATCTCTCAATGGTTACTCTGTCAACTGACAACTTACAAGTAAATCAACAACGCCTCGGACGCTCCCACTTCAACGTCCGCCTGACCGGTCTCCACCCCGATCACTTCGTAATCCTCCGCACCAGCGAGCTCGCAGGTTCCGCCGCGGAAGCTCTGGCCCCCAACACTGATTCCTTCATGTCCCACTACCGTCGCAGCAGCCGCCGTCAATCGCTTGGCCGATACGTTGGAGTCCGACGATAGTCCAGTCAAGGTGACTTTGACGTGACTACGTGTTCCCGACGTATAGTAGTCCGAGTTATACAGCAGGATGCGGGTGGGGGTGCCATCCGTGTCGTAGATCACGTATCCGGCGTACCGACTATCTCCGTTGTCAAGCTGGGCGATTTGCGATGCGCCGGACAGCGCTAAGGCCGCAGTATAAGCCCCGTAGAACGGGGCGTTTACCGACTCTTGCCACCAACAGTATTGACCTGTGCCCTAATTCAATGGCATGATTCGTTAGTTCAAGGTGCTGATGACTTACAGTTTCCGATCGTCCCTTGGTGGAAATAGAGTTGCTATGCGGGGTTAATATAACCGAAAACTTGAAGGTTATAGTGTTGGAAAAACCAACCTGGATTCCCTTCATCGTGGACTGCATGATGTAGTCTAGGATCCAAAGCCCTGCGCCGTATGTGGGACTGATGCCACCGCCTCCTTGCGTGGCTAAAGACACGAGTCGTCAGCGTTGTTGGAAAATCTCAACGAAACATAGCTCACCCGAGTTGGTTTCTCCCATAATTAAATCGAGATTCAACTCCTGCGCTGCCGCAACCTGGGAATCAAAGATGGCGACCCCTTCCACTATTTCCGCGTGATCGATCAATCGGCTCAGATTGGCATTAGAAGAGGACTGTGGATAGAAATGATGGCAGAACGACCGCACGTATCCCGTTGAGCCAGTTTCTTCTTCTTTAGCTGCGAGGTTCTTCGCAGTGAATGACTCGGTATCGAAGAAGACACCAGCCTGAACGAAGGATTTCTCGTCGCCCAACCCTTCACTTACGGATGCCTGCCAGGAGACCTGCGATGCGGCGTCCGCTGCGGCAGTCCAAGATTTCCCGTGGGCGATAGGGTCACTTGATTTGAAGACTGAAACCTTAGCATTTGTGCAAAATCGGTGTAGCTGGTCTTACAGTTTGGCTCATTTCCCAACTCAATTGCATACAAGTTGGTCACTTGGGACTTGACTACCTTAGCCGCTGCTATGGTATTGTCGACGTCGTCTAGGCGTCGGTTCAGCCCTACAGTGACTTGTCAGTGTTCGATCCTTCCTGTTCAATAGCTTCTCTGGACGATAAATACCGATGGTGACTTTGCCCTCATACGAGCCTGCCAGCTCCATAAATCGGTCCCCGAAAGTGAGCGACTCGGGTGCATCGTCGGGCGAAGCAACCGTGTACTTCACTGCTGTTTGTAGAGAAGCATCATATAAGGCACGATCCCTTGCATGGTCAGCATATGGCGCGAATGCATGAATGATGATTATTCTTACTGCGTTGTCCCACCAATCCGGATCGGAGGTCTGGCTCCCAGTACGTCTTCGAGAGTGGCGAGACATGATTTCGTCAGTGGAAGTTTTTCGATATAATCCGGGAACGCGAAAAATTCAATCCTTATCAGTTAGTACTTATACAGGAGTATTATTATTTTCCGCTTTACGTACGAAACTCCCACTGGGGTCTGATCGATCTTATTTGCCCCCGCAGGAGGGGATGAGGGTATTTCGTAGGTGAGACCGTTGGCCCATTTGGCAGCTGTGAAAAGCCAGAGAAGCCTGAAGGAACGCATATTAGATTTGGTTGGTTTTTACGATTCAACCCGTAGAGTTCTCACTGAAGTACACTGAAGTAGGCCTACTCTTTATAGAGCTTATGCCGCCTCGAACCCCGCATAGTTCACAGTCATGAGAATATGGGGAGAAACCATGCGTCGCTCGGTTCGTAAAAAGACCGAGATATCTCGTTTGATTTTGCGGCATTCGTTTCGAGAGATATCGACGTCATCAGAGACCATAATAGGGCTATTCCAATGGAAGGGCAGGAACCCTATCTGCAGAGGGTGTTTGTCTACGGGTGAAATCAGTCGAGGTGGACAGTCTAGTGCCGGCGATCAGGCAGGGATCGGCGGGGATTGCGGAGAGTCCGATGCAACGAAGCAAAGTTATTCCACCAAACATTATTTGGGGATTGCAGAGAAGAATGATGTCCTTGAACTAATATGTCGCGAGGTTTTAGGTCAATAGTGGGAAACAGATGAATTGCCAGAGTTCGCGACACTTCATCTTGGGGCCACCACATGGGATGAGGATACTTAACAAAACACATTCAACATGGCGTCCCCAACAGTTCACATCTTAGGAGACGACCCAAATACCACCCATTGTCTGAATGCATGCGCCTACCAGCAGTCCGCCATCACCACATTCAGCGGATGGCAGTACGCAGCCTTCTACACATCTCGACCACAATCTGCCGCACGGCGTGTTACCCTTGCTCGACGGCCCATCCTCAGTCCCTCCTGGCAATATCTCATATTCGAAGACTACGAACAAACCACGGACGATGGGCATAATACGATCTCTATCGGAATCTGCGCTGGAGACGCGACAATCCACGTATCATTCGACCACCACTGCGATCTACTCAAATATCGAATTTCTCGACCCGGTCTCGCCACCGACACAGATGAATCGAGCTGGATAGCAAGCAGTTTCAGTTCCATCCAGAACCACCTCCCAGGTCAAGGGCCCAGCTCTTTGAAAGATGTCACGTATCCCCGTTTCCTTCCAGCCGAGAAGGATTTGTATTTTGAATGTCGGATTGGAAAGTAGGTTTGCAACCACCAAACTGCAGAATGCGCATTAACAGAAGCGAAACTAGAGCCGGGGCTGGTTCGGACATACTACACCGTTACAGCCACCAGACTGCAAAATTCACCCCCCTCGGTGCCTACTTGATAGGCCGTAGGTGCAATCCATACCCGAATGGGGTGTCATTTCACCCAGAAAGCAAAACTCTCCATGTCACCTGGACGAACCGCCATTTCATCGATTATGAAGGTGCAGAGGATCAAGAATCTACAGCACATAAAGCACAAGCTGGACCAAACGGGCCAGAGAACAATGAGGGTCTCTATCACTCGTATAGTCCTGATCACGGAATTACCTGGGTCAATTCAAGTGGGGAGTTGGTGACATCGCTGTCCACCGACGATGCAACCGGTTTGGATTCTCAGGATACTAGACTCCGAGTAAAGGACATTCCGCGAGATAGCGGGATCATGAATCAAGAAGCTCAGTATGTGGATGTCTGTGGCGGTGTTCACGTCCTAAACCGCGAGAACACCAGTGGCCAGGAGAAGTGGGTCCATTATTATCGTCAGCCAGGGATGGGCGGATGGTCATTCTATGACATCCCGGGTGTCTTTCCGACTTGTACAGGACATAGAGGGAAGATGGTTCATTGTGGACGGACGAATGCGGTTTATCTTGTCCTTCCGTCGAATACGGCGCATGAGTTGATTATCGCTCGAGTCAAAGGAGACATGCAGTCCTCGGAGCGAGATTTTGAGATTCTGTGGAGAGAAGAAGGGTACGTGGGAGAGCCCTTACTAGATGAGGAAGCTTTTCTGCAGGTTGGGATATTGTCTATATTCATCTTGCTGGAGAAAGTCCCCGAGGAGAGAAAACTTGCCGTTTTGCAGTTTAACGTGGATGATCTAGCTAGATTGTAATTCATTCAATGTCAAATAAATCATGTCTGTGCCTTGAAAAGCTCTTTAAATCACATCGCACATGCCCCACTAAATACAGTTCTCATCCAAGAAAGCCAAATTATCCAATCCGTGCTTATTTTACCGCCGAATAGCCACAGCCAGCCCTAGCTATGATTTTCCACCAACAGGGGGCGAGGTCAATCATTGTCCCAAACATTCCATGTCTGGTCGATCATTAGCTTCGGATTATACTGGCCCGAATGGCTTTGGGCGTAAGGATACCTCTATACCCCACATTTCCCCGGCTTTGGGAGTGGTGGTACTTCGGTCTGCCCTTGAGGAGTGATCGTCGCTCTCGTCGGCGTTCTGGCCATAATAAAGGGACTTGGTCCCAGCTGGAGGTGCACCTCTTTCTTCATTTCACTCAACTAAGCCCGCCCAAAACGGTTCATGATGCCAGTCATGGCAGAGAAAAAGGTCGATCGGAGAGCGCTGGAGAACACCACGCTGACAACTAACAAGGAAGGGCCCTGGTGGAAAGATGCCGGTCTCCGCAAATTGAATTTCTTACTCTTCTTTCTCATGTTCAGCGAGTTCACGCAAGGTTATGATGCGTCGTTGATTAATAATGTTCAGCAGTTGAAGGTCTGGCAGAATGGTATGCTCTCGTGACTCTTGGTATCGGGCCAGGTCAGCCTCTAATCGACTCAGATTTTAACCACCCTCACGGGAGTCTCCTCGGCGCTATGAGTGCTATGTACTGGATCGGTAGGCTATCTACAATAAATATTCTCCGTCTAGCCTAGTTCTAAAAGAAGCAGGAAACATCGTCGGCGTGGTATTCATCTCCAGTGTCTCAGACAGACTCGGTCGACGGTGGTGTCTGCTCTTCGGCTCCATTCTCTGTCTCGCTGGAACGGGTCTTGCCACGGGAGCTTCAAACGCTGGTTTGTTCATCGCCGGTCGATTGCTGCTCGGTCTTGGTGGCGTCGTTGTCGCTGCCATTGGGCCCGTGTGGATGGGAGAGCTGGCCTACCCCGACCATCGAGCGACGGCCACGGCTATGTCGAATACGACCTATAGTGCGGGCGCTATTCTTTCGGCCTGGGTGACGTTTGGGTCTTTTCACATGCCAAATGCCTGGTGGGTTTCATATGATGGATGATGTATTGTTTATGGTATATTGACCGAAATGCACAGGGCATGGCGAATTCCAACCGTCTTCCAGGCTCTTCCGTCGGTGGTCCAGGTCATCGGATCTTTCATCCTCCCTGAGTAAGATAGTCGTCTTTTAAATTAACAGTTCAAAAGTCTCTGACGAAACAGATCTCCCCGTTGGCTCATCAGCAAAGGCCGCGAAGATGCAGCCCTCCAGATCTTAGTGAAGTACCACGGCAACGGCGACCCCGACGATTCTGTCGTCCAGTTCGAGTTCCAAGAGATGAAAGAAACCATCGAGCTCGAGATCGCGGCCAACAAGACCTCATGGAGCACGTTGGTCAACACGCGCGGTAATCGCTGGCGATCATTCATTCTTGTCTGGTGCGGTAGGTGACAATCTATCCATTCCCTTCCACATCAACACCGCATCAGCAGTATCTAACCCAACATCCCAACCATTCATAGGAGTCTGCAAACAATGGTCCGGCAACGGCCTCGTCAGCTACTACCTCGGCAGCATGTTAAAATCCGCCGGCATCACCAAAGAAATCGAAACGACGCTCATCACCGCCACCAGCCAGATGTTCAGCTTCGCCTGTTCTCTCGCTTTCGCGTTTCTCCCCGGCCGGGTCGGTCGTCGTCCCCTTCTGCTCTGGTCCATGGCGTTGATGTGGGTTGTCTTTGCGCTGATCACGGCCTGCACGGGCGTCTTTGTCGAGACGGGGAGTCAGCCTGCCTCGTACGCCACCGTCGCGTTTATTTATTTGTATAGCGGCGTGCATAATTTGGGTTGGACGGGAGCGATGATGTTATATGGTATGTTTGTCTTGGGTCTCCCCAAATGTTCCCTTGTCTGCTTTCCTGGTTATATAGGAGATGCTGACCCTTGAAGTGGTTGAGATCCTCCCCTACTCAATGCGATCCAAGGGCATTGCGCTCTTCTGGCTCGTGACGGGCGCGACAGGTGCATTCAACACGTATGTGAATCCCATCGGGATCGATGCGTTTGCGTGGAAGTATTATTTCTTCTATGTGGGGTGGATTATCGTGCAGTTTGTTGTGGTGTATTTGTTTTTCATTGAGGTAACGATCCTTTTTCCGTGCTTGGTTTTTCCCGGGCTCTCACTCAAAGTGGGATTTTGAGGCTAATTTATGTAGACCAAAGGGCCGAGTCTGGAGCAGATTGCACTGCTCTTTGATGGGAGGGATGCTGTCGTGGGTCATGTTAATCCTGTGGCGGAGGAGTTTTTGGATGAAAAGAGGGGGGGAGAGGAAAAGGTGGAGACGAGGGAAATTGAGGTTGCGAGGGGGTGAAGGGATGGAAAGGCTCTTGGTTAGTCGTTAGGTGGAAATCTCAGGATGGTTTAAGTTTGGATAGTGTCTTGAACACTATTATCTGTATGGTGTATATCATAACGTGATATGTTATCTCATGCGGTACTCTCTGCAACACTCACAACAAGACCAATCAGTTCGTCTGCCTGACTGAGAAAGGGACAATGCCCTGGATGCATATCCTTCGTTACCAGCCGTCCTCCACCCTCCAACGCATCTTTAACCATACTCTTCTGCAACCCCATCATGATCGCCAGATCCTTCAAGCAATGCACATACATACAGGGAATATCCTTCCACGGAGCATGCGTCATTGCTCCCGTCGCAGCACCGTAGTTATGCGTCACTTTGTCTTTTGCTAAGCTCCTTGCTTTCTCCGCATCAATGTCATTGTAGAACGAGTCCGGTGCGTTCTTCGCGAGAACGGTTCCGTCATCGTTGATGCCTAGGTTGACCTTGCACTGAAACCCGTACTTTTCGATCACGGACGGCACCGTGGACCCGGGTGGGACGAGCCAGGCGGAGAGATAGATTATGGACGAAATGCCCGCGGAATTGTTTTTGCTGGAGTTGATGTAAAGATCTGGCGTGATGGTTTCCGAGGCCACAATGCCGCCATAGGAGTGAGCTATGACGAGAACTGTGTGGTTGGCTGCGATCAGCTCCTTTGCTGCTGCTCGTACGGCAGCGACGTCACCGGCTAACAGTGCCCGTGGGGGCCGATGATCGCCGCAGGTGGGAAGGCGGGGACATCGCACTATAAACCCACGCTAGGATAGCTAGTCATTGAAAGCGTTCCAAGCCGGAGGAAGGAAGTAGGCTCCGTGAACAATGAGAATAGCGGTAGTTTTAGGGGACGACAGGTTGAAAGAGGGGCTTAGCTGTCTGGTTGATCCCGGGGGGTGAGTCTGAGTTATATGGAGCTAAGTGGAGCTTAAGCAATGTGCCGCGCGGGGCTGGGGGTTCAAAGTTTCCGAACGCAAAGCTTCGTAGTCCGTGGTCTAAATGGGTATAATTAGCTATGGCCGCCTGGGACACATAGCAGACAAGTCTTGTATCAGGTGCCCCAACCAGTCACTACTGTCCGTAAGTTCCACCAAACGCTGGTCCCAATACATCTCATTTTTCCTCAGGGCGATTTCCTTAGCATCAAGGCTGTACCATTTCATATTGACTCCAAGACTTTCCAGAAGGCGGATCACAGGTACGTCCTGTTTCTGTATTGCTTCCCTTGCAACAAGGGTTAGGTGAGCGCACTTCCCACCTTCTAGGAGACTCCGGACCATGCCGCGTTGGCCCTTTTGGCACGCTAGTCTAAGAGGACACTGACCGAATCTGCATTTGGCCCCTCCTACAAGTAGGATATCCACAAGTTCCTCGCGGTCATTCGCAACTGCGAGATATAAGGGAGTAAACCTCGCGTAGCAAAAGTTCACATCCGCATGTGATTCAATGAGCAGCTGAACAACCTCCATTTGGCCATGGGTCACTGCATCGTTGAGAGCATCCTGAATTAAGAGAATGTCGTCCGCTTCGTACCCAAGCCGCCACAGGATATTACCCCTGCGCATCATGGCATACTCGCTAATAATTATCAGTTCTTCTTCAGTGAACGTAGTCGTGGGGTCCATAGGCCTATAATAGGGTTGTCCTGAGAGCGAGAGACCCTTAGTACGCGCCGCTAGCATGTCTTCCATAATTTTCGACACCATTGATGCCTTTCCGCCGCTTGCCGCGCAGGAAAGAATTGAGGCATGACGCTCCTCGGGGATATCGTATAATTGCAACAAGTCCCTCAACAGATCGTACAAATGTCGAGTTGTCAGCATGAAAGACGTGATGTCCTGGCGACAGCGTAGCTGTTTGGCGATTGAGATGATTATTTCACTAGGTAACTGAATGAGAGACATCTTGATGGATTGCGCGCTATGGCCTTCAGCTTCCTGGAGGGGAGGTGAATAGAGAAGATGGCTGCTCCGCGCGGGAGGCAGCGACAGGTTTCGCCGACGCCCAGTCCCACTTATCCTCTTCGGTCGAAGCCACCTCACACCACACGGTCCGTGGTTGCACGTGATTTCGCTCTCCCGGGCAGGTTGGGGGATGCAACTGAGTTCATTGATCTTACCTTGGGAGCTATGCTCGGAGTTGACGGTAAACAATCTAAAATTTGAACCCTAGAACTGTCCGAGCAATTTGATTTCAAAAAACAGGGTTCAGGTCAAGTAAATACATCAAACATCATTCCCAGGTTAGGGGGGGGGGGCAGCAATAGAGTAGGAAAAAGTATAGAAAAGGGAAAGAAGAGTGCAGAAGAAAAGAAAAAAACATCAGAAATTACTGATGTCAACTTAGATCGCATATCCTACATGTTGGGCCGATGAGCGGACGCGTTCGAGAGCCATACCAAATATATCGCCTCCTCTCCAGACCAACAACGCCGATCCACAAACAGCTGCAGCGGCAATCCCCATCCATTTCAGAAGCTCGACACGCAGCCCTTGGTGAAATGATTTCTTCAGCGACTCGCGATCGTTAATTCGTGGAAATGGCTCGTCTGGAACTGGCTTTCCCAGGAATTCGCATAGGGGCTCCCACCCACTGCCCAATTCGTATTCCAGCAGTTGCTCGGGCGGCGTAATTCTCCTGACAAGTTCATAATGTTCCAGATATACTTTTATCGCAGTTTCACTGATGTGCTCCGTTGAGGTGCCACCAAAGAGTCCTCTTACTGAAGACATTACAATTTCTCTGAATGGGCCGAATCGCCAGCGGTCAATCCTAGGTGTCGTACATTAGGAACTCTGATACAAACTTCCAGCATGAGGGGCGAGTCTAATGCTGAGGTGCAGTCTGTCTCACTTACCATGATAGCCATACGATTTTTCTATCATTCATTACAGTCCCCACAACACTCGTGAAGCTCTCCCTCCAGGTCTCCAAGTCGCGCGAAACTAAGATCACCTTGGCGTCTGGATAAGTTCCGCGCAGCTCCTCTGCGAACATGATGCAGGGAATATCAGACGCGGCGTTATAGCTGCCAAGAATGCGATCCCAATTCTGTCGCTGATAATGTGGCTTGTCATTTTCCTTGTCGAAGAACTTGGCTCCGATTAAATGGATCCATAGCTTGAATTCACCAGGCGTGGAAAAGTACATGTTCGCTCCATGGTAGCAGTTGATCCCGAGGACCCCAAGTGCTTTTTGCATTGCTATGTTAGGAGGCTTCTGTTAGCTATTCCAGGGCTCTTATGCATAGCGATCGTGGCCTCGCTGTTTTGATTCTCGCTGTTTTGATTTTACTATGGCTTGAGCTGAGAAGTACTCACACAATGTACCAGTACGGGACATGGAGAGGTTGAGAACTTCCATCGGCACAGTCCTTTTACTCTTCTCTCGGATCCTATGAATTCAGGTGAGCAAAGTGGCTCTGATGTTGATGGGGACGACGTACATTGTCAGCAGTCTTCTCCGCCCTAGTGCGCCCCCAGACGATCACGCTGCTCGATTTGTGGTAGTTTCACTAGGGACTATGATTGATCAGAAAAAGCAGGATCGCTATATCCAGATCAGAGGGAGCTGCACATTCAGATCAAGGGAGGTGCAGGAGTACATTCCAATGCATATTCACCGCCACATTGGGTCCCACATAATGATGCAAGGGGCGTAAGCCATGTCTCCCTATTAGTTGTAGTACGGAGTACAGGTATCTCTTTGCTTTTTCGATGTTTACATCGTATCTTTGGAGTGGTCTCGTAGCGGGTGATTCCGCTTCTTTGTATAACCTCTTTTGGTCATCTGATAGTTCCTGTTCCGGCTCATCTCTTTACCGTGTTACATACACTTCTATCATGCCATTCTAGTCAACCTGCAACTTGGCGACACCCTTGTTACTCTGTGACTCGTGAAAGCCTTCAAGGCCTGGTACCATGTCTCTCATATCTGAGCCCTCTGGCTATTTGCCAACAATCCTTTTGATACTCTGTCTCATCTTTCCATTCTTGGGTGCCTATCTTTCTGCTCGACTTTACTATTATCGCTTCGAACAGCATGCGTCCTGGCCACAGCCACAGCCTTCCCTCCTCTGGGGCCACTTGAAAGTAATGCATCAGGCAATTCAAGAGTGTCCTCCAGGTGCACATAGTGGTATGTCAGATAATACTCCCATTGGCTCGGACGGAAAACTAAGTCAAGCAATACAGACACCGCACTCACAAAGATCTGGGAGAAATTGGGAAAGCCATCCGCATTCATCTTGGATCTTCGGCCGGCTGAGCGCGTTTTGTGCGTTGTAGCCAATCATGAAGTTGCCGAACACTGCGTTCAACCGTCAAAGCAATTTCCGTACGGGGTTGGCAAATCGCCGACCATGCAGCGCTTTACAGAGATCCTTGGTAAAGGTGCAATCATTACGCGCGAAGAGGTGGAGTGGAAGATGCTTCGTAAAAGATTCAATCCTGGATTTGCATTTCCCCATCTGATAGACTTGCTGCCGGTTATTCTGGACAGAGTCTGGATATTTATGGACCGTCTCGACCGCCACGCTCAGGCGGGCGACGAGTTTAGATTCGGGGACCTGTGCAATTCTGTCACATACGAAATCATATGTATGTCTTCGCTTACTGTTCATCGAGTATAAGCTAATCTAGTGCCGTTCAGGTGCGGTGACTTTAGGAATCGATCGGAACAATAAGTCAGATATGGCAACACTCAGGTGGATAGGACATATTTACTGGAAGCTCCTGTCAAGTTACAATCAGGAAGATGACTCCATTTTTTGGACCAGTCCACGGGTCAAACGGCATCGGCAAGCCCTTTCTGCAGAACTGAATCATGTGATCATAACATATATAAGAGATAAATTCTTCGACTCCCATGGCAAACCTCTGACTAGTGAGACGGACAGAATTTCAAAAACCATCGTCGGGCTCAGTCTGCGAGGAACTGAGAAATTAACGCGTGAAATCCTAGAGTCGACATGTGATCAAGTCAAAGTTTTTCTCTTCGCTGGACAGGACACTACGAGCACCCTACTACAATGGGCGACATATGAACTGAGCCGTACCCCACATGCCCTCCAAGCTCTGAACACAGAACTCGACAAGATCTTCGGCTCCGACGCGGGTCCTGATATAATCCGCCAGAAGCTCATATCGCAAGGTGCCAGTGTCATTGGACAAATGTCCTATCTTTCTGCGATCATCAAAGAGACGCTCCGGCTGCATCCACCAGGGGCAACAGCACGGATGGCTGCTCCCGGTTCCGCGGAATTTGTTCGACTAGCCGATGGTAAAGAAAGGTGCATTGACGGCATCATCATGTATAACTGTCTTTCTCTGATTCAGCGCGATCCTCTGGTCTATGGTGAATCCAATAATGATTTCTCACCAGAACGCTGGTTGAACAAGGGAGAAACGGGCTCCTTTCCACCCACTGCTTGGCGTCCGTTTGAGCGTGGCCCAAGGAACTGCATTGGTCAAGAGTTGGCCAAAATTGAAGCGCGAGTCATCTTAGCCTGCATCGCGCGGCGGTATGATTTCTCCAAAGTAGGTCTTGGGGAGACTAATTATGCGGGAAATGGTGAGCCGGTTCTGGACAGCAATGGGCAGTATACGGTGCTTTCTAAGCTTTATGATGTAAGTTTTCGATGGTTCGCCTGGAATTCGAATTCTCTACAATGGATGCTAACATATTACGCAACAGACCAGAGAGATAACTCTCAAACCGGTAGACGGAATGAGGATGCGAGTCAAATTCACTCCAAAAGTATGGGCAGCATCCGCTTAGTGCTGGGTGAGTGATCGATATGCAAGTTCAGCTAGAAACAAACTACATTGAGATACAATCTGGTAGGGCATTTTTCTACACGCCTGATCATCCATGTATGTAAATCCTAGTTGATCTAAAGTAATAGCAGGGTTCAATGATATTGACGATCAAGAGTCTCTGCGTCCATTCTATCCGGACGAGTAACGGGTTAGGGCGTCTCTCAAGGTTGTGAGAAGAACAAATTTGTAGACATAGGCGAATGAAGCTAAGCAAAGGAAAAAGGAAACAATATTGGGGTAATTTCCCGATTAGGAAAGCGTGAGGATGGGCTGCACCGATGACTCAGCCACGCTAACTAACTGATCACGTGCAGATTGGGCGTGCTAAAGTTTGCACTGTCTGTCCATTCTTCAAACGACGCAAACAGCGTCATATCAAACTATTGGGTTGATCGACTTATCGCGACTTGCGCGACTCGACCTCGACAGGCTTTCGGAGGCACTTAGCTTCCCTCTTCGTGTCGGCTCCTTTGCGCCACGAGTTTGAGTGTCGCTTTTCTTGTTCGAACTATTCGGCCATCTGAGAAGCTCCGTCTATCTACGGCCTAGCAAGGGGACAAGGGCTCCGAGAAACGCGCGACTCCGGTAAAAGCTATCTATGACCATTTCTTTTTAAAACTTGACGCGCCGTTGCGCTTTAAACGCCGGAAATCCTTCTGTCCCTATTAGAAATCGCGTTGCTTAAACCATCTATCGCAATTGTGACTGGTTCAATCTTTTGATCCGCCTACTCCATACTAAGCATCCTCCGCGACCCCATTGGGAGATCTACTTCTCGAACAGGCACGCGATCCTCTCTAGTTCGTCGCCTTCAAACGATCAAGACTCTGCCACAGTCACAACAATTCATACACCCGGTCGTCGAGCTACTGACGACGCCATCGCGTCTCCTAGATCGCCACCATGACGTCCACGTCCGCTCAGAATCACCCTCCGTCAACGTCGGCCTCCGAATTCCCACAAAGTCAAACGGCCCCAACTACCGGCATTGATCCCAATTCAAACCTCCCGACAAGTGGATATGCGCCGAATGAGAACCAACTGGCTGGGCTGGTTGAAGCGGCCACCGCAGCAGCCGGCCAGGACGTGTCAGAGTGGGCGGCCGCAGCTGCAGTGGCCGCGGCGGCTGGTGCAACAGGGCATCAGCACCATTTGGATGGGTATGGGCCTGAAATTCATATCGACGACGAGGGGTTTGGAGACACGAGTTTCGGAACTGGTATGGGAAGTGGAAGGCATTTGCGAGTGCCGGGGTCAGGTGCCTCCAATGACCAGGGCCAGTCTTCTGGACTGTCCAGAACTGTGTCGAAGAAGAGGAAAAGAGGCGATGAGACCTTAGACCCGGCATTAGCAGCATCTGGGGCTGGCATTGGCACATCTGGTGGCCATGGTCAGCAGTCGCATCACCATCATCCGCATAGTTACGGCGGAGATAGTCTGGATATTCGAGCTGCGCCGCCACAATCGCTGTCAGATGCTCGCGCCGTCGGTCTTCATTCCGCTGCGGCTCTTTTCCGCCAACCATCGAGCAACAAAAAATATACCCGCCCACCGATGTCCAAACTTTTCACCTCCTTAGAGCTCTCGCCTGAGAACTTCCTTCACCTACAAGCCGCAGCTAAGGGATATATGCTTGATGACGCACATCCAGAGCGACGGGAATGCGTCGGTCAGCGTGGAAGGGGTGACACGGAGATGGTCAAACTGAGACTATGGAACTGTGTGCGCCATTTTCTAGAGTCCGAGGGCCATGGCGAGCGATTTTTTGGTGAAAATGCCGTTAACGAGGACATGGGTCCGAGAACTTACATATGGCCTCGCGATCAACAGAAGATTATCTCTTTGGTCATCCCTTTGCTGAGGCGAATGGTCACCAATGAACGTCAACGCCAATATGCTGTCGAGACGCGAAAAGGTGGAACAGAAGAGCGCAGGCGACGGAAGACAGAGGATAGCATTCAGAATTTTAATAGCGCCAGCCCTCCCCGATTCCCGGTGGAAGAGCAACTGCAGATGCATACGCAATCTCATCTGCCCGAAGGTTACACGTCCACACAGACCCAATTGTCAGCAACACAACCGGTGGGATCACAGCAAGTAGACTTGGGATTAACAGATCTATTCCTCGATGGATACACGACAGACTGGCATGAGATCTCCAAAGCATACGATTTGTACAATCAAAATTATGAACTCGACAATCTGTGGTACCTTTCCGGCCTTCAGCAGCCAGATTGGCGCGGACTAGTCGCGGCTGTTGATAGCCACTATCAAGTCATCCACAACGGTGATTGTGACTGTCCGACCTCATGTGAGGATGAGAATGTCATTCGTATACTGGATGCGAACACTACGTCTGACTTGCGATGGCGAATTGGCGGCAGTCAGAATCAGCCTGCCAGAAATGAATTGTACGTTTCCTCTCCCATATATACTACCCCTGCTTTTGCATACGCACGAGATGAGGTATACTGACATGACTTTTTCTACAGTGCAAGCAGCATCACTCGTGATGTTTCACGCGTTATTCGTGACAGCTTAGGTGGCAAGCAACCGGAACATCCGTCTAGTAACAATCAAGCACCAGTCCCTCAACCTCAACCCTTACCGCCACCCAACTTCCCACCCATGGCTGGAGTCGTAAACAACGAACACCTTGGAACGGCCGGTCCCCAGGCTCCTCTTTCTATTCGGGTCAATATCCTACAAGAAGGAAAGCGTGCCCTTCCTCGGCTTGACTTGGCCGCGGGACAAATTCCAGACCTCGAGACTCTCAAGCAACTCATTACCCGTCGCTTCCCTGGACAATTACCAGGTATTCCTTCGGAAGCCGCCTTGGACCCCACTGCAGGTAATTACAACTCCTCTGTCCAGTGGAAGTTCAAGGTCTTGCTTCCTGATGGACTCACGCCCGTGCAAAACGATGGTGAATGGACGATTGCCCTCTTATCCGCTGGCAACGTTGACTGGATGGACGGGGATTTGAAGGTTCTTGTTGAACTTGAAAGCTCCTGATTTTAGCCCTTTTCTTTTCTTCTCTTCTTCATATGTATGTGTGTGTACGTGTGCGTGTGTTTTCCAATTCTCACCTTGGCGTTTCTATAAAAGATCTCTTCTTCTCTGCCGTTGTGTCGGTTTTTTTCAAATGTCAAGTCTCTTGGGGCTTGACTGCTCCTGCATATACTAGGTTTTATTTCTTCTTCTACTTTTTTGTATTGCATCCCCTCACCCCTTTTTTATTTTCTCTCCACCTCTTCTTCCAATTTTGTTTCTTTATTTCCACTGTTGCCATTTTCAATGATTGCTTTTCCGATCATACCCCTCTGTACCAATTCCAGAAACGAAATCACTTACCCCACGAGATTCAATGCATGTGTATGTTAATTCAGGTGAAAGACTCATGGAGTCCTTAATCAAATACTTAGTTTAATTGGGACGATTTATGAGATGAACTAATAGATTAATTTGATCTCGCGGTTTCAAATCACGGACCTCGATTTAATTTTTTCCCAAACCGAAGCTTGCAGGTGATAAGTGGGGTGGAAGTTCAGGGTTAGAGTATTTATCCGCCTGACAACATATTTTTCGAGTCACCCGGGGTTTAGACTGACACATGACCCAGTTTCTCTGATGAATATGATATAAAGTATGGTATATGTTCTTCAGAGATAAATGGATTGTTCCTATTATATTATCTTCATTATTGTGAGTTTTACTCAATTTTATTTGACTTTGTTACTATTCGTGGATGTACAGGGTAAAGAGTTGATTAAGTAGGGCTGAGCAGGGCTTAATGAGACCGCGTGATCATTGGTAAAGCTTAGAGATAAAAACTTCCCGCTCTCCCGTATGCCACCTTAATTCTTTATTCTTATGTCTCAGTATTGAAGCTAAAAGTAAAGTTTCCACTTGCTCAGCCCTATCGGATCATGGTGATCCTGAGAACCTCGGTTGCCTAGTGGCTGTCAGATGGCCCCTCGTTTGTATGAATGTAACCTTCGTCGATCAAGGTTCCATTTCAACTCCATGCCTGTCTCAAATGATACCCCGAGAAAATTTCTCAATGTTTAAGCATCTGGATGGCATGATTGTTCTGTCGGAGGATCATTTGCCTCATTCCAGCTCTTGGTTTGACTTCCGAATGACATCTTCGACACGGCTTGTGCTGGATGCATGACTCTTGCTAACACGGTGACTCTAGCCAGACTATTCAGTCAAGTCTCCGCTCAGAAGGCAAGTCTCAATCAGACTCATCGGGCCGGGAGAGTCGCTTCACGACCCATCGCATAATAGACGAGTCTCGTGTAGCGCATCCCAGATTCAGCGTGTTCGATCCCTGAGTATTTGTGGAGACCCCCAAGCGTGCTCAAAGCTCTGTAAATTGATATACCGAAAAGATATCGTTTCCCGATTAACTGTTGGTGGCTGCCCCCGTGTCACTACCATCTCCATCGACCACATTCAATTTCGCTTTCTTGGCCCTGCGTTTTATCTCACGCTTGGAAAGGGGCTTCTCCGCCTCAACCGTCTCGGACCCAACGGATGCCTTCCTTTTCAAACTGTCCGCGTTACCCTGTCCCTCGCTGTTGTTTTTCGGTTTGGAGGCGGCACTCTTCTGACCGGTTACCGGGGTGTCAGATTTGGGCTTGGGCTTTTGCCCTCCGTCAACAACGTCGACAATTCCGCGCCAGCTGGTCCGCTTCAGCTTGGCTAACGCGGTCACTTTCCTGGCCTCCTCGCAGATGGCTTCTTTCCCGCGCTCCTGTGACAGCCCCCAAACACAGGCGAGATTGATCACATCCCACGGTGCCCGCACGCCCAAAGCTCTTCTCGCCTCGCTGGAGATGATAATGCCCCTCCCGCGTGTCGCCCGGATCAATGACATGGAATTGCCGATAAGGTTGCGTCGAGCGTCCGTGCCGCTTCCCGTGACTCCAGGGCCGTAGCAAATCTCAATCCGTATTCCACGTGCGATGGCGGCAGAGAGCATTTTGAACTTAAAATGGTACGGTTGTCGAACCGAGAAATCCACAGATATCACATCGCACTCTAGGTTGGTACATGCGTTCAGCAGCGCCTTCTCATTGGTGGGTCGCAGCGCAACGAGATCATACACTTGGGAGAGACTAGCGACGCGTTGGTTCTGCGCGGGGTCGGAGAGGGTCAGGTTCAGGCGGTTGAGCAGCGTCAGGCCCTGGGGAACGTTCTTGGGAGCAGGTGGGGGAGCAGGATTCGAAGGAAGTTTTCCGGTAATAGTCTGCGAGAGAGCGACGGTTGTGTAACCGACTGAATAGTAGGTCAGGTTAGTTCTTCATGTGGCCAGCATAGCGCATGCAAATCACTCCCGCGGCAGTCAGGTCGTGTGCCGGAATTAGAGGCATGACGTACGTTCTGCAAGAAAGCTTAAAGTAGGCGAGATCTCGGGATCATCGAGGCTATAGGGGACATTAAGGTCATAAAACATCTTGGCAATTGTTAAAAGCCGCCAGGGACGCGCTTCCAGAGTCCTTGCAAGCCGAGTCGATCTGCTTTTCCTTTCCAGCACTCTGAAGCTCCGAGAAAGGTAAGTAGAAAATCATCCCGGCGCATCAATGGGTTTATCCGCGCCGAGTTAAGTCTAACCGCATCGGGACAGTACCTCATCCGCCCGGGTCCCGTGACCGCAAAGGCGGAGCGAAACGCTCTTAGCCATTCTGATCATCACCTAATAGACATCTCTCGTTCCCATCGTTACCCCAGGGCGATAGCACGGCTGCATTGTTTGGACGAGCTCACCTGCTCCTGGTCTTGCAGCTGCTGTTGTCTGTCCTCTTGACTCAATTCTACTGTCGCGACTGTTTTTCTCCTTGCCAGCCTTCCCTGCCCCCTCTCTACCCCGCCGCATTTTATCGTTGATATCCGATTGTGGGCTGACTCCAAGCCTGCTTTCCGGCCGCCATCATCATGGCGCGCGTCTACGCTGATGTCAACGAGCATATGCCTCGGTCGTACTGGGACTATGATAGCGTCAACATCTCCTGGGGCGTTTTGGAAAACTACGAGGTCGTTCGCAAGATCGGTAAGGCGGAAGAACCATCCCTACCTGTTGTGTTTGCAACGGCCTTCTTGTCATGCGACCGATGAAGGCAGCTTTTAGTTCCGAACACTGACAATATTCACCTTAGGCCGGGGAAAGTATTCCGAAGTCTTCGAGGGCATTAATGTCGTCAATTACCAGAAGTGTGTTATCAAGGTCCTCAAACCGGTCAAGAAGAAGAAGATTAAGCGTGAAATCAAGATTCTTCAGAACTTAGCTGGAGGTCCCAATGTGGTCGCGCTGCTGGATGTGGTCCGCGACAGTCAGAGCAAGACCCCGAGCTTGGTCTTTGAATACGTGAACAACACCGACTTCCGCACGCTGTACCCGCGATTCTCCGACTATGATGTTCGTTTCTATGTTTATGAACTGTTGAAGGCTCTCGACTTTTGTCACAGCAAGGGTATTATGCATCGCGATGTGAAGCCCCATAATGTTATGATTGATCACGAAAAGCGGAAGGTGGGTCGTGCATGTCTTTTTCATTTGGTAGAACCTTTGCTGATCCGTGATTTAGCTGCGTCTTATCGACTGGGGTCTTGCCGAGTTCTACCACAAGGGCACGGAATACAACGTTCGAGTTGCCTCCCGATACTTCAAGGGCCCTGAGTTGCTCGTCGACTTCCAGGAATACGATTACTCTCTAGACATGTGGTCGCTGGGAGCGATGTTCGCCTCCATGATCTTCCGCAAGGAGCCTTTCTTCCACGGAAACAGCAATTCGGACCAGCTTGTCAAGATTGCCAAGGTGCTCGGAACTGAGGAGCTCTTTGAGTACCTTGACAAATACGAAATTGAGCTTGATCCCCAGTACGACGAGATCCTCTCCCGATTCCCGCGCAAGGCCTGGCACTCGTTTGTCAATGCCGACAACCAGCGCTTTGTCAGTGACGAGGCTATCGATTTCCTGGACAAGCTTTTGCGATATGACCACGCTGTATGTCTTTTTACCCCATGTAACTGCCGAAACCCCGTATCTTGCATACTGATCCTTGAATATAGGAACGACTTACCGCCCAGGAGGCTATGGCTCATCCTTACTTCGCTCCCATCCGTGCAGCCGAGTCGCAGGCTAGAAACAACGTCGCCTGATGATATGGAGGAGTTTCTACGAGCGCTGCCCTCGGGTCTTAACAATCCTCTTTCTGCTCAGCGTGACCTTACTGCAAATTTGATATCCCCCAATTTGGTCCGAATTTTGAGTTGATTCTGGGTTTGAAACAGAAAATCGGATATAAGACCAAATAAATTCACGAAAAATGAAAACAACAAAAAAAGAAGGACCTGCCATATTTCCATCATCCCACGTTGGCATGGCCCGCAGCATACTCCGTGAGAGCGATGAGTTATGGCGTATGGATGGGGAGACGACCATGATGACCAGATGACAGACAATACACCTAATATGTTTGGGCACCGAGCCCTTTTGGCGTATCCAGCGAGTGAAATTGGCCAAATGAGGTTGAAGCGATTCCACTCCGTTTTCTTTTTCTTTCCTCTTCATCCCTCTACCAACCCGTCCATGTTCCTGCACCATTTCTTCCTAAGCTGTTGGATTGATATTCATGGGGTTTCTTTTCTCACGCTCTCCTCTTTCTCCTCTCTAAACCACATTTCTATCTGCACGTCATCGGTATTTGATGCGTCATTGACAGGCGTGAGGGGCTACATAGTTTGGTGCTTATATGATTCTCTCTGGGCTTTCTTTCAATTAATGCATTGTGAAATTTACCCCCTTCCCTTCCCCCAACGGTTATGCAGATCATATAGATGAAGTTTTCCCGCTACCAACATAGATGAGTATTATCTGCCAGCCACATTCGCGTAGATTTTGGAGTGTCTTTAAATGTGTCATGAGAGGTGGTGCAGTGTTGGTGGTGTCAGTTACTCGATTCAGTATATGGGACGATCGATCACGTGACATGACTCATTTGGCCTCAAATTTTTTTGTTGCGGAGACACCAGATTCCCGGTCAATGCAGCGAACAGAACCTGGTCAGCCTTGCTTATGATTGAGGCCTGACACGAAGAGTCATACCTGCTTATACTTAAACATCGCACGAAGCCATACGGATCGGACTAGAGAATCGACCTCCACCGCGATTCTCCACTGGCGGCCTCTCTTTGGGCCCCGCACTACCAATTCTCTGATTCGTTCCATTCTTTGCTCTGCGCGCCAGGAAATTTAATTGCCCGCCGCACAACGACCCCTCCCCCTCCTTGCTCTCTATCGCTGTTGGAGTCACCGGTGGTCAAGATACTTATCCGGCAGTTCGTGGCGCGATCGGCGCCCTGGAGACTCACTCCTCCATTATCTCGATCATTTTCCAGGATGTCTGCCCCCCAGAATCCCGGTGAGTTGCTTTCTTGAATCCCCTTCCTCCCCTTTCTACTACTATGACTCAGTAGTTTGGGTGTGGGAAAAAGGCGCAAATGGCTAACAATGCTTTCGGTGCTTCGTTATAGCTGGCGAGCCTGCGGCTCCCAAGATTGATACCCCCGCTCAAGCCGATGAGCAAACGAGAAACCAAGACCCCTCCGTTGCCGCGCCTCCCAAGGTGAAGTCCGAGAAAGAGTGTATGGTTCCTCCCGTTCCCCGTCCCTCCGTGCCCCGCCGGGTCTGGATACGCCGTGGTTGGGTCTGGGTATAATGTGATCTGACAAGTGCATGATATTCAATAGTGGAACGCGAGCGCAAGAAGGCCGAGAAAGCGAAGAAGTTCGCCGAAAAGCAGGCGAAGGCTGCTGCGTCCAAGCCCGCCGCTCCCAAGGCTGACAAGAAGGCCGGCAAGATTGAGAAGGAGAAAACCACCGATGCCTACGATCCCAAGGTTATCGAGCCCGGTCGCCTCGACTGGTGGGAGGAGAAGGGTCTCTTCAAGCCCGAGTTTGGCCCCGACAACAAGGTCAAACCTGAGGGTTACTTCGTCATCCCCATCCCTCCTCCCAACGTCACTGGTTCTCTTCACATGGGCCATGCCCTCACCAATGCTCTCCAGGATACTATGATTCGTTGGCAGCGCATGAAGGGCAAGACCACGCTGTGGCTTCCTGGTATGGATCACGCCGGTATCTCCACCCAGAGTGTGGTCGAGAAGATGCTCTGGAAGAAGGAGAAGAAGACTCGCCATGACCTCGGCCGTGAGGTGTTCACGGACAGAGTGTGGGAATGGAAGCACGAGTACCACGCCAACATCAAGAATGCTCTGCGCAGAGTCGGTGGTTCGTTCGACTGGTCCCGTGAGGCTTTCACCATGGACCCCAACCTCTCCGCGGCCGTCACGGAGACCTTCGTTCGTCTGCACGAGGAGGGCATCATCTACCGTGCGAACCGTCTGGTCAACTGGTGTGTGGCTCTGAATACCTCTCTGTCCAACCTGGAGGTTGAGAACAAGGAAGTTGAGGGTCGTACCCTGCTCGACGTCCCTGGCTACGAGAAGAAGGTCGAGTTCGGTGTCCTGACTCACTTCTGCTATGAGATGGACGGCACCAAGGAGAGAATCGAGATTGCCACCACTCGTCCGGAAACCATGATCGGTGATACCGGTATTGCCGTCCACCCCGACGACAAGCGCTATCAGCATTTGATTGGCAAGTTCGCCAAGCACCCCTTCGTGGACCGCCTGCTTCCCATCGTGGCCGATCCAGAGGTCGACCCCGAGTTCGGTACTGGTGCTGTCAAGATTACCCCCGCCCACGACTTCAACGATTTCAACCGCGGAAAGGCCCACAACCTTGAGTTCATCTCTGTCATGAATGACGACGGTACCTTCAACAAGAAAGGAGGTCCTTTCGCCGGCATGAAGCGCTTCGATGCCCGTTACAAGGTTATCGAGCTCCTGAAGGAGCAGGGATTGTACGTGAAGTGGGAGCACAACCCCATGAAGATCCCGCGCTGCGCCAAGTCGAACGATGTTATCGAGCCCGTCCTGAAACCTCAGTGGTGGATGAAGATGGAGAGCCTTGCGGAGCCGGCCATTAAGGCCGTTGAGGATGGCGACATTCTCATCCGCCCCGAATCCGCCTCGAAGAGCTACTTCCGCTGGATGCGGAACATCAACGACTGGTGTCTGTCTCGACAGCTCTGGTGGGGTCACCAGGCTCCTGCTTACTTCGTCAAGATTGAGGGTGACGAAGGTGACAACAGTGACGGTGAACTGTGGGTGACCGGCCGAACCCAGGAGGAAGCCCAGAAGAAGGCTGAGGCCAAGTTCCCCGGCAAGAAGTTTGTCCTGGAGAGAGATCCTGATGTGCTTGACACGTGGTTCTCGTCTGGCCTGTGGCCCTTCTCTACCCTGGGCTGGCCTAACAAGACCCACGACCTGGAGAACTTGTACCCCACGTCTGTCCTGGAGACCGGCTGGGATATCCTCTTCTTCTGGGTGGCTAGAATGATCATGCTCGGTATTAAGATGACCGGCAAGGTCCCCTTCAAGGAGGTGTACTGCCACTCTTTGATCCGAGACTCCGACGGTCGCAAGATGTCCAAGTCGCTGGGTAACGTCATTGATCCCATCGACGTTATGGAGGGTATTGAGCTTAATGACCTCCATGCTAAGCTGCTCCTTGGTAACTTGGCCGACAAGGAGGTCGCCAATGCTACCAAGTACCAGAAGAAGGCGTTTCCCAAGGGTATCCCCGAGTGCGGTGCCGACGCCCTGCGTTTTGCCCTCGTTTCCTACACTACCGGCGGTAAGTGATCCCTGCATATTCTATGTACAATTTGACGGTTGACTCTAACTCTCCCAGGTGGTGATATCGCCTTCGACATCCAGGTCATCCATGCCTACCGTCGTTTCTGCAACAAGATCTACCAGGCTACCAAGTTCGTCCTTGGCAAGCTGGGTGAGGACTTCAAGCCTCAGGCTACTCCTTCCAAGACTGGCCGCGAGTCCCTATCTGAACGCTGGATCTTGCACAAATTCAACGTTGCCGCCAAGGAGATGAACGACACCCTGGAGCAGCGTGAGTTTTCTGTTGCCGCCATTGCCATCTACCAGTACTGGTACAGCCAGCTTTGCGACGTGTTCATCGAGAACTCCAAGTCTCTGTTGAACCCTGACGCTCCTGCCGAAGTGCAGCAGTCCGCCAAGGAGACCCTCTACACCACTCTTGAGGGTGCGCTGACCATGATCCACCCCATCATGCCCTTCGTTACGGAACACCTCTGGCAACGTCTGCCTCGCCGTGCCGGTGACAAGAACATCTCCATCATGACGGCGCGGTACCCCGAGTACCAGGCTGAGTTCGACGACACTGTCGCCGAGACCGCCTACGAGCTCATCCTGAACACCTCCAAGGCCGTCCGGTCGATTATCGCCCAGTACGAGCTTAAGGTCAAGGGCGATGTCGTCATCCAGACCTACGACGCTACGAGCCACCAGACCATCTCGGACGAGATCGCCAGCATTAAGTCCCTGGGTGGTAAGTTCTTGGGCGAGCTCAGCGTGCAGGGCCCCGAGAACACCGCTCGCCCGGCCGGCTGCGTCGTGACTCCTGTCGGCTCCTCGGCCGCTGTCTACCTCCGTGTCTCCAAGGAGGTGGCTCTTGAGCAGGAAGAGAAGGCCAAGGCCAGCCACCAAAAATCTCAGGAAGTCGTGCGCCGTCAGCAGCAGCTCGTGAGCTCGCCCGCTTGGCAGGAGAAGGCCAAGCCCGAGGTGCGTGAATCGGAAGAGAAGAAGCTTCGGGATGCCGAGAGCGAGTTGGATCGTTTGGAGGAGCAGATCCGCGAGTTTGAAAAGCTGCGGCTAGAGTAGATGAAACAGCGGCTACATACATTTTCTTTTCTTAGTTAAAATACAAAGATTTGTTCTTTTTTTGAGCCCATATCTCCAGTATGCTTGTGATGTTCGTTTATACCCCTCTGTGGAGCATTCTATCCAGAAGGGTAACCCATTGAAGATATGTGCTGAGCCCCTGCAAGCGGCGCAACGAGTCTCGTCGCTGGTCAGCCCTGTACAGGACGGCGTGGTACATATGGAAGACCTATCTATCCTGGTCCTCCGTGGTGGTCTTGTATGATTTTACGCTACAGGTTTAGCTTAGGGCCCTACCGAAATCAGAAACAATTTTCTTTGTAAACAATTGAAAATATGTTTTAAAAATATAGCTCAGTTCTAGCGTGTGTGCTATTCCATTATCCTCTATTTCAGCATCCATTTACTACAGGGCCATGCTAGGTAGAGTCACCAGACAGGCGGTACGTCCTCATAGAATTTCCAAAGAGATTATAATTTTATATTTGATACTACTTTTATTATAACAACTAGAGTTTAGATAGATAACTCCTTCCTGGCACTACGCGTAGACCAAGTCAGAACCCCTCCTCCGATGTGATCCTCAACATAGTTTATAGATAAATCATCAATCATATTTTCTCGTTGCCGTTCATTGTCCGGAGTACCTAGTCGGAGTACGGAATACTCGAGGCGGTTGTCGAGACGATCCCAATAAGCTTATCGATAAGCGGCGCCAAGACAAAATTTCCGCCAAAACTTTTCGCTCCGCTTTTTTCTTTTGGATTTTGCCAGTCCAGCAACCTCATCAACCTCTTTTTCTCTAGAGAGCAGACTGCCTTCGTCATGATGCTCAGAGAAGTGTAAGTGCGATTCATTTCCTTGAGCTCTACTATATTACGCAGTATGACCAAGGTTCATCTCGCTGACCGACGAATTTTTTCCGCGATAGAAAACCCAAGAACCCGCGCACGGCGCGCCTTCTGAAGGCCAAAGAGCCTCAACTCATCGAACCTCCCAAGAAGACTCTTTTGATGCACGGCTCGAAATGTCCGATGCCCCTGCACACCGTCCTCAAGACCTTCCACTCCCTGACCCGGCCGCACTCCGTCCTGTTCCACAAGAAGAATGAGAACATCCACCCGTTCGAGGGCACCGAGAACCTCGAGTTTCTGGCCAACAAGAACGAGTGCGGTATGGTCGTGTTCGGCAGCAGCAACAAGAAGCGTCCCAACTGCGTGACCCTGGCCCGCATGTTCGATTCCAAGCTCCTCGACATGTGCGAGCTGATGCTCCTCCCTAACCCCGACGGCGAGGATATCCCCGCCATGAACAACCTTACGATGCATGTCGGCGTCGGGCTACGACCCCTGATGCTGTTCTCCGGCAGTGCCTGGGATGATTCTACGTCGACGGCGCACGTCCTGCTCAAGAGTATGTTTGTGGATATGTTCAAGGGCGAGACCTCGGATAAGATCGACGTTGAGGGACTGCAGTATGCCCTGATGCTGGGTGCCGATGAGCCTACCGACGGCCTGGCTCCCGTCATTCACCTGCGCTGGTACAAAATCCGGACGAAGCGCAGCGGACACAAGCTGCCCCGCGTGGAGCTGGACGAGATAGGCCCCAAGTTCGATTTCAAGGTGGGCCGCGTCCAGGAGGCGCCGCGGGACGCCATGAAGGAGGCCCTGAAGCAGGGCAAGCGACCCAACGAGGAGATCAAGTTGAAGAAGAACATCGGTCTGGACTCCATCGGTGACAAGATCGGTCGGGTGCACTTGGCCAAGCAGGATCTGGGTGACTTGCAGACGAGGAAGATGAAGGGTCTGAAGCGACGGGCTGGTATGGAATCTGACGAGGAGCAAGGGGACGATGATATGATGGATGTGGATGAGATCTCGGAGGATGAGGGCCACAAGAGGGCCAAGGTAGCATAAAAGGATTGACGTTGCGACGCATAATTTTTGTTTTATCTTTTCTTTCCGTTTCGCACCCCGGCGTTTTCGGTGGATTTGGTCGACTGACACACCTCGTTGAGAGATATGAACCTGCTTGTTCAGTTGATGTTGATGTGTATAGACGCTACTACCATATAAAAAGTTGATATTTCACAATATACCAAGTCCATCTCAATACCATAAGTAAGTAATGCACTGCTCAGCATGGGCCCTGGCAGTCCACGTGACCATGACGTTGGCGGTTCTCACATGCCGAGGAACTTTTGGCGGATGCTGCGATGCTCTTAAATGCCGACCTCCCCACCCTCTCTCCTTCAGGCCGATCGCCCTTTTCCTCGCTTGTTGCCGTTTTCTTCGTCCTGTTTTGTATTCCTCCAGCTCATGATTCTCACCACGTCGGGCGTTCACCTGTCGGCGAAGTAATCTTCGACTCCTGCTGCTCCGACCGACCTACCGAGGTCCCGTGCGCGCAAAGACACCATGGATGCACTACTGGTAGGTCATGTTGGCTGTCTCGAGTACCTCGACTCACAATATGGTTCTGATCTTTATATAGAGCCGTCTAGATGCTCTCGCCACAAACCCCGATCTTGCGCCGCTTTTGTCGTTAGCAAAGGGTGTGCGGAATGGCGCAGTTTACGGCGCAAAAGTGCGGTTTCCGCATGCTTTGGTGTATGTCTTGTATTGTTCCAGCTGGCTCAAAGGAGCTGTAGTAGAGAAATGGGACAAATCTTGCTAACTTATGACTCTTTTTTGCTTAGGATGATCTTTCTCTTTCGGTCCGGAACGTAAGAAGGTCCTTATAACCGATAAAGTGCGACCTCGGCATACTGATGTAAATGTGCAGCATCCGCGAAAAAACCAAGCTTGTCCTGAAAGCCACACGCCAACACGCTCGCAACCTAGCAACCTTCGCATTCATATACAAGAGCGCGATGATTTTGCTGCGCAATGTGAATCCGTCCGCGGTTGGGAAGGAGGGTCGGTATGACAGTTTCTTTGCCGGAGCGCTGGGAGGGTATGCTGTGTTTGGTCGGCGCAAGACAAGTGTTACCCAACAGGTAGGGGAGATATTGCTAGAAAGCATTGTTTCTTGGTGGATCTGACTCGCTAATTGCATGGACTCCTAGATTGTCATCTATGTCTTTGCCCGCGTGCTACTCGCCATGGCGAAGCTCTCCGTGGAGCCAGGCATGCACCCTCTCTCTTCCCTCATTACCCCCGAATCGCGATCCGAAATTCAGAAGAACGCATGGCCGGTCTTTGCCAGTCTCAGCTGGGCTTTCGTCATGTATATCTTCCGCTGGTATCCCGAGACCCTGATGTCGAGTCTGCGGAGCAGTATGGTGTACATGTAAGTGCTGCTGTCCGTTTACTTTGATATCTCTGGCTAATTTGGTCATAGTTACGCCGATTCGGACCACTGGGACTCGTTCCGCAATCTCCTGATACATAACAAATAGATTTCTTCCGGTTCGGTGTTTCGCTTCTGGTGTCTCTTTCAACGGCGGGGTGTTCATATTTTGTGACAATGGCGTATAGAGTTGGATGCATACCTATCTATTTTTCTCACTTTCCCTTCATTTCTTGTCAATGCTTGTCCTGTATCATGATTAATTGATTTAGTTGAATCCTGATCCCACCTTATCATTATGGCGTTTTTGGCCAATTTGGACCATGGAATACCAATTTTCACAGGGCGAATAGGAGGCCCTTCCGGGAGCAATTTGAGGCGTCAAAATGCCTCTTAAGCAAAAGGTTTCTCGTCCCCATCTCACTCTCTATCCAACACATCCAGACTCTGCACTGTAGGTGTATTCCCAGCAAAAATCTATTTTTATCTTCATTTTTACTCTCTAACCATAACAATCTTGCGAACAAAAATTTCCCTTTCTTTGTATCCTTGCACACTATATCAATTACAACGTATTGCCCAAATCCTAATGCTGTCGATCGGTCAAACTATGAATAAGATCGATGTACGAGTGGATCGAATGCACGAGTAGCTGGGCGGAGAAACTAGCCAATAGACCCGATGAGCAGAAGCTCTGTTCTTTTATTTGTTCTATGAGAGAAGTGGTAGTTGATCCCAAGATCATTGTGAACGTTGTTGTTGTTACTGCGGCTTGGCCGACGTGGTTTGAATCGAAGGTATTATTAGTAAATATTTCCAAAAAATTCAGTATAGCATTCATAGAGGCCATATAGAAGCAGGTTACCACTATATGTAACCAGTGTTAACAGAGCATCGAATGCTGGAGTTCCGAAGTTAATAATTAACGTGTCAGTCCTAGAAAATGCTGGCGATGCCAATGGCGACGCGGTATAACCGGTGTGTATCTGCCGGTTTTTAGATGACGGGCAGCAGGGCTTGTCTCAAGTGGCTGAACCGAAGGTATTGGCAGTGAGTAGATGATTCTCAAAAGGTAGTATGGCATTCTTACTGCCTGGTGGCTCGGCTCTATCTCTACGGATTCAAGAGGGATGTGGTTCGACAAAATGGCTTCCCTATCAATTCCTTCCCACTGTGGTTGTGTATGCGATTCACCAACTTAGCATTCTCGATCCCTTCATCTCTAGTCTATCTATAATTCACCATGAGCTTAGTATATCTCTGATAATCCTACATCACTTATCTTAAATTCTTTTTTTCCATTTCGTAGGTTTTGCGTAATGCCTGGAGTTTGCCTTTACAAGTTGTGAATGTATACTGCAAAATCGAGGAAGAAATTCACATCGTGATTTTGGTGGTAAGTAATATAAATTTAGAGAAGATATTCAATTAACTATCCAGAGTAATGGAAAGAGATCGCTCTTTTCTACATTTTACTCCTGGAATACACTGGCTTTTCGACTCCGCAGTGCACTCCCCTTGCTACGCCCACAATATGTGATGGCGATATCGAGATGCGTTAGTTTTACCTGATCTATAACCAAGAGATGCAGCTAACAATGAATCTAGAGAGTTGCAGAAAGATACGGCACTCGTATCTGGAAGAAGCGAGGATCCCAGAAGGACTTTTGCACCACATAGAACATGCAACGCCAAAGTCCCCCGCCTTAGGATCCCAGTTTACAGCTTCCTATTCAACGTCAAAAGATTGTCGGAATGATGACCACTTTGTCGGCATGGCTGATCTACCCTGCCGAATGAGAAGCTTATAGGTACGAGTGATGTTTGGAGATACCGACTTGTAGAAATTCTCATTGATTTAAAAGCATGGACACCAAATCTGTTTTTTTTGGACTTCAAGACTCTTTAAAAATGTCCAAGCCTGCTCAGCCTAGCCTTTCGTGACTATGCCGAATACATCTACTCCTACATCGTCAGCATTTTCGAGGACTGACATGTTATTTCTAAACTCCACGACTCCGGCATTATACGCCTTTCCGATGGTAGTGATATATGGCGTTGGACTTGTTTGTTGGGGCTTGTATGAATGCTACATTATCTTTTTTTAGAGATATGCTCTAAATATTCATATCGTCGATTTAACTACGTCGGACATGGACGTTACAAGCCGGTTTTTGGATGTTTTTTTGGGGGTGTTTTGTTGGTTTTTTTGTTGGCTTTTTGTATAAAATTTTAGAAAAAATGAAGACTTCCCCGCACTGCGGATGGCGGCTATGGCTTGCCGTATGCGCGGGATAACCGAGGTCCTCTCATCTTATATCTAGATTCTCTTCTTTCGTGTCTCGAGATTCTAGACTATCACTCAAGCAATCAACACAATTCCTTCCAATCATGACCTCTCCATCAACAATCCCCCGGAAACTATGGGAGCACTCTAATCCCCGGTCCACGCAGATGTGGGCATTCAAGAAATCCTTGGAAGAACAAAAGGGCCTAAATCTCTCAGTACGTCTCTTCAACGTTCAAGTAGAAGTGTACTAAACTCCCCTAGACCTATGATGATCTCTACAAGTGGTCCGTCAGCAATCGAGCGGCCTTCTGGGACTTTGCCTGGAACTACTTCAATATAATTCACGAGGGCACATATACGTCCGTCGTCGACGAGTCGGCCCGAATTGACAGTATTCCCGACTGGTTCAATGGCATTCGTACTAACTTCGCCGGGAACATGCTGTTCACCGCGGAGAAATCAGCCAACGGCCACTCGAAAATCACGACGCTCCACAAGGAAGACGGCAAGATTGCCCTAACGCAGATTCGCGAGGGAGGGTCAGAGCCATCCGTCAATTTCACCTGGGGTCAACTCCGGGCAAAGACAGGAAAGCTGATTCAGGCGCTGAAGGCAGCCGGGGTCGTTAAAGGAGATCGAGTCGCCGTGGTAGCTAGCAACAGCATCGACACGCTCGTCGTTCTCCTGGCGGCCACGGCACTCGGCGCGCTCTTCTCATCTGCATCGACGGATACGGGCATCAAAGGGATCCTCGACCGACTGCTTCAGCTAAAGCCAAAATGGGTATTCGTGGACGACGCCGCGATCTACAACGGAAAACGAATCGACCTCCGCTCCAAGATCAAAGATATCGTCGACGGTCTTAGGGGTGTCCAGGAGTTCGAAGGCGTCGTCTCTATCCCTCGCTTCACAGAACAGCCAGAAGACGTGAGCGGATTGCTCAAGACCCAGCCAATGTCTCAATTCCTGGCCAAAGCAGCCTCCGACAAACTGGAGTTCGTGCGTATCGGATTCCGCGAGCCCTTCCTGGTCGTCTACTCGTCCGGGACTACAGGAAAACCCAAACCCATCGTGCACGGCGTCGGCGGATATCTTCTCAACGCGAGCAAAGAAGCACGACTGAACCGGGACCACGGGCCCAATTCCACCGTCCTCCAATACACCACCACCGGCTGGATCATGTACCTCTCTGCCATCGCGGGATTGACATACGGCGGGAAGTCAATCCTATACGACGGCAGCCCGTTCCTTCCTGACGTCAAATTCCTCATTCAGCTCCTGGGCGAACACAAAGTGACCCATTTCGGCACTTCCCCACGGTACCTCCACGAGCTG